CCTCGCTACGGGACCAAATAGTGCTTCGCTTCTGCCTACGGATGTTCGCTCTCGGGAACTCGTGTTCCCGCTCCCCAGGCCCCGGGTTCGAATCCCGGTTGAGCCCGGATTCTTTTGCTCGTTGCAGCTCTTATTTTCGTTTTGGAGGTCTGTAGGTGAAGTGAATAAAGTGAACTTCATCCATCCTCTTGGGGGACAAGTGCGAATAGCCCAGGCGGCAGAGCCTGCACGGCTGCAATTTTGCAATAACACAGCTCGCTTTGCATAGCAATTCCAATTTTGCATGGGCCGTTGTTGTGAGCAATGCAATGTTGATATCCGTGGTGAAGGGTGAAGAGTGCCTACGTGGATACTATGCGAATGTTGCGACTAGCGCGGCTTTCGATACGGCTGGAATTTGCGAACATGCCAGCATTCTGACAGGCTGAAGTCGAGAACCATGCGTCGCCTGAGTTCAAAGGAGATCTAGTCATTGGTACGCTACATTGGTCGTTGAGATGCGACTCATGCCCATGGAGCGCATTTTGTACTTACATTGGACAAGTAGCAGAAGCGCGGGCAGCGTGCAATCAAGCCACGGCTTGCAAGTATCCTTAGGAACCGCACCCCCCAACAAGCTGGACCGGGCGAGGCATCGGCAGAGCTCGGATGATTTTCTGAAATTCTTCACCAGCCTTAGTGAACAGGCGCGATCCTGATCTTGACTGAGTGCACACGCCGTCGATCTACTCGGTGCCAAAGGATCCTTGTCTGATCTCGACATTCCACACTGCAGGACGCGAGGCTCCAAATCCGTCGCGCAGTGTCGCAGCCTTTGCTCGCCAAACAGCACAGTAAGCCTACTAAACGAGATCGCGCTACTTGTTGTCCTTCTTGTCCTTCTTCTCATCCTTTCCCCTCTGATCATAGATGTCCCTGTTCTCTAATCCTCCCGCGCCTATGCCTGCAGTTCCAAGCTTCTTCTCTATCCGGTCGTGTGCCTCGTGGATCAATCCAATATGGCCCCTTAGCGTCCCCTCGATCTCGTCTGACCGGGCTTCATTCTCTTCCAAACTGTATTCGATTTTGTTCTTGAGGTATAGTGTGGCTCCGCCGGTTGCGAAAAGGTTGGCGATTCCGATGAGAAACTTTGGCTTCGTGTAGAGAGGTGCCATCTTGGGCTGATGATCCGTGTTTTTGGGGAGATGCGGTCTCGCTGCGGTCTTTACGAAGACGAAGTTACTGCCCAATTAAAGGTAGTTGGAAAGCCTGCTGTAATTGCTCTTTCTCTTGAGGGCGTCACTCCGTCATGACGACATCGATTCTGTCATAAATACTTGCTTTGATCGCCAAGTTGTGAGGCGCTTCTATCGAAGCCAATTTACCGTCGACAGCATGGACATCTTCACGAGCATGCATATGTGATTGCCATGAAGAACGAATCTACTGGGTGCTGGCAAGCTGGGAAGTTCGCATCGTTTCGCCACGCTTTCTGGCTCCGGAGAGGGAACTGGAATCGGCTTGTCAATCAACCCACGATCTTCACCTACAGAGATATGCGGTCAGTACAGTTTACGACCAGTATGGTGGTGGAGTTCGGTGTTGTTCAAGCTCTCAGGTCGAATTGCCAAAGGAGTTGTTTGTTCAGTGCCGAAACCGGAGCTGTTTAGGCTGATCTCATCGTGGCCCCAAACTGACTTCACGTCGGCAACTGCTCCTCTCCTTGGGGCATCTTTCTCCCGACAACACCCAATGGCTGACCCCTCCACAGGGCTAGTGGGGGTCTCGAATGCTGTTGGAGGTCGAAAATTGGAGCCGATGGCTTCGCATGGCGCGGCATTGCTTGTATGCTGCTTACCTGCTGCAGAACGGTACCTGATGATCCGGTACAAAGTGACAGTGACTCTTGAACTTCACTCCAAAACTTTCTTCTCCTCTTTCTTTGCAGATTTACGCGTTCACAGGATAGCTGACACTCAGAATGGTCACGATTACTAGCATCACCACGAAAGATGTTCGTTTCCCAACGTCTCTCGACAAAACTGGCAGCGATGCTATGAACGCTGCTGGAGACTACTCCGCGGCATACTGCATCCTGCATACAGACTCTGAATACACTGGGCATGGTAAGCACGAACTTGAAGCAGAGCTACAGAGTGGGGGCACTAATCTTTCACAGGCATGACCTTCACCATTGGGCGAGGCAACGAGATCGTATGCCAGGCAATCAGTGCTCTTTCAGAGCGAGTAAAAGGCAAGAAGTTGGAAGATCTTGTGGCCGACTGGGGCAAGACATGGAGATATCTCACTTCAGACTCCCACCTCAGATGGATCGGTCCAGAGAAAGGCGTCATTCACCTCGCATTGGGAGCGCTCGTAAACGCAATCTGGGACCTGTGGGCAAAGAAGCTGGGCAAGCCAGTCTGGAGAATCGTCTCAGAGATGACGCCTGAGGAGTTTGTCAGGTGCATCGACTTTCGATACATCACAGATGCCATCACACCAGAGGAAGCTGTACAAATGCTGAAAAAGCTGGAAGTTGGCAAGGCACAGAGAATGAAGGAAGCAGAGCAGAATCGTGCTGTGCCTGCGTATACCACTAGTGCAGGTTGGCTCGGATACGGAGAGGACAAGATGAAAGCTCTGTTGCACGAAACTGTGGCTCAAGGATACAAGCACTTCAAGCTCAAAGTCGGGACAAGTATTGAACAAGATCGACAAAGACTCCGAATTGCCAGAGACGTCATCGGCTACGACAAGGGCAATGTCCTCATGGTAGATGCGAACCAGGTGTGGTCGGTCCCGGAGGCTATCGAATACATGCAACAACTTGCCGAATTTAAGCCGTGGTTCATCGAGGAGCCTACAAGCCCAGATGATGTTTTCGGTCACAAGGCTATCCGCGAAGCATTGAAGCCCCTTGGCATCGGCGTTGCAACCGGAGAGATGTGCCAAAACCGAGTCATCTTCAAGCAGCTCATTGTGCAAGGTGCCATTGACGTATGTCAAATCGATGCCTGCAGGATGGGAGGCGTGAACGAAGTGCTAGCTGTGCTTCTGATCGCAAAGAAGTACGGCGTGCCAATCGTCCCCCACTCCGGTGGTGTCGGTCTGCCGGAGTACACTCAACATCTGAGCACGATTGACTACGTCGTGGTCTCTGGCAAGCTGTCAGTTTTGGAATACGTCGACCACCTTCACGAGCACTTCCTTCACCCATCGGTCATCAAGGATGGCTACTACACAACGCCTACGGAGCCTGGGTACTCTGTAGAAATGAAGGCCGATAGTATGGAGGAATATGAGTTTCCAGGCAAAGAAGGTGTCAGCTGGTGGCGGACTGAAGCAGCGAGGCCGATTCTCGAGGGCGCGAAATTCTGATAGCATGTAAGCAGACATGACTCCATATCATAGACTACAGTGAATAATTATAGACCAGTCTCCTACGTTCCCCGTCCTCTCACTTTGGTCTGAGCGTCACTTCTTCGATCTTTTGCTCCATACTTTCTGCCATAGATCAGTTGCGGCGAGATCTTGCCATCTTGGTTCCATGTAAACTGGCTCGTACAGTAATAACGCTCATCAATACTGATAGTTGTGCTCTCTCAGTGGCTGACATCTTAGAGTACAGTACCTCATTCAACCCAGACCTCCCCACGGCTGATCTTCGGGCTGATGCGAATGAAGTCCACTGTCGGCAGAGCGTAGCTCCCGATATTCAGAAGCGATGTTACCCTGACGAGGGGCCAGATGGCTAGGTATATGAGTTGTCCCGTACTCGATCTATACCAGCACAATATCACAAACATCGAGAGACACTATCTCATCATTTCAACCAATCAAAACGATAAATTACGCACGTGGTGTAGATCACTGATACAGATTTACGATAAAAAATCAACGCGCTCGTGGCGCCGGACTTTGTTGTGTTGTCGATCGGTTCGTGAACTGAGCTCCACGCTTGCGGACTTCTGCCTGAATTTTACAACGCCAGATCCACCGTAAGTCGTACTAGCGACGCTTTGTCGCCAATAAGCATTGGACAAGAAAGTGCCCTGACACCTTTCGGCCGTTCAAGGAACGATCTAGTTCTTCCAGGGACTTTTCGATCTTCGTACTCAAGCCGGCTGGTGACATTGCTGCCAATTGCTCTCGGAGTCCGAAGATGTCCGTGGTGAATCGCAAGTTCTCGTTCTCCTCAATGTGAAGCACATGGTCGCTTTGGTCGGACTGTGAGGGAGCTTTGTCGAATTGGAGCCCTGGCGGCATGATTTCGTCGTGCCAGTCTCCCGCAGTGTTGATGTGGATGCGAACGGCCCCTGGTTCGAACATGTGCTCGGGTAAAGGAATCCCGTCGAGGCCATTCACGAATCTGTCCAGCCACGAATGATCGCGGACTTTTCCTCCAATGGTGGGCTGCGTCACTGCCTCCAAATTGCTCCACCATATACGCTTCCAGATATTTTGCGCCGCTGCTTCTTCCAGTTTCGATGGACCGACAAGGATCACCGCGAACGTCCCTCCTGGCTTGAGTTGTCGATGTACGGCTTCAAGCATTTTGTCCGTCTCGGTGAAGTGAGTCATGTCGATGGCCACGACCATATCGATGCCTGCTCTGGGGAGTCGTGCAGCATTTTCGAATCTCGCCAGACGATACTCGGCATTCTTTAACCCTCTTAACCGTGTTGTAGCAATGTCCAGACTGCTCCTTTCCGTGTCCGAGACGATAACGTGTTGGAACCTCTCAGCTAAGCGTTCGGTATGCAGGCCGATGCCCGCGCCAGGCTCGTGTACGACCTCGAAGCTTCCACCGTTGCTAGTATGATATTCCCATATCCGTTGAAGAACGCTCTCCGATAGTCGTGGACGGCCCTGAGAGTACAGCCCCCAAAACGATCCACTCGCTCCTTTGTACGGGTTTGCCATCAAGGGCGTTTTCTGGTTGTGATGGAGCTGGAAAACGAACTCCGGGCATAACTGTCAAGAGCGATGCGAGAAGGGAAGGGAAAAGACACAATGGTCACACAATTTGCAGTGTCCCCACCAGCACATGGTTATCTGATGCTGCAGAATGATCAATGATTGCTCGAACGCTGCAGTTGGCCCACCTGACTGGCGTAAGCTCCACTATGCCATGCTCAAGACGGTCTACGGTCCTTGCGATCTTCCCAAGTGCCGGCTGAGGTCCGAATTTGGTTACAGACGGACTTGGGCAGTTGCATGTGAAAAGCATGCACGCTGGGCCGACTCCGAACGCGACTTCCCTTCCGTGCCATCGGCAGTCATCAAGGCATGTACATTGCCAGGCGAAGGAGCCAGGAGAGTGTCGCATCTCTGACAGTCCCTTACTGCACACTTCTCGTCGTACCCAACCTCGGGCCCTGAGAAACCACTTATCTCTTGAGAGAGAGACGTGCCTTTCGCATCTTTCTGTTGAGGATGCAGCTAACTTTTGTGCTAGAGAAGAGACGCCACACAGGCGACTCTGCTATCGCTCGTACCGCTGGTCCTCAGGTGCGAAGATTATCATTGCAGGTTTGGAGGCAGAGAAATGGCGAAAAAAGAGGAGACAAAGCCGTGAATAGGTCACACCGAGACAATCTTGAAGCTGCGTTCTGCTTCTGTATGTGCAGCTGTGCATGGACAAGTGGCCTACATAGTGCCATGCTGTCCTTGCTGTCTTCGGAGACGCACGGTCTTGTGACATGCTCTCCCTCTCATTCGGCTCAGATACACCAGCTATTACCAGGTTAGTGACGTGCACATATTTGCACGCTGTCTTCCTTCTGATGCACCGGAACTGTGAGGATTCGGTGCTGGTCGCTGTCTGGGAGCGACGAAAAAAGGCAATGCTTCGGAGCTATGGGTATCTTATGGACGACCGGTCCAGCGGCCGTCAGGCTCGTCAATCGTGGGGACTTCTCCCTCCTTCATCCCTTGCGGCGAGAGCAGACGGCCGCTACTACGGAGATGTCGTCCAGCTTCCCTCCCTCAATGGCCAATCCTTCTTCTACGGCCTTCTCCATGAACGGCGAAGCAGCAAACGGATCTTCGGCGATCCTACGTGCCGATAGCACAATCTCCTGCGCGACGTACTTCATTGCTTCTGCCAGACTTCCGTCGGTACTGTCGGCGAACTTCTCCTTCCACGTCTGGAGTGCCCCCACTGCATAGTCGGCAATCTCCTCCTCCCACAAATTGTCCGTAACGCCATCGCTCATTGCAAGTATGATGTCCTTCTCCATAATGTCGACCTTGTCTAGGACTGCGTTTCCTTCGGGTGTGTCTGGTGAGTTGGTGCCCAGCTGTCTCGGGCAATCAAAGTAGTGCCACTGCTCTTTCGTGGTGAAAACGATCTCTGGGTCTCCGTTCTGTGGCCGTACGACCATGATTCTGCAATCGCCCAGCTGTGTGACGTAGAGCACTGGGTGCTGCTTGCCCTCGCTTCCGGCGTAATGTAGCAGGGCCGCGCTTGCTGTCGTTGTTCCATGCCATTCGTTCGGCTCGGACAGAGCTTCCTTCGTCTTCTCGTACGCCTCTGTCAAGTATTTCACAGGATCGGGATCGCCTTCTCGTCCGTACATGTCCTGCTCAGCGGCTAGAGCCCAGAAATGTCCGACGAGCCGGCTCCATAACGGAGCATGTCCTCGCTCACGCTGTGCCCAAGCTCCAACTCCATCGTTTGCGACTATCAGCGACTCACTTGCGAGCATCGCATCGTCTCCATTTGTCACTCCGCGGATCATCTGCCCATCGACCTTCGGTCTCCGGTCCATCGAACGGTGGTGTGTGGACAGCGGATCGCTGAAACTGCCGCTGGGCGGGGAGAAGAAAGGCGGCGGAAATGGTCGAGAAGGTCGCTTGGCCCATCCTGCGTAGCCAGCCTCGAAGTAGTATGGGCTCTGGCTCTTCTTCTTAGTGGCCTCCTCGGGCGCTGGTGTAGTGAGGCCGGTCTGAGGGTCGCGGGATCGTGGTCGGTCGCGTCGCTCGCTGCGTGGTTGGATTTCCTGGGCAAAGAAGGACGTCGTCCAGAGGGTTCTCGTTGGTTTTCCGCCCTGTGCCACCACCACCCTCACCATCGCACGGGCTCCGGCGGTCAAGGCCATGGCGTATCGGCTGCTCGTTCAGCGTTGAGCTGAGCGAGCTCTGGACGAAGTCGTGGAAGCCGCATAACACGGCGCAGAGGCAAGAGACGTCACCTCTTCAGTCCGACGGGTCCTCAGCAAGTCCGCAGAGAAAAGGTCGACAATTCTTCACCGCGATCGTGTTGGGAGTACATCAGCAGTCCGCCGGTGTCACTTTCGGCTCGGATGACGCGTGAGGTTTATTCCCGGCATCTTGGCGCGTACCAGTGGCGTGTATCCTTGCCAAGTGAAGCAGTATAGTTCACGTCGTCCGTGGTCCGTCCGTGCCGCCCGCATCAACGACACTCTGTCCACCATGCCTGGCCAGGATGATGACCTCCTCGCCAGGCTGAATGCACTCAAGCCGTCGTCGGTGAAGCTGGATCCTGGTGATCCAATCATCGACATACAATCCAGCGCCCCTCAGTCTGTAGAGGACAAACTTGCAGAGAGACTAAAAACACTGCGAGCTGGAGGCAGTCTCACACCTACCGGGAATGTCAAGTCGACGAACAGACAAACCTCTGCAGTTGCTGAAACAACCGAGAGGAAGTTGCACGATGAACCAGACACCGAGAAGGATCCCATCCGGAATTGGCAGGACGACAGCCACGAGCAGAGTGTAGATGACCTCCTGGCTGAACTTGAAGCAGATGGACAGTGGAAACTTGATCCTGAAGAGCCCAAGAATGTGCAGTCTCTGCTCAAGGAAGCACAGGAGTCGCTCTCCATGACTGCTGAGCCACTTTCCGGTCCTCAAGATGAGCACCAGATCGATGACAAGGTCACCTCGCCTGCAGAGGATGACGATAATGCCGCTCCGCGAAAGAACGAGGATGAGCAAGATGAAGAGGATGCCGACGAATATATCGCGCGAGTATTGGCTGAGCTCGACATCGAGAAGAAATACGGCGAGGCTGTGAACGATACGGAGCCCAGCGACCACAATACTTCCGGCGAAGGTGGCAATACGCTCGACTTACCGTCTACGCCATCCCAGCTCAAGGATGTGCCTGTCTCTTCTGAGCATGAACCACCCTCATACGAGGACAGCGAGCTGGAAGCACGATTCTCCAAGCTCGGCTTCGATAGCCTTGGTCTGCCTTCTACGCCGACCTCTAAGCCATCATCAAAGCCGAAAGTCGTCGCCTCAGTCAAGCCCCAGACCAAGTCGAGTCTTCCAACGTATACAGATGAGGATATCGACTCCTGGTGTTGCATTTGCAACGAAGATGGTGAAGTTCGGTGTCTCGGCTGCGATGGCGACTTGTACTGTCATGCTTGCTGGTCAGACGGCCACGGAACAGGACCTGGCCAAGAAAGAGGTCATAAGGCTGTACAATATAGCCGCAAGCCTCCGAAAGCTGCTGCCGCATGAGACTGTTTGTGTGTTGGGTCACGCCGGTTGGTGATCATCTTGCTCGTGTGTTTGCATCCTCGCGTGGTTTGGTCATGGAGCGGCGTGGCCAGGAGCATATATCGCCCGCGAATCTGCACCGGAGCCTTTCTTGCCAGCATCCAATCAACCACATACTTATTGGCTGCAGCGCGAAGTCCATCGGTAAGACTTGATAAGCCTGCGTCCCGAGGTCCTCTGCTCACATACCAGACATGCGTATCCTCCACCCTTTCTGGCTTTCGACCAATGCTTTGCTACTGCGCCTGGTCACAGCATCGCCTCTCCCAGATATATCAGAGGATGCCGGACAGGCTGCCGGGAAAGTTGAAGATGCCTACCACGAAGCATCCGACGGCACAAAGAATGCTTTCGACTCAACCAAGCACTTCTTCACTGGAGATCCTCAGCCGGCCCCATTGCATCTTGCATCTGGACACCAGTCTTGTACTGCCACCGACAATGTGTTCTTCATCTCGTACTCCATCAACATTGGCTCCAACTACGACGCTGCGCGATGCGAAGTTCTCAAGCACAAGCTCAAGCAAGCAGAAGATGTCAGCCATTGGCAGTGCGTCGATGATAACAGCGATGGCGCTGCAAAGAATGGCAGGGGCATGTACAGGCTGTGGTTCAATGCCGGAAGGAATCGAGGCCACGGACTGAGCAGGGCTCTGCAAGAAGAGTTCAAGGAGATCAATGCCTTCAATTGTCCAGGCTGGTAGTTGCTGGGCGTGGTCTCCTCTTCTCAAGACTTCTCCCCAAAAGGAGAGTCCCTCGCCCTCGTGGCTGATGCGGTCTGTCCCAACACTGTAGAGCATGATGTCGAGCCTGCTCGTTGGGTGTGCCTGATCACTCTTGCTCGTGCCCGGCGAGTTTCCCACAAGTCATGCTCTTTCCCTTGCGATGGCGAGTCCTTTGCTTCTTTGGCGCTCAAGGTCTACTCGGTGCGCGAGCGTGGCTTCTGCTATGCCCGGCAGTGCTAAAGGAACGCTGTCGAGCTCTGGTTGTGGTATCCTCGAGATACCTTGCGCCGTTCGAAGCCGTTTTTATGAGCTCAAGACCGAGCTTGGAAGACCAGACGAACGCTTGGTCCTGAGAGCAACGCGAAGTACCATCAGGGTGTTGTTGACCGACAGACAGCGAGCCAATACAAGCTGCGTTGTCAAATGTTCCTGCTCCTCTCCAAGTTTCCAAGCTCTTTCCAATCGGTTGTCCAAAGCTTTTGGTGGTTTCGGAAGCGCTCTGTTCATGTCGTCGGTACAGTTCGAGTGGTGCATCGCCATCTTCAGAGCCCTGCGCTGCGGTTATCCCACGTGCTGATGCTTCTGTGCTGGTGGCTGTTTCGCTCGGTGGGTGGATGATCGTTGCTGGAGGCGTTGATGCTCTGGGGCAGTTCAAGACGAGACCGGAGGCTGAACGCTCGTGACTCCGCCGAGGCGATTGCCTCTTCTCATGGTAGCTGTAGATGGTCCGCCGTAGGGGCGTCGTCGGTGCTCGTGACCACATTACCTCGTTCACTCGGGGCTGGGGGCTGTCCGCGGTCAGCTTTCCGGATGCCCACTGTTGCGGACGGTCAACAACGTCGAATGAGAACACGATCGGATGACGAAGTGCTTCATTGCGGCTTCGCGCTCTCATCGATGAACCAGCGCTGGTGTCTTTCAGCTGTTTCTGCGCATCTTCGCTGTGGAGCTGTGGCTATCGATGTGATCCTCTAGAGCTGTGCCTGCGGAGCTGGACGCGGCCTTGAAGGTGATCCTACCGTAGGACAACACACTTCCTCTGGCTGATGTTCATGATGCATCGGACACAGACAACGTCGTATTGTGTAGCAGAGGAGGATCATGTCATCGCGGCCGGTGGACAGGCCGGCCTCGTGTCTGCTTCACTTACGGAATGTCGAGTCTCGAGGACCATTGGACCGGCACACTGCTGCTACAGATGCGTCCTACTTTACGTTCATGTCGATTTGAGCAGGCTAAGAACAAGCTGCCGCTCCGACTAGGACTATTGCTTGTACAGCCCATCAGCGAGAGGAACGCGTACTGTGAGGGCACGCTAGCGCCTTTAGCCCCTGTCAAGCTTGTCAAGCCGTGTTGTTTGGCCGCCTTTTCAGCTTTCTTGACTTCCACCACTACAACAATATTCTGCGCCTTCTCAACTACACACACGGCGCCACAGCACAGTTATCACACATTCGCCTCTGCGCCACCACCGCACACACATTCACTCCCGCGCTACAAAAGCAACCACAACATGTCTGAAGTCGACGCCGCCGCTACTGAGGCCGACTGCCATGGCCCGCTCTGGTTCCTGTTCGTCCTCTGCCTGACTTCCTTCTGCGCCAAGCCACTCGAATGGCTCCACAACTTCAAGCAGCGGCGCGAGGAGAAGAAGTACGCCGGAATGGCTACTTCCAGCCCATTTTCCGTCTGATCCGTAAGTCTCCTGCCTCCATATTCCGGCCTGGGCTCCATACTGACGCGCAAATGAGCAGATACACACAACACTGAGGCATCGCAGTGAGGAGGCTTGGCGCAATTGGGCGAACCAAAACGCTGGAAAGTGAGGGAGGGAGACAGGCAAAAATAGCAAGTGAATGAAAAATTGCTACAAAAACACGTGACCGTCTCGAATTTCTCCACTCTCTCTGGCTTTCCAGACTGTTGCAAGCCATTGAGGGTGCAAATGGTGCTGACCAGTCGCAGTCCTTCGGGCAGGGATGAGTACACAGGACACGCTTGCTTCTGAATTACGGAACGACTGGAAGCCAACAGGGTCGGCAAAGCTCGAGAAATCGATCTCTCGCTCGAACAGAAACGTAGATTGAATATCTGATGTCTCCAGTCATCCGAGATCCTCTGAGACAATAGGAGTAAACATGGCCAGGATGGCTGGAGATCTGCGTGGCGGAGAGACTAGATTATGGTACGTCTGCTTCCGAATTTCAACAGGATCGAACGGCATTGGAGCTCACGAAGCTGAGAACCTAAACCGCTCGCTCATAACAGAGGAACACTTCCGCAATTCTCTTGTCTCTACTACCAGAAGACGCTCAAAGGCAATAGGAGGGAAGACAACGCGGAACGGGTAAATATGTTCGTGGTGGAGGCGGCGGGATCATGATTTTGTCTGCTTCTGAATTACAGCGCAACTGAGTGCTAACAGGACTGGCCACGCTCGAAAACCCGATTTGAGATTGGAATCGAGCTGCGGAATAGATAATCCTCTCTCTCCAACTGGTGACGCCACTTCGAGCCAGCGGGACTACAGATGGATCGGGACGCCTATACAATATTCTGGCGGAGATGAGTAGAGCCTGAGTTGACTGCTTCTGAACCCAAACAGCGCAGGATGCTGCTCAGACGAAGCACGCTGAAAATGGCGACGTCTCGCTCGTCTGGAGATATCACGAGATCAGTGAAGGTGTACTTCACTGACCAAACTTGACACAGCTGGAAAACTTCCACTTTTTTCGAGAATGTGAGTATGCTTTGCTCGCCCACGGACAGATTCATGCAGGCATGAGGTGGACCAATCTCACTTTGCTGGAGCCTGGAAAGGGTTGTTCGATACCGAAACATCACGAGCTCAATTGCGACAGATCTCACCCAATTCTGGACAGTCGTGCAGCATTTTGGAGCCGTTGGAGACAAGGAAGAGGTTGTGTGGTGGTGGTGGTGGTGGGCAACGTCTAGAAAGCTTGGAGAAAAGTGGTGGAAGTTGCGAAGACGCGAAATACATGCACGAGACGTACTCGACACTCAGCTGGTGCAGCTTCCTTATACAAAGATGAGATCAATCGTGACGACACCGGATCCACGCAGAGATCTCAAGAGAATCCTACTGAGTTTTATGGGCGGGAAACTACTCCACAGATCTTATTTCTCCAAAATATCCTCTGCCTCGAAGCGAGCGTGGTGTGGGACATATCAAAACAGCTGCAGCCTGGCAGACGGAGAATGAGAACCAGATCCAGGATGGTCGATTGGCCTGGCTCTCATGATGGCAGACTCCAGCGACTCTGATCAAAGTGCTACAGACGACGGTCGGCTGAGCACAGATGGAGCGAGGGATCAATCGACCGTTGAACAGAATTGCCGAGCTTGTAAAAAAACATCGCCGCCACCACCACAATGCTGATTTTGATTGCTCAAGATGAGTAAAGCTCTATCAGGCATGATTCTCGGCAAAGCTGGATTGCGACCATCACTTGCTCTTCCTCCATGCCACTGGTGTAACTGCATCAAGGAATGAGTTTGCGCATAGCACGGCCCGGCATGCATGTATTATTTCGCCGGTGCATTGTTGCATGCGAAGGACCAGCAGCGTGGCCACCGTCGACCTTGGGTAATCTGCATCAACGTCAATGTTTCCCAGTACTATTCATCGTCGGAGCCGCTCTGTGTGACAATGGTACGGCGGGTAGATTGTGTTGCATAGAAGAGTAACATCGTCGATCTTTCGTTGTCTCCAGGAACTGAGTGTGGTATAAGGCATCAGATGTAACCACGAGCGTTATAGGCCATGCCCCGCTGTGCCAAAAGGCCCATAAGAGTGCCCCGTCCACTACCAAATATCTCCTCACCAGACGGCGGGAGCGTGATTAACAATGAGAGTGAGTCTGAAGCACAGGACGCGAGCCAGAGAAATTACACCAGCTCCAAGGCATTGCAGAAGAGCCGAGGCGGCAAAGCTGGCCCTTTGGAAAGGGGAAAGCATATTTCCTATACAGAGACCAGAAGGTGACGACTCATGACCTGACGACAATGGGCGGGTGTGCCATGGCTTCTCATCCGCATCAGCAAGATGGCCGGCAAACGCAAGTCCTCTACAGGCTGCGTTCTCCAAGCGTCAGCGTGTGTCGATCGAAGCACTGCCACCTGCTCAACCAGCAGCTTGCTTTTGTGGACAGCCAGACGATCGAGGATCAATGATCGGCTGTGAAGCACGCGAAAAAGGCATTCACTTCTCATGTGTTTTCTCGACTTCCAGTGCATCCGTCGTGGTACCCTGACAGAACATCAGGATGATCCAGGTTGATAACAAGCGCTTGAAGGCATTGATGAGCATGTGGAATTTGCAATCAGCAACATGGTAAACATAGTCAATTGTGCCACTGTGCCTGATAACGCCATACTAAAGTCTCAATCAGCCCTCGGGAAGCACTTAATCGTCTTCATCAGATTCATATTCCTCCACATCCAAACCTCCATAATACCCGCCATGCGCTTCGCTCATGTGACTGTAAATGCCATCCAAATCCTGCTCCTTGCCGCAGAAGAAACACCAATGTGCCCCGCAAACACATTCGATGTGATCGCAGCCGCCGGCCTTTTCTGTCATAACGCCACAGGCAGGGCACTCCTTTCTGATATGCTTCGGCTGAGACCCAGAAGTGGCTTTGGCTTCCTCACATTCCTCGCAAGACCAGTTCTCAATAGCATCTGGACTTCCTTGCGCACAAACTCGTTCCATGTATTCTTTGGAGGTCCCGCAGGTGATGCACCAACCGTAAATCCATGTCCCACTATTCTCCACTGCGGATTTGAGTTGACTGACTGCGTGGACACCGCTGCGGTTGCGAGCGAGAGTCTTAGTCGTTGGCATTCGCCTGCAGAAGGGGCAATGTAGCGCGGCTGTATTGAGAATCTGGCCTGGTGCATTGAGCCCGTACCAACCGTTGAGGCATTCGCCACAGACTCGTTGCTGGCAGCCAGAGCGGCCGCATGCTGGCAGAAGGTCGTTCTTGCGCTTATCACTGAAGCAGAGTGAGCAGGTTCCCGCTTCGGTGCGTCGCCTGTTGACCCAAGAACGTAGCTGTTCGACCAAGGCCGGAGTGTTCTGTACGAGCCTACCGTCGAGATAGAGCTTGAGATCCGGTATATCTGGCAGTATTTCGACGTTAGAGCAGAGATTGTCCAGAGGTGCTGCAGCCGATGCGACTTTGTACAGACTCTGCCCTGAGAAGATTTCATCAATGAACATATGCTGTTTAGCTTCAATCAGCCAGGCGTTGCCATTCTCCGCTCGCAGGGCTTTAGCAGTAGTCTCGACATCCACAATAGTCTCTCGTCCAGCTTTGCAACCCACGCAGAGAAATTCCTGCAGGCTTCCAGAACGATACTCTTCGGGCCAGATCATGCTGCTGAGGCATTTCGTGCACTCAACTACAGGCGCATTCCCGCCCAGGAAACGGCAGTAATGACATTTGGGCTTGACGTTGAGGTCTGACACAGCATAGACAACATACTGTGCCCGACAGTGATTGAGGTTGCACTGAAACCATGCCGCGTCGGCTTTGTCACTATCTCGTTGCGTGATCGCTCTGGCGGCCGCTGCCTCTTCTGTCTCCGGGTGGTCTCTGAGGTAGTAGCATATGCCACATAGGCTATCGGCAGCCATGATCGTGACTGAGCAATGGCAGTGACATGATTTGCACATGACTGTTTGGCCTATTGGCATCATGGTGTGTTCCGCAGTCCAGGTAACCTTGGCAGTCGACGTGGTTTCAAGATTCAACTCCAGCATTTTGTAGTCGATCAGTCGCTCGAAGAGTTGTCGGTCGCAGCTCTGAAGCAGACCATCGCAACTTTTGTCACCATTTCGATAGGCATCGTCTGCATCGATAAGCAAAGACAAGCAGTTGATATTCCAGGTCTCAGGAACCTCGAGATTATTCCACCTATCGCGCCAAAGCAGCATCTGCTCAACAGCAGGCTGCATCAATGGCTGCACGCCCAATCGAATTGTCAATGCTGCAAGTAGGGCGGCACTTCGGGCTCCCAACTTCGTTCCAGGAACAACGATATGAAGCAAGATGCTCCAGAATGTTCGGCCATGCTCTTTGCGAGCGAGAGAAAGTGGTATCTTCGGCAGCTGAGCAGCATCCGCATGCGCAATGTGGACAGGCACATCATCGGCATGTTGGATGAATGTGAGTCGTGTCAGTACCTTGCCCAGCCGCTTGAGCACTCTCCAATCGCACGCTCGACCAATGTCCAGAAGTTCGTCCCTCGTGAACTCCGTGATTGGGCGCTTGTCATCGTCATGGCCATTAGAAATTTCGAATGCTAGTGTGGGATCAAGACAGACGCATGGATATCTTCGGTCCTCAGGAACGTCTTCAATCATCCCCAGCACTTCGGCAGAGTATTCGTACGACTGCTCAAGCCAGACTTTCATCATTTCACGGCCCTCAACGTTCCTGATAGCTTGAATTTTATTACCGAATGCGTCAAGGAGAGGCTGTCGATTTTCGTTTTGTCGGTCGTTACAAAAGGTTCGCCAGAGGCTGCCGAAGACTGGGTTCAGACTCATTGTTGTGACGTCGGTCTCGATGATCTCACGCAGCTCTTGTACAACGAGCATACGATAGTGCTCGTTAGAGAGGTACGTACTCGAAAGATCTTGCAGTGATGTCGCTCGCTTGTTTAAGCGCCTTTCCAGTAACTCAGTGGTCAACTGAGCGTATTCAACAGTGTTCGATCGCCCGAAGCACACATCTTCCAGGTTGATGAACCGTCCCAGTGCAGGGTCCTGCTCGCTTTGGATGTCCATAATTCCGGCTGCATCGCGATAACATGAGAGTTGTGCTCCGAGAGGAGATGCCACAGAGCCTTCTTTCTTTACACCCATCCATGCAAGCAGTAAGTCGATCGTGATTTGCGAAATGTTTCGCGCGCTTCCATCGGTGAGGTGGATGCAAGCGCCTCCTGTGACAGTACTCAAATACTCAAAACAGCCACTCTTTGAGCTGCGTCCACTGATGACACTGATGACCTGAGCTGACTTGCTACCTTCACGTAGCAAACGGGCACCTTGGGTCCAGTCCGTGAAGATGTGGCCATTGCCCCCGTAACTGCCAGGTTTGAGCAGGGCGTCTCTCTCACGGGCATTAGCCTCGAATCTTTTGAAGTCCCGGAAATGAGGCGGAGCATCTGCATAGAGAATAACGAGTGTGTTCGCTTTGGACCGCATGACCTCGTGCGCTTTGGCGAGACCAGTCTTGACTGCTTCTGGCCAGCTGCGACCTCCCACCATTCGTAAATTGCGCGCCATTGCGATAACATCCGGCTGGTGTTTCATGGAGCCGACTGTGAGCCATTGACTCCATTCAAGTAGCTGTCCACCAGTACAGTCGTAGTCCCGGTATGCCAGTATTCCAATGCGTGCGAAGCAGTTTGTGAGCTTCGAGAGGGCAATAATTTGTGGTAGCGCTTGGTTCAAAGCGTACAGATAGGAGCCCATAGAGGCCGTAGCATCGACCAGAAAGAGTAGATCATATCGCTTTGCGACCACGTCGGTCGCGGTCCCTAGTGATTCATCGTTGGCCACCTCTCGCGTCGGCAGCATTTGCTGTGCCATGTTGAGTAGCTTGGACATCTCTGCCCTGCATCGCTCGAGGTAGAACGTTCTATGCGTAGATATACTGGAGGTTTCGAGTCATGTTGTGTTATGAGTCGATGTTCTCTTTTGAGATACCGCCAGGCTGCAGCAGCTCGCCAAGCGAAATCCTGTGAATCCTGCTCAATGCTGCTTCCCTCGACTCATCTCATCGAACACATGGATGCATGAATGTGCTTCTGTCATGCCAGGGCAACACTCAACGTCATTGCATACCTTTCGCTGGAAGGAGAGTGCGAGAGAAGTGGACTCTACCATTACAATCAAACGCTCTATTGCGCCGTCCATCAGCAGCATCGTTCGGGTATCATCTCTAACTCACATTGACTCACTTCCGCACGCTACACCCATTTCAGCCCGAGCTTGTGCATTTCCACAGCGAGCTGGAATAGGTAATCCAAGCTCTCGCATTGTGTCTTCGCCTGCGCGACATCCTTGCCCCAGACATATACACCATGTCTCTTCACCAGGATAGCGCACGTCTCGGGCCATTGCTTCATCGCTTGAGACATGCTCTCTTCCAAGTCTTCTTCATGCGCTGTGTTCTCAATGATCGGAATCTTCATTGTGTCAAAGTAGCCGAGATTGCCCAGCTTCCTGCCACCTTCTGCGATCTCCTGCGATCCAGTGCCTCCCCGAGAGATGCCTTTGATCTGTTCAATCTCTTTCATCGCAAAAACATTTCTGTTGTCAGGGTCTTGTAGTCCAGCCTCGCAAATTAGTGTTACCAGCACAGCCCATTGAGAGTGGGTGTGTATACAGGCGCCAGCGCCACGATTGGTGTAGGCGGACATGAAGAGGGGAGTGCATGCTGAAGGCTTGAGAACCTACCTTGCCGTCAGCGACGGAGCACTTATCCATGGACAGACAGCACCTACCTGTGGCCGACGAAGGTATTGCTTCGTTGCCCAATCCATGACGAAGATGTCCTGAGGCTTCATGAGCTCTTTCTGCACGCCGGACGGCGCAAGGTATACGCGATCGCCATGCTTGATGGATATGCCGCCTCCCGTGCCCGTCACCCAGCCGTGGCCATAGAATTGAACGCAAAGAGAGCAGATGTGATTCGCGGGGTGGTGGGGATCGGTGGAGGTGATCAGGGCGTCATTTTCGTTGGCCAGGGCATGTTCATCGCGGCCTCCGTTCGAGATCGTGTTCCGCTCTGCTTCGGATGCCATGTTTTGCGGGAGAATCTTCTTCGGCTGGACATGAATTGGTCACCAATGGGTCATCTCGTTGGAGAGACGGGAGTCCATTTTCCGGCGAAAGGTTGTTCCGGACCCGGTCCAGTTCTCACCTCGCGTGGTCGCCATCTTAGAATGTAATGATCATAACCAGATGCTCCGACGATATACTATGCTGCAGGCACAAGTGTTGCAGTGAGTCAGTTCGCTTGGGAACCGAGTGACAGCGGCATGCATGATTGTGGCACAGCAACACAAGCGGATCTCTCACAATTGCATGGACTTGTAATGCCAGTCATTGGCAACATCAGCCGGCGCATACATGATGTCGTCCTGAGCATGTGCCTCGCTGCTCACTCCACAAGCCAGCGGAGCCGGGCTCACGGCTTCTTCACTTCGACAGATAACGCCAAGGGAAGGCAGTTGGGGTGGGACCGGAGGCCAGGCCGGCTCGAGCTGTTCGATCTTCTCCCAAGACAGGCCATGCACATCATGACAGTGGAGCAGCCGGCTGCACGTCTTACGATCACAGGTCGTAGAGCCGGCATTTGCCAGCCTCAGAGCGAATTACATGGCAACGATTCTATGGGACTTGTGCCACTTCCGTCGTGACGATCGTATGGCTCAGCTTCCGGGCCTTGCTCCGTGTCCGGTCTAACGCGGTGCACTTCGCCGCGCAGGTATTCAGCGAAATTTGCGATTTGCTACCGCTACTCTTCTGCCATACTCTTGCTTCAGGGAGTCCTTCTCGGCCACGCTTTTCCGGATCTCTCGCCACGATGCAGAACAGCTAGTATACCATTCTCACTCCGAGAACAACAGGTCGACATCACATATACGTCACGCCGGGATCGAAACATAGCTCACTGCGAATACCTCACGCCTCTCACGTCTACACGGCAATCGAGATGTGTTGTACTGATCGCCCCGCCTCCATGGATGTCACCTCATCAGGTGCGAGGGCACCAGAGCCAGACCGCCTCCTGCAGAGCATAAAGCGGCAGACGGTCCCTACAGCGTGCCACAATTGCAGAACCAAGAAGGTCAAAGTACGACAACTGTTCCTCCTTGCAGCTTCACATGTTGACCATGACAGTGCGATGGACGCCTACCGTGCGCTTACTGTGCACGCCGATCACTCGAATGCTCATACGAGAGCACCCTGCCCAGCGAGACACCACAACAAGCACGCAAGCGAAGGCATCAGGAGCTAGCGCAGACAAATGAAGACTTAAAGCAGCTCTACGATGTTCTTGCTGGAGAAGATGAAGCCAAAGCTATAGAGATCTTCCAGCGCATACGCCGAGGGGACGATGTCGACTCGCTCCTAGCCTTCATCCAGCATGGCTCCATCAATCAAGCCACTTCGACAGCACTTGACGAAGTACCACGCCGACTCTTTCTGTTCAACCTGGTCGAATCGACAGCCTCGCTGGAGGAAGTGGCAAGCACTTCCCGTTCGGTAATCACAAATAAACGCATCGCATTACCCTCTCTAGAATCATATGAGCACCTGCAAGACAAGATCGTCACTCTTGACCACATGAGCGGCATATTGACTGAAGCGAATCCAGGGGCTGCTATTGAAGATGGGGCGCCAGTCTTTGAAGAAGAGGAGAATGTCGGTCCGCCATATTGGGTGCCGGCGCAACCATGGCTTGACGACACGAGTGATCAAGATGCGTCCCACTTGATATCTGTTTTCTTCTCCTACCCAAATATCTGCTGGCGTTTTGTGGAAGTGAAGCCATTCTTGAAGGCTATGCGCAGTAAAGACACCAAATCACGATACTGTTCGCCATTATTGGTTAACGCGATGATGTCACTGGCAACTTTGAATGCAAATATCGACCAGGAACCGACCGGCGCTGTGGAGAAGCAGAAGTCAGAAGTTGGTGCAATGTATCACAAAAAAGCTCTGCAGTTGTGGGCGAGAGCGGCGTCCGAACCAAGTGCAACAAACATTCAAGGGCTTTCAATACTGGCCGTGGACAGTATCATTCGTGGCCAAGACCGGCAAGGACTTGACCTGCTGAATGCAGCCTGCGCATTGAACGGCAGACTGCATGTACCAGCGCGAGATGGTACACTGGGCAAAGACGATCAGGAATATTACCGAATTCGAGGCTGCATCTGGTGGATGACTGTGCATTTGGAATTGACATGCAAAATGGGCCTTATGCTTGGTGGTAATGGTACGGATTGGAGCCGTGCGCCTGAAGTGCACGAAGTGCTACCAGACGCCGTGTACTACTGGGTAAGCGCAGAACAAGTCAATAATTATGAAGTATCTAACATTGCTACAGACAGGCTACCCCTTCCGTACCGAACCGATACCGTTTCGTGCCAATTCGCTATTCGCACAGCAATGCCGATTGACACGATACTTATGGGAGGCTACAAATATTTTGATCTGGCAAGCCAACGAACTCGACGCACATCGTGAGCATGCGACAGTGGTCCGCAAACTGTCAGCGCAGTTGAAACAGTGGCATGAGAGTCTGCCCCAGGAGCTGGACTTCGGCGCAAAGACTCCACCAAGCATCTACGATCTACACGTTCAATATCACTGCGTTCAGATGGCGATTCATGAACGCACTTTCATGCAAATGTTCGGTCCGATGCGCGACAGAGTACGAGACGCTGAAGATTTGACGGGCCCAGAGAATGAACAAACGAAGGCTTTCCTGCGAGCACAGGTTCTGCAGCATTGCTATCACGGCGCGTCGCTCATTCGGACTTTCCGTGAGGAATACGGGCTAAAGTGTGTCTCGTTTGTGCTTCTGAATCATTCTATGATGGGTGTCTTCATATGCCTCAACGACATGCACGCGAATCCCCAAAGAATGGACAGCCGCGCAGGAAGCCAACACGGGCCGGTACAAGACACCATTTCCGCACTGGAGGAGTTCTTCCGAATACTGCTGGCAACAAGTCGGAAATGGAAGCTATCTCGCGGACTGGCCCGGAGTTTCTATCACACTGCTGTGGAGGAGTTACACGTCAGCTTACCAGATTCGATTTCTGAGATGATACGGATGATGGCTGGTAGCTCCTGGCAAGGCTCAGATCTGCAGCAATTGAGCGCTGCAATCTACCCAAATTGGAGTATGCCCTACGTGCGCAACACGAATCACGTCGAGGACTACAGGATGGGAGATATGTTGAAGAAGTGGGAACAATGTAGTGCGCCACAGTTTGGTGTTGACTCGTCTCAGCATAGCTCGATGCATTCGCGAAAGAGCTCATCGAGCGGTACGACTAGTTATGATCCTGTGCGCGATCGATGAGTTGGGATGTGGGCGCTGAAAGATAGTTGTGGAGCTTCGAGGGTTAGACTCGTTGTCATTTCGCTATCTAACACTAATAGTAGTAGAGAAAGCATCAACTCATAGAAATTATCAGCGTCTCCGGTTTTCCTGCTGCTGGTTTCCTTTGAGCTATTGCTCTGCAGCCAATTGTTTCTCCATCCTATTCGCATTGTACTCATTTGACTGGCTTTTCATGTGCCAGCGGTGAATGCATTTGCTCTCACATCAACACAAAGCCATTGTTCCCGCATGACCATTCTTTCACCATTCACTCGGGTTTTCAGCACTCCATATCTTCCTATCCTCACAGACGGCTCTAACAACCCAAACACTCTGCATCCACTCCGACGCAGATCCTACAGAACAAACACAAACCAATATCGCCTAGCCCAAAATCAATCACAATGCAACCTACTACTCAATTCAAGACCGACGACCTCATCCACCCTCTCCTCGGCGCCTGGGCTTCTCTCCTGGACCTCGGCCGCAAAGGCGACGCCCACATAGTCGAGTCCCTAGCAAACGACATTCTCAGACTAGGCCAGTTCTCCTCAGCTGTAGACAACATGCTCGAAGCCGTCGGCATCGAAGATGAGCATCGTAAGCAACTCGCAAAGGACGGATTCTGGCGTATTGCTTTTGGCGAGCGTGTCGCTGTTGCTACGAAGGAGGAGAAGCGTGAGATGGCTGTTGAATACCTTGTCAATCTGTCGGCGATGCTGCTGGAGAAGAGACGTGCTGGGCTTGAGAAGAGGGTTGGAGAGGTTGGTGAGCGGCTGATTGGGCAGGAGGCTTTCGAGGCGAAGGTTGTGAATAAAGTTGATGAGCAGTAGTGTGGTGAAGGGAAGCACGGCCGATGCTGGGTGACTCTGGTCGCCGTGAAACCACGGCCTTATTTCTTTACAGGAGCGAGCGAGTTTGGATCTGCGACCATCAGCTCGAGCATCATGAAGGGCAACAAGCAAATACTAGTGGAGCGAGGAACTTGCTTCTTCTTGCCAACAAAACGCATTAGTGTCGTGGATGACACGCATGAAAGTAACGCACAAAATGCAATTATCACGTAAAGTGGCATATATAAATTCAAGTCCGGGAACATCAGCCGTCTACAATTTGCTAGTGTCAATTTCCAGTAGTTTTCGTCTGACCACTTTCTTCAACGCATTCCTTGGGATCTCGTCGCAGAACACCACACCTCCCGTGGGAACCTTTTGACTCGAAAGCTTCGTAGCAACGAATTGGACAATGTCTTCTGCACTAACTTGTTGTGTGCGATTTCTCTTCACCACATAGGCTCTCACTTCCAACTCATTCTGATCATGCTTCGATGGCACCGGGCAGACTGCCGCATCTTCAATCGCTTCATGTTGCATTAGCACATTTTCGATCTCCTCTGGCGATACTTCTTTCGATGCGACTTTGAAGATCTCTTTGTAGCGGCCCGTGAGAAACAGTTGGTGCGTTTCGGAGTCCCAACGTCCTTTGTCTCCTGTGCGGAACCAGTCTCCTGACGGATCCTTGAGAAAGGATGATGCGCTGGCTTCGGCGTTGTTGTGATATCTGCTGAGAACCTGTACGGAGCGAACACAGACTTCGCCATCTTCGCCAGGCTGTACATCAATCAGTGTTTCCGGATCGATGAACCTCAGTTCAACACCCGGCTGAAGACCACCGATGAGACCCGCTTTAGATAGATCAGGTCCAGGCCCGACAGCAATACCTCCTGCTTCCGTTGTGCCGTAGACACCTAGGAATTTGATCTCAGGGAAAGTCGCCCGGAACTGGTGAGCAGCAAGAGGGTCAATAGCCGAGCCTCCCACGCTGACCTTTTCAATCGTCTTCAGATCATTCATGCTCCGTGTGCCACTTTCTATGCATGCAATGAATGGCCGAAGAAAGCGCGGAGGGAGGATAAGAGACGAGATCCTGGCTTCGCGAACTATATCAATGAGTGCAGGCATGTCTCTCATCTCCTTATCAAGGGTGACATGAATGGTCTGCAGTCCCAAAGCTGCTTGGTGATAATTCCAGTGACTGGAGGAATGGTAGATTGGAATCCAGATCACCGCTTGTGTTTCGGGCCCGGAAAAGGGTCCCTTGCTCCTTTGATCGACTCTGAGGACATGTGTGTGGTGTGAGATCTCACCGGCTTTGGGTGATCCAGTCGTGCCACTACTGAACATTCGATATGCCATGATCTCGCGAGGGTCTTTGTCGACATTCGGATTCTGCCATCGATTGACATCTGTAGACATCAACCCACTCATACCTGTGCATTGCATGAAGTGTTAGCACTGCTGTCCCATATCTATGGTGCACTGCTTCTTTCCTGAATTTGCGATGGCGAAGAATTGTGGAGCCGACTGTGCCTTCGGAGAATGGTCGTACTTACTTGTACGCGAGCCGCTGTAGACCTCTCTGCCAGGAGGGTCGTATACGAAGACTGCCTCATCTGGAATGCCCACAGACAACGCAGCTTCGAGTGCGAGGTCCAGTAGCTTTCGGCTGGTGAAAAGGTATTTGACAGAAGCGGTTTTGAGCTGATGTGCGAGCTCGGCCACTTTGTGGGTGGTTTGAATCGGACAGAATATGCAACCCGCAGCGACGACTGCGTCTCCCAGGGCATAATAGTAAATGTCATTGTCCGAAAGAAGCCCCACGCAGTCTTGATATTTCACGTGTGTGGCTTGCAGTCCAGCAGCTACGCTCTTCACGACTTGTACGTATTGGTTCCAAGACATAGTCCGCCCAGGCATATCGGCATCGAACGCGAGCTATGGAAGTCAACTTCACGGCCTCTTTCGTAGAACAAGCCATACTGACCGGGAGATCTGGATCATTGTGAGAGGCCGTCGAAAGAAGGTAGGTAGGCCAATCCATCTTGGCTCGTGTACCTTACTGGTATAGAGAAGTCTCAGTAGAGGGACGCAATGTCTTGACAAGATATATATGCCTGGCAGCCATGACGGGCGATCAACAACGTGACGTGTAGTTCATGGGTTAGAATGAACTTTCTTCGAAGCCGGTTTAGACGTTGATAAAAATGAGCCTCGAAGAGTCTGTGCAAAGGACTTGGACACGATATCGGCACTTTGCAGCCAGGCGGTACCAGACCACGTTGTCAGATGCTTGATTCGGTGTTTCTTGTTAGATCAGCCAACGTGTAGACGACACTGCCGAAAGTGTCTCAGTAGATGTTGGAAAGCCGTTTTGTCCGTAGATCGAAAACAACGTTTGTCCGTTTCAAACGTTGCGGCTAGACGGCTCGTAAGTTCATGAGCCTACGACAAATCATCAATCGGGCTTTCAATCTCACCGCAAGTACTCCCTATTCCGCCGCGCTTTTCTTGCGATGCAGGATATGCATGCCTGCGGGCGTGCCGATCTGCTCATGATGCTGTTGGCTTGCATGCAGCAAGCTTTGATGGCCATCGCCGTAACTCGTATGTTGATTGTTCAGCACAAAGCCAATCTTTGCGTATGCTTCATATCCTAGCAAGCAACATGCGAGGAATGCCGGGCAGGCTCCCCGTGGACGGGAAGTGGACGGAAAGGAAAGGGCTAACGCCAAGCCGGGTTATATCTACCGACTTCACCTGCCACTCAGGACCATTACTCCAAAACCTTACTGCTATCAATGCTATGTTTCAGCCCCGCTTTGCGGTGAGGGCCTCCTTCATCGAATGCTGTGTCCCGATTTGTTTCTACGTGGACCACGCCGTAACGCCTAGAACACGAGCTACAGAAAATATCCTCGGAGCGATACTGCCAGCCTGCCCAACTTTACAAACCTGAGTTCACTGCCTGTCTTTCTCAGACCGGCAGTGAACGTTATGTAGGATGCTCTAGGGGTATCTGGAACTAAGTGAAAGTTAGGTGAGCTGGAAGTCCCGGTAGTGTGCGCCTGCACACTTATATGGAGCCGCTTTCTCCGAGGACGTGAAAAGGAGGCAATTCTCTGCTGTGGACCAGGCTTCCGCCTGAAATGATCACCGATCCAAGTTTTAGCACATGTCACACAGACTCTGGCTACTATGTGCGGCGAGCGACAAACAGGTCCCGCCCTTAATGGATGGATCCACTACAGATTACCCACGCGATCACGCAGCGATGAAGCTTGCGGCAGTCTACCATCGCCACCACCTGATGCGCCACGAAAGATCGGAATCGGGACCTCAATACTGGGTCATGCACATACGAGTCCAGATTGGGACAATGGATCATGCGTTTTAGCCAGAGTTCGCGCTATGAAGGATGCATTCTGCCAGTAAGCACTAAGCATGCTGCAGCAATTCCCAACCAGCATCCAAGCACTGGAAGCCTCCGCTCAACGATAGTGTCAGGTGCCTTCGCCCCTTTACAATTACTGACTACTACAGCAGCCCTCCTCCGGTGTCTCGAGCGCCGACGTCTCTGAGGACGCCTGGACAACACCACTGAAGTGTTAGGTCCATTTGGCGTCAGCTCGGCCATGGGATCGTGGTCATACACGACCACGAAGCTCTGGCTCTTGTGACCGTAGCAAAGGACCGTCTTCTCTCTGATGATCCGCTCGAGTTCGTTTAGATTCACTACTGGCATATCCGGTCTGGACTCGTCGTTCAAAATGACTATTCTTGTCGTGGCAATGGAAATGTGGCACAGCATACGCCGCATTGTTGACCGAGCTCTCTCCGCGTCAGACAGTGTAGCTCGGTGGAATGTCTTGGACCCAGCATGTCGGAAGTAGAAATCCACCTCAGACGTGTTGTCTAGTCTTGGAGGGTAATCGGCAAGGGCTACACTCGTGGTGTGTAGGTTGACTTTTCTTTGCCATGCCATGGCAGAAGTCGAGAGGGCAATTAGTATGCAGGCGCCGAACGCAGGGACACGCATTCATTGAGAGGCCGCGATTGAGCTTTACAGCTGATCATGCGGTGTAGTCACCAGCTTGCAATGTCTCTGCTCGCAGAATCTTGGTAGCGGTCGTGCCTCTTCCCATCTGGGAGTAAGCTCGTGGCACTGCCCATACTGTCCGACTACGTCACAACTGTATGAGTTGTGCGTCTTGCGACTCTGGACAGGAACTCTCATGGCGATAGGCGGAGAGTTCTCCAACACCGCCGTGGCCGAGGCGAAAGCCTGGGTTAAGATCAGATCACGCTTGTGTATGGATAAAGCATGCGACTGAGCTGATCCGGCGGCATGTCCAGCTTCGGAGGCAGCCTTTCAGCCACTCTTACAACCAAATTGCGTAAAGTTCGGACGCCGGTCTTCCCAAAAACCCTCGATCGCTCTGGAATCACTAGCCATGGACAATTCTTTAGTCACTGAACGTTTAGTAAGGACTGAGGCTCGACGGTACCATGCATTCTAAGCGCGGGCCTCATTTCTTTCGGCCGAATATATAATGTCAAGTCTACCGCGAGGCCATTGATGCTTGCTCGATTTGAAGCCCTTCCTAGACCGTGCAAGAGGCTAGCCTTCCGTCAGTGGACGCCCCTGCATTGGTTCAACAGGAGCGCTGTGTGCAAGAACACGATTGAACGGCAAGACGCGACTCTGTCGCAAAGGTCCTGACGTTACGGACACGGGCTCTTGTTGCACAGAGCAAGAGATATACAACGGACTGGCTAGACTCTCGATAAGCATGATCGTGGTGACATCTCCGCTCAGCGAGACCCGCTCAGCGACTCATTAACGACCGGCATTGAGGGCACAACTTTGTTGAATGCAGCGAATCATTAACATTCAAAGTTATTCCTTGTCGATCTGTTATACTCCAATCAGAGCTATATTTCCATCGAAGAAGGATATTGTTCGACGATTTCAAGCCAAGCTTAACCAATTTGATTAAATCGCCCGACAAGCCATGCAATCAGCTGCAAACGACACCACATTAGAACAACACATTTCCAATGCGAGATGATGTATCCCGTTCTCTCACGCTATCGCTTCTGCAACACCGCATCAGAACATATACACTTTCATGTCAAAGTGACGTGAAATTCTGTCAATTGTTCGCACGTGAGTCTAGACCGCCAAGGCGAGCTAGTGTCGAATTGGTGAAGAAACCCGGGCTGCAGGTGATGCGTTTGCACATATAGGAAGTTTCTCTCGCCGTTCTCTCGCCACGCTGACCTGTTCTGCTTTTCCATCTGTACGTTCTGTCCTCTGCTTTGGGCTTTGCCTTTGTTCAGCAGTGAAACATACAAAAGTTGTGCAGATCATTGCCAGAAATTTCTCCACGAAGTAAGTCGGTGCCGAATCGGGTAATTTTTCTTGTCAAGCACACCAGCTAACACATCCAAAGGTCAGAACCGAAGAACAAGAACACAAGATGAATCGCTGTCGACTCCTCGAACTACCCGGAGAACTCCGCAACAACATCTACGAAAAAGCCCTACTCCAAGACGAACCCATCCAAATCGACCTCACGAAGCCTTCCACAAGCACAAGCCACCCAATTTTCAACCTCCTCCAAACCTGCAAACAAATCCACTCTGAAGCCCGAGACCTCATCTACGACAACATCTTCGAACTCATAACCGCAATTCACCAATCCCAAGAACCCATCAACAACAACAGCCTCCACCGCCTCCGAAAAATCTGCCAAAACCAATCCCAATCCCATCGAACCCCTCCCACCCCCAAATTCCACAACATCAAAATCTGCCTCGACCAGCACCTCCCCTTCGAAAACGTAGCCCACCACATCGGAATGCTCTTCCGCGCCTCGGAACCCCTCCGCGAACTCCAAAAAAGTGGAGTCAATGTAGCGGTGTACGTTTCAGCACAATTATGCAAGGGAATAGATTTCAGTCCGAAATTAGAATTTCATTTACGTGATGTTGAGGAGGCGAAAAAAGAATTGGAGGAAGGGTTTTTGAGGCAGAGAGTTGAAGCGGGATTTGGGGACGGGAAGGATTTGAAAACTGTGTATTTTGAACTTTTGAAGATGAAGTTGATTGAGGCGTTTTTTTGTGAGGATTAGAGATTAGTGATCTGTGGCTTTTTTGCTATCTGGGGGCGCTGGAAGGAGTTCTCGAGCATTTTGGGAGGCGTTAGGGAGGGTGGGGCTATAACCCGGCCTCATCTAATAATTTGCGGGTCTGTGGGCGAGGTCAGCATTTCGGTGGCGATGCACATTGGATGGGAAACAGTACTTACATGTTCAAATGCATTATGGCCGTACAGCCAAGAAGCGAACTTTGGATCCAGAAGCGGTCCGGTATCAACTTCTTGATCATCAGGACGCTGAAGTCCAGCCATTTTGCGGTCTCGATGCTCTTGCTCCTCGCCATCTGGCATGTGGATGAATTCGCCATTGCGTCGAGCATTCGCTTGGACTTTCTCGCAACGCCACTTGCGACTCCTCTCATAGACGCGCATAGCCTTCGGGATATTCTCGACTGACTTCGCCCGCGACAAAGCTTCCGCGAGCGCCGCTGCGTCTTCAGTAGCCATGGCTGCACCTTGGGCAAGGAATTGCAGCATGCCATGAGCAGCATCACCGATGAGCACGACTTTGCCAGACTTTGAGGTCCATCGAGGCAGGCGTGGAACTTCGGCCAATGCCCAGGACTTGCAGTCTCGGACTTTCGCGAGCAGTCCTTGCAGGGCAGGATCGAAGTCGTTGAATTTTGCTTGGATCTCTGCAACGTTGGCTGGCTTATTCCATTCTCCAGCAGAATCGTTGTGAGCAGGATGTGTGCCATTGACAGCATATATCTTGCCATTCTCAGCAGGATATATGATCACATGTCGAGATGGCCCTAGCCAGACATTGGTGCCACCATTGGCAAAAAGAGCGGAAGCTTGAGGATCGGCCATGAGGTCTTCTCGCGTCACCATCGCCCTGTAGGTCGACAGTGGCTGTAGAATGGCCGAAACGTCTTGCTCATCGATGATCTGCTGGCGAAGGCGAGATTTGATACCTGGATAGAGTCAGCTTGAGCATATCCAGGTGCACAGATCTCGTCGTACCGTCTGCAACAATGACTAGATTGCCAGTCCAAGTTTCGCCATCGGTGGTCGTTACCGATGCATTGTCTTGGTCCATAGTCGCGACTCTCTTTCCCAGAAAAATCTCTACACCGACTTCCAAAGTTGCTTCGTAGAGGCCTTGCTGGTAGTCGCTTCGCTTCATAGACCAGTAAGGGGTAGTGGGCGCGTCGTCTGATGGAGCGGGTCGACTTGGTTGTGCAAGAATCGAACTATTCTTGTATCGTCTGAAGATGAAGCCAGCTGGAGCAATAGCGACATGCTTGAACCTGTCAAGTAAATTCCAGTGCTCCAGAACCAATGTGGCATTTGGTGGTACGTGTATACCAGCTCCAACAGGCGAAAGTTGATGTGCACTTTCCAGCAGAACAACATGATGGCCCTGCTTCCTGAGACCGATCGCGATACAGAGGCCAGCTATTCCAGCTCCCACGATCAGGACCTTGAACTTGTTGTTTGTCATTTCTGATGCCGTCAACCTGTGATATATAGTAGTTGAGCGTGAGTACAGTGTTGGGTCGATGGCGTGGACAGCTTGCAACTCTTATATTCTCACCTTCGCAGCATCGAACAATTCTATGTTAGACAATGCATGCATAACATTCGGACTCTACGGGCGCTCGCTGCGCGGCAACGACAGAGGATCGCGAAAGTATGAAGGCTGAGTTCCTCGTCGTTCACTGGTCTCGTCTTGGCCAAATCCTTCGGGTTTTGATCTCAGACCGAGGTTAGTCAGCTCCTACAAATGGCGGAAATGTGCGCTCATGTCGACCAGATCAGGAAACGATCGCTCTTGTGCAAAGATATGACAGTGCCTAGAAGTATTGTTGTCGAGATGACAGCTGGTCTGATGGACGTGCTATCAACGGCCTTGTGGTGGTGTCAAAGGAGCGCGCTTTGTCATTCGCGACATTGCAGCGAGATTCCCTCTCTAGTGACTGGCCCAGCTACTGCACGCGACACTGAAGTCCAGCGGGCACGGAAATTGGCACTCTGGTGGTGCTTCCTAAGCTCAGATGGCGAAAAGTGGATTGTTGCTGCTGTTTCAGAGGAACAGGAGCAAGACGAGTCGGAGAAGGGAGGAGGATGTCAACATGGTCAACCGCATGTGATTGGTCGGTGTCATCCGCCTCACTTTCTTGCCTTAAGCCACGTTCCTCCCCTCTACGCCGTTCTGAGTTGCAGTCAAATGGTGAGACAAATGTTTGAGTGGGAACAGTAGTTACAGTTGTGCATTCCTTTAGTCCTGAACATGACGCTCATATCACGTCTCCAAAGCTCACTCTATGTACGCATCTGATGCCGCAGTCCGAATTGCTAAACAAGCAAGGAGGTGTGCAATCTCAATACTGCCAACAAGGTGACGTTAAAACCTCTTCTTCTGGGATCCGCCGTGCCTCTTCACCTGCCAAGACGACGCATGTCATCCACAAAGGTCTTCTGGAGCAAGACGTCTCTCTTCTCAAGCTTCTCCAGCCAGCCCGCGCCATCAGCAGGTAGAACTTCGCCACCGAAGTTCGAGAGACTGTTCGTCGTCTCAGTGTGGTTGCGGTATCGAACGTAAGCCGGAAGCTTGGTTCGTCGAGCGTAACGCTCATCAGCACTGCAGCTACCACCGAGAAACCAACGGACTTCTTGCGCGCGGGTCATTGCAACGTTGATACGGCGATCGTCGTCAATGAATCCTGTCAAATCATTAGAACGGTCCTGTTCGTAAATCCTGTCGCATATCTTACCAATGTCGCTGTCCTTCCGATACTGCTGAACAGAGCAGTCGACGATGGTGATGGTTGCTTCAGTGCCTTGACTGGAGTCAATCGTCATGACATTCGGTAACTCTCTTGTCGTCAGCTTGTGGATGCGCATCAAATGCTTCAAAGCTTGTTGCCAACAAAACCGCTGCGACAGAGTCAATAAAGTGCTCGAGACATCAGAAATCTAGCCAATGTGATATACATACCGCTTCCTTGTAGGCGACAATGACAGTCACGTTGTCATGCAATTCGGTACCAAAGTAAGCATGTAGGTCCCAGAAGATGTGGTTGAAGAATGCCAGTATGTGCTCGCGGACAACGGTGGAGAGGTTGCGCTTCACTCGCCGGCCCATTACCTGAACGTAGTGCGAACGAAGAAAGTCGTCCTCGTCGACTGCTGAGTACAGCTGTGAGAGATGTCCGAGATCCTTGCCCAGCGTTTTGGCAAGGCACACTCGCAGTCCTGGTAGCTTTTCGCGTAAGGTTCGGTACGTGTTGGGTGAGCTACGCATGCCAGGTGGGTAGAAGTTGGTGAATGGCCAGTCGGCAATGCGGACGCTCTGAGTTCATGTTAGCCAATATTGCGCGATGCCAGTAGAAGTGGTACTTACCATTCGATGCTGCTCAAGCAGCTCAACGCACGGATGGCCCTCACTCTTCAGACGAGTCGCAAGCGGCATCGAGCTGCGGCCCGGGAAGAGGCTGAATTGGACGCGGCCTTTGGCTGAGGTATCTGTCGGCTCAAGCTGCCGATCGTCGCCGACCATAATCATGCCAGTGACCTTGGAGCGAAAGCCGGGACACATGAGCGGCCCAAGCGTGTCAATCTCGTTGTCTTTGCAGGCCTCGTCCAGAATGACCACCACGCCCTTGCACTTGACGCCATGCATGTCTTGTGCCCAGTTCTCTTGGATGTCGGGGTTGTGGACGTTGCCAGTGGTGGTGACGATGAGCCTGCTGCGTGCAATGAACTGACACTTGCAAGCGCTGTAAGATTGCTCGTAAATGTTGACGAGTTTGTCGTCTTGCCAGTCGAAATCGCCGCGCTCGCACATTTCGATGCATCTGCGTAACTCTTTCCACATGTCGACCTTGCCGTCACTGATCGCCTTGCCTTTCGCATCCATGATCGGTTGTAGAAGTGTGCCGTCAAGAGAGCCATTGCGAGCGGTCTTGAGCACCTTGTGCTGGAGGCCAGACTCACGACCTTTTGAGTACTTCTCCCCTGCGGCGTTGACTTCGGATCGCACCAACTCGAATTCGAACAGGTGCGTGGGCGGTAGTCCTGGGTTCAACGAAGTGCTGGGCCCAGTTGTCGCATCTTTGCCGACAGCATCCTTGAGATCGGTTTCGGCGGAGCGGGGAAATACTCGCAAAGCCTCAACATCACCGCTTGGGAAGTTCTTGTGGAGCTTGCTGACAAAGTCGGCGACATTGCTGTTGGCTGGTGCAAGTACCAGCACGTGTAATCCAATGAGATAGAAGAAGGCACACAGAATTTGCTGCACCAAAGTCTTGCCAGTTCCTGCAGGGCCGCTAATCAAGATGATGCCACCAACTGCGCTGCGTACGCTTCTCAGTGCAGCCAATTGCTCGGGATTCCACTTGCGCCAGTTCAGCATCATCTCATACACTCTGTCAACCTGGCGGCGATCAACGCTGCCCTTGAAGTCTGGCGCCCGCTTGAGTGCAAGGTCAACATAAGGCAGATGAGGAGATTGATTGAGAATGATCGGCAACCAGCGAGCCACATCAGGTGCGCGTAAAGCCGTGGCAGTGGCTAGTTGGCTGGAGATGCTGAACTGCGAGATGCGGGGCTCGAAGGTCACCATGATGGAGGTGCGTAAGTTGAGGTCGCTGATATCGTGGCAAGCTGTCCGAAGTGCGAATGGTACGCGCGAGGCGACGATGAAGAGAGCGTCGTAGCCTTCGAGCATGGCTATCGACGGACAGAGGAAGGCTGAGCAAGCGAACTCGATGCCAGCTTGTTGCGACCAAATCTTGGTGGTCATGCGCTCTGGGAGGCGGAAGGCCACGCTAGAACCGTCCGAACCTCGGAGTGGTGTAAAAGGCTTGAAATTGACGGCCAGGATGACGAATTCACCAAGCTGATATGGAACCGCTTCATGCTGGACTTTGGACCACTGCTGGAGTCCGAGATCTTGCTCGACATGTGCAATGCGGGCACTCTCGAAGAGTTGAGCTTGGGCATCGTTGATGCTGATGTAGGTTGTGCCGCTGCTCAATGTTGTGAATGGAAACGGAGCTGGAGAGCTTAAGAGCTCGTGAGGTGTTCGAGTGACCGACAAAGGTACCAGCTGACTGTGATCTGGTAGAGCGAGCGATTTGAGCTTGTGAGGGCCAACAATGAATGGCAGAAGTTGAGGGATACAGGAGCTCTTGTCATCAGCCAATGTGTCGAAGAAGCGTATTCTGACTGCCTTTGGGCCATCAGTGTCGAAAAGCGCTCGAAGATGCCATAGCAAGCGCTGGCTCTTGACGCAGAGCTGGTTGGTTTTCGCGATGGCGTTGTTGAAGCCCTCTCGACTGAGCCGTGACGATCCCGAGGAAGTGCAGGCCAGCTCGTCTGCGGTGAGATCGCCGCGCGTGACGTTTGAGGCCACTCGCACGTTGTTTTCGGTGATGCGAATCTTGACAGCGACTTTCAAGTCAAGGGCCGGCCACTTGACCTCGACACGCAAGTGCGGAATGGTGAGCTATTCTCAGTCAGCGCTTGTAGCCTGCGGCATTGGCAATGTGACTCACCAAGTCGCTGAAGGTGACGTCCGCGTGGAAGGCGGAATTTGCTGGCTCGTGAGAGTGACCGTCAGACGGAAACAGCTCATTGTTGAAGACCAACGAGCACGGCTTGCTTGGGCCCGCGGTCTGCGTCAGGTTGAACAGAAGGGAGCCGGGTGACGGCGAGTGCAGTGCAGTGAGTTGGGTTTCTGGTGTGACACTCTCGCCGGTGACTGCGTCAGTGAGGGAGTCGTGGTGCAACAAGCTGCTGCGAAGGGGGTCTGCCATGTTGTATGCGTGCGGTATGCGTGCGGTATGCAAAAACGAGGTGGAAGAAGTTTGGTAAAGGTTGAAGAGGAAGAGATCGGACGAGAAGCGATATTCCAGGCAGCTGTGTGTGTGTCACGCCGGCGTGGCACGAGCTTCCATTGTGCTGCAGCGCTTCTATTGTCCCTTGACGCTAATGCAGCGGTCAAAGTTAAGCAGCGGCGCGAATGTTGCGAAGCGCAGAATCAGACGAGCGCGCGCCGAGTGATGATAATGCTGATGCATATGTGAGGCGGATCGCGAGGACATTGCCTCAAGTTGGTGCGTCTCGGGGGTGAAGCCTGCCTCTGGTATGGATTGAGCTGATTTCCAGCAGAAGCGACGTTCGGCGGCACATCGTGATTTCCAGTGCACGGAACGGCGCCTGCACATGTATCTGTGAAGTAGTCATCGTCAACACCTCTTACTTGACTTCTTTGCATCCTGTCTGCGGTTCTTAGCAACTCTGCCATGAAATGCTTCCTCTTTGCTCTTGTGTTACGGCTTGCGGCAACGGCATGCCGACACTGGAACCTATAGCTATGCGCCGCTTCAACCAGATGCCAGACTGAACGTCGTCTTCAAGCTTCTTTTCATCTTGACCGGCCCGCTGGAGTTTCGCGCGCCTGCTCTCGAACTACCACCCAGGATCTGCAACGAGCTGCACAAGAACTGCCTTCAGTACCGTTGACCGAAGGGGTGTGCCAACTCTTCACATTGCACTAAAGCCATTGCCGGAAAGTGAAGACTCCATCTCATCTCACATATCAATGCATGCGATGCGTAGTGTCCGACAGTATGCACACGAAGTGAAGCTCAACTCCAAAGGAAGGCGCAGGTGAAGTGAAGTGAAGTCGACAGGGATGGGAGCAGGGATCGGCGCCAAGTTCGACGTCATCCTCGTGCAGTCGTCCTCTACAGCCCACTTCTCGCTTGCTGCCCAATACTACAGCGTGTGCACCTTCGGACGACGCAACCCACTTCCGTCGCCGTCTGTGCTCGCCCATGGGTTTCGGAGCGTGAAGGGCGTTGAGAGACAGTCTGTCGCTGCCCGAAGCTTCCCACTGCAGCACCGGTCCAGAATTGGGCACTCGCAGACGCCCATCGTACAGCCCGGTTCCCTGCACCACGCCAGCACGCCCGCCAGCCACCGCCCGTGACTCTGTGCGGCCCCATCTTGGCCAGCTGCCACTTCCATTCCCATTTCTCACTTCCCACTGCTCCTTCTCCTGCCCGCGCCCTGCATCCTTCCGCCAGCACAGCATACCGAAGATCAGCGTTGAGCCAGAGAGCCGTGCTCGTGTAGCACAAGCCTGAAGACGAGGGAGCAATCATGTCACGCTATCGCAACGACGACCTGGCCTATGGCGACATCCCCCAACGATGGGATCGAGAGCGCTTCGAGAGACTGGGCGCCAGAGGCAGTGTCCCGCCGCCCCGACGATATGAGGAGGACTTCCACTTCCACGAACGGGACCGCCCTGGGCGGCGGGACATCGACATCGCCGTCATGGACCGGGTGGAGAGCCGCGGTCCTCGCGGCGGATACGAAGAGCGCGACCGCTTTTACGAAGAAGAGCGGAGGGCTCCATCTCGACCGCGGAGGAGGACCGACAGGGAGCTGTTTGGTGACGTCGATCCTCGTGAACTGGCTGATATGCAACTTGTGCCCCGCCGAAAGAGCATCAGCCGAGAAGACTTTGATATCGATCAGCGCGCGCCGCGTCCGGGTCTGCTGAGAAGGCAAAGTAGTCTCGACACCTTCGACAGACGGCCCGCTCGTTATGAGCGCGAAGAATATCCCATCGCACCCTACGTACCTGTTCCGCTCCCGATCCGCCGCACACGCGATGCGTGGGACGACGACCGACACTATCGTGAGTACGAGCGCTACTACGAGCCGCCGGAGGGATACCGCGAGGTAGAAATCCAGCGTGAGCGCTCCGTCCATCGGAGACGCGTACCCAAGAGCGAGAAATCTGCCAAGAGGAGCGAGAGCAGCTCAAGCAGTAGCAGTAGTAGCGCTTCTAGCGTCAGCAAGGCAACCAGCAAAGCAACAAGTAAAGCGCCCAGTAAAGCTCCTACCAAAGCAAGCACGAAGAAGTCGAAGAGCCGGGCACCCACGATTGTGAGCGAATCGAGCGTGACGACTCTTCCCCCACCGCCTCCTCCACCAGCACCTGCGACTGAATTGGTACCGATTGAAACTGTTGAGGAGACCCTGATTCAGGAAAGTGTTCGTGAAGAAAGGAAATTCAAGAAGGGCAAGACCCGAATGCCGAAGCGCTTGGTGCGAGTGGAAGCAATCATGGATCTAGGCTATCCTTTCGCTGAAGAAGAGCACTTCTACGTCTTGCAGATCGCTCTTGAGAAAGAACAAATCGATGAAGTGATCAAGATCAGCGAACAATACAAGGAAGGAGGCAAGTTGAGTCCAGCTCACGTCCAGAGAATTGATACTGACAGCCTAGCAGAAAAGAAGAAGGTTTACCGCTACGAGAAAACAGTCGAGGAGACTGGTGTGCCACCTCCGCCGATGGGCGAGCACGAGATGGTGGAACGTACTGAATGGATCAACCCGCCAACGATCATCGACCGACGCGGATCACCCAGCGCAAAGAGTAGCATCAGCCAAATGCCCCGCTCTCGGTCGCGAAGACCGTCTTCACCGGGGACTTATGTTTCGAAACACGAAACTTTCATCGAAGCGCCGGCGGCGCCACCTCCGCCTCCTCCTCCAGCGCCTGAGTACTATGAAGAGCGAAAGACCGTCATCGAGGAGCGCGCACCAGCTCACTCACATCATGCGGGCAGCCTTGTCCTAGCCGATCGTCCTCATCAATCGGACCGGGATATTAATGCCGAAATTCGAGCTCTCGAAGCGGAACGCCGTGCTCTGAGACTCGAGCGCGATGCAGAGCAGAAACGCGACCTGGCAATGCGGCTGCGGGATCCAACCCGAGATGAGTACTCGCTGGTCGAGTATCGTGACCGAAGTCGATCAAGAGGTGACCTCGTGGTCTACGAGCGCGAGAAGAGTCCACAACGAAACGTGATACGAGTCGAAAAAGACCGAAAAGGTAGGATGGCCTTGGTTCGGTCGTCGCACTAAGTGGGTGGGGCCGCGATCGATCGTCTTGTCTGACCTTAGCTGACTCTTCGCGCAGAACGACGAAATGCTAAGCTCCTCGCTGCGGCAATGGCTACACTTAGTTGAGCGGTCTACTTCAAGACGTGAAGGAATTCTTGTTTCTTTCGAGAAGACATGTAGAGTGCTGGTTTGAGATTTATCGTTTGAGCGGAGGCATTCTTACGACTTCACGAAGACACGTATTGACAACGCAGCGTACTCTTCTTAGTATGCTTTATACCTAACATCTTATTCCATCAGTATCCTTAGTCTTGAGATTTCGCCTCTGCTTCACGTTTTCCTTGCTCTCAAGCATTCACCACTCAAGCTCCCATATGCAAGCTCGCGGCATCCACAACTCCACTTCAACTTCCTAAGCCGATCGACCTCTTCAGAACCCTGAAACGACATTCAAAATGCTGCATCGCGCTCACTTCCAGCCTCTTCTGCCGCTTTATGGAGCCTCAACTACAATTCGACCGCCATCCAGTGATACGCCGAGGTCGGTTGGGATCGAAATCATAATGAATCGCGTTCGGCCAGCAGCCATTGTCCTCTTCCTTGCAAGGAGGCCCCTATCATCTCCTATCAGCACAGCACCAAAAAGATTCGATTTTTCCACAATTGCACATTCATGGCTTACCTCGGAACAGAGTTGCGTCACGGCGCCTTGCGCTCTTTGCTCATCGTTGGGCCAACAAGAGCCATCGCCTCCTTGGGGGAGCTTTTTGCAGTTCTGGTTCTCACATCAGCTCTCGGGTTCTTGATGTAAGGAGAACATGCCACGTGCCCATGCCAAAGTAAAGGGAAGGAGAAGTGTGAAAATCACCGATGTTGCTTTCATCGTGCCTCGCAGACTGGAAGACAGTTCAGAATGTCTGTCTTCGATTGTTCGTCTTCCTGGTAAGTCAATATGCTTCCGTTGACGTCCTCATGATCACTGAAAGATATTCTTTTCCGTGGGCCCATCTAGATCAGCTTGCCAAGAGAGACTTATTATCAGCCGTCCGCGACGACCGACTTCCATGATTGCTCGCCTCGAATTAGAGTACGACGTCGCTGCTCTTGTTTCACAATGGCGGTATGCTGCTTCTCACTTGAATAGACGCGTTGTTCCCTCCCGAAACCAACTTCTGGAAGATCTGTATTTCTTTGCAATGATCACATTCAGCCAACCAGCCTCAACTCTCTGATCAACATGTTGATCATTCAGAACGATCAAGCCACGCTGGAGTAGCAGAAAGAAGTGGTTCAACATCAACTTGGCTGAACCGGTTAATCGGGATTACGCCTGGTCGCAAACACAAACCTCGGCGGCCCTTGCAGAGCCTTTTGACGATTTCAATTGGCTAATCAAAATTCTAGGCCTCGAAAGTGGCTCGTATAGCGCACCACTGCTACGGCGCTATCCTAGCTCGAGGTTTTCGGCCAAGAACCCGCCTTAGACTAACATCTTGGCTCCACATAGCCTAGGCCTGGGTCTACTTAAGTCATTTCTCACAACCATGCCGGCATGAGAAGGACGACGAGAATCACAGAGCTCGAAGCAAAAGGAACCCCGGAAGTACGCAACTGCTTTGGCATCTATCAGCGGTATCTTCATGACAGTTCCGCAGAAGTCCGTCTTTCCAAGAAAGCTAGGAATGCGTCGTAATGTTCGCTAGTGATCCTAGGAATTTACGATTGTACTTTCAACCCACAATCCTCACCGCTTTCCAGCTTCAAGCATCCCTTCCGCCCCTACCATTTGCCCCCAATCTCGCACATCCAAAGTCGCGAAGTCGACCATACCCATCTTAGCCTTGCCTACCGGCTCTCCAAGCTCAACCCCATGCTGAAACAGAACCGGCTCCGCCTCACTCCATGGTTGCGCCAACATATCAAACACTGCTCCTGCTTTCACGCTCACTGTAGCTCGGAAACTCGCTGGCGCTGCAAACGTGACGACGATAGCACAGTCGAGCTCCAGCGGCAATCCTTCCCTTTGCTTCGCATCCTCTCGAATCCAAAATCGTACCAAATCTGGTGCTGTGTGTCCATGCGATGGTACACTCGCTCCTTCTACAGACGAGGCGTATCGTTTGTCGTATGTGCGGGACACTCCTGCTGTGAGCCCTAGCACTGGTATGGCGCCGAGCGTGACGGCTGGAAGGTTGGCGGACAGATGCCATTCGCGCTTCTCTTCTGTTCCATTGTTGCCAGTTACCAGATGTTTGGGCCCAAAATCAACGACTTCAGGGTCTTGCCCCTCAGCTTCACTTTCTGTTTTGTGGAACTTGATCGTCACATCCGCTCTGTCGAATCGAACCCATCTATGTCCGTGTTCACTCCCGAGAAACTGAAATGTGAATCCTATGAGGCAGGCCGGTTCGTCATGCCAGTATCCGTATTGGATTCGGGTCAGGTTGGAAATGAGGTTGAGGCCGACGAGCTCGCGGTGGTGTATTACGATTTTCTTGTGCGGATGGGTGTCGTTGTCGATACTTCGTGGCTGTTGTGATTGGCTTTCGAAGTGCTGTGCGACGGTGTGGTCATGGCGGATGACTTTTTCGTCGCAGATTTGGGTTGGTGAGAGGAGGTGGAAAGGGGTTTGTCGAGGTGAGTAGGAGTTGAGCGCTTCTGCGATGGAGTGGGGGTCGCGTGTTGTTTTGAGGGAGAGAGTGACGACTCCGGGGTCTTGTGAGGCGGTTCGAGCGGGGAGTGCTGGAGTGGCGAAGTGGGCGTGCCTGGTCTGAACTTGAGTCCGCTGGCCTTCTGGCTGTCCTTCGAATCTGTTAGACGACATGTCCTGTAGGTTATGGCGCCTGTGAGACAAAGGGCTACGAATTTCTAGCGATTACAGTATGTCAATATTGAACTCTTCTTCGGTGAGTTGTGGCAGAAAGAGACCTGGGCACCGGTGGTGTGTCTTCGTAGGACCATAGGTTTGAATTAGCCACAGCTAAGAGAGTGCGATCCGACGGCTGATGTTCTTCGGAAAGGGTTGTTGCGGCAAAGACCACACAAGGTATGTTGGTGTGGAAATAGGAGATGCAAGACATATATCGCTGCGGAGCAGAAAGTCAAGCGGTAACGATATGTAGCAGCATCTGCCATGAGCTGGGAGGCAACATTGAATCGATGAACTGCCTTCATGTGACGCAAGGCCTACTGATTGCTTTGCGCACGTGCAGGTATCACTCATTGGGCAGTGACTTCCTTCTCGTGGTGCCTTCCCAACAAGACTGCGGGCCGCGACTACTCATTCACGTCCTGCTAGCAGCTGTTTAATGGCTTGGCAGAGCCACAGTTCTCCATACTATCATAGCTAGCTTTGATGCAGCTCCCGCGGCGGAGTTTCACGCCCTTCCATCATGCAGTTCGATCTGCAAGCAGGGCAAGGCCACTTTCAAAACCCGCTGTCGACAATGACTCGAATCGATACCGAAAGGGTCGCAAACGAAACTTCCGCATCTGGCAGCGAGATAAAAGCGTCTACCAGGCTCACATTCGGCAGCCTCATAACAGCCAAGACGCCCACATTCGTTCAGTGAACATATGTCCTGGCCGTTCATTGCCCGTCCATATATATTCCGGCATTTTGGGCCAACTTTGACCAAGATTAACACATCCGGAGTCCGTGTCGGCTAGGCTCTGGCAAAAGTTGTATAGATTTTGCTTCAAGTTCAAGAGTGGAAAGCTTCTTCCACTGTCTCCTCCATCTGCTTCGGTTTGACACCCTTGGTCTCAAGCAACGTCTCCAAAGTGGGATCATTAATCTCACACTCCTTCTCTCGAAGAGCATCGTACGTCTTACTCCACCACTTGATGAACGGCTCTGGCATTCCTCGCTCCTCCACGTGGTGCTTCTCGTGCTCTTCTCTCGACACCACTTTGAGGCTGACTTGGTTGCTCTTTGCCTTCGATACCATCGCAGCAACCTCTTCGAGCGAATGTGCTTTCCTTTGCGAAAGGTAGAAGGTCTTGCCTTCCCACGTCTCGCTCGGATCGGACAAGATGATTGCGTTGGCTAGTCCAAGATCCGGAATGGAAGTCCAGCTGATCTTGCTATCGCCGCCTACGACAACTTCTGTTCTCTGATCGTTCTTCACGTCATAGTGTCCAAAGTAGAGCGGCCAGCTCTCGTTGTACAGTCCTTCGCGGATCAGGGTGTACTTCAACCCGCTTTGCTTCAAATACTCCTCGGTTCGCTCGTGTGCTTTCATGACCCGGCTCAAACTTGGGTTCGCGAATGCTAAACTGGTGTAATAGACGTGCTTGACTCCGGTTTGACGAGCAGCTTCGATTGCTGGGAAATGGTCTGCTTCCCGGCCTTCTCCATGCGGCGCATCATTGAAGTCTTTTTCGATTCGAGCAGAGGAGATCAGGAAAACCTTTTCGCATCCTTGAAGTGCTTCGTCCCATGATTTGTGGTCTTCCCAGTTGGCGGATCTGATCTCGACTCCTTGCTTGCGTGCTGGTTCAAGTCTCCTGGCACCTTCGTCTGATGAAGTTGTGCAGACAATGTTCTCGGGCGAAATGAGCTTGTGGTCCAGGAGAGCATTCAAAGTTGCGAACCCCAATTTGCCACTGGCACCGATGATAGCTAGTTTACCAGCCATTTTGTGATGGTACGAAGCGAAGACAGTCGAGAAATTGTTGTTGACGAGTAGGACGAAGACTGGCATCTTCAATATTCTGTTGTATACATGACGTAAAATGTGGACCCCTTGCTGATTAATCAATCTGGATAGTGAGGTGTCAAAGCAACGACATCCTTCCCAAAAAGGCAGTATTAAGCTCTCCCTGGAGTGTGTCAGTAACGAAAAGCCTCGATTATCACGAACCTATTCTCTATTCGCAGAAGATCTCTTGATCTAAATTCAGATCTGGACCAATACCTCCTCTACTCCTGCTCTGCAGAGTGCGGATTAGCAACGATAGAGATGAAGAACGGGTCAAAGTCACTGCGTGAGTGATCTGAAATGATCATAAGTCCGTCGTTGTCTTTGGTCTAATCTATTCTTCTTCCGGTTCTGCGACGAAAACAACTCCCATACTTTCGGATGCCTCGACCTCAAAGATTTCCGTATCGAGAGGCTCGATGCCATTCGCTTGTGTTCGAAGTACTTTTGGACTTCTTCTCGTTCTCGCGCGCGTCTCCGAGTACGAAAACGCTACCTCACTTCCATAAATGCTATTGTCAAAGCCGGCACCTTCACCAAAAGTCAAAGGCGACTGGTCCACCAGCATACTCCTTCTCCTCGTCAGTCTTCTGTGCGCCGACGCAGCCGCAGACACAGTTGCCTGACCTCCCCGTTGGTTCGTAACGGACGTGCAAACCGTCCAGGAGCGTTCCGTACCCGTCCTCGTATCCACCTTGGTGAGAGACTCTCTCCACCCCGGTGTCCGTCCATGCCTGGCCTCTCTGGCGGGACCCGAATGCCGTGAATCGATTGACGCGGACAGCATACCGTCTCAATCTTGGCATCTGCTCGACAATCTGGATCAATGCGTCGTGGAAGATGTTCGTCCGACCTGTGTGCAATTCTTGCTCCTGATGACCGTGCTCGTCGATTCTTGTGTTCACAATGATCGCCAGGTCTTCTGTGTTGTGACATAGAATGAGGCGCTGACGCAAGCCCTCGAAGTCAAACGAAGACACGATATGGCGATTGATCTCTTCTTCGTTGTTCGAGCCCGGCCCCTTTGATTCTTGACGGTCGTCATCGCTGTCCCAGGATGGCATCCACTGATGGGCGTTCTGTTCTGTAACAGTGCTTAGAGTGTCGGAGGCAGTGAAAGTATCAAGGGTGAATGCGGAGTCGAGGGACTCGTAGTTTCCAAACTCGTCCGCCCAATCGTTTCCTTCAACAAGATCATCACAGCCAGTGGTGTGGATCCAGTCGAATTGAGAAGGCTCGTCCAGGTTGCTGATAAGATCATCCTCCTGTTCCACAGGATCCAAAGAGAACGATGTCGCATCGCAATCGATGTGAATGAAAACTCCACGAGAGTGGATGGTGCTGATAGCTTCAATCTCAGACCGTCCATTTCTCACAACCTTGTGAGTAGATAGAGGGATCACATCAGCAAGTGATGAATGTGCCACTTCAGCCTCCATGCCATCTGTGCTTCTCTTCACGACCATGTTGACCTGAAAATGCAGCGGAACCTTCCTGTGCATCAACGAGCCAATCCTGTCATGCAATAGCTTGCTCAAGGACAGAGACCTGGCAAGGTCTTCATGGTCCACAATCAGTATCCTGTCGTGACCATAGGTCGTCTTCGTCATGATAATCACTCTGTCATATGTCGAGTGATGGATGCATCGTAATGGGAGACCAATGTAGCTATAGACATGTTGTAGTAGCTCAAATGGAAGCTCCTCGATCGGAGTCTTGTCTGTGGCTGTAAGAGCATTGGTATCGTTGTTGGAGGACGTCCAGTCCATTGGTGAAGGGAGAGCCATGGTGTGGCAATCCATGAAGACGGTAAGGTGCTTGTGGGTTCAAGCTATGTTTGTTGTGAGTCGTCGAAGAGGTGGGTTAGGATGGATGTGGACATGGGTGGGTTCGTGTTAATATTCAGGTTGCAGGTAGCACTAGAAGTGTGCGATAGCGGAAAGAGTTGCAAGGTCTTGAGAAACCCCATCTTATAGAAGAGGAGAGAGTGCTAAGAGTGCACGGAAGAAGAGGACAGACATTCACCTGTCCTGAGAGCCATCACAAGCTGCTAAGTGCATGATGCCAGCATGTGTTCTTCATAACCACTAGTGTAGCACTGACAGAGCTTGACCGATGCGAATGATAAGACACTGTGGAGCATGTGAAGCTGGCAAGCGTGTTGCGTTGATTCACTGCATAGCTCTGATCAGCACTTGAGGAGACTCGAGAATTTCAGAGATATTTTCACATGCATCGGAGAAGCATGTGTCCTCTGCCGATAGTCGGGTAAATAGATCATTCGCAGGCTGGAACGGAATTCGGGTTGTGCAAATGATAGAAGCGAGAGTTTCATACTGATATTTCGTTTATGGCATCAAACAGCACGGCTACCTGCTGTTGTATTCTTCTTCTTAGCCGCTTCGGGCGTAGAGAATGACTTGTGCGGTGGTCATACGATTCATCATACTTCTTGCTTGCGATTCCTGTGGCTGTGATAGGCCGAGCGTTGCCACTTCATCGTACTGTCATTAATTTTCGTGTCGATATTGAGTGTATGCTTGTCGTTACTTTGAAGCTTGAGACACCCAATGTTAATTGGAAGAGCCACTCATGGTAGAGGCAGTGACTGAATGTGTAGATCCGACAGCAACTTGCAATGGATCTCGTCGTGGGGTCCGAAAGCCGTCTCTTGGTTGATGTGGATAACACCAGCTGCCTTCCAGTCCTGGCTGAGCTTGCGGATCTTGGTTGCTGAAAAGCGTCCAACATGGATGCTGTAGCGCTTGATTCTGAGCATCCCCTCCACGGTAGCCATCAGTTGCTCGAACAAAGAGAATGCTTCTTGCGATTCTAAATCCGGCTCTCCCGCGAAAGGATCTTCTGTCTCGATGTCGAAAACCAATACGATATCCTCTGTCGCCTCACAAGCGTGAAGGCGTCGCTTGAACTCCGCAAACGCGGTTGTTCTTGTAATCTCGCCACGAAATCCCGTGCCTGTTATGGTTTCCTCACGTATGACTTCGTCCGTCTGATGTGCTTGACCTGAGCTTTCGTCGCTGAGATGACGTCTGAACGCTTCCGCAAATGCATTGTTAGCCAGCTCATCTTCGACGCTGATTCCATCAACTGGCCATTCTGCTGTCTCATCTCCATTGACCCATTCGAACTTTGCCGTCGAAGTGTCTGCTGAGTCGCTGAATGTCTCATGAACGACCTCACACTGGGCAGTGATGTACAGCCCGCGTACTGATGTAGGTATCATCCTGTCAAGATTCTCGATCTTGAACTCGCGTCAGTTGTTGCACCCCGATTTGAGCTTGGCAGCAAGTTGAACATGCATTGGGACGGACCTGTGCAGATACTGGCCGACGTGGTCGTTGTGTGTCGTGCTTGTCAACAGCAAGCGGTCAAGATCGTCGTCAATGCTTCCTGTTACAGAGTTGTGCCCGCCCTTGGTCTTGACTAAGGTGAAGTCTTTTTGGTACTCCCTCATCGAGATCTTGGTTCGTAGCACATAGGAGTATATGTTGCTAATGGTTTCCCATGGAAGGTCAGAGTCAAGGAAGTCTCGACGACGGTCTTCATCTTCACACGGCGTAGCGATTGGCTGCTGCTGTTGTTCTTGAAGCAGAGGTTCGAGTTCGGAGAATGCTGGTCGACCAGACATGATGTCTGTTCTGGACGCGTTTGCCATCGAATTTGCGGTGCAAGCTCACGGCTCAGAAAGGTGGAAGGAAGAGCATCGTAGCAGTAGGGAGGTTGATGTATTGTGGAAACTAGCACAATCGTGCAGTGAAGCAAGCAGGTAGTGAACGCGCTATGCAGGGTGGATATTTGCACAGGTGTTTTTTTTGGTCACCTGATACCATGTGTCAAAATCGCCAACTGCTTTGTGCTTCGATTATGATCCCAGTCCCGGAGGGAAGATTCACCTGTGTTAGCAGTGCCGGCAACGGCGGGGCACACAGCTCGAGCCGGTTGCCGAATTCTTGTATGACCATAGCCCTAGGTGAAGGAAGCTGGAGAGAAGCACAGATTTGTCATTATGGCACTTTCCCACTAGCATGAAGCCTGATCCCTCTCGCTGGCTAGGTTTCGAGTATAGTGTGATATCAGCGTATATCCAAGGGACCGCGAGGATTCTCGACCTCGGTGCCAATGTACAGCCCCTTTGATTATGCGGGGCCTGTTTGCACGATTGGCAATGCGCCTCTAAAATAGAAGTTACCGACCGGCCTCAGCTGCGTGGCTTGAGTTGAGCACAGAAAGTGTTCTGATCCAAATTTGTAGCCTGGCGATCTGCGAAATGGGGCGTGGTCCTCAGCAGAAAGTGCCATATACAACTTGATAGAAGTGTAGACATTGTGTTATAGTACACTTAAATGACAGGTGGAAGTGCAGAAAATGCACAGCGCAGAGGATGCTGCAATACGTCCAGGTTGTGGTGGCTTGCGGTACCATCACTTAGAATGGGGCAAGCTCTCCGGAAAACGCCTGGCAAGTCAGTAACTACTTGACTCTTCTAATAGCTCGAGAGTTTGGTGCCTGGATAACAAACCGTTTGCCGCAAGCAAAGGGTATTTGCTGTATGTTGGTCTTTGCCCAAGTATACAATCATGCTGAGCTCAGCAAGAAGCGTAAGCGCCGGAAAGCGAGTTCAAGAAAACCTTTCGCTGTTGTTTTGTAGGAAGCCGCATCCGTGAGACGGTGGGGAAAGGAGAGAGTTTGCTGTAGTCGGCAGCGTACACCAGTGCAATATGTGGTGCTGGTTGCCCATGAATAGTACCTGCCTCCTCCACAGAGCCAAGGAGCTGAATCGCGGAAGGTGGGTTGGGGGAAATGCCTAGCAGAAGTCAATATGAGACGGCTTCTATCTGAATATAAATGTGTAATGTGCATACCTCGATGTTGGCGCATCAACTCAATCAAACGTAGGGAACATTTTGTGCAGTGCATGTGTCAATTTGGTATCTATTTCGGAGTATTCTCAACGCTTCATGCCTCTGCTGTTTTCGTGGAGTCGACATCCGACTCAGCCAAAGCCAAATTTGCCGTGTTGCTGATATTCGATTCGTAAAGGTATACTGTGTAATGTTGGTGCTTGGTCGTCAAAATGGATCTTGAGACAGCCCGACTGTCTCCAGACACTGTGCGAAGATTCAGTGATCTGTAGACTGCGCCAGCTGCTCATGCTCATGCTCATGCTCATCACTGGATATGCAAGTCCCTGAGAAGCTCGTAATACTCCTCGTTGAATCTCCACCATGGCACATCGCGATCGATGCGCAGCACCTCGGGGCTGATCCACATGTGACCAGCTTTGCGGGACGCAAACATCCCATAGCGTCCGACGTGGACAGCGTACCGCTTCACTCGCGCAATCTGCTCCACAGCCGTAACCAGCTCTTTGAAAACCATACCGTCGAACTCGCCCCCAGATTCGTCCTCACCGGATAGCGACCCTCCTCCGACGTTGTCGAAAACCAGGAAAATGTCTTCTGTGTCGACGCAACCTTGCAGGCGCTTCTTGAGTTCGACAAAAGTAGGTGAGGTTGTGATGTCGAACTGAGTGCGTCTGTCCACCTGCTGCACGATGCTCTCCTCTTCCTCTGAATGAGTGACCGTCATGCATACATCTTCTGGAAGTTCCTTGCCGAGGTGCTTTCTGAAGGCCTGAGCAAAGATCTCATTCGCCATGATATCCTCCTCAGCCAGGCTATCTACTGGCCATGGCGTGAGAACATCACCTTCCCACTCAAACTTGGATGTGTCTTCCGGGTTGGCAAAGGATTCGTCTGGAGTTTCGATCTCGGTACTGATGTAAAGCTGTCTTGCCATTGTAGGGAGTATGTTGTCAACGCTTCTGATGGTGAGATGGAAGGAAGAGTCATCGACCGGGGTCAATTTGGTGACCAGTGAAACATGCACGGGAGCGTGCCTGTTCAGATAAGCACTGAACTTCTCGTTGTGCTCTGTGTTGACCAGCATGAAGTCCATTGCTTCTTTGCAGTCGGTCTCGGCCAAAGTGTGAAATCCAGATTCGGTTTTGATCAGAGTGAAATCGCGGTTGTGAATGGCGGCATTGAGATAGGGAGAGAATGTGCAACCATATATCTGGCTCATGAGTTCGACTGGTAGCCGTGGACAGGGTTTGGGGCCATCACTGTAACAGTCTCCAGATTTTGCTCCAGTATCTGATTTCGACTTGCTGTTCTCCTGTTGTTCAGTGAAACCCTGAGGTTCAATGCCAGTTGGCAACCCATCATACGGCATGGTGGCTAGTCCTCAAGCCTTTGCCAGTACGATAGAATGCTCCGAGTTCGTAGGTTTTGCGACATGAAAAGAGTGTTGTGATAGAGAGAAAGATGGCTGAAATAGAGCATGCAGAGACGAGCTCCTGTGAATTGAGTTCCCGAGGTGAATATTCAACTCGATCTGTGCAAGTTCACGTGAAATCGACTGTTACACCGCGGAAGTATATGGTTCATGTGATAGTGTAGCAAGTATCTCGTGCTAGTTCACGATTGTGATCTCGAAAGCGGCGTCGTGGTCGCCCGTGATCCTTGCAGCGGAACGAGAGGGTGTGGGTAGGAGCCCGCCATTTGCCAGCACCATCCACTTGTGTGGGCGGCACTTCGCAGTGGCAACCGCAGTGAGCATCGTGAAAGCTTTCCAGTACGTGTCGTGTCCAAAACCGGTTTTGCCTGGTATCCGGTCCTCGCACTTAAGAGTAAGAGTCGCTTATCGTGATGGGTCGCAGACAGCGTTTTACTTCATATACGGTGAGACGGACAGCTTCGTTAAAGATGCGTGGAGAGTCATTCAAGACCTGACTCTTCACAAAGCTCAAAGCTCTGATGCCTGGAGTGCAAATTGATTGCTACACACAAGGCGTATTTGTTGTATAATTGTCTTTGCCAAAAATGCGTGACAAGCTGTGGACGTGACTGAGCTGAGCAAGAAGCGCAAGCGTTGAAGATGTGATATGAGAGACTGATATGATGGGCAGTAGAGCGCGCTTGTTGTCTTCGGAACACGTTTGATTTGACTCATGGTGCATTGCGCAACAGCAAGCTGACCAGGGCTCGGCATAGTCGCTCCCGTCTCGACTCTAAGGAATATTGGTGTAAGCAAATGGTACTGGTCGCCCATGAACAGTACTTGTCTCCTTCTCAAACCCAGTAGTTTGACCGCGGAAGGTGGCAGCAGGCACGACTGCTGCAGCGCAACTCGCAGTAGTCGCGTGCGGCCACAGTTGACCTTCATATATCCCAAACAAACATGCTTACTCAACAAGTTGACTCGCAAAGCGTCGAATTTCGGCAGACCACATGTATAGAGTGCGGTCGACTTGTTTTTGCTTTTTGCGCGCGAGAGTTCCTCAAGTTACGGGCAGGTCAGGGGTTCGAGTGCCGGTTGGCGCGTAATACATTCGTTCTCATTCCCTTGCTTTTTTGGTTTTTGTTTACACTCCTGGACTTGAGGCGTAACTGACGCAACTATAGGACTGCCATCGCCAAAGCCCCTCTGCTCGCGGGCATTTGGTCAGGAATGTTGTTGGGGTTAATAAACTGCTAGCAATTGTGCTTGCTCAGACAAGTTGGCGACTCATCGCCGATTCTAGTTCCGGTAGATCCCCATAAACAGGATCGTCGACTTGTCGTTTTGCTATTTTCGCGCGAAGTTCGCGTAGGTCAGGGGTTCGAGTGCCGGTTGGTGTGTAGATGCAGTATGCGGTTTTGCCAGAGCGAGTTTCAGTCAGCGCCTGAGCTAGGGATACTACATCGAGGCAAACATGGCTGACATTGTTTTGCGTGTTGACCAGTCCTTCGATTAGCGAAGATGAAGTCGGAAAACCAGCTCAAGGTCGCCAGGCAAGGCATGTAGTAGAACACTGCCGTGCATTATGCTGCGCTGCACATTGAGCTGCGTGACCCTCCTCGATCTGCATCTTGTCAGCATGGATATCGCGGGAAGCCGTAACAACTTACTCACTCAGGCATGAATGAGAAACGTGGCCCTTGCCATCGCGGCCAAGCCTTCAACCAAGCTTCTGTCATATCCACACGAAGCTATCGCGCGTGCACATCGCGAGTCGAAGCTACTGTATGATGATGCAAAACATGCAATCGTCACAACTTGTCAACTTGTCAACTCGGCAGCTCAACTCATCATTATGTTCCACGGCTGATCCGGGACTACAGTTTCAAATATTTTGATTATGGGAAGTGATGATATCTATGGAAGCTATGCTTGTCTGCTTGCATTTCCCGCGAGTGATGGAGCAGCGTAGTATCTTGTCCGAAATCCCTTCCTTCCATTGCGCCCTGTCATTGGGCGAATTTTCTAGTCACACATTGATCTTTGAATTTTGGCATTCGCCACTCGGCATGGCCGCCTTTCGCATGACATATGAAAAGCGACCGCGAAAACGCCCGCCACCCGTTCTATGCCTCTATTGTAACAAATTTCCGTGTCGGCGCCGTATTCATTACACGCCCTGGACCACTCTACCTGGTTTCAGTCTTCTCCTGCGTGGGCGACGCACCGTCCTTGGTGCCGGCGGCCGTGCTCTGTTTCTCTTGCTTTTGCTGTTCTGCGAGCTCTGTTTCTGACTCGAGCATGTCCGACTCAGCCTTGTCCTTGTTCTTGGCAAGAGCTTCGTGTTGTCTCTGTTCCTCCTCTTTCTCGTCGATGTCCTCCTTGTCGTTCACGACCTCCGTACGACCAGATGCTTTCTGTTCCTCGGCTTGCTCGTTCTCTTCTTGGATCAGCTCTTGCTGTTCCTTGATGACTTGCAGCCTCTGCTTGTTCGTTGTTGCGCCTTCGGCGGTGTGCACTTCAAGCTCGATTTCATGGAAGAGCTCTTCTGGAATGCTGGCAAGCACGGCCTGGAGTGCCGACATTTGACCCTCGAATTCGTTCTCCTTGCCGGTGGCGTACATGAAAGCGTTGCTCAGAACGAGAAGGGTGCTTGGGACACCATACTTGAGACGCAGATCGAGCCACATCTGGAGATCATCCCGCAGACGTCCCGGGCTCATGCCGTGAGTGCGAAGACCACGTGCGGCGCAGGCGTTTTGCAATTCTGGGACAGAAAGCGACTCGACGCCTTCAAAGCTGATAGCCTTGTCGTCGCGCTTGATCTGTCGCATGCGATGGCGGATAGTGTATCGAAGCATGGCATCGGTGCCAAATGTGCCCAAGTTCATGTATTTGCAGATACCGATCAATTGTGGTCTCGACAAATTGTCCAGAGTCAAATCGTCTTTGAACAACTTGCAGACCTTGATGATGTCCGCCTTTGTGGGCTCCTCTCCCGTGGTCTTCAACTTTCGGAAGAACTCTGTGAACTCCTCTTTCTGCGCTGTGGTTTGAGATACGGGAAGTCCAGACTCACGCATGGTCTGGCGCAAGAAGTTCGAAACCTCTTTTCTTGACGACCGGAGGCGGGAGGCCTTGGACTCCTTGCTCTTTGCGTTCTCGTAGGTGGAAGGCAACATGTTTGGGAACAGCTTTAGGGCGACTGGAAGCAACAGTTCTGCGAATGGGACCAGCACGAACACCGAGAATGGCACAAGGCGGCCAAGATCTTGCACGGTCCTGGTGAGTTGACGGTGTTCTCTTCGTGTGAGTTCGTAGCCTGCCGCCATTTTGAAGGCCAGTTTCGAGGAGATGCGCACTTCGGTGCCCAGCAGTTTCGTACCATCCCAGTAATGCTGCGCTTCGTGCTTAACCTTCTCCCACATGGTCATCTTTTTCTTCTCCTCCTTCTTTGCAACGTCCTTCTTCGCCTCCGCTTTTTCTTCCGCTGCAGTCTCTGCGGCAATTTCGCTCAGAGCCTGCTGCTCGGCAGCCTGTGTAGGAGCGGATTCGGAAGGCTTGTGAGCTGGAATGGAGATCTTCTGTTCCGAGGACTTTTTGTCGGCCTCCTTGGCGATTGGCTTCTTAGCCTGCTCGATGTTGAAGCCAGGTGGCGGACCACTGTTTTCTCCATGGTGTTGATTGTTGGTGGATTGATGCATGCGAGGAACGATGATGGCCATTGCGGGCATGGTCCTAGGCAGGCGAGCAGATCTCGAGAAGGCGGTTCTCGTGCCATGGCGAAGCAGGAGAGGCGCAAGTTGCGCCGAGTAGCGTGAGTTCATCATGCTGGCCGGCAGCAGAAGAAGAATAGCGGGAGTCGATGCCCTCGTCGGTTTGCAAGGCGGGCGATGATGGGTGGCGGTGGTGGGGAGGTGATGTTGAGAGGGAGAGAAAACAGAGTTGGCTGACTTGCGTCTCAGCGAGTTAGATCTACTGACATCAGCAGCTGCTGCAGCAAAGAACGGCAGACACCCTGGTCGTTCCGTTGAAGCCAAGCCCGGACTTAAAACGAAAGCTTCTCGCCGACAGGGTCTGTGGGCCAACTTCTTGTTTTGAGAATAATGTAGACACGCAATAATATGCTGGATAAACAGCGTCTGCGTCTTGTCCCTACTCTGTTGCCTGAGCGAGCCTAGTCGCATCTCCCGAGCTGTGGCTACGCGTAGCAGCTCGGCAGGCGGATCTTCTGCTGTGGAATGTGTACTTTGTGGAAGATTTATGACCACTGCAAGTACATAGCCCCCCGTACTCGCTCGGCCGGTCGCTCTCGGTCATCACACGAGCTCCTCCGCAGCAGCTCCGCAACAGCGACACCTGCCGTCCCTCGGCGCTGTTTTTGGTTGAACGACACTAGATCTTATCGTCCGCCCATCCCACCCGCCTGCCCTTCCTCTTCCTCTCTCACACCTCACTCACCATCCTCACCTTCGCCATGGCCGTCTACGACAGCAGCTGACACACCTTGTCCGCGGAAGGCTCACGAGTCTTCACCATCACACCCATTGCGCCGGCTCCCGCTTTCCCGACCTGCTGCACTTGAACCACCCGCTTGCGACTCGGCCAGTATTGCCATCGACACAACTTGCGACTCGATATCAATACCAGCCATGCCGACTTCAAGGCTGCGCCGAGCAGCTCGGGTCATTCTCATTGGTGCGCCGGGTGTTGGAAAGGGCACACAGACGGAGCGATTGATGAAGCGCTTTCCACAACTATCTGCCATCAGCTCGGGAGATTTGCTGCGGGATAATGTTCGCAACAAGACACCGCTCGGTGAGTCGCTATCCAATTCATCCCATGACGTGAGCCAAACACTGACGTCGCGTGACCAGGCATTCAAGCCGAATCGCTCATGAATCGCGGAGCCTTGGTGCCCGATGCCATGATTCTACGATTGATCCGCAACGCTCTCACTACCAAAGGCTGGCTCATACCTGCAGATGGCATGCAACCATACACATTGAACTACAGCAACGCAGCCGATCTGCAGCCTGCGGCGGGTGATGGGGTGCCCGAGAGCTGGACGACAATTCCTACTGAGTTGGACACCGACTACCGTTACAGCGAACATCCAGATGCGTCCTTCATCCTAGACGGATTCCCGCGCAATGCAGCACAGGCCGAGCAATTGGAGAAAATGGTGCCAGTCAACATGGCTATCCAACTGCATACTCCTACTGAGATCATCCTTGACCGAATCTGTAATCGATGGGTGCACCCGTCGAGCGGGAGAGTGTACAATACGACCTTCAACGCACCGAAAGTCGATGGCAAAGACGACATCACGGGAGAGCCACTGATCCAGAGAGATGATGACAAACCAGAAGTCTGGATGAATCGGCTAAAGACTTTTGACGAAAGTAGCCGAGGTCTAGTCGATTACTTCAAGAAGCGAGGTGTACTATGGAGAGTCGAAGGCAACAGTAGCGACGAAATCACCCCGAAGCTATTCGACGAGTTCGAAAAGCGATTTGGCGAAGCTTGAAATGAACATCGTTTGAAATTGTGTATGCAAAGCTTGCTACGATTGATAGGATGGGAAGACCGAAAGACTGACATGCTGAGCGTGGCGTCTGGAGTATACAGTGCGGGAATCGGCTCGACTTTTGAGGCAAGTCTGGGAGCGACCGACTGGGAGAATACCCAAAGGGCATCAGGTTGAATGCACAGAATGTAACAACAATAGCATGTGTAGTGCTAACGAAATGCATCATCTGCACATTGAATACAGAACTCGCCTCACTCCTCTCGAGCGCGATGCATGTCAAATAGATCGGATCCCTGAGTTCCGAGCGGCGATGAGTTCTGCGAAGGAAACTCGAAAGATCGCCGCTGGTGCGAGGCGAGGACGAATTCCTGTTGCGCGTTATGTCGTGGATGTTGGCCGACGCGCATTCTGCTCGCATTGAAGAGCCCACTTCTTTCGATTCCTGCAATCCAGTCCACTCGCGTAGCAGAAGATGCTGCTCAGCTTCCCTATATCCCGTCATGTTTGGTATCGCCGTCTTCGCATAGTTCATCCTTCTCACAGAGAAATAAGGACGACCGAAGTTTCCGTGGTTCTCCTCGAAACGCTATCGATTCAGTAGAGATCGTTGCTCGCTTGCACAAATGTATTGTAATCTTCTCGAATGGCTGTTGCAGCGTCCGAAATCAACAGCAAAAGCATCGGACGTATTCTCGTCCTGAGATTCGTGCCGGGCAAATGTTGCTGACAATGTGGCCACTCAGATAGAGAGCACCTTTCGTCTCCGGTCATGGAAGATTCTCTATACACTCATCTTCATGGCAATGGACTTGTGCGGCTCGTATCCAACAACTTTGAAGTCTTCCGCTTTCCATCCATCAATACTGCAACCCACTTCTCTCGATATCTCCAGCGTCGGAAAGTCGCGCGGCTCTCGTTGTAATTGTACCTCTAAGGCTTCCTTGTGATCCAGATAGACGTGCGCATCTCCCATCGTATGCGTTAGACTGCCAGGAACCAGGTCGGTGGCGCGCGCAATCATGTGTGTTAACAGTGCGTACGAAGCAATGTTGAATGGCACCCCTAGGCCCATGTCGTTGCTGCGTTGGTAGAGTAGACAATGGAGAACACCGCGCTTACTGCCATTTCCCCTCGTGCTTGCGTCCTTGGGGAACGAAACATAGAACTGGGCAAACATGTGACAAGGTGGCAAAGCCATCTTCTTCATATCTGCGGGATTCCAGGCAGACATAATGATTCTTCTGTCGTAAGGATTGTTCTTGAGCTTGTGAATGACCTCAGCCAGCTGATCCACTCCTTGTCCAGTATAGTCTGTATGGCAATCCTTGTACTCGGCACCAAAATGTCTCCATTGAAATCCATAGACTGGCCCAAGATCGCCTTCTTCGCGGTGAGAAAGTCCAACGCTGTCTAGGTACTCTCTAGACCCGTTACCATCCCAGATGTGAACGTTCTGATCCTGGAGCGTCTTCGCATTGGTATCTGCTGCAACGAACCACAGCAACTCTGCTACCACCGCACGTAGAAAGACGCGTTTCGTGGTCAGGAGTGGCAATACTAATGTCCCATCTGGTTTGGAAAGAGTATAGCGATGTTGCGGTGGGAATGGGATAGAGAGCGTGCCAGTTCCAGTTCTATCGGGGCGATGTTCACCATGTTGTAGAATGTCTCGAATGAGGTTCAAATATTGGTACTCTTCGTGCGGTTTCGTATGCCCATTGACGGTACCGTTTTCCGTCTTGACTTGAAGCTGAGGCTCAATCGCGGTGCTGGCTTCGACTGCTGCTGGCGCCATCTTGACTTGTGTATGAAGTTCTGTTGATCGGGAAATAGTGAATTTGGAGCGAGACGCGTTGTCGCGGGGCAGACGCGCCTTCCCTGCACGAGCACTTTCGGGCGGAAAGCGGCAAGTGACGACAAATTGTGGCGTCGGCATGCTGTGGCTGGCGACTCCGACAAGCCGACGAGCACGCTTCATGAAGGCAGCATGTGAAAGTCGACGCCTACGAACATCTCACAGGCGCCCATCGCCTCCACGTCCACATCATGGCCATCAAGCAGCAGAGCTGGACGGCATACGCCTTCGATTTTCTTCCTATGATTGCTGCGGTAAGGCTATGACACGATACACGCCCGTTGCCAACTTACTGACCACCGCGCAGCCCGTTGTCGCCTTCTTCCTCGCCCGACAGATTATCGCCCACTTCGACCCTGATGCGAAAGCCAAGAAGGAAGCACAGCAAAAATCAGCAGCAGTAGAATCCCGGCTTCATTCTATCTTCAACACTCACGAGACCTACGACGACGAGCACGATGACGAAGACTCCGGCTTCGTCGAGCGACCGAGGAAGCAAGAGCTTGCACTGAACACATACGAGCAGACTATCGCTTCCGAAGTAGTCGCGCCGACCGAAATACCTGTTACATTCGACGATATAGGTGGCTTGGACCAGATCATAGAAGAGCTGCGCGAAGGCGTGATATATCCGCTCACCATGCCTCACTTGTATTCGAACCACTCCAGTCTTCTTACTGCCCCCTCTGGTGTATTACTTTATGGACCTCCTGGATGCGGAAAGACAATGTTGGCAAAGGCTTTGGCACGTGAAAGCGGCGCATGCTTTATTAATTTGCATATTTCAACCTTGACGGAGAAATGGTACGGTGACAGCAACAAATTGGTGGCGGCGGTCTTTTCGCTTGCTAGGAAACTGCAACCCTCTATCGTATTCATTGACGAGATCGATGCTGTGCTCGGACAAAGGAGGAGCGGCGAACACGAGGCAAGCGGAATGGTGAAGGCTGAGTTTATGACACACTGGGATGGTCTTGCTTCGTCAACGACAGAAGGGGGAAGCCAAAGGATTTGCATTCTCGGAGCAACGAATAGGATCCAGGATATCGACGAGGCCATCTTGCGACGTATGCCGAAGAAGTTCCCGGTCAGTCTGCCGAATGCTGCGCAAAGGAGACAGATATTCGAGTTGACGTTACGCGACACCAAGATCGACCGAAGGAAGTTCCAAAATGGTGCAGCTGCATTTGATCTGGATGTGCTCGTGCGCGTAAGTGCTGGCATGAGTGGGTCCGGCATCAAGGAGGCGTGCAGAGATGCCGCCATGGTACCCATCCGAGAATACATCAAGGAGCAACGACGAAGCGGACAGACCATGAATAAGCGGATTAGGCCTGATGCGGTTCGAGGTTTGCAGACAGATGATTTCTTTGGACGAAGAGGCGGTGCTCCTCAAATGCAAATACAGGAATCCGACGATGATCGCGCAGGCGATAACAGCGACAGCACGGAGGAGGTAGAAGAGTTCGACGACACTGAGGAGGTCGTGCGTCGCTGATTTCGATACCCCAATGTTAGCGTTCTCTGCTCCTATTCCCATTAGCGCACAGAGCTAGTGCACCGGCGCGAACATAGACAAGTGTTACAGGCTTGATAATCGCACCATATCTCCTTCGTATTGGCCTGAAAGATCTATTAGCGTGCAGGGATCGGATGAAGCAGAGAGGATCTGGAGCGTCTGCTAGGCCTCCGATGGTTTCGTGAGCGATCTCACCAATCTCTCGGGGATTCGTGAGCCGCGGACGTCGCAAATATCGGGAGCACAGGACGACAGTCATTTCATGCCTCGGAAAATACAGGCTTCATACTACAGCAACTGTCCAACACTAAATGTCCGGCTTATATCCGCACACGACGGCCATACACGAGTGAATGAATCGGATACTGAATACTACCCACAATGCCGTCGAGCAGTGTTCTGAACAGGATCGGATCCGTAATCCAATGATCCTGTTCGCGGTGTACCCGGTCAGTGCCGCCAGCTATAGGAGGGGTTGACCGCCGTCACAGCTACGACTTCGAATCTTTAGGTTATGTGAAAGCCTTGGACAAGATCAGGCTCAATTCTTGCATCAATGGAAACATTTTGGCAGATTTGATATAATCATGCACATTTGATTGCAACACATGCCATTTGCAGCCACAAACATGAATTTGCTTCAAAATTCTGCAGAACTTAGATCCTTACCATTCGAACTCGTCGTAGCGTCGGCATCAGTCCCCTTTGAAGTGCCATCTTTATTCCAATACTCATCTTCAAGAATCTCCACCTGCCCCTTCAATTGTATGGCTCCTTTGACCTTGGTTCTCCATTTCGGCCTTCGCTCCGGGAAGACCTCAACCTTGGGCACAGTCTCGTTGACAATACTCTGATCATCCAGTACGCCGGCCCGCAAACCTATACAATCTTGTACATTGGGGCTGCCACCCGTGCGAAAGAGAATCGTTCCGCAAGTTGCACAGAAGTGGTTAGTGATCTCGCGGTCGAAGTCAGATGGCTTCGTCCAGGTTTTCGGCGTCCCAGACGTGATCCTGAAGTGTTGCTTGGGAATTTGATAGACTGAGATGTCGGCCATCTTGCGGTCGTCGTCACACCAGCATATTGCCTTGCCCGCTGATCAGATATGCTTCGTAGCTGCTGGTGAAGAGCCTACCGTGAACATGGGCTCTCCTTCGTAGGTTATCTTGATCTCTCCGCATAGGCAGCTTCCTGATGGCATTTTGAACGCTGAGCGATGGTTGTTCCTGCATGTCAGCTCAAAATCATCTGTCTTTTATGGTGAAGTCTGAAGGATTCGTCTGTTGCCTATCAGCTCGGGTACCACATGAAGTTGCGAGTCATCTCGTTCCTGCTTATGATATGTAGCCCATTTGCTGCGGCACAACTCGACGATGGACGCAGCCCAGTGACTTCGCACGTACAACAAACCCTATGATCGTTTGAGGGTTTCGGCGTGTCATGGAGGGACTTGTCGGCCACACCTGCCATTATGGCTGCCCGGCCCGGTGGCTGCTCGCCGGTGTCACGGTCAGACTTCGCGCTGCCATGCTGTCTCCACGGAGTGCGGTCTGGTGCAGCGATGCCGGGCCCAGATGCGGTGGTGTGGCATTCGTCCCCGATGAAGAGAAGTGTTTCTGTCTTCACGCCCGCTCTCATGAACGTAGCGGAAAGCCAGCATTGATCTTGACAGCATGGAGGTGTGCAACGGTAGGTCGCAAAGTACAGCAGACTGAATTGGAAGCGTGGTCATTGTGCGTAATCTGCGGAAGTGAGATGTCTACAATATATCGCGCTCGTCGATGCCGTGCCGTATAGGGTATTTGTTCGCGGATGGATACACAATACGGATCCGTGCCAAGAAGTAATGCCCTGAGGATCCGATGCCGCTGTGCTTCTTAAGCCGAGGGCGGATGAGAGGGGACGTCACGACGAGCTCTGTTCTTCTACCGTTTCGCCTGCACTCCGCAAAAGATACATTGTTGGATACCCTCCATCCCTCTCCGCTCCACCTCGTCGTCTCTTTAGCTAGAAGACAGCGAGTTCTTCCTTTCCACGAATATGTCGACCCGCCGCATTGTGTCCAAGGGAAAGCTACTCCAGAGCTTGACGCTTCGGCCTGCAGCTCCAGTCGCCGCTCGATTTACCAGAATGCCGCAAAACCCCAATGCGGGCCAGCAGGCCGTCCGACGGCTACACGCCACAACTCGACACTTGCAAGGTACCACTTCCGCCGCGACGACAGCGACCGAATACCCAACGACCCACGAGAAAGTGCAACAGCCATTGAACACCCAGAACTTCATCGATAACAAGTTCATCGACTCTCAGGCTACACAATGGATTGATCTACACGACCCGTCCACAAACAACCTCGTTACCCGCGTGCCGCAGTCCACAGATGAAGAGCTGAAGGCGGCAGTAGACAGCGCCGAGAAGGCATTCCCAGCATGGAAGGCGACCAGTGTGCTGCACAGGCAACAGCTCATGTTCAAGTATGTGGCGCTGATCAGAGAGAACTGGGACCGCTTGGCCGCGAGCATCACGCTCGAGCAAGGCAAGACTTTCGCAGACGCCAAGGGTGATGTCCTTCGTGGTCTGCAAGTAGCAGAGAACGCATGCGGAATTACCACACAAATCACTGGTGAGGTGCTTGAAGTGGCCAAGGACATGGAGACTCGTTCGTACCGGGAGCCACTGGGCATTGTGGCAGCCATTTGCCCCTTCAACTTCCCAGCCATGATTCCACTTTGGACTATCCCCATTGCCGCCATTTCTGGTAACACTGTTATCATCAAGCCTTCAGAGCGCGACCCAGGTGCCACCATGATCCTCGCGGAGCTCGCGGAGAAGGCTGGCTTCCCACCTGGAGTGATCAACATCATTCACGGTGCAGCCAAGACTGTTGACTTCATCATCGACGAGCCACGTATCAAGGCCATTTCCTTCGTCGGATCCAACAAGGCTGGCGAGTACATCTTCAGCCGTGGCAGTGCACAAGGCAAGCGTGTCCAGGCCAACTTGGGCGCCAAGAACCACGCCGCTGTCCTACCTGACTGCAACAAGAACGCCACACTGAATGCCATCGCTGGTGCTGCGTTCGGTGCCGCGGGCCAGAGATGTATGGCACTTTCCACACTTGTCTTCGTGGGCGAGACCAAGGACTGGGCTCCTGAAATCGCCGAGCGTGCAAAGGCTCTCAGCATGAACGGCGGTTTCGAGGAGGGCGCAGATCTTGGTCCAGTCATCTCTCCACAGGCAAAGGAGAGGATCGAGGGCCTCATTGCGTCTGCTGAGAAGGAAGGTGCTACCATTGTACTTGATGGTCGCGGAGCAAAGCCAAAGGATGCCAAATACGCCAATGGCAACTGGGTAAGCATTTTTACGAACAGTTTCCTACCGAGCACGTGCTAACACCTTGCAGGTTGGACCAACTATCATCGCGAACGTGACCAAGGACATGCAATGCTACAAGGAGGAGATTTTCGGTCCTGTCCTCGTCTGCTTGAACGTGCCAACCCTTGACGATGCGATCAAGCTCATCAACGACAATGAATACGGCAACGGAACCGCTATCTTCACCGCATCTGGCGCCACAGCTGGCAAGTTCCAGAAAGAGATCGAGGCCGGGCAAGTCGGTATCAACGTACCGATTCCAGTGCCGTTGCCAATGTTCAGCTTCACAGGAAACAAGAAGTCGGTTGCAGGAGGAGGCGCAAACACTTTCTACGGCAAGCCAGGCTTGAACTTCTACACACAACTCAAGACTGTGACAAGTCTTTGGAGAAGCGAGGACGCTATTAGCACAAGGGCGACTGTGAATATGCCTACTCAGTCGTAAAAAAAAAATCAAAAGCGTTGGTTCTTGTGAGTGTGAAAATACCGAAATTGTACGATGCAATGTAGTGGACGAACGACCAACGACAGCAAAACTCACAAGTCCGTCCTTAAGTCCCGGCGTATCTTGCCCCACGATTGATAAGCTACAACACGTTGCACGGCAGGTTGTGGTGTGGAGATCACGGAGTTTACGATCCTTCGGAGTTGTCTTCGTATTAGGGTTCATGTATCAATGGCCATACATAAATTCCACTGCCTCAACACTGTTGTTTCAACACCTAGATACCACCAATACTTTCGCCGATTGATCAACACTTGACCGCCGATATGCCGCCTCCACGAGGCACACCCAACGTCCTCGAAGGACCAGGTATGTTGAAATTGGCACACCCAAATGCCCTTCGGAGTTCTCCCTCCACATACTAAACAATCTCCAGGCGACTACACCATGACCCAAAAAGTATTCAACGACACCTACCCCTTCATCGATCCCACAAAAGCCAACCTCACAGGAAAATCCGTCCTCATCACCGGCGCATCCAAAGGCCTCGGCCAACAAATCGAAATCTCATTCGCCAAAGCCGGAGCATCCCACATCGCCATGGGAGCCAGGAGCTCCCTGACTACAACCTCCAGCCTCATAAAATCCTCGGCCCTCGCAGCCGGCCATCCCGAACCCCAAATCCTCCCTCTGAACCTCGACATCGCATCCCGCACCAGCGTCTCAGCAGCCGCAGAACTCATCTCCAAAGGCTTCTCCGGTAAACTCGACATCCTAATCAACAACGCCGGCATGATGTCCTCCAACGACCTCATCGGCTCTTCCACTCCTGAAACCTGGTGGGACGAGACCATGAACGTTAATCTCCAAGGAACTTATCTCATGACAGGATCCTTCCTCCCTTTACTACTCGCCTCCTCCACCAAGACACTCATCAACATCTCCTCCGTCGGTGCACACCTCGTCAATCCCACTCTTTCCGCCTATCAAATTTCCAAACTCGCCGTTCTTCGATTGACGGAGTTTGTAGCAGCAGAATATGCAGATCAAGGACTTGTGGCGATTGCTGTGCATCCAGGGAATATCTTGACAGATATTGTAGGGAATGGAGAAGGGATGAATGAAGAATTGAAAGCGGCGTTCACTGAGACTCCGAGACTGTGTGCAGATACTTTGGCATTTCTGTGTCAGGAGCAGAGAGAATGGTTATCGGGAAGATATGTGAACTGTACATGGGATCTGGAAGAATTGGTCAGTGAAGAGAAGAAGAAGGAGATTGTAGAGAGGGATAAGCTGAAGGTCAAGTTGGTTGTTTGACTTGAGGGTATTAAAACTACTTTCAGTCATCTTTCTTCCCGTCAGGAGCCCAGCTGGCTTGTATGCTTGAACAGACGGCCACATAATCATTCCACTTCTGCTCGTTTTCGATGACACCTTCGCCAGTCCAGAACATTGTCCAATTGCTGTCTGGTATTTGCCAGCTCCCAGCTGCACGCTCAAAGTACCATTTGTTGACGGGATTGTCGGTCCTGCTGCGCCAGCATACGCCGTTGGGAAAACAGCTGCGCACCATTGCTTGGAAGACAATGTCGGCGACGCCGCTTGACCCTTGTGAGCTCTGCAAGACGGCGAATTTGTCGAGATATGGTACTAGTCGTTGCGGATCGTTAACACCGGGCGGCATTTCCCATGTGAGGATCGCACCGCCTTCGTACTGTCCGGCTACGATAATGCCAGCGACATGACTGTTCACTCGTTGTAAATAGTGCTTGACATTCAGTTTGCGTCGGAAACTGTTTTCGATCAGATGTACCAGACGAGGAAGGTCCACGCGTGGATCCTTTTCGAGTTGTAGTGGAGTTCTCCCGACACTCGGCTTTTGCCAACCACGTGTCCTGCCTACTGATGGAATGACACTGAGCGGCATGCCCTTTCTGAGCACAGTGCTCGCTTCCGTCAGAGGCCCTTCATCGCCGTCGTGTTCTTTTGGGGCCAGTCGAGCTGCGGGTAGCGATGATGATATTACAGGCTTGTTTGTGAGAAGGTTATGGATCAGCGGGTTCTTCTGTCGTCTTGTTCCGGCAGCACCAAGTGGAGAGGGAGCAGCGTCCGTAGCTGTTGACGAGCTTGCGGCTTCGTGTGGTGAGACAATGAGTCCTGAAGATGATGATGGTAATATGTGTAGACATCGTCGAACCAGCTCCAAGTTGTCACGATGTTGATCATAGAAAGCTGGACCTCTGCTGTTTGTTTCGTCTTGGCGAGCTTCTTCTGCGTACTCTGCCAGTTCGCTCTCCACTAGGTCGTATTCCTGATCAAGATTAATGAAGACATGCGCTCCGTGCCCTCGATGCTTGCTGGGAATACCTCCAACTGCATCCAAAACAACAATCCGATCGAGGCTAACCTCGCCGTAGTTATGTGCAGCATCATCATCCACAGGTTTGTCCTTTCCAGTGAGATATTTGGTCAAAGCAGCCATAATATCGGCGGCTGCCACTTCCACGAGTTGACCGGAAGTGTTGTAAGCCAATGGTGATACTATTGGAACCATGCCACGACTTAACGGATCCATGATCAAATTTGGCATTGCCACTTGCAACTCCATCGTATCAATGCCCTGCTCCCAGTGATCTTCGTACGTTTCGAGGGCGTTCGGCACAGATCGAGCACCTTCCGGATTATGACGATCTATGGCATCGCAGAGTCGATCTGCTTGCTGGGCGAGGACACGTCGCATTGTTTTTGTATCAGCCAGTTGTTCTGCGTGGTCTTCTGCTTGGACATTGGAAGGGTTGATGTCCAGAACGAGAATCATGGCCATGTCAAGTTTGACCAATTGAGAAATTGTTCTGGCAAGGCCGTCCAGAGTGAAGTCGTCGATGGCTTCTGGCGCTTTGAGACATGCTAGCGCCACATGTAGTTCTTGCTGGGGTTCCTGCACTTGCTGTTCTCGGAAAGCATTTTGAACAGTGAATTGTGGAGAATTTGCAATCGCCCTCGCGGGAGTGTACAGTCCGCCAAGATTCACACCGTTATGGTCCTCTCTCTGTTTGGTGCGGTGACGAGAGCCATGGGAGTCATCTTGTGGTGCTGCATTGCTTGGGCCCAGGTACGCCCTGGTTCGTGCTGACTGCTCAAATCGAGCCAGATACTGTTTGGCGTCGCGCTTGGTGGCATTCGCCGTCAGCACATTCATCACCAGCTCGCGCTGCTTGGCGGCGTCGTCGGCCCTCGCGGCATGCTTGCCATTGGCAGTTGGAGGCGGAGGTGGCGGTGTGGTGGAGTTGGAGTATACACGGCCGCATTGGCTGACGGTCAACTTCTTAAGTCCCCCGTATACGTTTGCCTTTCCAGACGCCAACATAGAGGTAGTCATTTTCCATGTCACGGAACGAGTGGTGTGGGCAGAGGGAAACGTCTTTGATGTCTGGGCCCAATGCCGGCAGTAGCCCCGAAAATGGCGAGCAAAATGCGACGCGATTCCCTGCTGCTACGGCGGCGTGGGGTGGTGCATCTGGGTCCGAGGCGGACGGGCGCAGTCGAGTGTTGCACAAGAAGTGGCAATGGCAGCCCGAGGAGGGAGGGGAGAGGAGGGAGTCAGTCACGATCCGCTGCGGCACTTTGGGATGCGCGCGACTTTTTGTTATCTAATCTGATCATCTGATTCTTCCGACGACGACGTGGCGGGCGGGCATCGCTTGGCCTGGGCGGTGTATTCTATTGATCGTGGCGCTGCGAGGGAAGCGGTCGATGTGCTCGAGCGACTACTGCGCCTACTGCGATCTAACCACCCTGCCAGACCCGCAAGTGCAGAATTTGTGCAGAAAGCGGCCGACCGTTCTTCTTTCCGCACGAGAACTCCAACGCGTGGCCAGGGTCTGCATTGTGCCTGTGCCCTGCTGCGTCGAGTACGATTCAGACCGCGGTGAACTCACTCCGCTCTCCTCTCCTTCGACGCTCGAGAAGCTACCAGCCGGAGATGCAGCACCCTCATTTGGTCGTCGTAATGCGCGGCAGATTGGGAGTAGGAGGTATGCCGCGGGGGCTATTGAGATCAACCAACATCGTAGCCTGAGGCTACATACACGAGGGCTCGCATGCCCACGTGTAACATCGTTCGGCGGCATGTACATCATTGCCGTCCTGAAATAAGCAATGCTTGCGGGACTGGCCTCTCACGAGAGCTTGCCGTGGGAGCTCGTCATGAATGGCGGTCGTGGTGTGCCTTCAACAAGCAAAGACGCAGCCTGGGGCGGGATGTTACTCCGCCCATGAGCATTCTGATTTTAGCCCTCGAGGTCAAATGCTGCGTAATGCGTGGCCCGACAAGCTCCAACGATGATGTACGATTCCAGAGCGTACTGGACAGGCTTTGATAAAGCTATGCTATTGTCACTTTCTGGCCTTGTTCCTTGCCAGTGGGCCGAGGGAGACGCGGCATGAGTTGGGTGAATTGTCGCAATAGAGATGATTCAAGGCTTTGCTGGAACTAGTTACTGATAACCTGACGTTATGTAAGCGTATGCCAGGCTGAGTGAGGATTCGCGCAGCACGGAACGGCGGTTAAATGCTTGGCGCTCGCGTGGGCCGACCTTTGTTTACTCCCGCCGGTAAACATTGCAACTAGAAGTCCAACAACACCACTATGCGCACCTAGCGACCTGGACGACGCGATATACCCACCGCCACGATGCGCATCACCGAGTTGATCATCGACGGCTTCAAGTCGTACGCCGTGCGCACCGTCATCTCCGGCTGGGACCCCACCTTCAACGCGATTACTGGCCTGAACGGATCTGGAAAGTCGAATATCTTGGACGCGATATGTTTTTGCTTGGGCATTGGCAAGTTTGAGCTGTTGCGTGCGACAGGCGGAGCGAGTGATCTCATCTACAAGAGGGGGCAGGCCGGCATTACAAAAGCGTCAGTCACGTTGGTGTTCGACAATGGCGACACCGCGAAATCGCCAATTGGTTTCGAAGATGTGCCTGTCATCAACGTCACGAGACAGATCGTGCTGGGCGGCACCAGCAAATACCTCATCAATGGACATCGTGCGCAGCAGCAGACGGTGCAGAACCTGTTCCAAAGCGTGCAGCTCAACATCAACAACCCCAATTTCCTGATCATGCAGGGAAAGATTACAAAGGTGCTGAACATGAAGAGCACCGAGATTTTGGGCATGGTGGAAGAAGCGGCGGGCACACGCATGTTTGAGGACAGGCGCGAGAAGGCGCTGAAGACGTTGGCCAAGAAGCAGACCAAGGTGGAGGAGCTGGAAGGTCTGCTCAAGGAGGAAATCGAGCCGAAGTTGGAGAAGCTGCGCAACGAGAAGCGCGCATTTCTGGAGTTTCAGAGCACACAAAATGACCTGGAGCGACTTACGAAACTGGTCATCGCCTATGACTACATCAAGAGTAAGCAGAAGATGGAACAGAGTGCACAGGATTTGGCGGCGAAGAAAGAGCGTGCTGTAGAGCTCGAGGTTAGCGCGGAAAAGCTCCAGCGTGAAATCGGTGTGATTGAAGAGGACAAGGAAAAGGTGCGAGCGGCTCGTGACAAGGAGCTCCGCAAGGGCGGCAAGTTTGCAAAGTTGGAGGAAGCGGTCAAGGAGCATTCGATCAGCCTCGAGCGACTGGATGCGCAACTGGAACTTAAGAAATCTTCAATGGCAGAGGAGCAAGAGCGTCTGCAGAAGATGCAAGCGACAGTAAAAGATCTGGAGAAGCAGCTGAAGCAGAAGACCGAAGCTCATCAAAAGCTGCAGCAGAAATACGAAGCAGCGAGCAAAGAGCTGGAGGAGCAGAGAGCGGAAGTGGACAAGAAGGAAGAACTGCTTCAGACTTTGCAGACCGGTATCTCGTCGAATGCTGGATCCGATGGAGGCTATGCTGGTCAACTCGCCGCGGCTCGAGATAGTGCATCGAAGGCCGGAACAGAGATTGAGCAGTCAAAATTGAAAATTAGTCATCTGGAAGCACGCATCAAGGAAGACGAGCCACGTGCTAAACAGGCCGAGAAGGAGAACGCTGGTCTTTTGAAAGACCTGGAATCGCTGCGAACTCAGGCGGCAAAATTACAGACACGCCTGGAGAAGCTTGGATATCAGCCAGGTAGGGAAGAAGAGCAGCAGGCAGAGAAGTCTCAGCTTGAGAAGCGCGTACGGTCATTGCAGGGCGAGGCGGAAGGACTACGGCGGCAGGTCGCAGGCTTGGACTTCTCCTATGCGGATCCCGAACCGAACTTTGATCGGAGGAGAGTGAAGGGTCTTGTTGCTCAGCTTTTCAATCTGCCTGATTCATCGACAGAGGCAGCCACAGCACTCGAAATTTGCGCGGGTGGAAGACTGTACAATGTTGTAGTGGACACTGCAAAGACTTCCTCTGCACTGATCGAAAACGGCAAACTTAGACGACGAGTCACCATTGTTCCGCTGGACAAGATCGATGCGTCCAGAGCAGATGCTGGAAGAGTCAATGCTGCCAAGCAGCTCTGCCCTGGAAATGTTCATCTGGCAATCAACCTCATTGGCTATGCTCATGAGGTGGAGAAGGCAATGGAATATGTCTTCGGCAATACTCTTGTCTGTGCAGACGCAGCTACAGCGAAAAAGGTCACATTCGACCCCTCGGTGCGAATGATGAGCGTGACAGTTGAGGGTGATACATACAACCCGAGCGGAACGTTGTCAGGCGGCTCAGCAGCATCAGGTAGCGGTGTTCTGCTCAAGTTGCAAAAGCTCAATGCGATCACCCAGGCATTGGAGTCTGAAGAAGCAAAACTTGCCGCCCTTGATGAAGCTATGAGGCAAGATGCCCAGAAGCTGAAGAGTGCGCGCCAGTCGAAACAGGAGTTGGACCTCAAGAACCATGAGATCCAGCTTGCTGAAACACAAATCGCAAGCAACTCTTCCAGTAGCATTATTGCATCGGTGCAGGAGATGAAGAACACAAATGTTGCTCTCAAGGAGAACATTCAAGCTGCGAAGGCACGTCAATCCGAGGCGAGCGCCGAAGTGAAGCGCATCGAGAAGGACATGAAGGACTTCTCATCGAACAAGGGCGCCAAGCTTGAACAACTACAGGCTGAGCTGGACAAGCTCAAGAAGGCCTTGGCCAAGACACAAGGTTCTATCAAGCCACTCCAGCAGGAAGTGCGCGATGCGAGTGTGGACGCCGAGCAGATTGGTAGCGACCTGACTACTGCACAAGAAGAGCTCCATGATGCCGAGACCACTCTGAAGGGCCAGCAAGAGGAGCTTGCAGCGCATGAGGCAGAGCAGAGGCAAATCCGTGACAAGCACGCGGAAGCTGAAGCCGCCTTGAACGATGAGAGGAAGAAGCTCAGCTCGTTCGACGATGAGATTGCTGACCTCGATCGTACTGCGAAGAGAAAGACTCAGCAGATCTCGGATGAGAAGATCGAGGGTCAGAAACTTGGCCACGCCATCGATAACTTTGCAAGAGCCCAGCAAGGAGCACAGCAAGCGGTGTCAAGTCTGGAGAAAGAGTATGACTGGATTCTCGAGGAGCATTCATCCTTTGGCCGAGCGAACACGCCATATGATTTTCACAACCAGAACATGGCAGAGTGCAGGTCAAATCTGAAGAACGTGACAGAGCGCTTCACAGGCATGAAGAAAAAGATCAACCCAGCTGTCATGGCGACCATCGACAGCGTTGAGAAGAAGGAGCGCGACCTAAAGAACATGATGCGAACAGTGATACGTGACAAGAAGAAGATTGAGGAGACAATAATCACGCTGGACGAGTACAAGAAGGAAGCTCTGCACAAGACGTGGTCGAAGGTCAATGAGGACTTTGGACTTATCTTCAACGATCTCTTGCCCGGTAACACGGCGAAATTGGATCCTCCCGAAGGCAAAGCCATCAGCGACGGTCTCGAAGTCAAGGTCTGTCTCGGCAAAGTCTGGAAGCAATCACTTACAGAACTGTCTGGAGGACAGCGATCGCTGATTGCTCTCTCGCTCATCTTGTCGTTGTTGCAATACTCGCCTGCACCTATGTACATTCTGGACGAGGTTGATGCGGCGCTCGATCTTTCACATACACAGAACATTGGTCGACTGATTCGGACGAGATTCAGAGGGAGCCAGTTCATAATTGTATCGCTTAAGGATGGGATGTTTACCAACGCCAACAGGATCTTCAGAACGAGGTTTATGGATGGTACGTCCGTTGTGCAGGCTTTGACGCCAGCTGATATGAAGTGATGGGAAGCATGTTGGGTATACCACGGGCTGGCGTTGTTTATTTGGGAACTCTGTTCATATTTCGTAGCTGGCGGTCTTTGTCAGGCGCATTCGAATCGTCGCAACTGGTTACGACCAGAGGTAAAGTGTGGTTTATGACATGATATAAGGCTAAGTTCAAGACGAGACGGAAGTGTAAGTACATGCAGCGCTTGGCAGACACCTCGGGCATTACTGCCGCCATAGCAATTGCGGCCTTCTCTACCAGAGTTTCTGGTCTTCCAGCAAGGACATGATGAAATGTCAAGCGATGTTATTGATTCTTCACTTCTGTTTCTCCAAGCTCGATGCAGCTGCTTTTCTAGTACATGGTGTCTTGGCCGCAGTCGGAGCTTCCGCAGGGTGGAGCTTCGCCCAGCTCACCAAGAGCTACACCCAATGCCTTCAAATGCCGACCTCACGTCTGAAAGATCATCCGCGGACCGAGACTCCAGGTGTGAAGTGCATCATCCGCAGCATACATAGGCACTGTCTCCGGCGACTGGAAGAACCGCGAGTGTAAGGATATTGCAGACCACGAGCCCCGACCACCGCGTTCTACCTGAAGCACACCACCAACGCCTCCACTCACCATGTCATCCTTGACCACTTCAAGCAAGCCTACGCGCCAGAATCGCGACACTGTCCTCTCAGCACTCCCATCCCCCTACCCAGGCGACCTCCGCTCCCAAATCAAGTCCCAAGTCTCCTCCTCATCAAGCAAGCTTCCACTGCTTGTAATCCTCGATGACGACCCAACGGGAACACAGACGTGCCACGCTATCAATGTACTTATGACCTGGTCTATCCCCGTCCTCCGCGACGCCTTCAACTCCGAAACAACGTCCAACATCGGTGGCTTCTTCATCCTAACAAATTCCCGCGCCCTCCATCCCCACGAAGCAGAAAACCTCATCACAGAAATAACCCAAAATCTCCAAACCGCAAGTCAAGAAACCGGTAAAACATTCGAAATCGTTCTCAGATCAGATTCCACCCTCCGAGGACATTTCCCTCTTGAAGCAAATGCGGCAAGCAAAGTCCTCGGCGAAGCGGATCTCTGGGTCTTGGCACCTTTCTTTCTACAAGGTGGAAGGTACACGATTGATGATGTGCATTATGTAGATGAGGAAGGGACATTAGTCCCCGCAGGAGAGACGCAATTTGCCAAAGATGCAACTTTTGGGTATAAAGAGTCGAATTTGAGGGATTGGGTTGTGGAGAAATCGGGGGGAAGGATTTCGAGGGAGAAAGTTGTGGGGATTGGGTTGAAGGATGTGAGAGAGGGTGGGCCGGAAAAGGTTCAACAATTGTTGGAGGGGTATGAGAAAGGGAGTGTGGTTATTGTTAATGCGGCGAGTGAGAGTGATATGGATGTTGTGGTTTTGGGATTGTTGAGGGCTAGTGAGAAGAGGAAGTTTTTGTTTAGGAGTGGGGCGGCGTTGGTGAGTGCGAGGTTGGGGATTAAGCCTATTCCGCCGAGGACGAGAGAGGAATTGAAGTTGGATCCGAACGTTGGAGGTTTGATTATTGCGGGGTCGTATGTGCCGAAGACTACGGCTCAATTGGAAGTTCTGGTTGAGAAGAGTGGTGATAATCTTACTACTGTCACGCTGGATGTTGGGAAGCTACTTGAATCTTCAGATTCTGCAGAGCAGATCGTGAAAGAGGCTCAGGCGACTGCTGCGAGCGAAATTCAGAGAGGACGGGACGTTCTCGTCATGACTAGCCGGAAGCTAGTGACCGGAGCTGATGGCACTGAGAGTCTCAATATAGGAGCAACAGTGGCGAAAGCACTCGTGTCATTCTTGACTGGACTGCAGTCGCGCCCTCGATATGTGATCGCCAAAGGCGGCATCACTTCGTCGGACATGGCGACCAAGGGGTTGCAGATGAAGATCGCAACAGTTGTCGGACAAGCGGCACCAGGAGTACCATTGTGGGAGTGCTTAGAAGAGACGTCCAAGTGGGCTGGCATTCCTTATGTTGTCTTCCCGGGCAACGTCGGCTCGAACGAGACTCTGTTCCAAGTAGTCGATGGCTGGAGAGCTCAGTAGACATATTTCAGGTAGCATCTCCATTTGATTGATCGTTTGCTTGTGTTTCCTTCTGGGTTTGCGCCTCGTCAATCAATCCTTCGGTAGTCACAGCATTTTCGTCAGCCTCGCCCCATCCATACTCATCCGCATCTTCGTCAGAGTCGGCAATCTCTTCGTAGAAACGCTTGCGAGCTGGCTTAGCGGGACTGGAACTCTTTGCTGGCGGTCGTGCTACTACTGGCAGAGGCGAGCTGCTTGTCAAGTCTACAGTCGTATGCTTCGGTCGTAGTAGCCCATTCTCATCGATCTCGAATCCAATGGCGTTCCTAACGTCAGAGGTAGGGTCGAGAGGCATCAGGTTCCGGCCTTGACACTTTTGCACACCGGCGAATCTGCCAGCGAAGTCGCGGAATACAACGACCCGTGACCAGACTCCATTCTCCCATTCTGAGCCCCCAAGACCTGGACCAATGGCCGCTGGCATACCATCATCAGCTCGCATTTTCGAACCGCATCCAGTCGTGACGATGACTGCCATGCTGTGTAGCACAGCCAGCCTGCTCAACGCGGTGACCAGTGTACCCAGAATGGCATATCTACGGCCTGCCTGCCATTTCTGTTGCTCAGTCCGACCACCGTTTCCGTATGGCATTCTTGGATAGTCGGGATTCAAAAGAGCTTCCAGTCCATCCACTACCATCAACGTGGTGCCCGTTGGAGGAAATAATGCTGGAGGGTGCAGCACAAGAGCAAGGAGATGAGAGAAAGTCGAAATTGCGAGGTAACGAAAGTGGTCTTGAAGCAGTGCGTCTGCAGATTTACCTTCTGGTAGCTCAATGTGCTCGAGCACTCTGAGTCTAGCGGCACTCAGTAACGAAGAGCAGTCTACCGGCAATTAGTGCTTGCAATGAGGCCGTGGAAAACGATCTGCTCACCAAGCCAAGTCACAGTATCGCCCAACTTGAGAGCCTCTACAGCAGCTTGAAATGCAATCGCAGTCTTGCCAGCGCCTGCAGGTCCCCATATTTCGGCAACTTTGCCACGTTCGAAACCTGGACTTGCAGCTGGGTTGTTGCCAGTCAAAGAGTTGTCCAGGTAACTGATGCCGCTTGAGACCGCTGAGGCTCCCGGGTTCTCAAGATCTCCAAGTGCATCGGCAGCAGATTGTGTTGCAAGACGGTCTGCTGCGGGATCAGCATTTACTCCTGCAATAGTCAGCAGTGGGACTGCTTACGAGTCAATGCGCCTGGAACAGCTTGCGAAGAGCCATTTGAAGAGGAAATGGTAATGACTGGGTTCTGGACAGACATGCTGCCTGTCTCGGGATCATTACATGCGCTTATCTGGAGGGAGACAATATGTCTTGCCGTGAAGTGGAAAGTGATGAAGTCGGCAAGACTCGAGGCGTCAAAGTCGCGTCCTCGATGCGTGCCAAGACTGACAGTTTTGCCACTCGTTACAGCTTCAACATTTATTTATTTCTGAACACTGACAGCAAGGAGAAAAATCTAATGCGTACCCGAAGAGAGGTTGGTTGATATTTTGAGCATGAAGGCTTGCATCCATGCATAACAACTACCACATCTATTTGTTCTCAAACTTCAGCCCGCTCTCAGCTCTCACAGCACCATATATTCCTGCAATGTCACCCTTGTCTCCAGCGTGATCAACAACCTGCTTGAGATGCGCATCGGCCACCTCGAGAGCATTCATCTTCGCTCCACAAGCTTGGGCTAAGCTTCTCGCGTGACCGGCGTCTTTTCTGGCAAGATGCGCCTGGAATAGTGGCTCATCGCGATCAAAGTAATCGCCACTCTTCATGCGATTACTATATGCAGCATATGGGCCTCCTCCAAACATGGTTTCGATGAAAGCGTGCAGATTGTCGACTCCCAGACCTGACTTTTCCGCCAACACATGCCCTTCCGATAGTGTTTCGACCATTGATAGTATGAAGGTATTGCCAACAATTTTCAGTTTCGTGGCATTTCCATGTGGCTGGTCGGTATAATCAATTTCTGCTCGACCCAATACGCCCTTGCAATATGGCCGGACACGATCGACTTGAGCCTCGGGGCCCGCGAGCACACAGATCAGTTGGCCATTATCAGCCATTGCTGGTGCGCCGAACACGGGACATGCCACGAACTCAGCTCCAGCTCCATTGATGGTCTTGGCGAGCTTATTAGTTGTGTCCGGATGAACTGTACTGCAGTCCACAAAGAGCTTGCCCTTGGACTCAGGAGCCTTCAATGCTTCATTGATGGTCTCTTCAACAGCGGCGTCGTTGGACAAGCAAAGGAGGATGATGTCCGCGCCTTTCACTGCTTCTCCGATGGACGAGATGACCTTGGCCTTGCCGTCCGGGAGTTGCGATACCAGCTTCTCGGTTCTGCTTTTCGTTCGGTTGTAGACGAGAAGTGGTGCTGTGTACTCGCCTTTCTCGACCAAGTTCTTGACCATGCCTCTGCCCATGTTGCCGAGGCCGAGCCATGCCAAGCGAGGAGGAGCCATTGTGATGTTTTCGTTGTTAATAGGTACACTTAATGAGTATGAATTGTGGAGGGCTTCGTCAAAGCAAACAGTGTGGAAAAGAGCCCACGGGAGCTTCGATACAGACCTCTTAAATGGCTTCGCGATCACGTGTAGCTCTGCCTATAACACGGATGTAGGGACCGAGCAGTCCAACGTAGATTCGTACGAGTATCGGAGGCCTCGAACGGCCGTTTGATGGTCTCAAGAAATGGATGCTCTGACCGCAGCAGCCGTCGTACTGATGAGAGCGTAGTCATGTACGAACATGCTGAAATTGTCGGACGTGCGTGCAACGGACGGTAGAAATAGGAAAAGTTTCCTTCTAGGGAACGAGCGGGTATGGTGGGGTGACTTTAGTGAGGTCGAGAGCGAGACCAGCGCGTTGCCGGTGTCGGTACCGCGACCACGTTTGGTGTATTCATCAATGTTGCTCCCTCGTCGAAGATGCTTTCTCCTCCCTGCGAGACACACGTTGCACAGTCCACCGTGATGATGCGGCCAAGGTGTTGTTCCTGCGCAGAGACTTCCGGGTGGTCGGCTATTTGCGGCCAAAGGCAAAGCTAGAAGGGGCGAGGGGCATTTTCTTGACAAAGACTGGAACTGCAAGGCGTGACCGAAAACGCGCCTGGGGACACTTTTTGATGGGCAGTGAGTAGGATCGGGCATCTCATATATTCTCTCGACATCTTCACTTTTTCCTTCTCTCACTCCTCTTGACATACACCATCACCATAGACGATACAGCATGTCGCACCTCAACTCGAAGACCCCACGGAACCCGCCCGCCGTGATGGACACCATTCTCGAGAACATCGGCCACACGCCACTTGTCCGTTTGAACAAAGTTCCTCAGTCGATCGGCATTAAGTGTGCGGTCTACGCAAAATGCGAATTCTTCAACGCAGGCGGGAGTGTCAAAGACCGCATCGCCTTGCGTATGGTCGAAGCGGCAGAGAAGGAAGGCCGTTTGAAGCCAGGATACAGCGTACTGATCGAGCCCACGAGCGGTAACACTGGCATCGGTCTTGCCTTGGTGGGCGCTGTCAAGGGCTACAGGACCATCATCACTTTGCCAGAGAAGATGAGCAGCGAGAAGGTCAGTGTGCTCAAGGCTCTTGGAGCAGAGATCATCAGAACACCAACAAGCGCGGCATGGGATAGCCCGGAAAGCCACATCGGTGTTGCGAAAAAGCTGGAGAAGGAAATTCCAGGCGGTGTTATTCTGGATCAGTACAGCAACCCAAACAACCCGCTGGCACACGAGTTCGGCACCGCGGCAGAGATCGTCGAGCAAACGAACGCGCTTTCCTCGAGCTTGAAGGCAGTCATTGCGGGTGCGGGCACCGGCGGTACGATCACAGGCATCTCTCGAGGTATCCGCAAGGCACATGGAGATAAGGTCAAGATTGTGGCAGCAGACCCGAAGGGTTCGATCCTCGCGGTGCCAGCGCAGTTGAACGATGAGGGCAAGGACAAGCCATACAAGGTGGAGGGCATTGGCTACGACTTCATTCCAGAAGTGCTTGCCCAGCAAGAGGTGGACGTGTGGTACAAGACAGATGATCGCGATTCCTTCTACTGGGCGCGCAGACTCATTCGCGAGGAAGGTCTGCTCGTTGGTGGCAGCTCAGGATCTGCCATGTCTGCATGCATGAAGGCCATCAAGGAAATGAACTTGGGCCCGGAAGACTCCGTGGTTGTCATTCTGCCTGATAGCATTCGCAGCTACTTGAGCAAGTTCGTGGACGATGACTGGCTCGCGGCGAACGACCTACTGCCACCTTCTGAGCCTCTTACCGCACCTCCGACGCCGCCTACGCCAGCTGCTGAGCCAGTCAGCGAGAACGACGGCAAGCCGGAGTCTCTGCCTATTCTCACAACAACAGAAACGAAGGACCAGTCCAAGGATGCCAAGATTCGCGACCTTCGCCTTAAGCCAATTCAGACTATCGCTGTCAACCAGACTGTCGACGATGCAGTCGAGCTCATGCGAGACAAGGGCTACGACCAGATTCCTGTCACAGCTGCCTCTGGCAAGCGTCTAGTGGGCATGGTCACTCTCGGAAACTGCCTCTCGTACCTCTCATCCGGCCGCGTTACTATTGCAAGCCCGATCTCCGACGTCATGTTCAACTTCAGCCAGATCGATGAAGTGAAGCCAATCGAGAAGAATCCAGACAGCGCAGAGGGTGACGAGAGCAAGCGTGAATTTGTCGAGATCACGATGAATACCCCGTTGACATACCTCGAGCGATTCTTCGTTTGGAATGCCGCTGCTATTGTGACGGAGCGGGATACCGATAACTCGCTCAAAGCAGTCGCTGTCGCTACGAAGGTGGATCTCTTGCTTTGGCTTGTGAGGCAAGGTAGACAGCAAAAGAATGCGGCTTAGAAAGCCTTCGTCAATTGGTTATCTGTTGTTTGAGCGATGGTGTTGGTGGATACGATACGGTCATTGTGTAGATCTTGATAGATGAAGTAAGCACTCTCTGTCTTTTCTTACACTGCCCACGGTCTGCTCCTTTACACTTGACAACACGAATTGAAGCACTGGCGATAGAGTCCTCCGGAACTTAGGAGGTAAAATGTCATTTCTCCGCAGAATTGAGGGCGTGCCGCGGCAACTTTTTGAATATCTGGAACCATTGCCCGATGTCGAAAAGAGGAGGGCATAGCTGACAGAATTCAATCTCTGCTTTATCATACATCTACACTGGTTCAAGAAAGAGACATCGGGAAGCATCGTGGCCGACATTGAAGCAGAAACATGCGCTGGCAGAACAAGGACTCTCCAGATTGTCATATTTGAGCCATCAGGGGCGTTTGGAGCAATGAGAGCATCGTGGGAAGCCATATGGCGGAGAGATGAGCGGCAAAAATATAGTCTCTCCGCATTACTTTATACGTGGCACAGCTGATGAGTTCGAAATCTGCGAGCATTATACAACATGTTGATGCAGAGACAGAAGCTAGAATCAAATCGACTCTGGAATTCCGTAGACTGGCTATGACAAGTAAGTAACAGATCTGTGGGCTTTGTAGCAATTGACTATGCCAGAAGCAAGAGTTGCAGATTGCTGTCTCTGTGATCAGGCATGTATGTCCCGCATCATAATTTCGAGAACGGGCAGCTTCAAAATAGGAGATGGAACGGAAGCATATTGCAGAGGTTGTGCTTCCATTGGCATACATGCATGTCACGATCAGGGGATTGAAACCTGTGGGCTTTCAAATTGATGATGTATATCAGAGTCGGGGGTCATTCGAACCAGTCTCTGTATCATTGGTATGGCGTCCAACTCGGATTATCCATCGTTGCGAGCGTTGCACGAGACATTATCGTGGAAGCATAGGCCAACAGGATCTCGTCTCTACATAATCATATACCGAACATGCCACATAAGATAAACATCTGCGAGCATTGCACGAATTGAACACCCGGAGGCATAAGTTGGATCATTGAGTCTCTGTATCATCAAACACCATGAGCAGGTAATCGTTGTTCCTTATGTGGGCCTTGAACTGAATTCAATGATGGAAGTATGGCACCGTAGCATGAGTCTCTGCATAATTGTAAAGATGATATGACCCATAAGATAGACATACATGAGTATTGTACGGATCAAAGGATTGGAGTCAAGTCAGTGCTCCGCTCTCTGAATGATGCAGTATTATATCCAGCCCAAGCTCTCCATGTCTGGACGCGTTGCACCGAATATTGCGGAGGAAGCATAGGCCAATGGTTGTGAATCTCTGCCAAACATTATACATGACATGGCCCATGATTTGAATATTTGGGAGCATTACGCGAGTCGAAAGGAGGGGAGCATAAGCCAGTTCAATGCAATCTCTGAATATCGTTGCAAGTAACGGAATCCAGAAAGTGGAAATTGGACAGCATCACACGAGTCAAAAACACGGAGACATCAGCTACTTCAGTCCAACCTCTGCAACCCTTTATGTATGACACGACCCAGAAGATGGAAATGGAGCGCCATGGAACGATTCCGAACGACGGAGGCATAAGTCAATTTAATACAATCTCTGAGCATCTTAAAATATCACATGACCCGAAAACAGGATGTCGAGCAGTATTGCACGGTCCAAAACGCGGAGACAGAAGCCAAATCAATTAAGTCTTTGGGAACCATTATGTAGGGCACGATCAGAAATGGGGAACCGGACCGCATTACAAGATTCGAAATGACGGAGGCATAAGTCTATTCAACACGATCTCAGCATGCGTTACAGGTGACACGGCCCACAATAGGGAACCTCAGGAGCATTGTACCAATTGATTAGATCGAGAGATTCCATTTCGAGGTCTTTATATTCAATGCAGTGGTACGCAAAACACCTCCCTCCATCTCCAAGCACAATCGGGCAGGCAGCAATGCCATATACCCAGTACCACTCATTGCTGCCGCATCCAGGCGTAGCAGACAGAGGCCCACGCGCGGTTGCCAAAGATTTCCCTTCCCACACGGTCTGCCTCGTCCGCCATCCGAGTGTTGCCGATGCCGGTGGCCATCGCCCAGGCTTTGACGATGGTAAGGAGGACTTCGGTGCGAGGGGAGTTCCGGCTGGGTCTCTGTTTGTATGGATCAGTACTCTGGGTGAAAGTGTAGACAAGTCGCAGAAGTTGTACTGACCAAGGTGATTATCCGACATGTAACGTACCAATCGTGTGCACCGAACATTCGAAGGCCGGCTCTGTGAACCTGAAAGGCTTCTGGATAGCAGATAAAGTACATTGCCAGGCGCCAAGCGCGTGCCATGTACAGGAGAGCGGAACGGCGAGAGGGCTGCAGAGGCTGAGAAGTCAGTAAATATTCCTCGAGGGTTGCGGATATACGGAGAGATTACCATTTTGTGTTCGGTGTATTGGTGATTCGAGAGTAGGCTGTTGGTGAGAAAGTGTGTTTTATAGGCTTTGGCGAAGGGAATTTATAGGTCGAGCGCGTGTTGCTGGGAGATATATTTGAAAAGTGCGAATTTTATGTGTGCTATAGTGTTTGCTGCTCGCTGATCGGAAGGCTCTGGCTAACTGCATCGAGCCTGAAAGTGGATCTCATTTTGCTACAGATTTCACGGATCGATGGCTTGGGGCCAACTTCAGTGTTAAAAAGTTTCAGAGCAAACACATTAGCTTCTGATACCTCTTGAAGACCCCTTTGGAAGGCCTCGGGTGGTGATAGATGCAACTGGACTGGTGGAGCATGACAAACAATCGCAGCTACTCGAGCGGCGCTCGAAGCCTGTAGTAAGGCGGCGCTCGGGAGGCATCTTTATTGCTCGATGGGTCGGGAAAGAAGAGCGGGATTGTGTCTGGATGCTTAATCAAGCGGCATGCGGCAGATGTCCTTGAGAACTTTCCACAGCCTGAACATGGCCAAAAGTATACCAGATCTACTTCACGTAGTTGCCCCACTGCGTCAGCATCCACACCGTAGTGATAGTACTGACAAAGACCGGGCTCGCCAAGCCTCTTCCCCATTTCGCCGAACCAAAGACCAGCCATTCACTGAAGAAGTGCGCAAAGGCGATTCCATAGGTGCAGAGTGCCAACTGGTACACCTGAGGATTATCGATGTGGTAGGCCGCGTAGAGCCGAACTATGCTGGAAAGAGCAGTCCAGGTGCCAAAAGTGCGGGCGCTGAGCTCATTGACTGGGCTTGCATTTTTGTCGGTCTTGTAGGGCTTGCCAGCGTAGACTTCCTTTGAACCAGCGAGAGAGCGGTAGCATTGAATCGTGTTGCCGATGGAGACAACTGCGATCTATTTGCTGTCAACATTAGAGCTTTGGAAAGGGTGATGGGATGGGACGTACGAAGAGGAGCCATTTGGGCAAGTAGCCGTCATGCTGTGGAAGGTAGTCGACCAAAGACGCCATGATGGCGATATTGACACGTTATTCTTGTCCGATGATCGTGAGATGGGGAGATCGAGGTTTTAATGTTTGTAGCTGCGGCTGAAAGCGCGACGTGAAGTTGGGCGCGTTCGCGTTCTCCACAAATTCTTGGAAGTCCAACCTTGTCCCACCACGGCCAACACCACGTCCCAACCACCTCGTCTGGACATTCACTTCGCAGCTCATTTGTCAAGCAAGGGACCGGCACGATGGCGTCCGCAGTGCCCATTGACATCTACGCTGCGCCCACAACTCAAATCTTTGCAGCCATTGGCCTGATCTGGCTGACTCTGAAGATCTTCTCCTTCTGGCGACTGATTGCTTCGCTATTGATCCTGCCAGGCACCTCTGTAAGCCTCACACACCCCTTACTGACAGATAGAAGTGCTGACCCCGACTAGCTCTCCAAGTTCGGCAAGAAAGGCACATGGGCAGTCGTGACCGGTGCTTCCGACGGCATTGGCAAAGAATATGCCCTCCAACTCGCAAGCAAAGGCTTCAACATCCTCCTTGTCTCGCGAACGCAATCGAAACTCGAAACCCTTGCCACCGAGATCCAACAGAAATGCAAAGTCCAGACCAAGCTCTACGCGATGGACTTCGCCGCGAACAAAGACGCCGACTTCGAGAACCTGAAGACACTGATTGCTGAGCTGGACGTATCGATTCTGATCAACAATGTGGGACAAAGTCATAGCATCCCAGTGCCGTTCATCGAGACACAAGAGAAGGAGATGAAGGACATCATCACAATCAACTGCTTTGGCACCCTTCGTGTCACGCAGATAGTCGCACCAGGCATGGTACAACGAAAGCGCGGTCTCATCTTGACCATGGCTTCCTTCGGCGGAATCATGCCTTCTCCATTGCTCGCAACCTACAGCGGAAGCAAAGCCTTCTTGCAACAATGGTCGACAGCTCTCAGCTCTGAGCTTGCCTCCTCGAACGTGCAGGTCCAGCTCGTGCAGTCTTACCTGGTCACTTCTGCCATGAGCAAGATTAGGCGTTCTTCAGCTCTGATTCCAAACCCCAAGCAATTTGTTCGTGCTGCTTTGGGCAAGATTGGCAGGTCTGGAGGTGCACAGGGAATCGCGGCGACCAGCACACCCTACTGGTCCCACGGAATCATGCACTGGGGAATCGCGACTTTCGCTGGAACGATGAGTGGACTCGTGCTGGGTATCAATAAGAAGATGCATGTCGACATCCGGAGACGGGCACTGAAGAAGGCGGAGCGTGATGCAAAGAAAGCTTAGCCGGCTCGTGTAGCCCATGAAGTAGCATAATTGACTCATGGCAACCCGAAAAGAACTTGAATTTCTATATTGGAATCAGCCGACCTGTCCTGTACAGTCCGTCACATGCATTCGGGGATCGGAAAGCAGGGCCTCTGACTCTATGTTTCCACTCTCAAGAATCTGAACTGGCCGCCTTTGGACACAATGAGCTGTCTGATTGGCAGTGAACCATGCAAAATTGCAGAGTGAATACCCTGTTCTGTCCCCAGTATCCGCGTATGCATTTGACGGACTGTATATCCACTGCAATCATCCAGTCTCACAGAGACTACAGCACATTGAGCCGGACAGCTTACGTGAGCGAACCATGTCTTGGCATGTTTCGCGTCCGGCTATTGGGTGACCAATAGCCGAGGACGGTCATGCCAGCTAAACTCCGAATACCTTGCTAGGCATCCTCAAAACAGACAAAACACATCAACAAGCTCTGAAACCGCATCTCTACCCCAGAATCATCCACCAGGATAACCTTGTCGAAATCACAACTCACAGCCACAGCTCACAGTAATCACCATGGCCTCTCAAGTCCTCGGTCACTCTCCCCTCATCAAGCCGCTCGTCACGTTGGCTGGTTGGACCTTCGTGATGGAGGCCTGGATGTACGCGACTCGCATCCCAGCTATCTCGAAGTACAACATCGATGTCAATCCCGAAAAAGTGGCCCAAGACTTCAACACCAAGGTCCCGATCACCATTCGTCAGATTGCGGTAGGGCTTCCATCCGCTACCTTGTCTAGCGCGAGAGCAAATGTTCAGAAGTTGAAGCTAACATGGGTCATGTGGCTGGTGTAGGACAACTACAATCATTTGCACGAGCAGCCGACTATCTTCTTTGCCGTGGCATTGGCTCTTGCTGTCGTTGGTACGTAAAGCCTATGGTGGAAACTTTATTGTGTTTGGGCACTTCAGCAACAGAGGTCCCATGCTCACACGTGCGTGCTGTAGGCGACGACCATCCAAACACCGTGAAAGCGGCTTGGACCTACGTTGGCGCCAGAATCGTGCATTCGATTTTCCAATCGACGGTGAACAAGGTCATGGTACGTAAAAGTGATCTGCATTTAGCCATTGATGAAGCTGATGACTCCCTCTCTAGGTCCGCTTCCAGCTCTTCTTGGGCAGCTCCATTGTCCTGGCTGGTTTGACTGGCCGCCTTGCCCAGATCGTCTACTAGATCACGAGACAGAGCCGAAACGATAGGAAACAAGAGGCTTGACAGAACGAGTGGAATCACAGAACGAATGCAAGCTGCACTGGAGTGAACGATTTTGTACCTAATCTTGAAATATGTTGCAATATCTGAAAAAGCCTTGCCTCTTGAGTTGCGCTCTGTTTCAAATCAGACTGCGAGGCCCCGAGACCTCCTAAAACCTCGCGATTCTGACGACTCTTCAAACAGAGTCATCAAATCATGGTAAACCCTGTCATCCACCGTGTAGTCTCGAGCGTTTCCCCGCAGTCAGGAGGAAGCAAGTTCCTCACACGAGTCTCAAGCCCCTGCTCGTCCAGCGGTTTCGTGGTGATCACGAGCTGCCCGTCAACTAGCTCTGGTGTCGGCTGTTTGAGGATCGTCTTCTTTCTGTACTGCGTATCGAGCTGATTCTCGATTGTGCGAACAGCCTCCTCCGGGATCGCACCTTGTGTGGCAGTCAACAAGGTGAATGTTTCGTGTGCGTCTTTCAAGATCTGGGCCTCAGCTGGGTAATGACGGTCGTGCCAGTGCTGAAGTGGTCCCCTGATGTCTTCGACGCTGCCAAAATGCTCATCAGGAGTCACCTCACTTCTGGGACCGGAGCTCGTGGTCTCACCTGCTGCTCCGTCCAGACTCGTGCGTGACGACATGATCTCGAGAAGTTGTGTCTTGTACTTGCTGCCATGGCTTGCTATGAGCCGGTCAGCCAGTTTTCCAACCTGGCAGAGTTCCGTTCTGAATTTGGATCGGTGTTCATCGTCAGCGACGACGGCACGCCATAGAATAATGCTGGTGGGTATGTAGAGATCTTTGTCACCTCTCGAGAAAACACAGTTCATTTCCACAGCCTTGGCCACCAGATTGCAGGCGTCGACAAGCCATTTCCTGCAGAGTTCGCCGAAGTTCAGGTAGTCAAAGTAAAGGTGCGGTTCGTCATCAACGAGGACTTCCTGTGCAATTTGAAGCAGCTGAACGGGGTTCAGTCGCTTCGTGGCCAGATACTGTGCGTTGATCTCTTTGTCTTTGATTCGTTTGCCGTAAGCCTGGACCACCTGGTACAGCAGACGGATTTCGGATGTGTACTCCGTCTTACCCTGTACTGTGTCGAACAGACATGCTGACACACATTTGACCCTCTTGCTTTCTGCTTGCGCCAGAGAAAGCATATTTGGGAGCGCTTTGCTCTTCATGACCTCTGCGAGCGAGTGACCCATGGCGAGAAAGTAGTGTCTTGCCACGGACCTTGGCGTTGCAGCACCCAATCTGAGAGAAACGCCTCTTGCCTCTTGGCGTTCAATCAAGAAATCCATGTCCTCCCATGGTGCAGAGATCGCACGGGTCATGCGTCCAGCGTGGTAGAGATGTGCAGCCGAGAGCAACATCCCATGCTGCGACATCTGGTCGATCGCTTGATGTTGTGCAGCGTATAGGTGGCAGCGGACTCTGATGGCAGGCAGCAAAGGGAGGGCTCTGAGTATGCTTTCGGGTATGAATGTCTCGCAGGGAGCTAGGTCGTCTCGGTATCCCTTGGGTATTAGAACTACCCAGCCACGCAATCCGTTCCGCTCTTGGTTGATGGACAGCGGCGCGCTGCCACACGCCTCAAGCCATGAGACACGGTCTGGCTCATCGAGATACTTCCGCACAGTGTCCATGGTGAAGTGATGCGCACGCTCTGTCTCTTGTAGCGCGAATGAGATATTGCCACGGAGCTCGTCATGCATGTCCGCATAGATCTGCGTGGCAGCAACCAGTCCAATTTCCATCTTTTTGTTCGCACTGAACTCCAAAAGCTTAGCCAAGAAGAAATCGGTGTTGGAGAATACCTGAGTGAATTTGGTCCGATCAAATCCGCGAGGTCCGATGGCTGGAAATGCCTCCCTCAAATCGAACGCCAGGTTCATAAGCACGCTGCTGAATGGGAAGCCGGGGAGGTGAATGGATGGTTTTTTGTCCCCGAACATGTCTCTCTTCTCGGTCTCGGTAGACCAGACGTAGAGCTGCACGTTTCGAAAGGTTTCCAGAGCGCGCCAAGCGTGGCAACACAATAGATCGCCATGGTGTTGAGGAGGCGTTTCATCTTGATCTTCTTCAGCATGGTGCATCTGCGCATGCATGGCGAGCGAATTGAATTTCTTGACGCCGATGATGGCTATGAGCTTGTCGAAGTCTGCGATTTCGGGATACACTTTTTCGAATTGTGCCGCCAGCTCCCAGCACACGTACATGGCAGAGTCTGCGATCCTAGCGGCGACAAGGAATGAGAGACTTCCTTGCTTGTACTGCCGCCAGACATCTTTGAGATGAAGTCTGATATCGGACATGTCCTTCAGCAGACACCAGACCGCAAAACGGTTGTCTTCAAGCTCGTTGTCAAGTTCAAAGCCATCAGATGTGGCTACTGGAGGCACAAATTCGGCGTTGCATTTCGGAGTCGACTGATCATCCGGATCATCTGCTGGCTCCTCGATGTGCAGATGCTGGTAAAGATTGGTCAGGTCGTTCTCCAGGGACGCCAGTTTAGGCATCTGCTTCTTGCGCTTCGGCCGGCGAGACTTGTGCTCGCGGTTCAGAATCTCGAAGACCTGCTCAAGGGCCAGCAAGAAGTGTTTGTGGGTGCCGTTTGCCTTTCGAAGAGCAGATACATCTTTCACACTGGCTGAGTCACCATTGTCGACAAGTTCTTGGTACCATTTCATGGCGGCAGTGCGGCCGAGAATGGCATCTTTCGTAATGTCCAGAATGGCAGTGCTGATCTCGATTGTTGGATTTCTAGCGTTCACAATGCGTTTGGCGTATTCGACCAAAGTGCTGACCGTCACTGTCTTTGGTATTGTGGAGTCTGGAGTGGTTCCAGGAGAAAGCGCCTGGCGATCATTGAGCTGCTGCGCTGAACTTGCGAGCCAGTTGACAAGTCTGTTCGTGCCAGTTTTGTACCTCAGATACTGCGATACGAGTGGAATTGATGCCATCTCGAGCGCCTGACATCAGCTGATGCGTTCTTGCCGGAAATCTATGATGAGGCGAGTTGCCCTATTATATCCATTGGCCCCCCTGCGGGTAGCCACAGGATACAGACTGCAGCTCGCATGAGATACACACGCGCAGCAAACACCGTAGCGTTTGTTGCGGCTCATTGCAAACACCTATCTTGCTGCCATGCTCTATGATGCTTTGTTCAAGGATCTTCGTGCGTGAGAATCAAACGTCAAGATGATCAACAAACGCGCAGCAGCAAAGCGACAGAAGTCCCAGTGCGCAGGAAGCGCACCATTCTATTGCCAATTGTGTGTAGTAGACAATGTGCACGAGCGGTCAAACGAAGCTCCTCAGCAGAAGGGGTCGCGTAAGCGCACACGATGGATTTGAGGTTGTTCAGCAAGATGGCTTCGAAGGCGTCACCATTCGGACCCAGCCCTTCTGCAGTTGCGGCGTGTAAACAAGACATGAGTGCCGCATGTCTGTCGCTCTCGTCCTGGCCATGATTGATTTGGTTCGAGGTAGCAGGGGTCTTGTTGCCACAAACCGCGAGCACTCTTTGAAGCTTGTCGTCCTTGGATGCATGCTGAGCCGGGATCGGGTCTTTGCATTGGTCGCAGATCATGGCTGATTTCTCCAAACAATGTCGTGAAGTTCACGCGTCAGGAAGAAGAGAAGGACGCGTCGAGGACAAGGTGAGGAAATGACGGCTGAGTCAGCTTCTTGGCAGACATGATCCACTATTGCATTGAGATCGACCAGTGTCGATTCGATCAAATTCAACATTACTACTACCACTTGTTATCAGCCCTGTTCGGCCCCGCAGCACCTCTCTGCCGGCTTAACATCTATACATTATCTTCGTTACCAGACACCATAGCCCTAAAGTATCATCAAAGTGACAGCAGCCACGGCGCCAGCAGCCCAACCAAGAGCTTGCACGCCGCTTGCACCACCAGTGTAAGGAGTGGCACTGGGCGCGGATGTGCTCGACGTCCAAGATCCAGCGCCTGTTCCAGTTGGCGCAGTTCCGTTGCTCCACCCGACACTGCCAATATAGGAAGTCGCCACTGGAGAGGCCTTGGTGATAACAAGGGTAGGGAAGTTCCAGAGTGTTGTCGTGGCGACTTCAGTGGTGGAGATGACAACTGCAGGCTTGCCAGCAACAGTCGTTGTCGGAGATGATGACGTGGACGTGCAGTTTGCGTAGCTGGTCGACCATGATGGAGAGCTAGATCTAGAAGACGGGGTTGCAACGGGAACGGACGAAGTGATGCTCGCTGACGCTGACGCTGATGCTGCGCTGCTGACTTCTGCAGTACTGGTGGTGACAGTGCTGCTGGTCGAAGAGGTCTTTGGGACAGAACAGTAACCATCCTCCGGGAAAGATTTCACAAGCTCGGCGACCCAGGAGGCGGCATCTCGCGAATACACATCGAAGTAATTGGTGTGAGCTTCGACGGTATCTGCACCCTGGCCAGGAGCGCAAACAAGATCGTCTTTTGCACAGTAGGACCTGAGCCTGGGAGTGTAGCTATCCAATATTTGGTTGGAAGCTTCTGATCGTGGTCCACCTGTTCCTTGACCGGCATTGCCATCCAGGTAGTTGTACGGCTTATTCGGCTGGTGGAGCGGGTCGCCAAACAGAAGTGCCGCGGCGATACTGCAGCTCGCACCAGACGCGCTGTCCAGGCCAGTACTTGATCCGCAGCTGCCAGAAGTTAGGATGTCGCCAATGATGTTGGCTCCTTGGCTGTAGCCGCTCAAGACAAGCTTGCTGTCCGGACATTTGGCGTAGTAAGCTTCGATTTGTTGCTTTCCATTGTTGCTCCCCGTCGATACTGCATTGCAGTAGTCGCTGGACGCAGCAGGATAGACGATGTCCTCATAATCGCATCTCGAGCCAGACACGTCTGCACAAATGTCGTTGACCAGTTTCTCATGGCGACCAGGATAGGGTTCGTTCCAGCCTCGTGCAATGAAGATGTGCACGTCGGTACATGATCCGGTTCCTGTTTCTTGGGCCAATGCTGCAGGAGCTGCCAACAGAAGTGGCGATACCACTTTCTTCGTGTGCATGGTGTGGAATCAAATAGTTAATATGTTCGTGCGAGGATTTGCGGTGGTCTTGACCTCACTCCTGCCTTGAGTCTGAGCCTTAGCAGAATTAGAAGGTAAGATACAAAGTGATACTCGACGATAGGAGACGTTACTGTAGTGAAAGTGAGATCTTTGGCGCACGCCTACCTACCTACTGATTCAACAATGAGTGCTCGTCCAAACTGCCGGCGACTAGTGTGCCTCGTATTACACAAGAATAGATGACAAATCTGCGTCTCGGACATTGCGATAGTGGTCAAACTTCCGAATAGGTGATAGTCCTCTGTTCTGCTTCCGCTTATAGTCGAGGAACCGCCGTATTGGTGTTGAATCTTGACGCCGTTTCGTGCGAAGAGATAGAGAGTGGAGCTGTATTCATCAGTGTCGTATCGCAAAACATTTCGAAGACCGGGATGTTAAAGGTGGACCCATATTCGTACGGCCCGATAGGTACTGGCATCCGGCTATCCGAATGATCTCAGTTCTTCATTGCTGTTGTGTGCATATCAAGAAAGAACGACGAAGTACCAGACAAGTCCAATGAGTGAATGTTATCGAATGGAAGTGTTGAACCACAGAACTTTCTTTCTTGGGCTGCGGCAGTCTCTGTTTTCTAGCAATCAAGTGAGTATCAGTTTTCCCGAGCACATCCTGAGCGCCAATCAGACGTGGCACCATCCTTCGAGCAGCCGCTGAGAGCCATGGCTGTGGTGGTAACCATGAATCGAACAGATGGATGTTGAGTCTGACAGAGAACAGAGGTCTGCCTAGCGGGAAACACCTCGGTTGAATGATGTTGAGCACTCTAAGAGGATTATGCGATCCTCAAAGTAGATCAATGCATGCGATTCTCGCATCGAAAGCGAAATTGAACTAGGATTGCGTGTCGATTGCTGAAATGGAAGCAGAAGATAAGCCACAAGCTGTAATGCTCAAGGCGTCATTTCAGTCATTGCGCAGTTGGAAGGCTGCAGACAAGACTTTCCCCTGATCGATGACATCGGCCTTCAAGCTGTCGAACTTCTCACTGCCAAGAATATCCGATGGTGCTAGGTATTGCTCCAGACTGCCCGACCATAGGTTATGATTCTCGAATTTCTGTTTCTCGATCTTTGGCAATTCGTACTCTGGAATGACTGCGACCTCCTTCCCGTCCACGGTCCTGACCCACTCGTGCCCAGAGCCATTGGTCTTCTCTCGATACTGCCATTCCTTCTTGGCAAAGCCCTCGGGTTGGTATGCCATCTCCTTCTGGCGCATGCGGTGTGACACGCTGGGGTGTATAGTCTCGTGTAGTTGACAGACTGGGACATCGGCTCCATTGGCCATCTTCCAGTGACCTGGAGTGCGTGTGTACCACAACCTCCTGGTCGCAACGAAAGAAGAGAACTTGTAAGTCAATTTATTGGTCTGAGTAAGAATTCCATCAGACCATTGAATGCGTCGCTCACTGGCTTCTTCGGTGTTCTTGGGAGGTTTCGTTGCGACTCCGTTGACCACTCCCTCGTGGACGCGTTTCAGTACGGGATAGTACAACTGTGGCTTGCTGAATTGGAGCAGGTTTTCAGCAGTGAGCTGATCAATCATCCACGCAAAACTCAATGAATCGACACTGTTCGTGCACCACACTGGATCGCTGTGGCCTCCGACATCTCCATGATACCCTGGAAACCAGCACTGCTTGAGTACCGTGCCAGCCGCTTCTGTTTGGTCGTACTGATACCAGAGAGTTGGTGAGAAGTTGCCACGGTTCTCGTCGAGAGCTAATGCCTGGAAGGCATATTCGATCTTTGGATGCAGAGCGGTGGAATGCCAGTCGACATCTTGACCAGGTTGTTGTTGGTAACCTGACATGCCCACGCTACCGACAGTATCGAACACGCCAACGCATCTTATCTTGACGTGCATGTGTGTCCATCTTTTGATGCAGTCGTATCGGGTTGTTGGTGGGCTGTTGAGCTCAAGTCCTAGTTCTCCCGGGGTGGCTTTCGCTCGTGCCCATGCCATCTCTTCGAAATTGTGTTCGGAATAGCCGCGTTTTTTGTAAGCTTCGAATATTTCGTCGAAGTAGTCTTGAAAGTCAGCGTCGTGTCCGAAACCAGCGTAGCTGATAGAGTTAACATACCCATCATCCCTGGGGTTAGCAATCCAAAATTACAAATGAAGCTTGCCAGAACTCGCGCGGTGTATGCGCCACGACTAAAGTTGATTGTCAGAGGACCTCCAGCTAACACGAGCGGATTGAGACGAACGAGAATCCGAATATTAGAATTTCATCTCCGGGCCCATAGTTATTGGTGAGGTAGTTGTAGGCTTCGCAAACTTTGCCGTTGAGACCGGCACCAAAACCGCCTGTTTTTCACGTTAATACAGCTCTGAGATGGCAGCTTGTACCGAGGTGATACCTTGTCTCGCCTTTGTATACGCTGAGGCAGTAGTATCTGTTCCAATACCAGCCTGGTAGTATGTGATTTGGGGCATTTTGGTCTTGCCATCTTTGGCATAGCCCACGTTCGCGATACATCGACTGAGCCTTGCAATGTTGGTCGGATTGCTCTCGACACCTTGATTGGAGGCATTGAAGGTGCCATCACAGCAGACTATCAGTCGCTTGGGCAAAGTTCCCGATCCATCGATTCGGCGGCAGAGGCTACAGTCGGGCACGGCGGGCGTGACAACAGACTCAACGACATTCGTCTTGTGTTCGGTACCCTGAGAGCCGGCCTCTGCCATATTGACTGCCAAACCCCCAGCTCAGTGGAAGACGAGGATCGCCGCTGGCCCTCAGAGCTGGCATGATCGTACTTATAGCAACAAGCCGTTCCCCCGCAGGAGACCACAGACCACAAGGCGTTCCAGTAGCATATGCATGCTTCTTGTGCCATGCTGCAACATGAACAATGATGGGCCAATCTTGTCGAAGCGATTGTAGAACGTGGCTTGCGTGGCCTGAGCTGAACTGTCTGGTGGTAGTAGCTGAAGCTCAAATTGGGATTAGTGACAGTCTGGACCCCTTTTTCCCGTGCATCGGGCTGAAGTACTGCATCCACGCGCATGGTTAGAGTCTTAACAGCCAGCCACGTTTCTGCAGCTGGACTGTATGACCTCGAAACGGAAGTTGCGCAACACGGAGCTGGAATTGTGGGTTCTGCAGCTTGTCTGCGTTCATCACACCGCATCCCAATGAACGCCGTGTCTCATCTTGTATCTCGTGGGCGCGGCGCAGATGATGCCTCATGACTGATGTCAAGGAACAGATAATCAGATCATCGTCTTCCATACAAAGCAGACGAGCATAAGGATTTCGGGCGTCCAAGCAACATCTTGGGAGAATTTGTGTAGCTTGTTCTCCGCCAAACAAGACTGGTGGAGCTTGTCACTTGTGGTGAAATGCAGTGGCCTGCAGCAATGCGGTGTATGTGAGAAACATGTTTAGAGTAAGGAAAGGACTCGCGAAAGGGAAGAACACGACGGGACGCGGAGCGTGTTCGCTGCTGAGTCAGCCAAGTCTTGGCAAACAACTGTGTCTGGGTCGCGTTTCCTCAAGATCGAAAATACAACATCTATACGCGTCGACAATGATCGTGAACACCTCAGTCTTTGCTTCCAAGACTCACGCCAGCAGTGCGCCTCGCAGATGAAAGCCAAAAGCGGCTTTGATGCCCGACGAAGTCCATCGTGAAGCGCAGCTCCGGATCCATTGGGTCTTCACCGCTGTCATAGTCCACGGTCCCATCACACTGCCATCCACTATCCTCTCCGTGGTTCTCAAGCATCGCCGGGAGTCAAAAATGTCAAACAGCTACCACAAGATCCAGGTCATACTGCAACATGCCATGACTATCAGGTGCTCATCCGCCGAAGAAACCGTTCAACTGGGTTGAACAGCGCCGCGGAGCAACCAATTGTTCGTACAGGATCACGCGTGAAGATCGAGACTGGCTTCACTGCGATGGAGCCCAGCCCTCCCGTCTTACATTGTGTGTATTCAACCAACCCTGCCGCATGTGTCTGGGCAGCTGATGATGATTTTCGGCTTTCCACGTAACGTCCACTGACTTCAGCTGTTGATACATGCCTTGGACCGGAGCTTGATGAAGGCAGCCAAGTGAAGATGCAAGACAGCGACGACCGGTTGGTCTCCCATGAGACAAAGGTAAAAGCCCGATAGGCACTGTGGCTCGTTGTCCTTTGTTCTCGAACGTGGCCTTGCCGGCACGGATTTAGACGTCTCATTTGGACCTAAGACAAAGCGGGCCCATGACAAGGTGGGCACGCATAGATAGCATTCACCGTCTACTCCGCCGAACGACGAACTGATACTCAGCCCTTCGACACCCTGACCAGCATTTACCAATCCTACGCAGGCCGCAGGAACAGCCAGAATAGTTCGACATGGCGCCCTCCACCCGCCGAAATAGCGCACTCGCAAAGAAGATTGCAACACTCCAGCTGCGACTTGCTCCTCTTGTCCCTCTTCCGGCAGGACCGCCTCACCCTGCATTTCCAAAAACCCTTATGGCATTCCACTTGCTCACCGAAGATGAGCTTGACAGCATTGCACATTACTACCATCAATCGACTCCTTCTCAATGGACGCACCATTATCCGGCGAACATGAACTGGGACAAAGACTTCCTCGCCAAACCATCCAATCGCCCACAGCCAGTACCACAAACACCAATATCAGCTTCCAAAGTCAGCTTCGATGGGCGCATCCGACGTCGCAGCCGGCAGCTTTCACAGTCCGAAGACATCTGGCTTGAGGACTTGATGAACACGGTGGAAGACATTCAGGCTCCGGTTCTCGCTAGCCAGAGTGAGGTCGAAGGATTTGATCCGAGAGCTCCTTACGCGAACATGAGCGATAAGGAAAGAATCAGGATCAAGAGACGGAAAGTTGGCAAGTTCATTGGCCTAGTGGGAATGGAGACTCCAGCTGAGGAGATCGCTGCGCGAATTCAAGTGAGTCTCGATCGCGCTGTGGAACGAAGTAGGGAAGAGCAGAGGAAGGTGGAGGAGACGGTGATGAGGAGGAGAAAGGCGTAGGAGGTTGCACCGTATCGATCGTCTCTGGAGGCTTGTGCGTCGTAGTCGTGCGCCTTGATCAAGCTCAGCAGCCGCATCCGAACGCGATCCGAGGAAAACAAAAACACAACTCAGCGATGGGGTTCCAAGACTCACAATTGATGCAGAATCGTATTGATCGTTGCGCTCGAAACACTCAACAACCCAGTACCTCATACCTTCTCCTGCAGAAGTGGTACATCATTCCAGCCCATGGCTCTCACTTGTATCTTCATACTCTCCAACACCCGTGCTTTCACATTCTTGTCATACACATCCTGCCCCGTAAAAGCTCCATGAGCGCTCTCAAAATCGTGCTTCTTCAAAACTTGCCACATCTTCTGCAATTCCGGCGGTGGAAGCGGTATCATATTCGGATACGAATACATGAACACGAACGAATTTGTCCCCGCCGGCCTGTCCACATGGTAAAGCCCACTCTGCACATCAAAATCAGCTCCTTCCATCCCACAAATCTCTCCAAATAAAACTCAAAACTCACCGGCGTAATCAAAAAACTGTCCGCAATAAACAACATCCCCTCCCAAAGCAAAACCAAACTCCCCGGAAAATGCCCTCCAACCTTAATAGCTTTCACCCCCTCCACAATCTCCTCAACTTCATTCTCAATCAACTTCCTCCTCCCCTCCCCATCTTTCCGACAAACCCACTCCTCATCCTCCTTCGAAACATAAACCGGACAATTAAACGTCTTCGCCCAATCCAGATGCGTCGTATAATAATGCGGATGAGAAATAACAATAGCTTTCAATCCTGCTTTCGAATTGATGAAATCGACAGTTTCTTGATCGAGGTATGCGATTAAATCCCATAAGATGTTTCCAGAGGGTGTACAGATGAGAATAGCACGTTGTCCGATGCCGAATTTGGGGGTTGTGGAGATGGAGATTAGGCGGGGGTCGTTTGGGAAGGGTTGGAACTGGTTTTTGTATTCTTTGCTGGAGTGGAGGGAGGCGAGGGAGGTCCAGGTTTGGCCTTGGGGTGGGACGTATTGGCGAGGGTCCTGGAAGGTTGGTCAGTGATTTTGGTAGGGTAGGAAATCGGAACATCGCAGAGTAAAGCTCACGTCACAGATCCGACAAGACTTGAGTGGCTGGTCTGCGGGCACATCGAATTGCGTTCCACAAGCGCGGCAGATGAGTAGATCTTGGCTGATTCCTAGAGACATGATGGCAGCTCGAAATTTTTCGTCAAATTCGATGTTGTTTGTAAACCTCAGTGCAAGCTCATTTATATGTCGCTGTGTTCGGAGCTGTCCGACAGTCGGAGATCGTCACATTGGACCAGTCTTGGCGGATTTGAAATCACTTCAGGTCTGGCCTTCCTATCCAAATGGCAGATCATCATGATCGTCTCTTCTCAAGGACACGGTGCCAGTGTATACTGTTTGTGATTTGCATTGTCGTGGCGTTAGGGGTCACAAAAAGTGTGAGAAAAAGATACTTTGCTTCGCTGAATACAGTACGGACGTATCCAAACGCTCGAACGCTCCACAATGCGTCTTTCATGAAAAGAACATCCAAAAGGGCCCCTCGTAATGCTCGCTCATCGGGCCTGACCAACGCCTGTACAATTCTTCATCAGTCAAGGAGTAAACCAAACTGCGCCTTCCATGCAAACACAAAATTCCGGCCGTCATTCATCATCAAGAAAGATAAAATATTTTTATACTCTTACGGTCTCGACAGTTGGTCGGACATCGTCGCCGCCATATCTGCCAACCGTCACTCGGTCAACTTTCGTCTTGTTCTCTTTCACGGTCAAGCCCTCCCACGCGAGCTTAGCGCCACCTTGATCTTCGTCCAAACGGCCGAGGCCATTGTTGTCGATCCATTGCGATACGACTTCTTGGATGAAGTTGAGCTTGGCGGATAGCTGGTTGGCCTTGACAATTCGTTGTCGGACACGGCCACCTTCGAAGAGCAAGGCTTGCACGCTGTCGGCGAGGATTTCGCGATTCGTGACATGTTGAGGTAGTAGCTCGCCGTTGTGCGAGAGGTGAGAGGTAGCTTCGGGAGTCAAGACCGTCGCTGAGACGACTTGTCCAGATGCGGATAGGACGATCTTGGTGTGATCTGGGAAGTGAACCTGCAAAACAGAATTAGCAACTTGCTTCACGCAATCTTGAGAGAAGAGGCTTACCTGGAGACATCCGTCTGTAAAGGCCCAGACGCCAACATTGCCGATTCGCTGATAGAATCGCACAAAGTTCTCCTGGTCATGGCCGTTGTTACCGGTGTCTTCTGACCCATCCAAAGACTGGCACATATATCGGCCAAACTTGACCCAAAGCACACTGAGTGTTCGCCGCCTCTCAGCTTCAACAAGAAGAGGACCTTCCTTGACGCTACCAAGGCCTTTGTACACCTTACGCTTGATGCCTTCCACGTCACGATCTTCGAATATTTCGAGTGGAACCTGATCGATGCCGGTGAATTCCTTGTTGTTGTGTACTTTCTTCAGCCACCTTTGTCCATTGCGCACAAGAACGTGCGTGACTGGCGTAGGCGCTTGGCCAGCTCTGGCAGTAGCATTGATAATGCACCCAACAGTGCCGTCGGACAGCACATATCCTACACCATGTTTTCGGCTGTAATCGACCCATCGCGACACAAAAGGCAGACCGGCAGCAGGATCATTGCTATCTCTCCTCAAGCTGGATGTGGTCCTTGCGGTCGCGGATCGTGTAAGAGCTTCGGCCAAATTGTCTCTGAGAGTCGCAAGCTTGTTCAATACCGTGGTCGGGTCTGTTCCTGGTACTGCAGGTTCAATCTCCACATTAAGCTTCTTCTGTGGCTGTGGCAGCCGCGCCGTCATCTTTGGTGGCCGGGACAGTTTCAGCGTCGCCGTGATCGATTCGGTGGGCCTCTTAAGCTCATCTCTGTCGTCGGACTCTGGGTCCGAAAGTATCTCGATTACTTCTGGTGCTGGTGCCTTCCTGCTCGGCTTGAATGGCTCGACCTTTCTCAGCTCGTCCAGCGTTGCAAGCGGTCCTTCTTCGACAGGCTGCGATACAATACGCTTCCTTGCAATGCGAGCTGCAGTTGGCTGTGCGGGAACTTGTTGCTCCGCTGGTCGATCCTGAGTGGTTCTCGGTGCCCGTGGTCGCCTTGCAAGGCTGGCGTCCGCGCTCCTCTTGGTGGTGCCGGCTCTCTGTGGCTTCTCCAGCGGATCGGAGCTCTGCTCTGGCTGAGCAGTCTGGTATGAGGCGGTCGTGCTGGATGCAGAGTTCTTTGTTTCCCTCAATGCCGATCCTATCGTTACCGTCGCTGGTGCACTCGATGATGGCACAGCCGCTGGTCTGGGCTTGACAACTCGTACCGTCGCGGCTGATGAAGGGCCGGAAGAGGCTGAATCGGATGCAACCTTTACTGACTCAGCGGATCTGGCTGCGGTCTCCTCACTTATCGTCCTAGCAGCTCGCCTTACCGAACCAGATGCTGTCCCTCGGGCAGCGCGTGACGGAGCGCGTGGTGGTGGCATTAGCTCCGCATCTCGCGCAGCCTTCGTAGGGTCCGTAACGCGAGGAGGTCGCGAAATTGCAACTTCGTTGTGAGAGATCTCCCGCACATGTCGAGTTGTTGTGTATTTGCGCTGAGGCTCGACCGACGCCGTGGAAATATCGGGGCTGGATCGTTCGAAATCCGAGATCATCGAAGTGTAGACCACGTCCTTTGGAATCGGCATCATCGGTTGGCGCCCAAGCTGAGTCTCTTTTTCCATATCGTGGACAATGCTCCTTATCTTATGCCCACCGTTCAGAGGGAAACACTTGCCATCTTCATACTCTCCCACGCCCGACTCTTTACACAGAGTAAACCATGTTTCGCTGTACCCGCGTCGCATGGTCTCTGTCGATGGTATCGAAACGTCCCATCTCGGTGCTTCCGTCCTGGCGGAAACTGGAATCTCTGGCGGCACATATGCAATCTTGAAAAACTTGTGGCTGACGATGGCATCCGGGGTCGGCCTCTGCTGCTCTTCCACTAATATACTCGACACCAAGTCGCGTAGATCTGCACTCTGATTTGTCGTCGCGCTCAATTCGGGCCAAGTGTATGTCCCGGACTTTAGCTTTTTGTAAATCTCTTCCTTCGTACTCGCATGAAAGGGTGCCTTTCCAACGGCCAGTGTATATGCGATGACTCCGATTGCCCATAGATCCACCTTTTCGTCATGTCCCTTACCCTTTTCCAAGATCTCCGGAGCCAGATAATTCGGTGTACCACACATAGTAGTCCTTCGCCTGACTTCCATGTCGCGTTCTGTAACAAGCAAAGCAGCCAGGCCGAAATCACCAACTTTGACATTCATCCTCTCGTCGAGGAACAGATTGCCCGTCTTCAGGTCTCGGTGTACAATGTGTCGATGATGAAGATACTTGACAGCGCCGCACACTTGGATGACCAGTCTTCGGATCTCGGGCAGTGTGACTTGTTTCCGTTTCTTGAGCATGTCCGCCAGTGATCCATTCGGACAGAGCTCGAGAACGACGTATGTGCTGGTATGGAAGGAGAAGGCGCGGTGGAAGCCGACGATGTTCGGGTGGGAGAGTTTGCTGTGTATTTGCAGCTCCGTGACGAACTGAGATCCATTAGCATGAGTTGGAGGATTGCTGTATGTTCACCAACCTTCTGCGCCAGCTTCGCCGGCTCCATCCTCGTCTTGACGATCTTCAACGCGACAATCTGCCCCGTCGGCCGACTGCCATCGTATCGCTCGGCCTTGTGGCAGATGGCGAAGCCGCCCTTCCCAAGCGCTCCTCCCGTAGCATAACTGATGCCCGTCGGCTCCGTCACAACAGGCGGTGGAGGGTCGGCGTGGATGGAGGTGGAAGACATAGTCGCGGTATGTCTTCTGTGGTGTGTTATGTTCCTCGTCTGCTCGCACACATCAACGCCACGCTCTCGCTGCACCGCGCTGTAGGATGAGTAGAGGATAGGCTTTCGGAGGCAGAGTGTGAAGTTCGCTGCAGTTCACGCACTTGTGTTGACGCCGAGCATTCTGCATAGCAACCGGACGCCGGCCCCACACATGGCTCATACAAGCTTTGACCCAGCCGAACCAGCATTTGTTCGTCAAAGACAGACAAACCACATCGCTATCCAGGAACTGGTCGACTGCATTGAATACCTTGGAGCAATGCGCAGGTCGTAAGCTACTCTCGTGCCACTGTGCTCGTGCACACCATGGCGCGGTGGATACTAGTGCAAGGAATTTCCCCAGGACTGTACAGACAGAAACGCTGCATATCCGATAGGCATAGATCGTCTGGCAATTAGACGCAACCATGTCTCTCACTTTCAAGCTCCTCTCGCTGGCCATCAGAACTGCTGCAAAGCCCATCGGAAATTACATCAAACGACAAGCGAAGGAACATGAGGGGTTCAGGGTGTTTGCCGTCAATCAGGCACAGCGGGTCCATCGGATCGATATGCGGATGAGACTGGGCATATTGCATGATCCCGATGCGCAACAGCGAATGCATGACAGGGAGCAACGGCTTGCGGAGGAGAGGAAAAGAAAGGCGGAGCAGCCGACTGTACGCACAGAGCTGGAGCAGAAAAAGCATGACGAACAGAAAGCGAAAGAGGCCGCAGACTCTGCGGCGGGGAAGCCCAAAGAAGAGCAGCAGAAGCCATTGAAACCTAAGATTCGTCCGCTTTCAGAAGCGAGAGCCATCGAACTGGGCGCCAATTTCTTCTCCGAAGCCTTCATCTTCATGGTCGCGGTCAGCCTGCTCCTTGCCGAGAACTATCGCAGGTCAGCCAAGGAGAGCGATCGACGAGACGAGGTCGCGGAACGATTGGAAGAGTTGGAGGCTACAGTGCTGGAGCTGAGGAGCAAGATTGATCCCAATCTCGAGACACTCAACCAGCTGCACGAGCGGGAGGAGGAAGCAAGAGAGAAGAAGAAGCAGACCACGGGCTGGTTGAATCCCCGAGGCTGGATTGGCACTAAAGAAGGCGAACAAGAAGATGCTACAACCGAGCGGGATGCCAAGGTTGACTATAGGAAGCTCCAGAAAGAGGCGGAAGAGAGAGTGCAGCGGATAGCGAAACAGCGGGAGGAAGCCAAGGCGGCGAAAGAAGCAGCGAAAGAGTATGAGAAGAAGGGTATCATCGAGAGGGCATTCGACAAAAAGTCGCCAGACCACAAAGAGGGAGCTGAGCAACAACCACCGACGCGTGTGGATACAGTGGAGGCATCTGGGAAAGGAAGATGATGTGTAGAAATATGGACTCGCAACTCTGTTCACAACTAACGATACCCCGCTACTTGTATATTTGTTACCATTAGACGATAGATGCTCGCCACAGGCAATAACGGCTGGCGCGCTCCACTTCCGACTCTCTCAGGGAAGGAGCGATGTACGAACAGTTCTATTACAAAAAGCCGTTTACCTGCCATCCCCTCTGCCACTCGCACCGACTACTGGATTACACCAAGACCTGATCATGGCGGTAGTTCCGACTCTGTTCTGCAACTCCCTCAGACGCCGCCCGTCCTACGCGTCGGCCATTCCAACCCTGCTCGCTCAAGCCAAACACGACGTTCGTGGTCCGTATCTTCTCACCGAAGTGGCGGTACTAGTATTGCTGACAGCATGTCCCAGAGCAACTCCTCAACACGCACGACATCGCTGTGCCCATCACTGTCGAGACTGATCCGCGTACGGGCATCTCGAAATCGACCCGTCACCTGCGCTTCTTGCTGCTATCACCATCCACCGTGGCGGACGGCAAGCTGGAGGCAACCTTGGAGCGTATCCAACATTTTTCGTTCCTCACAACCGAACCGATTGCCATTGTCTTCTTGCTGAACCCGCCACGCAACACTTCCTTTCAGTCGGCGAAGCATTTCTCGGGGAACGCTGCAGAGCCCGGCACTGACGCCGTGGATGGCACTCTGGCCTTCACCAAATTGCAAGCAGAAATGATGAACCAAGCTGATCTACCGCACATCCCCATCCTCCCACTTCATGGCGTTGACGGCTTACCAACCTTGCTGCAAAGCCATGCCGCCAAGTACGTAAATCACAAGCCAAATCCAACGCGCTCAACAACAACCTCTCGAGATCTGATGCAGCTTTGTACACTGCGGCAACCCATGCAAGGCTTCACTGCAAACGTCTTGAGTGATACCTTCGACAATCTACACGACATGGCTCAAGCAATGAGTAGGCCCCCGAACGCACCAGCGTCGAGCTCTCCAACTGCGATTGCTGCTTTTGCTCTGGACATCCTGTCGCAGCCAATCGAGCGCTGGGACGAGAATGGCAATTTACGCATGTCATCGGATGACCCCACGCCTCAGGGACGGCTGAAGACCCTGGAGAGACTGGTTGGGCAGGCAGAGATAGAAGCCATGTTCGATTTCTGGCGAGAGGAGAAAGAGGTGTAACGATAATTAACTCATTGCAGGGACCGTTGCAGATGGTTCAGAAGTCATGAGACCGCATTGCTCACGATGAGAGTATGCACAGCATTCACCGAACCAAAACAATCATTAAGCTCGCAATATTCACAGCTGCGGCATGAAATAATTTGAACAAACTTTGCCACTAAACAGCAGCATTTTGTCTCCACGCACGTTGACGAGACCATGTTCGTCCCTGACCAAGTCATAATGTACTCAGAACAGCCCTTTTCATCCTCGCAATCGGGCCGCCCCCAAATGCAAAGTTCCCAAACTGAAGCATATCAAAACAAGCCCAGACAACGCAAACTCCAGCGCGCACGTGCGATGAGCTCGGCAAGAAGACCTTCGACGGCATCGACAATCTCTGAGCCAGGCTCGGAATCTACGCGGCCCACCATCATTTACCACAAACATATTGTCAGAGTCGACACGTCAGAAACTCCTCGCATGAGACCGGGAACCGGCCCTGTCGTTGGACGATTTCTTTGGGATCGATGGTGTGTTCTGAGAGGATGACAAGATAGTCAGGAAGTAGAGAACCAAGAACGACAAGTAGGATTGATTCTCGGCGGAGTATCAACGAACAACCAAATGCTTGCTCAGAGAAAGGTGACTGTCTACCAAAGCTTGTTCGGCCGCAAAGACTTAGATCCTACAACACTTCTTCTCCTCCACATCGTCGGACGCTACAAGTGGTCTTCGCGGCTCGCTATCTCGTCCTTCGGGATAGAGACGCCTTCGATTTGTTGTTGGGTTCCACCAATATCTGTTCTTCCTTCCACCTAGGATGTGATCTGGATGGGCGTGGAAACAATGCGGATGGTCACAGGTCGAAGCGCGATCACTGTTCCAGTAGTCGTCCACGGAGACGACGTTGTTGTCTGGCTTCTTCGACAAGGAACTGCCCATGCTGTGGTCGTGAGGAGTGTCGCGCTGTGGGGAGTTCGAAGCTTGTAATTGGGTAGCGGATGCCCAAACGTCGAAGAGGTTCGTAAACAAATATGTACAGCAAACATATGCGTTGTGTCCGTCAACATTCATGATCGAGATTCTAATCACCTTCATTCACAATTGAGTCCCAAAAGCCTGACCAGCCCAACGAACAAAATTCCAAGATCGCCTCGCCGAATCTCATCGCCATCATCAATCAACCAACCAAACCTGACAAAAAAAAACCCCCCCCACACTCCTTCTCAGCACCGTTTATCATAATCATCACCACGCTCCACTCCCCCTCCCCGAACTCCCTCCCCCACTAATACTCTTACACCACCTACAAACCCTCGCCCTCCACCCCACATCCGGCAAGATTTTCCCACACTTACTACAAACACTACTCGCGCTACTCGTCAAAATTCTCTTCCCCTCCGAATCCTGCGCATCAAATCTAATAGCTTTCCTTCTAGGCGGCGGCATCGTTTTCTTCAAACTGAGTGTCCTTGTTATTCGCTCCTTCGCACTACCCCCAGCACCGCTCAAATGACTGTCGCTATAATAATTCTCGTCCCCGCCACCGCCACCGGATGAGTAAGAATGATTGTTAGGGAGATAAGGTCTTGAGTTGAGGAAAGCTTCATCGAATCTTGCGAGTTCTTTTAGGACTTCTCCTGCGAAACTGTTTCGTTTGTCGCGGATGGGGGTGTCGAATAAAGGGGATTCCATTGGAGCTGGGATAGTTCGCATGTTTCGTCGAGAAGGACGCTTCTTTGTCTTACGTTTCAGATCTTTTCCTGGTGGTCGTCCGTTGGACTCGTGACGGTGGTTGTGGTTGTGATGATTGCTCCCTTCTGATCGACTTCCAGTGGAGAGGGAGGGGAGACTGCTATGGCGGGCATGGGTGGGTGACAGCGTCGAATGGGGATTTGTGGGTATTGTTGTTGAGGTTTCCAAGCTATAGGCCAATCGCTTCGTTGGTCGCGTTCGGAGGAAGAAGGCCTGGAGTTTTTGTTTCGAGGTTGGTTGGATAATGCGGAGTGGGAGGTCGGCGGTCTCTTCGTAGCTGCATCATGAACGGTCGGTATGGAGCCTTCTCGACGTAGTTGGTGTTGTAGGTGCGGATCGGGGGACAGGCGGACGTACTGTGGATGCGCGGGGTGTTCTTTGGGTATTGCCAGGCCTGGCATGGTTGCGGGAGAGACGTGGGATAGTTCTTCTGAAGGATTTCTGCGGCTTGATGATCCTGATGAGAAGCAGTTGCCCATCTTTNCATGTTCGAGGTGCAGAGTTGTGATACTAAAAGTGGCCGACTCCGGAGGTGTTCTGCAGTGGGCTGACCGCGAGAAAGACGGCAGCGAAGCTTGTGCCTGGCTTGGAGTTGGGGGCAGTTGGACCTATGTTGGGGTCTCCTTCCTGGGATTACGGGGAAGCTGTGGGATGTAATTGAGTTTGATAACACTTGATGGACCCCAAGCTCCCATTTGACTTCAATGGCCTCTTGTACCCAGCACACGCAGCGATTGTTGCAGAGATCAGTAATCCTGAAATATGTTGACAGCCATTGCAAGACATTTCACCAATGCAGGTTGCACATGGTGAACTCCAACGGACCTGCATGTCTTTGTTCGAGACTCTTTCCCGGGGAATCCTGGGGAGATCCTCGCGTGGGACAGGGTCATGGTTGACGCAACTGTCACGTTGAGTCTTGCTCCATGCTTGTCGAAGCTTACTTGGCAGCATTTGCTCCTGAACTTGTGCTGGCCTGAAATGCGAAGTGCCGTTGCATCTGTGTCGCTTGCGCCGACAAGGCGTTGATTTCGAAGCGACAAGACCTGCGAAGTCGCGGTAAGATCGCACCAAGATCGACTTGCCCTAGAGCACGCCTACGTCAACCTTCGGCTGCCCAATCTCGGCCATCGGGCATCGGTCAACGTCATGGCCAAATTGTCACAAAAGATCAAGGATCTGTTCCGCTGTAGAGACCAGACGCCAGCCGGCTTCCAACACTCAAAAATAGCACCACAAATGGCGCTCAGATCTGCTCCCTTATCGGCACGACAGCCTAGAACGTCGAATGCGACTCGATTTCTCAAGGCATCGATGCATCAAACACCAAACACAACGAGCCGGTCAAGCCCTATGCCGTCAGTGCCCGAACGCGCCTTTGAAAGGTCACGCGAACGTGCTCGCCGGAGCGCGTTCGACATGTTCGGCATCGGACCTCCAAACAGCGACTAAATGGACCAGGCAATGGGTGAATGTCGTGCCCTGGGCACGAATATAATGTTTATACAGTATATCGTATTAGCTTCTAGCAGAATCAGGCACTCGCCTTCGCCGGTGCTGGCCGCGCCTTCTGTGCAGATGCTGTTCTTGCGGGTTGAGCTGCCGGCAAGAGTGATTGGACTTTCTTGAGCAATCTTTCGCCGTCCTGCTTCAGATACGTGTCGTTGATCATCGTTTTCTTGGCAAGTTCGTTCAATATGGCCTGCTTGTAGACTTGCTTGCCAGCAAGAATTCCTTGGTCGTCATACTTTCCAGCAATGAGCTTCGCTGCAAGAATCTTGCGGTCTGCCTCTTCGAGCGTGAATTTGCTTCGTCCTGAAGGTTGGGAGGGGTCGCGTGAAGGAGCTGTGGCCAGCTTGTATCGGTCTAGTACAGTAGCCTCGGAATGGCTCGTCGTTGGAGTAACAGCGCCTCGACCTTGTTGCAAAAGTTCCTTCGTATTAGCCTTGTGAGGACGGAAGGGCAGGCCATGAGGCCTGGCACCTGCCAAGTGTTCTCGTAATTGTGTTTCTTGTCTTTCGTCTAGGGCCTCGTCTTCGCTTGGATTTGTGCTGGTTTGACTCCCGACAGTGCGACTCAGCTGCCCAGGTGTAGAAGCCTCTAGCACGCTTGCACCGCCGCTCGCTGGATCCTGCACTTGGTCGGTCGCCCGAGTCGCTTGTGGCCTGGGATGCTCGTTACGAACATGCTCATCGATTCCTGCGATTCTTCCAACACCTTGCGCGTTCACGCCTTCTCGACCCGCAGACACGTTCTCGCCCATCCGTTGGCCACCCCCGCCCATCGATGTAGGCGTTTCCGTGAAACCAGCGCTGATGTTTGGCCTCGTCGGATCGCTATGTTGGTTCTGCTCGGAAGTAGGGAACGTTGTCGAGCTCCCAGGCGGCGGGCTCTTATTGAGCATTTCTAGCTCGCTCGAGATGCGTTGGGCGCGTGCTCGCTTGGTGGATGGGGCCTGTACTGCTGAACCTGTGTTTGCTTCAGCATGCTGCATTACAGCCTAGCATGTATGAGCTTACCATTGTTCTCCGTTCGTGTGGCACTGTCCTTGATAGCAGGTGAACCGTCCTCAGGGCGTTGTTCTTCTGCCGCTCGTCGTCGCGAGCTGTGGAAACATCGCGCGCATTGCCCAATGCTCAGGTATTGCGATTTGATCAGCTGTCGCTCGGATGAGCTCAGCGCCGCGAAAGACTTTCTCGCGATCATGATGCGTTGGGTTCAATGGCATTCAGTGCCTCGATCCTCGATGAGGTCGAGACGGAGTGTAGGTGCGGAGTTCGAAGCACTTCCGATTAATCAATTTGATTGGAACTCGTGAAATGTTTCATTGAAACTACTTTTGCCTCGTTTCCTTCCTATGCTTTTGCCTTTTCACTTCGAACTCATGCCCAATAATTCGTTAATTGGCATCGTCTTGGTCATATGCTGAATAGCGATGCCGTAAGCTGTCGCGGCACGTCAAGCAGCTATCTGCCCCTAATGCCGCAAAATGTGCTCGACGGAGTCCAGAGATCGTCTGCAACTGGCCCTGGAACTTCGCAACACTTGTGCTATGCGTTCCATCCATCCTCTCATGCGGGCGGAGCACCACCGACCTGCGGTAGAGCAGACGACTCAAGAGGTGGCAGGGTACCACCAAACCCACCTGTCGACCCAAAGCCTCCTGCGCCACGCACAGTGGCTTCCAACTCCTGAACAACGACGACCTCTGGCGTGTAGATCTACTCATGGCGTTAGTGTGGAGTCCCGAATACCAAGTACATGTTGCGGAGAGCACTTTACTCACCCTTTCCACAATCAATTGCGCAACCCTCTCATGCACAGCAACCTTAAAGTCTTCCTCCCCAAAGTTGAACAACAGCACCTTCACCGGCCCTCTGTAATCTGCATCGATCACTCCCGCACCCACATCGATGCTATGCTTGCTTGCCAGCCCACTGCGAGGAGCAACTCTCCCATATGTATTCACAGGCACTGCGATGCTGATATCTGTATCGACTAGAACTTTCCCCTTCGCTGGGATGACAGCCTCTTTTGATGCGTAAAGGTCATAGCCTGCAGCGAAAGCAGAGCCTCGAGTGGGAGGTTTGGCGTTTTCAGAAAGGAGCTTGACTTGTAGGGCTGGTGGGGGAGGCTCGAAGGACATGGGCGGCAGAGTTGCTGCTGCCGGATTCGAAAGTTGTGTTGGTGGACCGCCGGCTGTCGCATTCATCGTGCCTGACATTTCGGATAGTGGGTTGGGGAGCTGAGCAGTTTGTGGTGTTGGAGTGGCTTGTTGGTCGTTTAGGATTGCTGTGTGTTAGAGCTAGATTAGTGTTTGTTCGTTGCTTGAGGGGTGTGAAGAACTAACATGCGACGCTAAGGTTGGCTGCGGGCTCGGTGTATTTCGTTCTCTTGGGCAGCGGTGAGCCGGGAAGACTGGGCGCGTCGTGGTGGGCGGGTGTTTGGTCGGCCATTGTTTGTAGTGGGGAGAAATGGAGAACGGGTCGCTGGAGACGCGAAACAAGGGTCTATTTGAACGCGTTGGTTTCACGACACGCGTTTCTGGGCGGTAACATAAGCTAATCATCGTCACATATCATTCGTGTGCTATATCATACGTTCGCTGTTGATCAAGCCGGCTTATAACACTCTAACAGGCACAGATGCGGCCGAAGCTTGAACTCGTCCCAGAAGCCTTGCTCTTCTCGCTGATCGCCTTTGGGAAGGACGTATGGCCTCCACCTGATCTGTCCTATTCCCGCCTCCTTCGCGGCCCTCTCATAGAGATCATGCAACCTGACATTCGTCTTGAACGCAAGGCCTCCAGGTTTGTATGACAACGTGCACCTCCAGAATCCCTCTCCCACTTGCTCGTTCACTTCCATCTTCAGATCGTGCACGATGTAGTCGCAAAACATTGGAGTGAACGCGTTGGGTACGACGCCCAGGAATCGGCCGCCAGGTCTAAGATTGGTGAGTATGTTATTGAACATAGTCACAAGCCCCGCATGGTCCGCAGCATAGGACACTGTCCGATATTAGCACATATTCATCGTGCGCATGAGCAGAGTGAACCCACAATACCAAGCACCCAACACCAGGTCAAACCCGCCCTCTTCAACCGTAAGCGGCAATCCACAATCCTTTACACAGAAGTCCAATTTCTTCGCCAAACCCTCCGGCAGCGCAGCCTGCATCTCCTTTGCGCCCTTGATCATTGCCTCCGAGATGTCAATACCCACAACCTCTTTCGCCCCGTTCCTCACAAGCCACTGGCTCCACCTTCCAATTCCACACGCCAGATCCAGGACTCTAAGCCCTTTCACATCGCCCAACGCTCTGGACGTTGTCTCGAAATCCACCTCTCCAACCGGACTATCCTCTAACGACTTGTGCTTCGATCCAATCTGATCATACTGCGTTGACATCTTGTGTAAAGGAGATCTAGCCGGCGACCTCGGAACAGGAGACTTCTCGCGATAAAGCGGGTCCAAGTAACTATGTAAAATAGTATTATCTCCCAATTCGATAGGATCAGGATCGAAGTGTGCACTCTTGAGATCGGTGCTATCGATGGTGTTTTTGTCGAGAGGAAGAGCTTCGATACGGATCGTGAGATTATACTCTACAGAAGGACGGAAGAAGCGAAGTGGTGCTGTAAACATGCTCGAAATAAATAGTAAGAAGCTGGATGACCGGAAGAGACGGGCGGTGGATTACTGAATTGCTCTGATCGCAGAAGCGGGCAGGTGTTATATTGGTACACAGGATGATCAGACTTTCTTGTCTGCCTTCGTCAGGGTTGAGCTTAGACAGGGGAGGGCTGGGACCTGGAGATGTTGTGTTGTCATCGTTTCAGCCGACACCCAGGTCCGTGAGCTTGGAAGATCTAATAAGACAGACGCGCGGATGGACTAGCGACCTGTACACGTCAGTGGTACAACTTCTGCCTGCGAATGAGCTGGATCATTGCGATCTCGAAACATCTGTATCCGGTGTACATCCATGCCAAGATAAAGTACAATAGCCATATTGTCCACTGTTAGAAACAAAGTTGTACACATTCTCCCGATGCTTATAGAATCGTCTGCGCGAAGGAGAAGGTTAGCTTGTGTCATTTGAACTCGGCTGCGAAAGTTGAGACATACCCTTTGTCGTTTCCGGCCAGCAGGTCCGCCACCAGATTCTTGTCTCTGACTTCTCTTCTCCTGTGCATCGAGCACCAAGCTGAGCACATCGAAACCGAATTGCGGGAACTCCAAACACATCCTCTTGAACTCGTGCTCGGCTTCGTGGCGTAAGACGTGGCTTCTGGTAGCCCAGAATGCCGCGACGGGCTTCCTGATGCTCTCGTCGTCGGGGCTGGTCTCCTTGTACACGAACCGAGCGTAAGCAATTTCGCCCTTTGCAGTAGATTGCGTGAGGTGGATCTTCTTGTGCGCGAGCGCTGCAAGTTGAGGTAGACCAAACTTCTGCGCGAGTGTGTAGACTCTGGCATGACGCAGAAGGCCAACACCATCGTGATCTGGGGATGGCACTGTGGAGTCGTATTCAAGGTTGGTTTGTCCTTGCAGTGCTGGGAAGTAGTCGCTCTTGTACAGATACTCCAGCACGGAAGCCGTCGCGGCTTCGTCATCTTGCAGAAGCTCAATGCGTCGGCGGCCAGCATTTTCAGAGAATTGCGCGCAAGCTTCCTGGAAGAAGGGAGAGCTGATGAGGACTCCTTGATGTGCGTAGAGCGTGCTAGTGTTCTCAGCGGATCCAACGACCAGCTCGACTATCGGGGATCGCAAGTAGCTACGCGGTTGATATGTTAGTATGCCAATCTTGCAACGCCGGCTGCCAGCATACTCACTCTAGGAAAGTGGTGCGATTTGGGAGCGTCGGCTCAATGTCTTCGAGACCAGCCGGTGCAGATTCGTCCACTACGGTCTCCACATTCTCACCCATCTCCTCATCGACCGCGGTCTCATCCTCGATGATGACTTCTCCCTCAGTATCAGCCATTGCTGCGAATGACTTTATTCCGTCTGTTCTCGTAGCTGCAGTGCGCACGCGTGCGCTGTTGTCACTATCGCGTCTGCTGATTTAGAAGGAGCGCGTCGGAACGGTCGCGTAATGTATGCGACTCGGCTGTGACGGTCGTGACCGGTCGAGAGGGCTTTGTGTGTCGGTATTGAGGATCGTGGTGGAGGAGACGCGCATTCGAGCTCGACGATCTCGAGAGAGCTCCCAGCCACTGGAGAAGCTCACATCCTGGCATGCAGGAACAGGAACAGGACTAGTGCGACAGCCTCAGGTTACACATACTGTACAGGTGGAGTTCAGTTCAGACGACTCCGGCGAGGCCATCGCTGTCAGTCTTGGTCAGCAAAGTACACATACGAGCCTCGTCGAACCCCAAAGCAGCTCTCGACAGCGAAGAGATCTTTTGCACGTGACGGTACTGAAGTATGACCGGGCAGAAGAAGCCATGCCTCGCATACATTTGTACTATACAAAATTCTGTGTCACTACTTCTTATTCCGCTTCTTCTCCGCCGTCCTCTTCGCCTTGGCCCGCTCATAATCCTTACTCGCCGCACCCTCCTCATTCTGGACTTCGGCGATGAGTCTCCTGTATTTCTTCTCATACTCGGCGTCGCGTTCCCTCTTATCCTTGAGCTGCTCTCTCGCCACGAAGTTCGCATCCTTGCGAAGCTCACGAAGTGCACCTTTGCGCTCACGCTTGTACTCTTTCTGCAGCTTGTTGGCTTCCGAGCGTTCCCTGTCCGGATCATAGTGCTTGTCGGGATTGAAGTTCTCCTCAAACTTGGGTATCGATGTTCGAATCGGCTGTGGGCGGTGATGATGAAGTTCGAGTGGTCGCCGCGCGGTCCGCGACTGCTGTATGAGAATCGATATATTTCGATGTGGCGTTTTTGCGTTGAGGTCTTTGAACTGTGGATTCTGCCCCATGCGTTTCAGAATTGGCAAGGCCGGCGAAAAGATCTCAATGAATGCCGATTTGTCCTTCCAGAGATCAGCCATCGCTGCGAGATTCTGGACATGCGGCCTGAGCAGCTCCTTCGGTGCACTCTGCTTGCCCGTACCAGCATCCAACACGCGTATGGTGAACCGTACAGCTTCCGGAATATAGCGTTTACTAAGCAACTGGTACTTCGCACAAATCGCTACCAAGAATGCACCCGTTTTAAGAGTTTGCGCAGTCGCCGGTTTAGATGCTGTTGGCACATTCAAGGACAGCCAACGAGCCATCAATGTGATCGCAGGAGTGACAATCTGATGCCAGTGGTCAGAGGTAGGGTATATTGAGCTGATTGCGGTAAGCTGTGCCAAGTCTCCAGGCGTAGGCTGTCCGCGCTGCTGAAATGCGGCCAGTCCTCTCCGGAATGCCTCCCCGATTTCTGTCGGATATGTTCGCGAAAGCGAATGGAGATGTCTCATGACCTGCTCGATCACGGGCAATGGTTGCGCATTGTCCGCCATCCAGCCCAAGTGCTCTACCAGTGCAGCAGAGAAATCTGCCATCGACTCCTTGTTCGCGGCAGATAACGAAGGATGATACAGAGCACGAACTCGTTGTATGACTGTTGTCAATTTCTCTGCCGGCACATCTTTCACAACATCCAGTAGCTCGGCGTGTGATCGAGGACAGGGATATGTGTAAGACAGGCCAGACGCATCAGTACCAGATCTTCGTTCTCCTAGGGTACTTGTGTTGGCACCAGTTGACACCTCCGGTCCAAGTACTTCCTTCACGAACTCATCTTCTTCATTCTCGACAGCAGCGTCGCCGTCAGCGCCGTCACTTGCTTCCGATTCATCATCACTTAATTCAGCTTCAGAGTCGCTCGCGACCAAATCGTCATCAAACTCAAATTCGTCTTCGTCCGGCTGCACATCTCGTTCCAGCTTTTGGTTGGGTAGGCTGTTGGTAAAGCCGAACTCCGCAGCTTGATCTGGAATTTCCTCATCGTCGCCCCCCAACTGTGTTTCGGTGTCCTTATGCGTCCTTTCGTCGTCGGAGACATCCTCGCCACGCATACGCTTCTGTCGCTTCTCCTCGAGCTCTTTCAATCTCTGTGCCTCTTTCTGCACCTTCTCTTCTGCAGTCAGTGTCTTATCTGAAGGCTTAGCTCTAGCATCCATTGCGAGTTGCTTCATGCGGACATCGTACTCCCGGTCTGCCTTCTCGCGATCCATCCCATCCAATAATCGCTGTCTATCTGCATTGATGACAGGTCCGCTATCAGTGACAGCTGCAGGTTGTGGCTGTTTGGGCGGAGGCGCTGCTTTCTTCGCGCCCTTGAGAAGACTGAAAATCTCATCAAAACCTTTGTCCAGCTCTTCTCTCAGGTCCTCGTCATCTTCCTTTGCTTTTTGTCGCTCGTACTTGTGCATTTTGGATTTTGCGATGATTTCCTCCATGACCTCCTTCTTCGTCTTCTTGCGTTCGGGCTCCTCCGTCTCCTGCTCACCTTCCTCTTCATCGACCGCACCCTCCTCTTCCACATCACTTCGCCGTCTCTTCTTTCTGAATAAGCCTCCCTCGCTACCCTCATCGTCACTCCCGCCTGACACACTCACGTCAAAATCATCGGCTGCGAGATCACGAACTCCTTTCCCGCCGTGTGTGAGCTGAAATCCTCCCCCTTCATCATCGCTGCCCTCCAGATCGAACATGCTTCTGCCCCTCGACTTGCGCTCTTGCTCCCTCGCGAACCGAGCCGCAGCCCTCTCCTCTGGCGTCATGTCCACATCTCCCTCTCCTATTCGCCTATCAACGAGCCCGCCGACCTTGTTTCTTCTCCTCAGTTCTGGTAAAAGTGTCGCCCTGCGCATTTCCTCCCCCGCAGACTTCGACACCCTAGGTCGATGTAGCACCGCCTTGTATTTTCCTGTACCGGCTCCGTTGCTCGCTGAGGCATGTTCGAATTTGGCGGGGCGAGAATTGGTCGCCTTGAGCTCGAACGGGTTGAATGAATCTCTAATATTCTGAAGAGCAGCGGCACGATCGTTACGGCGAGTCTGGTCTTTCGATGAGGCGATTTGCTTCTTTTGCTTTTTCGACTTCTGCGGTCCTGTGACGCCTGAATCACGGAGACTCTGCTTTAGTCTCTTCAATTGTGACGCCGGCATGATTAAATGATGTAGCGAGAGAATGTCGACCGCGTCTCGAAGAGGTGAACTTTTTTGGCTGCCACAATCTATAATTGTGGCGTCGGAAGCTCGGTCGGCCCGAATCGCCCTTGTGGCTGAACACAGCTTGCTCGTCCGCTCCTGTGCACTTCATCCGAACAGCGCATCGCCCACGTCGCTTGTGTTCACTTCCCACAGACGGACAAAATGTCATGGCCACGCGCATCGACGACCGCTGGCTGTGGCTGGGCGCCGGCGTCTTCTTCTACTTCGCCGCCAAATACGTCAAGCACGCCGTGACGGACATCGTTCGCCTGACCGAACTCGATCCTGCACAATTCCCAGCCAACGATGCCGACCACGGCGCTCACCCGGAAGAGAGCATCGAAGTGAAGACGCTGAAGACTCTATGTCAGTCGCCGAACCCGTCGATTGCGGCTGCGGCGCACTCGCTGGTCATCAGACGCTTTGCAGCTCAGCCCAACGCTATAGACATCCTTCGACGCGATATCGACTCCAAGAACCCAGAGACGAGTCGTAGGGCGAAACAGGCTGTGCAGTATCTGTACGACTTCGACCTGGAGCTTCGAGATTCTCTTCCACGCGGCGGTCTAGATGACCTAGACATGCCAATGGAATATGCAGATGACGTTGCCTACAGAGACGAGAATGGCGAGCTGCAGCTCATGGATGTCGATGACTGGAACGCAATGGCGAGAGCTAGGAACAGACAACAGAACTCACTTGACGACGAGAGAGCCATGGACGTCGTGGCCCGGTTGGAGGAGCTAAGTGAGGAAAGTGCCAGGACGGAAAGAGAGATGGATGACTTGCAAGCTCGAGCCAATCACGCAAGGTTCGCTGGCTGGGACAGAATTCCTGCACCGATTCGACCTTCTTTTGCGTCTGGCGGGCTACAGGGGAACGAAGCGGAGGACAGGAGGAGACGACACAGAGAGGCGATGGTGTTGCACGAGGGAGACGGACGTATTGAGGAAGAAGATATTATCCGTCCCTCGGCCTCCAGATGGCCATGAGCGCAGGCGCATACGTCCGGAACCTCTACCTGGTGTGCCTTGATGGCAGTCCTTACAACCTAGACGAGACTTTCGGAATGCAGCAAGCGCAAACCTCACCTGACTTTCGATAACGTTTCTACATTGTGACTGATTTTGCACTTTCAGAGAATTTGATTGTTTCCTAGTCGCTACTCTGGGCTCAAAGACCGCTGATCATCAACTATACCCGTTAATCCCGGGAGTGACCCATCCTCCACACAAACTCAAGCCCAGATATCCAAACATCTACAATGCTAAGAAGGTTGCCAGCATCAATGCAAAGTTCGGCGTCCCCAGACCAGTCACCTGAAAGTTTGATTAGCAGCTGTTCGAACCATTACTTTTGTGGCGCTTCTACTCACAGGATCCCATCCGCTCACAGCAGAAAATCCAGGCGTGTTACACCCCTTATTCCCGCCAGTAGTGACATCGCGGAACATAGATGGATGAGCATATGCAACAGGATTGATGAAACCAATCGACCCTTTGCCAATCGCATATCTCGCTTCATTGATCAACGTGAGGATCGATCCGAGTGTTGGCGAAGAAGCAGATGTTCCGAAAACTAAACTCCAGCTACCATCGACTGCGACGACGTAATTCGCTCCGTTCGCGGAGATGTCTGGGAAACCTCGCGTGGCCTGGCTGTTGTTGTATTGCGCAGCGGTGTATGGCGGCAGGTGGTTCGCGAAGTAGGATTTGACTGCTGAGGACTGGTAAGATGGCAGAGGGAAGACGTTGGAGAAGCCGCCGCCGGAGTAGATGACGGTTTCGCAGGCTTGTTCGGGTTGGGTAGGTGTTGTCAGGATATTGACGCCGGGTTTGACTTGTGTGGCGCCAACAGCGGTAACGTAGGGACAAGTTCCTGGGAAGGAAGGGTTGAAGCGACCTCCGAGAGACTGGTCTTGGTATTCTCCTGTTGGACCAATGCATTGGCCTTGGTTGCCGGAGACGCCATAGTCGCCGCTCGAATAGAGGACGGATGTGCCCATCAGACCCAACTTCATGTATCTGCAGTGGAGGGTTAGGACAACTGGGCTCACTCCGCCATGAGAAAGGTACGCTCTGCTTACTCGTTGCATTGTCGTTGCTCGTAGAAAGGCGTCAAGTCAGCTTCGTTGTAGGCATAGGACGTCGAGATGACCTTCGTTGCAGTAAAGCCTCCGCATGCCTTCGGTCCTTTGTAGCCTCCGGCTGCGGGATCTGGGTATGCAGCATCTTGAGACGGATCTGGAAGCACTGTCAGCCTCGACCCCAGATACAATCATGCAAATCTGTGCTCTTACCATCACCACCTTCGTAAGTACAATACGAAGCATCAAGCGCGTCCAAGAAATCGTTGAAAGAAGCACCTTCGATCTCATCTCCGACTTGGTACAGAGTGACCTTCTGTGGATAGACAAGAGCCATGCCATACTCCAAGTCCAAATTACTCTCGCCGTTGAAACTGAATCCGGTTTGCTCTTGTTGCACAACTCCTCCATCGATCGATTGAAGAATGGGGCGGTCTCCGACTTCTCTGGTACTGAAATTCTTGAAGAACAGGTCTAGGTCACTAGGGACGTAGGCTTGCGGAGTGTACTCGACGATACCATAGCTGTTTTTGGGATTGGCTGTCAGACCGGGAGGGAACTTGTAGAGCGCACGCAGACAATTTGGTGTGATTTGCTTGTCACAATCGGTCAACTCCTTGATGATACTGCTCTTGGCGATAGGCTGAAACTTCGGGATATTGCCACCATTTGGGTTTCCCGGTTTGACATGTTCTTGCATATCGCGTCTCTCGGCATTCTCGTTTCTCGGCTTCAGCTTGAGGTCGAAGTGCAGAGTTGGCGTGACGAAGTCGATCTTGTCCTTCAAGTTGGCCGGAATGCTGTAGTCTTCACAAGCCACGTGCGGTTGACCAGTCTCTCCATGCTCATAAATGTGATACTTTGTCTTCAACAAGTTTTCGGCTTCATCGATAGTAGCATTGAAATGTAGCCAGCCAAGACTTTGAGATTGTTTGATGCGTTCACCAGCAATGCCTGATGTTGACAGCCAATCTTTGACAGCCTGAACTGCGGAGTCACTATCGATAGTCTCAGTTCTGCGCCTCCGGACAGAATGCTCAGTATTGTTACCTGGGAGCGAATGCAGCTGCAACATCTTCCGGCGACCAATGCTTGCCATATTTCTCAGAGGTTGGATGCGAGACTTCCATCAACCACTCCTCTCCCTTGTCCAGATTACTTTGTGACAGGGCAATTCGCATGGGTATAACCGTAGCTCCATGGATCCGATCTCTCTTCACCCAGCCATGCGGTAATATATCTCTGCTTTCGTGGAGTACATGTGGGGTTGCCAATGGAGATGAGGAACACGATGCCACGAAGGCCCCGATCAGAGAAAGATATCGCATGTTGCTCTGCGACCAAATGCGACCAGATGAACGAAGGCATTCGACAGCCCGTTGCAGGATATATGTCTTCCATCGTTTGTATGCTTATATCTTCTCCTTCCTAAAATGTGAGTTCGCCGTTAGACTCTGCTGCAGCTTTGGCGACCACTACGAGCCACGCTTGTAAAGAATACCATGCCGCAGTCTCGTTGTCGGCAGATGGTGGCAGCAGGTCGCGTGCCATTTACCAAATGAGACATCCAATGATTGCGTCGATGTTCCGTTGGTGTCGAGATTCGGACTTATCGTGGCGCAAAACCATGCCTGTTACAGCAGGAGTTCGGCTGTGAAGGCACATAGCAGTGGATAAGAAACAAGCGACGCCATACAAGACCTGTCGTTCAGTGATGTGCATATGCAAGATAGCCACGCGCAGCGGTGATCGTATGCTTGCAAGAGACAAGCTACCGCTACGTTTGTAGAAGCTCAGAAGGTCCTTCTTCATCAAGATTAGCGCAAGGCTTGTTGGAGCTTTTCACCTGCAGCTCCTCAGCCGTCAATAGTGGGACGCACCTACGCGAACGCTTCTCGACGTACCGAAGATTCTGTGTCGCATTCGCATGTGCCCTTTTGAGGTGGTAGCCGCTCAGCTCGGCGGCATAGTCAAAATTATGCTTGCGACGTGTTCGGAGGTCGCAGCGCTCATGTAGCCGTGTAGCGAGGTCGACAATCTCAAAGGGCTTATATCGCCTCATGAGGCCTGACTCGCAGTCGCAAGCTTCGGGTTCATCTTGAGATCAAGGCTGTGGCCTGATGCTGGCTTGGCGTGTCCGCCGGCTAGTATGCTTTGGCGCAGCGAATGTGATCGCATCTGCAGCAAGACAATGGATGGCCAAACTTCACGACGTCGCCGGCCACCGACCATCGCCTTGCCTGGGCTGCCTCTAGTCGTCTGTACTAGCTTGCACGACCAGCAAGTTTCCATTTTTGTCGGGCCAGCTTCTTTTTTGTACAGTGTAATGCGCTACAAGGCAGGATTGTTGAAATGTTGTAATCTTCGCAGGTCCTAGAGCTCTGGGACTTTCACCTGCAGCTGCATCAAGTAGGTTGCATAGGTGCTGAGAATATACCCTGCGCCGATCGCATGATTCTCGGACAACGGTCTGAGTCCTCTGCAGTGCTCGCTGATATCGAAGCAAAAAAAGTGTCTTGATAATGCCGGGTATCTGTGATGTACTCCAAACGCCTCGCTAAGAACGCTCCAACTCACAGCTCGTTCATAGAGCCAGGCTACTCCCGACTGTAAGTGATCTTGTGACGTTTCGACGGCTTCAGATCATCCTCATCATCCTTATCTGTCGGTCTCTTCTTCTTGTTGCCTTGGGCTTTACCAGAGCCCGCAGCAGGGGTACTCGCATTGCTATCTCGAGCTGAAAGCTGAGGCGGAAATTGTCCTGTTGGCGTCGGCGCATGAGACGGAGTACCACTGTCCGGTCCTTCCTGGAGCTGCTTTCCGCATCAGTATGCCAAACCTGACTCCTTCAGGCGCCTTGTATGAACTCACGCGCATCCAACTGACACTACTCCGACTAAACACACGGTCTTCCTCTCTCACTCTTCCGCCACGTCTCGACCCATCCACAGCGCTGCGAGTGCCGATTTGAACACCCTTGACCCAGCCATCGAAGCCACGTACTATGTTGCCTGAATTGGCCGTCTCTTCAAGATATGCGCCTTCGGTCTTGTAGATATTCTCCTCGAGCGCCGCAAGCTGCTCGTCCATTTTTCGTTTCTTGTCGAGTGTCTGGCGAAGCGTTGAGCGAAGTGACTCGTAATATGGTCGGCCAGGTTGGTCTGCTGCAGCGGTCGCGGACTGCGCCGAGTTCGGTGGCACGTTCTCGGCCATCTTTGGTGAGTTCTGCGCGTGGCCGCGACGCGACAATAGCGTGATGATGCCGATGGTGAGCAGACACGTCGATGAATTGCGGCTACTTCGCGACGGCCAGCGATGATGAGATGCGGAGGCCGATGCCAAGCCTCGATCCCAAGCTTCAGTTGATGGAAGCTACACGTGCTATTCAGTTCAGTGTACACAAACATAGGATTTTCTTCAATCAATTGCTTCTGGGTGGAAATTTGAAATGATATGATTTCTAGATATCTGCTGGCTTCTTTCAGGCCCGACTTTTGGCTTCTCGTTCCATCATGCAGCCTGACCAAGTTGCCGTCGTCGAATTAGTTCTGCGAGAGGCACATCGTCCTCGTCGTAAAAGTCGGCCACTTCATCCACACCAAAGTCTGCCAATCGCTCACCCTCCTTGTTCCGCCATGCTTCCTCCCCTTCGTCGACACGTCGCGATGGTCTGCCTCGGACGTCTTCCTCGTCAGATTCTGTATCTGTACCGATTGCATCCTCATCCTCGTAGATCCTCTCGCTCTGTCTGGAAGCCTCTAGTCGCTCATGGAAGGGTCGCCGACGAACTACGTACTCGCCGTCGCCGTCTGTATAGCGCGCAAGATCCGCCGCTTGACGTTCTTTGAAATCATTGATGTCCCATGATTTGGTAAAGCCGTCACCAACCAGCGGTTTGCGTTCAGCACGGAAGAGACGATCCGGATCCGGCGGTGGCCACGGCTTACTAGGATCTGCAGAATATGAGTCAGTATCAAGAAGTGTCAAGGAGTGCGCGCACACATACCATCGATCTCATTGTGCTCATAGGATAGCCCAGTCTCTGTACTTGGGCTTCGTGAGAAAGGCCATAGCCAGCTCAAAGGATTCGCGCTGCCCATGCCTTGACAAATGTTGGCCCAGATGCCGATGTCCCATGGGAATTCCTGGTGCTCAATGAAGATCTTGTTTCCATCCGGGTCTTCGAGATACCCACCCAGGACGCGGGCCCGCCTGAGGACAGCATCGTGTCTTTCAATCTCCCAGCCCTCGATGGTCCATGTATTTACTGCAAGCGACCACAAGGTACGACCAAGTAGAAGCGTAAGAGCAAACAGAACAAAACTGTTGACTGCAAAGAGGACGAATATATGGCTGAGCTGGAGAACGAAAGGTCCAAGGTACTGCTATTGTGAGTTGTGCCTGAGTCAAAGAAGGATGAGAGGAAACGTACCCTTGGCAAACTCCTTTTGGCCCATATAGGAGCCACTCGAAGGAAGAGGAAATATTCCAGAAATGACATGGAGGCCACAGCATAGAACAGAAATCGAATAAAGTGTGGAATGGTGATGTGAGAGACACAGTTGGCTGGAAAACGAGTTACCTACCATCGTTCATACCTGCGCGGACCACGACCTACCAGTCCACACGCAGTGGTGATCCATCTTCATAATGCATCGCTTGCACGTTTTGCAGTGATGCGCTCTTGGCGGCTTGAAGGCCTCACATCGTCTGCACCAACGATTGCTCTGGGCTGCGGCTTTGGTTGCGGTCTGTTTGGCATTTGACTCTTGGCCACTTAGTGACTCATGCCAGTCCTTGGGTATTGTGCCTGGATCTGTGAGGCATGTTCTCCAGTAGCAGATGAAAATACAAGCCACCAGAGCATTGAAGATGTATGCTTCTCCTGAAGAGAGTGGTCCTGGCTCGATGCGGTGGAACAGCCATTGAGAAGTGTAGGCCAAGAACGCGATCAGGGAGGAGACGGCGGGCAGGGCCAACCTCTGCACCAACGGCAGATCCTTCAGCTCCATTATTTGACGTCTTCCATCGAAGTGTCGAGTGCATGTCGAGAAGACAGGAGAGGTTGGACGTGGCAAGGAATCTTCCTAAGGTTTCGCGGCCCGCCGCTCGCGTCACTTCCTGCCTTCGTGCTCTCTCTTGGTGGGGCCATCTCTGTGACCACATCCACACTGACACACCCACGCTCTAGCCCTTCCGTTGCATAGATACTCACCACACCGGCCGCCTACAATACCGGACGCGCCGCCGCCCATACATTGCACGCTGCCGCCTCGATCCGCCCGCCGTCCGCGCGCCGCCAACACAGTCTGGACTCGATCTCAACACCACCTTCTTGAAAGTGGAAAGTGGGTAGGCAACAGTGAACAGCCTCGAGCCTTCGCTGGCTCTCCAAGTCAGCATGGCGCGGGTGTACGCAGATGTCAACCAGCAGATGCCGCGCGCATACTGGGACTATGACAGCGTCAACATCAGCTGGGGAGTACTTGAAAATTACGAGGTGGTTCGCAAGATAGGTAAGATATGGGCACGCGCGCATTCATGACAGACACAGCTGACGGCGAGGAAAGGGCGTGGCAAATACAGCGAGGTGTTTGAAGGCGTCAACGTGGTTAACTACCAGAAATGCGTCATCAAAGTGCTCAAGCCGGTCAAGAAGAAGAAGATCAAGCGTGAGATCAAAATCTTGCAAAACCTTTCTGGTGGGCCAAACATCGTCGCGCTGCTGGACGTTGTCAGAGACAGCCAGTCAAAAACTCCCAGTCTGATCTTCGAGCACGTTAACAACACCGATTTCCGCACGTTGTATCCCAAATTCCAGGATTATGATGTTCGGTACTACATCTACGAGCTGCTCAAAGCGCTGGACTTCTGCCACAGCAAAGGCATCATGCACCGGGACGTCAAGCCTCACAACGTTATGATCGATCATGAGAACAGGAAGTTACGGTTGATTGACTGGGGTCTGGCCGAGTTCTATCACGCTGGGACAGAATACAACGTGCGCGTCGCAAGCAGGTATTTCAAGGGACCGGAACTCCTCGTCGATTTCCAAGAGTACGACTACAGTCTAGACATGTGGTCACTCGGCGCCATGTTTGCGAGCATGATCTTCAGAAAGGAGCCTTTCTTTCACGGCAACAGCAATAGCGATCAACTGGTCAAGATCGCTAAGGTTCTGGGAACCGAAGATCTGTTTGATTACCTTGACAAGTACGACATCGAGCTCGACGCGCAATACGACGACATTCTTGGTCGGTTCCCAAAGAAGAGCTGGCAGGCTTTTGTCAATTCAGAGAACCAGCGCTTTATCAGCAACGACGCGATTGATTTCCTCGATAAGCTACTGCGTTACGATCACCAGGTATGTGTTTGCGTCTGTAGCGATCACACTAAAACGTACTGACCTTTCCCAGGAACGTCTCACCGCCAAAGAAGCGCAAGCCCATCCATACTTCGCACCTGTTCGGCAAGCGGAGCAAGAGAACAACGCTCACTAATATGATACCAGTGAGACTCGAATCACGATTGAGACTAGATACCACTTTGCTTATGAAAGGGTCAGATCTTCTTCTGACTGATCAACTTGTGCCGCTTAAGATTATCTTATTGCCGCAGCAGACGGTGCACTGTGGAATCCGCTGACACCGTTTTGGTCTTCACTAGGACATCCTTCATGGTGCACAAGCATTGTGATACACAGCTTGCTATGCGAATTCAATGCTAATCTTACAGAACGATCCGACTCGGATACATGCGGCGCATGCCATTGTCGAAAACAGCCTCGCCCAATCTTTCTGTCAATCGAACATGCCGCACGAAAAGCTTTACGACCTTCTCTTAGACGACTTAGCGACCCGGGTCTCCTTTGCTGGCGTCACGCTCTTCTGATCGCAACTCTTTCCAAGAGCAAGAAACCTCTCATACGGATGTGGGGTCTCGATGTATCGGTTGATGCTGTATGAGTTTGGTTGTGCGGTCTGACACATCGTTGCATTTTGAGGCACTTGGGCGGCACCAGACTTGAAATCGCAGGTCTGGCCACGCGGAGGACTTCCATGCGACGCAACAGTGCTGCTCGGACCATCGGCCTGACTTGATGGACTCAGCCTGGATCATGAGCAACATTTGGTCTGCTTCCCTTACCTTTGACGCGTGGCGTCTCCGCAGCGCTTCTGAATCTCAGCTAATGGCAAACTCATTCGAATGATTGCGCTCGAACCGGCGTTGGAAGACAACGTTACTCGTGTGACTCAGTGCTGCTGCTTGGACTTCGTTGTGTCTGTTTGGATGAAAAGCCCCGCTCGCAAATGGCTCTTGAAGACTCTTATACGCGTCGTAAACTGGTTATCTCGCAGCTCGCATTCAAGACAGCCGCCTTGGTCATCACTGTGCAACTGCAAACGGACTTCGAGTTGTGACGAGGACATCTCGCACTGCAGGAGTATGTCGAGCGACCATCGTGAGTTGAACGCAGGCTCGGAGTAGTTCGCTGAAGACCGCACACAAAGCTCCCACGAGAGATACATACTTCACACAGCAAATCTTACCGACTACCACCCTGGCCCAGGTCCCGAAAACATCGACATGCATTGGCGCTGGATACGCAACCTGAACGAGGCTCGCGTGTCAACACAAATCTCGCTAGGGCAGATTTGATAATGCTACTGTTGTACTGGTTTTGACTGGAGGATTGCCATGCACGTGGTCTCCTTCGCTAGATCTGACACTGCAGTGCTGTAGGGCTCAACCCTGTCGCCCTGGAAGGCGGCCATTCTTCGAGCAGTGCTCGAATCTGATGACCGGTGACGCGCCAAAGCAGAGATCATGCTCTCAGCCGTGTGGTACCCATGGCGGGCATAGCATCCGCAGATTCATCTGCGAGATTGATCGGCGACAGCACCTCGCCAAGCGGGCGGCTGCCATAGTCTATTGCTTTGCATCTAATCTATCTACCGACGTCTATCAAGCTTGGGATCCTCGACACACTTTCTGGCTTCCAGCTGGTGCCGAGGAGGGAATTAGCTTGGCTACATTCTGAGATGCCGGGCCAACTGCACTTCTCCATGATACAGTCGAGACTGGATGGCAAGTATGCGGCCTGCCGCATCTCCTGCGAGTCCAGGGCTGAGTGCGTTCATGTAGCATGCCTCGTGCTACCACATGCAATGGTCGCGCTAACTGAACGACACCGGAGGGGCTCTCGGGACGCTGCAGCTTCATCTGCATGGTGAACATGTGTGCAGTTTGCCACTCGCCTGTGAATCATCCATGATGTCTGTATCGACTCGAAGTAGTGAGATGCACCATCATGTCGCTCACTGCTGCGCTCGCGCCATCTGCAGGTGGGAGGCAAACAGTATCAGCCAGCAATCGGCTGTCAATTCCTTTCTGAAGGGTAACACAGCATATGCCAGCACTTCGTAGCACTGCATGATGGACAGTATCATCTATACTGGCCGCGATTGTCCGAGCCAGCTGCGGCAACAAGCGGTACATTCTTCGTGGAGGGGTCAGAGACTCGCGCGGTTTGGGTAAATGAACTATGGCTTGGCGCTCAAATGCGCGATATTGGAGATGTCTTCACCGGAAGTTGTCGAGCAGCACGTGATGGGAACGCCCTCTGTGATAATTAGTCGACGCCCTATCGGCGTGACTTCACTCAAGGCATCGAATCAGTGTAGCATGTCATCTTGTGCTAGGACAACGCGACGATACATCTCTACGTGGCTAAGGTTACAACGCCATGGAGTATCTGATCAAGACGATCAACTGCGAGCCGCCTGTCTGGCGGTCGACTACCCTTGGGGGCGCAAATCGCGTGAGCGTTGTAGACAAGATTGCCAGCCGTCAAGGCCAACGGCGCTGTACATTACTGATCACACTGTATGTTTGATGAACACTTTGCTCAAGCTCGCCGTGGCCTGCGGTTGACGATACCACATTACACGGGGACCCAGGAACAGGCAGTAGCCGGGATGGCCGACCGCAACTCATCATCGACTCGGGACTACGCCCACTGCAACTTAAAACCACCCCAAGTAACACGAGCACGATGCTGAGGCCGGCGGAGCGGCAAACTGTTCCAGACCATGGTCCGCCGACTTCGGATTGTCATATGCTGCACCATCTAACGCCAGCGTGCGCTGTTCACGAACTCCATTTCACCGCTATACCGCGAACCTGGTGAGACTTCTGGCGGGGAGCGCGGCAATCGGCTCGATACCACGTCTGCAACCAACAATGCGACGTTACGGGAGCCATGCCGCTGGGAATTCGAACACTTCCGACACTTCCAAGTGGTTGTAACATGTTTTACAACGTACCGGAATCCCTCCGGCACGTTTTGATGGTACGGGCGCGGCTGCCCTGGACTATACCCATCAGGCGTCAGAAATACGACATTGTGTACAGTTCTGAAGGAGGGCTAGGAAATAGCAAGAAGAAGGTTTTCAATTTCTTTGCTTGTCATTCCTAGCATTGTGCTCGACCTTCTTCAAAGCTTTCCTGAAACCATACGCCGACCTCATCATTCTGTTCGGTGCCTCATGTCTCCATACGATCGTCTTAGTCAAAGATTCCACAACGAGGCGGAATAGGGAAGTCAACATGCGGAAGCTCTCGCTGCTCCTTTGGCAACTCCGGCCACGGCGCATCGTCGCCCTCTAGCAAAGCGACTTGCCTGTCGAAAGGAATCAGCATTTCAGTAGTCAACTTTCTGTAATTGAAGTGAACGACTTACATTCCCTGAATGAAGTAGCGAACCTTGTACACCGTGAACATCGTCGCAGCAGGTCTGTTGATCTTCCACCTCAATGCGAGCCAACCTCCGGCAGGAAGTTCGTGCATGTAGCCATACGTTGGGTTCTCGAGATTGAAAGACTTCTTCGTGTCCCAATCTTGAGACCTTCTGCGACGCTCTCGTAGGGGTATTTGCCTTGACCGCTACCGATTTTGAAGGTTGGGTTGTTGTGTTTGTAGAACGGCAGGTCGACTGGAAGGTCATTCTCGAGAATTATGTCGACGACAGAGCCCTAGAAGAGCGTTAGAAAATGAGAATGAATGAGCATTGAATGTCAAGCTTACGAGTGGAAGATTCCGGATGATGGGTTCCGGCTCGGATGACTGCTCCTTTACATGGAGAGCGACAGGTTCCATGAACTCGCGGAAAAGCTGCCAAGGAGCGCCATTCAGGGAGCAATTGGTTACGAAAGGATTGACTGGATCTGGTGCGCCCGTTGCTTTGAGGCGGAGAGTCAGATCGGCCTTTTGATCAGGCTTATTTGGTGTGAATGGTGCAAGCTTGTCAACCTCTTGAAGCACGAAGCCTTTCTTGACTGTGCCGTCGAGATTGACAGGACCATTTTCTAGCTTTGGTTGAGGCATTGGTTCACCAATAGTCTGGCCCATACGCCTATGCTGCAGCAGGCGTTAGCATCTACCGCAGTTCGTCTTTGTGCCTATGCTTACTGGATATCGCAAGTAAGCAAATCCTTGGATAGACTGCATCTTGCTGTAGCTGTAGAAGCGAACAGCATAGTCTTGTGCAGGCTGGTCGAGCCGGATCATAACGTGGATTGTGTCCGCATCTATGAGATGCAATACCTGGATGACTGTGAGCAGATTGACTCGCATGATATCACACTAGGCCTCGCCTTACATCAACTTCTTGTGGCTGCACAAAGCCGCCATCGTTCGCGACAATCCACATTTTGTGGTTGTCAATCGAGATCCTCCAGACATGTTCGAATCCTGTATTTGTGAACTGGAGGAGGATCCAGCGGCGGTTATCAGTATGTATGATCTACTAACGTCAGAGAAGGTACTGGCATGCAGGGAGTAGTGTGGAGTACCTCGTAGTCTCCATTGGATGGTTTGCACTCGCCATAGCCGACTGCACCCGAAGCCTGTGGGACGCAGCCGTAGGTATCTAGAGGCTTGCCATCCAATTTGTCAAGCTGTGGTGGCTTGCAGTGAACACGACCCTTCCCTGGTCTGTGTCAGCGCCATCTGAACAGCATCAAAGGAAGGAGACTTACCATTGATCAAGACAGATTGGAAGCAGTAGGGATCGTGGCCCTCTGCTTGAAGTTGAGCGATCAAGCCAGCTGCTTGTCGATGCTGATAATTGTAGACAGTCACAGGGTGAGGGCGCACCTCGGCCTCGAGCATGTCTTGAACATCTTGCTTGTCATCCGAGATGACAGAGTATGGCCGTTCGCGATTGGGACTCGGGCTGCGCAGTTGTTAGTTGATGGATCTGGAGAATAGCGAGAATGCTCCTATCGTACTCACCGAATCCACATTGTGCCATAATTTCCTTCGACAGATGGAACCGAGACGTGATCAAGACAGCGCTTGAGGCCCCATTGGCCTGTCGTGTTAAACACTGCCGTACGATTCGCTCTAGGCAGAAGAGGGTATGTAGTGACGCCGGCACTGCCATCGTTCCAGGTCTCACTTCCAGAGTCCAGCCCAAGCCTATCTGTGATTAGTTTTCAGTTATGCTATGGGAGAGGCCTGACCTCGTACCAGTGAATAGCCCATGGTAGCTGAAGTTCATTGAACATATGGATCTTGACGATATCGCCCTCTTGAGCATGGATGGTCTCAAACGGGGTCTCCGAGTTGCCAACAAACATTGGTCGCCACCAGCCTCCATCTGTGCAAGTTTTACTTAGATTGAATCGCCTTCACATCAAAGGATGAGCACACTCACCAGGATTGCGCCATGCTTGAGAGAGCGTGAGAGTATAGTCAACCACTCCCGGCTCTCTCACTTCGGTGATAGGAGTCGATGGTAGTCCGCAATCTTTGTGTTGCCCATGCCATTTTGGCAGAATATCACGATGGCTGCCTACCCATCTCGTCCCCAAGTCGAGTAGAACCAAGCCGCAAGCCAGGCCTAGGAGCAGGTTGGGTCCTCTATTTTGCTTCTTCTTTGGGCTATCTTCCTGGGCAATGAAGGGAACGGCTTCGATCTTGTCGTCCATGTTGTTTCGAGTGCACGGAGTTCCTGCTGTGTGCTGCTCAATATGTCTCTACTTCAGCTGGACGGTCTTGAGGTGCAGATTCTAGTACTTCGGATATCAGATACAAGAATGTGGGTGAACAACTGAGCACAGGTGCTTCCATTTTCGTGCCTGGAGCTCTGATAGACGAGTAATGCACCTCGTATGCACTGCGTGGCCTATCACATGCTCTCGATCGGTCTACGTTCGTTTCAGCTTCGGTCTATGGCGACATAAAGTCATTGTGCCATGGCAAAGCAGGCATTCTGAGTCTACGGCATGTTTTGCCGGATTATGCGAACTTGCAGCGTACAGCTCTGACGCCGGGATGCGAGAAGGAGTACGAAACGCGTAGAACTAAGTCATGGAGCGTGCATATTGCTCGGTCGATGAGACCGCCGCGAAGCACATACTTGCCCATCACAGATCTGATCTTCGTAGTTGTACACGACGAGCTTTCGGGGGATGAGGATGCCAATTGGATTAAGGAGATGAACTTGGGAAACTGCGAAGGGAAAGGAGGAGAAGAGTGAAAACGCGTCCACAACTTGTTTGGGTCCGAAACCGAGCCACCTTCTTCTTCGACTTTCCCAGACTTACAACACTCCGAGACAGAGACACAAACACAATTCACGTCGTCTCTTCAGCGAGCCAACAGCCTCTCACACCGCCAGAGCGGCAAGGAGTACGACGCTCTGGAGCTGGGATCATGAGAAGGTTTCCTGAAGATCGCGGAGTGCATCGCGCATGTTTCGTTCTCCATTCTGGCATCCTCACGAGCTTGCCCTATCGCGTCTGTGGTGTCGAAGGGTCGGCCGTGACTCCGACAGCGTCCTGCTTTGATACTCCTGAAGGCAGTGTAGGTTCAGCAGGTACGACCACCCGCTTGGGTCATTGATCGACCTCGTATAATCTGGACGGCAACGAACTCAGCTCGAGGACCCTGCGATGGAGCTCGTGCTCCTCACACTTCGACGACTTGCAGACGACTGACCGAGCTCGCAGTGGTCCGTGATGGTCGTATGCTCTTGCCACTGCAGTCTTGTGCAGTCAACGAGTCATCAAACGGGTGGTGCGCACAGTATGCTGCCGTGGGCTTGACTTTGGAACGAATACATCCCTGCCAGCCTCACGAATGCTGATTCCACAAGCTCTGTAGCACGAGTCGTGCTCCGATGCACTCGTACTCTTCGACCTGTTATGTTCCAGCTCGGCAGTGGCACGGTAGGTGGGCGGTTATCGGAGCCGCTGCCAAACAACTTCAATCAGCTTTTGTTACATCTCTGCTCCTCCAGCTCGAGTAGACAGCTCGCGAACTTCCAACACCAGATATTCGAAGCACATTGTCACATACCATGAAGTCTCTGTTCATCTGGTCGTCACTGAGCGCCATCGGTGGTGTCAGCGCAAGGCTGCGGGAGTATAATCTGACACTAGAGTATGTGTATTGCAGCTCAAGATTTCTTGAATTCCGCTGACCACATAAGGCAATCATGGCTCAATATCGGTATACATCTTTTCACTTGTGCCTCGAAAAGACGGCGCTGATTTCTTATAGCGGGATTTGGAAGGGCGGCCATGACAATCAACAAGCAGACTCCAGGTGAGGCACGCTCTTGAATCTCGCCTGACATTTACTTATGGCAGTGAGCAGGTCCTGTGCTCGAAGTCGAGGAAGGAGATACTCTCCGCGTCAACGTGGTGAATACGGCGCTTGTTGAAGCTACACTGCACTGGTTGGATCTTCTCATCCGTATCGTTGGCATCACCGGCTAATATCGCTCAGGCACGGCATCTTTCAACACGACTCAATGTGGCAAGATGGAGTTTGTCAAGTCGGATCTGCTGCTCCTATGCTATCTCACTGACCACTTTGCAGGTCCCAGGTGTTACGCAATGGCCTTTGGAACCCCGTAGCGCCTACACGTACGAGATGAAGGTCACCAACCAGACTGGGATTTACTGGTACCACGGACATTTCGGTGCTGTGTTGATCGATGGACAACGAGGACCTATCTGGGTCAAGCCATCAGCATCACGACCCAGGCCATATTCAATGATCTCCTCCAACACCGAGGAAGTCAAGGCTATGATGCAAGCCGAGGATCGTGCCCATCATGTCATGCTCGCTGATTGGTATCACGACGATATAGAAGTTCAAGCGATCCAATATCGCGAAACTGGCATTGAGCCATCTTGCGCAGCGGCAATCATATTCAACGACAAAGGAAGGGTTACATGCTTGCCTCGCGACGTTCTGGACGATTACAGCCCGCACTCAAACAGCCAGGGGTGTCTGCCGCCACTCATCGGCGGAGATCGCATTAATCACCGAGAATGCGAGCAAACGCATGCAAACATGGAGGTCTTCGAAGCCAAAGATGGTCAGAAGTACATGCTCATGAACTTCATCCATGGCGGAAGCTACCACATGCTTCGCATCTCTGTTGATGAGCACAATATGTACATTGTGGCGCTTGATGGTGACTTCGTGCAGCCAGTCAAGGTTCAGGTAAAAATGCGCTCAACTACTGACTGCAATGGATGCTGACAATACTCAGGCAGCCACTCTCAACATGGCCGAGCGGATCAGTGTAATGGTGAAACTCGATCAGAAGCCAGGCACTTATGCAGTGCGAGCTTCATCGCTATCCGATGATCAGATTATTCAGGGTGTTGGCATCTTGCGATACGCAGGAGTTGAAGAAGACAGAGTTGGGGGCGTAATGACTGTCCCTGACAGCAAGCCTCACATCGATTTGCGAGGCAAGATGCTTCACGATGGCAAGACTGTGAACGAGATGCGCGATCTGGCGCCCTTCCCTCCCAGATCGCCTCCACAGAAGGCTGACCACACCTTCCGCTTCGCGGTCAATCAGACTGCCCCGACTTCGTGGGTGATCGCCAGCGAGCCACATCAAGGCTTTCGACAGCAGGTGAGCATCGCGCATATTCATTCTATCAGGCCTCTCTGACAAGCATAGATGCCTCCCATTATGTGGAACAATGACTCAATGGGACCGACCTCATTCAAAGGAATGAAAAATGGTTCTGTCGTGGACATCATTTTCGAGAACTACGCACACGGCATGCATCCATTCCACAAGCACAACCACAAGGTCTTCGTCATCGGACAAGGTCAGGGATTCTTTAAATGGATAGATGTCGACGAAGCTGTCAAAGAATCTCCCGAAAGCATCAACTTGGTCAACGCACCTCTTCGAGACGGCTTTATGCTCGAAAGCGAGCACGGTGCCTGGACGGTTGTGAGATATCAGATCACTTTCCCGGCACTGAGCATGCTGCATTGCCACAAGATTGCACATTTCATGGGCGGACAGCAGATCATCTTGGCGGAGGGTGTTGAGGCGTTAGAGCCACCTCCAGCTTATGTCAAGGGTTTGACTCATGCCTCCTTCAAGCCGCCATTCAGATATGGACCGCTTGATTAGTCGGAGCGATCTAGAGATAAGACCAGGGGAGAAAGATGGCTACAGTCACTCGGAGATGCGTTTGTCATTGGGATCGCGATTTTCGCGTTTCAGATAGTGACTTCTGAGATCACGAAAGTCGTTTAGTCACTCTCTATGAGCCATTGAACATTCTTGTCACAGCTCGGTTGTGTACCAGTGTGCCAGTGGTCAGTTGCTCAGACGATACTCATCGATGACTCGTAACACATTGCTGCTTTGCTCCACAACGCCCCGACATCTTGGATGCTCTCCCGGCCCCGTCACATGCAACCTCTGAACTCCACTCGTGGCCCATTCTTTATGGTGTAGGCATCACCCTAAGCTCCGCAGTCTGCAGTGCTGAAACAGATACGAGTCAGAAACGCCACATCGAAGTCTCTTTTGACTTCATGGTATCAGCTACCATGCTTGTTCCGACAAGTACGCAGATTTGTGACCAGGTGGCTTTTACCATGCATTTGGCAGATGAGTAGCTGCTCTTCTCCCCAACTGCATGTTAGTTACGAACGAGCCGGTTCATCCTAAGACCTTTGTCAGGACGGAAGTCGATCTTGAATCACAGACGACACTGCGTGCCGTCGTAGCTCAAAGCAGGGACGCGAGAAGGAGAACCCGTGGCCGGAACATGATCTCGATGACGATGCTCTATCCGACAAACCATACCGGCGGGCCTACCCTAGGGTCTCGAAAGTGCTTCATCGTGCGTCTCGTCCCGAGGAGATGATGCTATAGAGAAACGTCCAGCCTTGTCTTCATTTATCCAAATACCAGTAGCCATTGTATTCCATTCCACCATCATCCATTCCCAACATAACCTGGAGAATCACAATGGACCAACCAATCGACACCAAACCACCTCTCCGCCCAACCACACCTTCTTCATCCGCTGCTACAAGCGATCCCGCTCAAGAAGAAAAGCACCTTTCAGGAACACACAAGGAGCTCGGCCACAAGTCCTCCACTCTCAGGTCTCAGCCCTCTCACAATTCTCTACGATCCAATGTCCCAGTACGGGACGTCCATGGCTGGAAATGGGTTCTCGTCGTCATTTCTCTCTGCTCGGCCACCTTCCTTTGGGGCTTAGACGGAACGATCACCGCGGATATCCAAGCTACGTTCGTACGAGAATTTCAATCGATCGATAAATTGGCATACTGTTCCGTTGCGTTCTTCTTGGGGGCTGCAGCGGTGGTTTTGACATGGTCAGTGAAACTATACTGTCAACATGCTGAATGCTGACATGAATGTAATTCATAGGGGACAAGTTCTGGGACAGTTCAACTGCAAATGGGTGTTTATCCTTTGCGTAGTCGTGTTCGAAATCGGTAATGTGCTCTGTGGTGCAGCGCCAAATATCGATGTTTTGATTGCTGGACGTGCTATCACTGGCGTCGGAGGCAGTGGCATGTATGTTGGAGTGTTGACGCTGCTGTCGATGAGCACGACTGAGAAGGAGCGCGCTCTATACATGGCGTTCCCTGCACTTACCTGGTGAGTGGCTGCAACTCTGCTCATCGTGTAGAGACTCGATATTGACGATCTGGTTAGGGGTACTGGAACGGTTCTTGGTCCTATCATTGGCGGTGCCTTTGCAGAGTCTTCGGCAACCTGGCGATGGGGATTCTACGTCAACATCTGTGTTGCAGGACTCTTCGCGCCAGTGTATTTCTTTCTTGTCCCGTCAAAGGATCCGCAGCCAAATGCTTATTGGAAGACACGGCTGTACAACATCGATTTCGTTGGTACGACGCTGCTTGTTGGGAGCACCACTTCTCTGGTACTGGCGATTTGCTTTGGTGGTCTGACATTCCCATGGACTTCTGGATCCATGATCGCTTTATGGGTCGTGGCTGGTGCGCTGCTGCTCATCTTCGCTGTGCAGCAAGGAACTGGCTTTGCAGCTCGCCAAGTGGTGTTCCCGGTCCAGATGATGAAGGATCTTCGAGTGGTGATCATCTTCATCAATGAGTGTTGCTCCTCTACGGCGTGCTTCCTGCCAATATATTTCATCCCGCTGTATTTCCAGTACATTCAGAACGAGACCGCCCTGGAAGCTGGTGTTCGTCTGCTGCCGCTAGTCTTTTTAATGGTCGGAACAGTATTGCTCTGCGGCGCCGTGGTGACAGCAACTGGAAAATGGATCCCCTGGTTCTTCTATGGAGGTGTGCTGGTTGTCGTTGGTGGAGCACTCCTCTATACTGTGGACGAAACCACCTCTACCGCCAGACTTTACGGGTATACCGTTATCCTTGGCTCAGGCGCTGGAGCGTACGTGCAGATGCCATTCAACGCGTGCCAAATGCTCGTCGATCCGAGCTTGATTCCTGCTGCAACAGGTCTCATCACCTGGGGCCAGCTAGCAGCGCCTGCTATCACCCTCAGTATTGCCAATGCCATTTTCTTGAACCAAGCCAAGGATGCATTGACTGCCATACTGCCTGCAGACGCGCCAGTATTGGAGATCGTGTCTGGAGCCAGCAAGCAGTATCTCATCGACCTGGACGAGGCGACTCGACAAGCAGCCATTCACGCGATTGTGAGGGCTTTGGCTCAGAACTATGTTCTGGTCTTCGTGGGAGGCGCTCTGACATTGATTTTGAGCGTAGTCCTTTGCATCAAGATGCAGCGATTCTTTTGAGCAGAAACGTTTGCTTAGGACTCCAGGTGCAACGACGAGTTCCGGCTTCACGACTCTGAACGGCTTCCAACATGATTGCTATGATTGTCAGTAGAGATCGACAGAAATATCCATTGATTCACTCACAATTCCATTGATGTGAGACCTGGCGTCCACCGTTGCATTGAGTGATGCATTGGCGTTGTGATTGTTTGCTTGAACAAGCTTTAGCTTTAGCTCCAAATTCTTTCACTCACCAAACCAAGTGCACTTCAAATATAAGAACACTTCACGACTTCTTGCTCCCCCAGCAATACTTCATTCAAACACCTATACATCATCTCCCCGGCGGTATCAATCTCCAGTAAGTCGCAATGAACTCTTCCACTCCTCGCGACGGCAGCGGCAAACACGGCGGCGGCGGCGGGCATGGCAACTCTGGCGAAGACTCACGTCGCCGCACAACACTCGACGGCGAGCGCCTGCCTTTCCGTTCGAGATGGGATGTCAGCGGTCGGGAGAAGGGCACGAGCAGTGGCGGCAATCGCGTTGATCTGGCTGCGGCCCACCCATTTTACCACGTCCACCACGAGCGAGCTCCGCGCAACGAGCCACGTCAAGAAGGTCTAGGACCGCAGGAGGAGGAGCACGAGTTCGCATTTCCAGGTTGGCGGTCGAACATATTCGTACATCGCCAGCGTACAGCTGAAGAGGTAGGCGCATCGTACTGAAAATTGTCGGTAATGAGCTGACTTGTGGCGGCAGGAAAAACAACCACTTCCTGATGGCCTTGTTGCCGACTACGATGGCAGCACCTATAGCCCAGCATGTGAGTACAGTGAGACCTCGAGTGGTAGTAAGTGGATACTAACAGATCGCCCTCCAGTAAACACCCGCACGATCCAAGGCACCAAGCCAGACTCACCTGCGCCGCGCTACCACCGCTACCCATACGAAGCACACCAGGCGCTCGCCTACGACAGATCCGATGCAAACGAGATCCACGGGCGATATGTGCTCGGCAGCACTAGCCGCGGCTGGCTCACAACGCAGCAAAAATAGTGTGCGCAGGAAGGCAGATATGGCCGGAACTAGAATGCAGGCGACGAGCAGAGTCAGCGCGCCGGAAACTGTTGATAGAGTACATCACAGCACGAATGAATGAGAGTCTCACCAAGCAATCTCCAGAAATTCAGGTGTTTCTCCAAAGATACAGAGGCTGCTCTGCTTCTTGGCTTCAATATATCCAGAATGATACCGTGTGAGTCTAACAGAGATGACGGTGCTTTCCGTGATAGCTTCAGTGTTCTCTGAAGATACACAAGCGTCTCTGCTTCTCAGCCTGGAAACGTCCAAGAGTTGAGCCTTGGGAGTATGACGGAGAAACACTAGGGATTGCCTCTTTCTCGAAAAATGGCGAGAGAGCTCTGCTACTCAGCTCGATGATGAGGGAGAACTGTCTCGCACAAGCCGTCTGAGGGCAGAGATGAACCAACGTGATCGCCGTTAAATTGGCCTTTCTCCAGACTAATGAAGACGTCCACTGCCACTTTGCGTACCCCTGGTCCAGATTGTGCCGCAGAGATCTGACTGAGACGCGACTGGATTTGCACGAGATCCGTCTTTCTCCGTATGACTGGGGCTTTCGCTGCCTCTATGCTGAATCACGGCCTAGGACGTGACGTAGAGATCGTTCAGAGAGCTAGAATCATTTTGTATTAGAAGCTATCTTTCTCTGAAAAAGGTCGGAAGTGACCGCTCCCGGGCGTGACGAAGAGGGAAATTTGCACGGCAAAATCCGGCTGAGAACACGTCGTATATTCTTTTCTCTGACTCAATTGAAATTGCAATGCTGCTTGGTATGGCTGAGGCCAAAATTGTGCTGCAGAGATCTGTCGGAGAACAGAGATGCGACTGCCTTGTGTGGAAGCAATATGTAGGACCCTTCGCTTCTATCTCTGACAGCGGAAAGGTTTCTATGCTGCTCAGCTGGAAGAAGAAGTATAATTGTGCTGCAAGCAGCTGTTGGAGACATGCTGGCTCAATCATGTGAAGGATGAAGTGAAGGACGAAGTGAAGTTGTGGGAGAAGGTGGGGGAGCGGGAATCCCTGTCAAGCTTGGGCTCATTGAACGGTCTTGGCAGAGAAAGTGTAGAAGGAGGATGAGTCGAGTCGAGTCGATCAGTGATTCCAGCCAGCTACTCATACACAGTCAACAATTCGCGTCAGAGCGTCAGACTCATCGCGCAAGATAACGTTATAGATGAGCCGCTTCTCGCACCACATTCTCTAACCAATTCTCCGCAACGTCGACGAAGATACTGTCACGAGCGCTCCTCCGGCGCCAGCTATATGCATCCTATCGCATAGCAGCACTTCCGTCACTGCAGCGACGAACTTTCAAGATGGCGTTGAACCACGCCTCCCACAACCCGACCGGCGAGGCTACGGGTCCTGCTACAGGACAGCCACCTGCTCCATCGGCTGAGAGCAAAGCTGCCATCCTCGACGCCGCAAACAGCGATATCAAGGGACAGTCGGCGCCGGGCAAGGACGGCGGAGACCCCAACGCGCCCAAGAAAGAGAAGACCGAGAAAGAGCTAGCCAAGGAGAAGGCAAAGGCAGAAAAGGCGGCAAAGCTTGCAGCGAAACAGGCCAAACAGACTGAGCTGGCCGCAAAGTCGAAACCCAAGGAAAAGACTAAGAAAGAGCAGGAGAAGCTGCCGCCGTACGTGGAAGAGACGAATAAGGGCGAGAAGAAGATCCTCAAGTCATTGGACGATGACTACCACAAGGCATACATTCCCTCTGTTGTCGAAAGTGCCTGGTATGACTGGTGGGAGAAGTCAGGCTTCCACAAGCCACAGTTCAAGGCAGATGGCAGCGTGAAAGATGCTGGCTACTTCGTCATCCCCATCCCACCTCCCAACGTAACAGGCGCTCTGCATATAGGACATGCATTAGCGACATCACTACAAGATGCTTTGATACGATGGAATCGCATGAAGGGCCTGACGGCACTGTACGTGCCAGGTTGCGATCACGCTGGTATATCCACGCAAAGCGTTGTCGAGAACATGCTGTACAACAGACGCAATGGAACAACGAGACATGATCTGGGCAGACCAAAGTTTGTCGAGACTGTCTGGGAGTGGAAGGAGGAGTACCACCAGAAGATCAACAAAGTCATGAGACGACTTGGCGGATCGATGGACTGGGATAGAGAAGCCTTCACCATGGACGAGAACCTGTCAGCAGCTGTTCGAAAGACATTCATCGATCTCCACGAAGAAGGACTCATCTATCGCGCGAACCGACTGGTCAACTGGTGCACCAAGATGAACACTGCACTCTCGAATCTGGAAGTTGATCAAAAAGAATTGGAAGGCTCAACCAAGATTGATGTCCCAGGTTACGACAAAAAGATCGAGTTCGGCTCTATCTGGAACTTCAAGTACCCCATTGACGGCACCGATGAGTTCATTGAGGTCGCAACGACGCGTCCCGAGACCATGCTTGGCGATAGTGGTGTCGCTGTGCATCCTACAGACGAGCGCTACAAGCATCTGATTGGCAAATTTGTCAAGCATCCTTTCGTTGATCGTAAACTCCCCATTTTCGGAGACGAAACTGTTGAGAAGGACTTCGGTACCGGTGCCGTCAAGATCACGCCAGCACACGACTTCAACGATTTCAAGCGTGGAAAGGAGCACAACCTCGAGTTCATCAACATTCTCAATGATGATGGCACCATGAACTCGAACGCTGGATCATACGAGGGCAAGAAGCGATTTGATGTCCGATACGAGATCATAAGCGAATTGGAGAAGCTCGGATTGTACGTTGGCAAGTCTAACAACAAGATGCAAATCCCATTGTGCAGCAAGTCGAAGGATGTCATTGAGCCCATCATGAAGCCTCAATGGTGGATGCACATGAAGCCTCTCGCAGATCCCGCCATCGAGGCCGTCAAGAGTGGCGAGATCAAACTCCGACCAGCCAACTCTGAAGCCACCTATTATCGATGGATGGAAAACATTGACGACTGGTGCTTGTCACGTCAGCTATGGTGGGGTCACCAGGTCCCAGCATACTACGTCAAGCTGGAAGATGGCTCGGCGTATGACACAGATCCCGAGAAGTGGGTGTGTGCAGAGACTGAGGCGGAAGCGCGTCAAAAGGCCGAAGCTAAGTTCCCAGGCAAGAAGTTCGAGCTCGAACGCGATCCGGATTGCTTGGACACATGGTTCTCATCCGGCCTTTGGCCTTTCTCCACTCTCGGCTGGCCCAATCTCGAGAGTGACGACTTCCAGAAACTCTATCCCACATCCTTCCTCGAGACCGGGTGGGATATCCTCTTCTTCTGGGTTGCTCGCATGATCATGTTCGGTATTAAGATGACTGGAAAGTCGCCCTTCAAGGAGGTCTACAACCACTCACTTATTCGTGACTCGGAAGGACGAAAGATGTCCAAGTCGCTCGGAAATGTCATTGATCCAGTAGACATCATGGACGGCATCTCGCTCACAGCGCTCACAGACAAGCTGAAGGTCGGCAACCTGGCGCCTAAGGAAATCGAGCGCGCGACCAAGTGGCAGAAGTCTGCCTTTCCTGATGGTATCGACGAGTGTGGTGCTGATGCTCTGCGGTTCTCGCTGATCAACTACACTACCGGAGGTGGCGACATCAGCTTCGATGTCAAGGTCATGCGCAGCTACCGCAATTTCTGCAACAAGATCTACCAAGCCACCAAATATGTGCTCATGAATCTACCTTCGGACTTCACGCCTAAGGCGACAGAGGGCAAGACTGGGCAGGAAAGCTTGCCAGAGCGCTGGATCCTTCACAAGCTGACCATTGCTGCTCGAGACGTTAACGGCGCTCTTGAGGCTCGTGAGTTCTCGAAAGCCACCCAAGCTCTGCACGGCTATTGGCTCTACGACCTGTGCGATGTCTACATCGAGAACAGCAAGGGTATCATCAGAGATGGCACACCAGAGGAGCAGCAAAGTGCTCGTGAGACTTTGTACACTGCTCTTGAGGGCGGTTTGCGCCTCATGCACCCGATCATGCCTTTCCTTACAGAAGAGCTCTGGCAACGCCTGCCGCGCCGACCAGAGGACAAGACGCCCTCGATTGTTGTCGCCGACTATCCCCAATACGACTCAGCGCTTGACGATCCAAAGTCTGAGCGTGATTACGAGCTCGTTTTAGGATGCTCAAAGGGTATTCGATCACTGCTCAACGAGTACGCCATCAAAGAGGAAGGCACTGCCTTCGTGCGTCCTCTGAACGAGGAAGCTGCATCCACTGCATCTGCACAGCACAGCTCGATCAAGGTCTTGTCTGGCAAGTACCTGAAGGATCTTACTGTGCTCAAGGCTGGCGACGCTGCACCAGCTGGTACCGCTGTGTACCCTGTGTCTGCGGCAGCAGCTGTCTACATTCAGCTCAAGGGCAAGGTTGACCCAGATACTGAGATCAAGAAGACTCACCCCAAGATGCAGAAGGCCAGTGAGGCTGTCAAGGAGCAGGAGAAGCTGATCGGCAGTTTGTCCGAAGGCGTGAGCAAAGAAGTTCGGGAGAAGGAGAACAGCAGGCTTAAGGATGCTGAGAGCGAACTTCGCTTGTACGAAGAAAGCTTGTCAGCCCTTGAGAAGCTCAAGCTGTAAGAGTTTCATGACGATGTACCGACGCGCGACTCTTGAATGCACCAGTAGAGCATAAAATGAGTATACCCTTCAGATACTAAGCTTTCATAACGAATGCTTATTGGCAAGACCTCCCTTCCTCTCACCAACGCACCTTCCCTCCCGAAAATATTACACATTCATCATCCCGTCATTCACTCATCATCCTCATCCTCCTTAACCCACTGATCAAACCACCTCACCGCCTGCAAATACGCACTTTCCTGCGCAAACCTCTTCTTCGGATCCGTCAAATTCGTCCTCACCGCAAACCCATGCTCCGCATCCGCATACAAATTCGTCTGAAAAGTTTTATTCCCCTCGATAAAAATCCCTTCAATATTCGTGCGATTCTCTGGTGTACTCGAAGCATCTAATTCTCCAAACGCGATACTAATTGGATTTTCAATCGCTTCCCATTCGGAAGGTAGAGTGTTGGAAGGATGAGCTGTGAAACCTGCTGCGAAGGTTAAGTTTCCTCGGGTTGAGTTTGAGGAGAGGTAGCGGGCGATATATTTTCCACCGAAGCAATAGCCGACGGCGCCGATTTTGGTTGAGGGGATGCCGTATTCGGAGGTTGTGGTGCGGAGGGTGGAGGTTATGATGCTTTCGATTTCGGAGGCGGGGTGCCGGGTTTGCCATTCGGTGATGTTGAAGTTGGAGTTGGGGTCTGAGAGAGCGTTGGCTGGGACGGGGTCGCCGCGGAAGAGGTCGGGGATTATGGTGAGGTAGCCGGCTTTGGAGAAGGCGTCGGCTAGGAGGCGGTTGTTGAGGAGTTGGACGCCGAAGATGTCGGTTAGGTAGATTATGGCTGGTGGGGTTGTTTTGGTTTTCTTGTGGTGGCGGGATGGTGGGTGGGCGACGTAGAGGTCGACTGGGAGATGATTGTCAGCTTTTAAATCTCTAAGAATAGTTGGTATTTGAGGAAACATACCGCCATCCACGGTTCGATACTCTCCAGTCGAGCTGCCATTACTTGCCGGGCCGTCGAGATAGCATTGCTTTCGATGAAGTTTCCTAAATACATCTCCGGCGTGCTCATGCTTCAAATTCGGCTCTCCATGAGCTGTAACCAGAGCTGCTACAGCGAGCAGTGTCGACGTCGTCCAAGCAGAGATGCCCCTCATCTTGTACCACCTTTGTAGAGTTCTGAAATGAGAGATAGGTTCTTTCGAAATTCAAGGCCCAGACCAGAAACTGACAGGTCGCCATCACCTTGCTTATGTATCATTCGATGCGGAATGCCGATCTTGACGCAAGGCCGAGTTGAGGTGACGTTCACGCCAAGCGGTTCTCTCTGCCGCCCACGTGTTGTCCCGAGTGGGTGAAGTGTCGGACTATCATGCACGCTAACTGCTCGCCAAGCATCGGTAAGCAGCCTGTATAGTGCATATCTCCTCCCTTATGCACCTTTCTGGGGAAGTTGGGGCCGAGACGGTCTCGCAGGTCTCGATTGCGAGATTCTTCCATATTTTGGTTCATTTTTTGGCTGACAAATTGCTTGGTGATGGTGGCTCTGTCAAAGATGACAATTTTCGCCGAAGAGATGACTGCCGTGGACTCTGGGCAGTTTGCGAATGCAATATCAGTCTATCATCTGCTCGACAGCCCACCAAATCCAAGAAGAGGGAGAGAGTCATAAAAGGCGCGAGCGTCGCGGCAAGGGCAGGTCGTCCTTCACTCTCCGTTAAGATCTCATGTTCGCTGCGATCGGCGTCCAGCCGGGACGTTCCAAGAGAGGATAATCTCGGACGGAGACACTTGGAGTATGGGAACAGTACTTGTGCGCAACATACGTGAAATTCGTTTCCGCTTGCGCCACTGCGCTTCGGTGTCAGTTGCTAAATGGTGTTGTTGTTGTTGATGTCTGCGTCGAAGTGGGAAACGAGCTGATGCTGTGAGGCAAGAGCAAGAGCATAAGCTTCTCGAGCGCTTTTCGAGCCTCAGGCACCAAAATCCTTACTGGGATCTGCATTCGATGAAAATTGCATGACAATATGTCTGTATCTATCATTTGCTCTGTAGTCTATCTTTCGTGCAAATAGCCTAAAGCGCCAGATACGAATTTCTAACAATGTCCGCCATGGATACTGTGGGAACCAAATTACTCGTCGTAGCTGTCACGCCTGTGTCGCCGGTCTCCCCTCCTATAACGCCTGTCCGACCCAGAACGCACGCTAGACTCCCCAGATATCTGCGTACCGTCGTCGTATGCTTCATCGTACATGTGGGTATTCTCCAGCATCTCCGTCATCCTCTTGGTGGCATCATTTACACGAGCTTGTTCTCGTTGTATGACGCGCTCGCCCTGTTCAGCCAACGGGTTGCGCGGCGGAATGGGCTGATGCACAATGGCCGGACCATAGCGTGGTGTTCTTGCCGAGAGCGTGGGCGAGGAAGTGTCGGTCATAGTTCGTGCAGAGATGGGCCGCCTTGAGATTGTGGTTGGTGGAGGTGTCGGTACATATGTGTATGTACGAGCAGATGTCGGACTGCTTGGTGGCAGCTGTTGCTGTTGTTGATACTCTGCACGCTTGCGCATAGCTGCCGCCTCACGTTCAAGTCTGACTTGCTCGATATCGGCCTGCAGTCTGCGATCGATCTCTCGTTCCCTCTCCTGCTGTTTGGCGCTTCTAGATGACTCTCCGGTCAGAGCCGCAGCTGTGGCATGTCTGTGCTTTGCTTTTGCTTCTGACGAAGACTCTCGTGATAGATCTTCCGAATGTTTGCGAGCTGAGTTACGCACTTCTCGTGACAAGCGATCATGCTGTCGCTGTTCCGTAGCTGCCAAAGCATCTCTGATGAGTCGTGCTTGTCTTTCATCTTCCTCACGCTCTTGGTCTTGCAGTGATTGGTAGTTGCCAGAACCAGACCTAAATGGGTGAGAAGGAGAAGCGGTGCCAGCTGAGGGGCGGTCACGATAGATCTTGGGAAGCTCGCTGAGGCCAGGAGAGGACTGTGAAGAAGGCGTAGTGCCTGGGGTGTCGAGACCGAGGCTAAGACCGCTGGGGCGACGGCTTCTCTTGATTGACGAGCGACGAACAGGTGGCTCGGTGTCGTCAATCTCGTTGGTCAGAGATGAGATAGACGACTTGGGATCGATGGAGCGTCTCTCATTGATCGGCGCCCTCGGCATGGCAAGAGAAGGTACTTCCGTATACACAGCTGTACCGTCCAGTATCTCTGCGCGCCTCATGGTTGGTTCATGGAAAGACACTCGCCTGTCTGGTCGAGGTGCCGGTGGTGAGGGTGCCCGAGGTCGAACAGTACGAGACATGGGCCTTGGTGGTGATGACGAAACAAGGCTGTCAATTGGAGACTGCCTGCCGCTGTTTCCAGTAGACCGACCAGTCGAGGAGCGCTTGCTTGATCTCCTGCTCAAGGGGAAGTAGCGGTATTCGCGTCCGTCGGCCATGACGATGTTGGTTGACGACGACGATGTCGGTCTACGTTCAACCACGCGCGCGGACTCGGTGTTCCTCTCCCTGACGTGGTTGCATAGTCCTTCAGCAGGGGCGTTGTGGCAACGGTACTGTTTCTGGATAGTCTGGCTGTGGTTGTCTTGGTAGACGTAGGTCTTGTTCTCAATTACACACATTGTGAAGGCTTGGTGGGTTGATGTGGTGAAGAGAAAGAAGAAGTTTTATCCAATCCGAGTCTCTTCAGTCACATGCAGCGACGTTGGTGCCTGGACGCCAATGGGCTTGGCGTGTGCTAGTGTTGGTGAAGGGTCCTCTGACGCAGAAGCTATAGCTTGTGACCAATTGATCTTTATCGAAAGCCTGAGGACCGGTGAATGTAGTCTGTTCGAGATAGGCTGCTGATTGTAGGGATGGTGAAGGGCGACTTTTGTATCTTCTGATTCTCGGTGGTACCTGTCGGTTTGGTGGTTCCGTGAGGTGGCTGATTTGTGACCAGAAGCAGCAGCAGGGACGGGGCTTGGCTTTATAGTGAACACTGGACACAGAAAAGGTATGGCTTGGTAATGTGCTGGTTGTATCTCAGGCTGAGGCGGACAAAGAGGTGTCTTGTTGTGCAATTGTCTTGAGGCAAACACACGAGGTGCAGATGCAGCTCTCATGCAGGTCCCAGAGGTTGTCTTTTAAGAAATGCCACAGTCTAGCATGTCTGACGTGCAGAGCGCGCCGAAGCGTCAAAGGATTGGGTTCGCGTATAGAGGGAGCAGCATTGTCGCAGAAGCGAAACACGGACCAACAGCTTACGGCCGCCCTGCACGCTTCCATCGTGATGCTTCACCATGCATGAGGGCGCCCCGTCGTCGTCCTCGGCGGCGAACACCACGCGCAACTTGCCTGCAGTCGACGCGTGTCTACCAACATTCGCTTCCACCATCTGCAGTCCACTTCTCGACAGTCTGGTGTAAGCTGCATGGGTGATTGTGTCCCATTTCGTGGATGCCCGGCCGAGGTGCTGGGAGTGTGCGATGGTGTTTCATGCCATCACGACGGGGCGAAGTCTGCAAAGCCACAAGCCACAACACGCTTGGACCCTTTTTCGCCGAGCCGTCCTGCAGTGGGCGGCCTCAGGACTTCGGCGATTCCATTCTCCTTATCCCGCTTTGCCGCACAACACAACACCACGACCACGACGACGAGCAGCATCGCAAGAGCTGAGATCTGCCGTCCCATCTCGCTGTGAGGCTGGTGACTGCTATTTGATCCTTCTCTAGCCACACTCGAAGCGATGATTTTCCTGCGCTCCGTCTCCCTCTCGTCAAAGTGGTTGCTCGGTCCCGAATTACAACTGCTCATACATCCTCTCTCCCAAGCACGGTGGAAAATCGCCGAGGTGATGCTATCTTCTCCTTCTGCATACCATTCTACCTGTCCAAGCGAGGCTCGTCCCAGGTTCGTGACTCGACTCCGATACCAAGAACAACCAGAATCTATCTCGGTCCACAGCAGGATCCTCATCCCTGCCCCTCAGCTTTGCCATACCTGCGATGGCGATCCGCTACAACGTTCGCAATCCGTCACGAGAAGTAAGAGCGCCACATACCGTGGCTGATGTTGTCCCGCGGATTCAACAAAGTCGGCGCTCTCCAAACCCCAGAAACTGGGAATCAATCCCACCGTAGCTCTCCACAGGCGGCGAGAAGCGCTGACTAACGACTCAAGGCTCTTGCTCAGCCCATGACAGTCTGCTCGAGCACTCCACAACACGGTACGGTCGTTCCTCGGCCATTCACCGCTGTCTGAACTTCCCAGCGCTGCGAGGCCACTGAGGAGACTGCTGCCTTCCACACTTCATCACATGTCTGGACCACTGACGATCATGAAATCAAAACCAACACAGCCAAGACTGAAGACTTCGAAAATAGTAGATTGCTGCCTTCCGATCAAAACATTGCCGCCTTGGGTCCTGAGCAGAACATGGCACCTACCGTGTCTCTGGTCACTGGAATTAGCAACTGTCAACGAGCTGCAAGACCGTACATCTTGTGCGGCCGTAATCAAGCTCCGCGCGTAGAAACCTCGAATCATGCTGAGAAATTCTGCTTGTGGCAATTTGGACAGTAAGATTCCAGTTCTGTTTGATTCCTGATTTAGGTACAGTCTCGCTCTGTCATCCATGTGAAGTGCTGAGGTAAAAAAAAAATGACAGTTGAAGTAAGCAACGACCCAGGCCTCGAGGGGCAAAAACATCAAAACGCCTTCCAACACCATCGCTCGCTTGCCCACTCCCCAAGTACGTCTGTCAGACTGGCCTCCAGTCTGAAAGTTGAAGAGACCGTGCATTACGCACGATCGTATCCGCTCAACTGAACATCAGCCTGTGTGCAGCCTCAGCAGCCTCAGCGCCACCGCCGCCACTAGCTGGAGCGCCGCCCTCTTGCGGATTGGGATAGTACCAAGCCCCGATGGCGATCAGCGCATACACCATGACACAGAGCACTCCTTCCAGATAGTCACTCTTCTCATCTCTCAGGAAATTCCCGACCACAATGATGGCAATAATGAGGACGATAGCGTCATACTGCTCAAAGTTCAATGCCATGTTCTGCACACCAATACCCCAGGCAACCAGAATGACCAGTGGTGCGTTGAGAAGTGCAGTTTGAATACTGGCGCCTAGGACGTGGCTGAGAGCAAAGTTCATCTGGTTGTCGTATGCTTCGTCGATGGCGGTGATGTGTTCTGCTGCCTTTTCGACAAGCGGTACCATGATCAGGCCAATGAAGGCATCTGGTATCCCGCGCTCCTCAACCATGTAGTGAATCTCCTTGACCAGGAATACAGCCATGAAACTGACAAAGGTGAGCGCAATGATCAGCGCAATGATACTCTCAGTGAGGGTCAGCTTCGGCTTGGCCAGGTCCTTATGCCGGTCATGGTCGCGTTCCTCATCAGCTTCGAGAATATCTTCGTACAGTCCGTGGTGGCTACGAGCCTGGAACCAGACGTAAATGCAAAATGCGATCAGTAAGATGATAGCTGTTGCGCGCGAAAGCTTGGTTGTGTTGTACGTGACTTCGTCCAAGATTGCGGGACGATTCGTCAAGGAGCTGTAGTAGACTGTTGGGATGACGAGGCCAAATCCAGCAACGAGCATGAGATTCGATCCGACTTCCGAAATGGCCTCGTGGAAGGTTTGCTGGGGATGGAAGATGCCTCCGACGAAGAAGCAGAGTCCTTTTCGTCGTTAGCAGATGTAAGCAGTACAGACGTTCCTTGTTAGAACTTACCAAGACACATCAACAAATTCGCCAGAATGGATCCCAGAATCGCAGCTCGAATGACAGGAACGTTTTCCTCTCGCCCTTGCACGAGCAAGACCATGAACAAGATGATCTCCACAACACTTCCAAATGTCGTCTCCAGCAGAACACCAGCAACCTTTGGAATCTTTCTCGCGACTTCCTGTCCAGCAAATCCAACCAAGTTCGCAGAAGGAATCATGCCAATAAAGGCCGTAATGAAGATCCACAATGGGGGACCATGAGTGAACCACAACACCATCGCAGCAATCGTCCACGGCCACAAAACATTCGTCCACTTACTCGCCGCACACGAACTCGTCCAGATGATCTTAAAGAAGTGCCAAGGGTGAAACCAGCTCCTTCCACTCTCGCCATCAGGTTGAATCCCAGGCGTCACTCTGTGTCCGGCATGATTGACTCTGTGGCCATGTGAGTCCACCATGGGAACTTGACTATAGCCATTGCCTCTTCCTTGTCCAACATTCTTCTCATCATGTGCTGCGTCGCCCGAGCCTGTGCCAGCGCCTTGGTTATCGACCTCGTCAGGTCGAATGTCTTTCCGTTTGAAGTGTCTGGCGCGATGGTGGTTCCAGCTAATATTGCGATGGGGTGCCCGGGAGGACATGGTGGTGTGAGCGGGCTTGGGCCGACTTGTCATAGAGGTGATCGAAAGAGTTCCGGGGAGTTGTTACGCTTTGTAGTTCTGGTCGGATATCGCGTCCGACGCGTCGATTGCTGGTTTGTTCGGCGTGACTGGAGCGTCACAAGGCGTGAAGCTCGCGGGCTCGCACACAGCTCACCGCCGGTGTGGAAACGAGTGGAGCAGGACAGCTTTACAGGACCAGAACCGGTCGAGTGAGGCTGTACCGGTGCACAGGGCGTGGGCGTGGGTGAAAGGCAAATAGGAGCTATGGGTGGTGAGCTGAGTGATTTACCCGACGTCGATGCGAGATCCAATGCTCTGTGCGCGGCTGCAGTTATTTAGTTCGTTCCTTCTTTCCTCAGTTTGAGACAGCAATACGAGAGGTAGTTGCTAGCAAGTATGATAGAGAAAGAGCAGTCGCAAGTGATGAGAGATATCCGCCTCGGAAATCTGCTAACCTACCTGCAGAGTGACGGACACCAAGGCGCGTAGCATGGCTTGTCCTTGTTTCTTGTTTGGCACAAGCCCGCGTGCCAACACATGTGTGCCAGATCTGCAGAAGCCAAAAATCTCGCGAAGCGCGAGAGGCGTTTCGTTTCTTCTTCCTCCCCCTAGCGACCAACCGAGCCGGGGCTGTTCGTAAGCCGAAACATTGCGCGACAGCACATAGCCCTAGGGCAGAAGAGAACCAACACTCCATCCTGGGAATGTATACAGCAGATGTTCTCTTCTCACCGGCCAAAGAGTGATGCATTTGCTTTGTTTGATGATTCCGCACGATGGCGATGGACGTTCGAGACTTTGGCTCCCGTCGTACCGGCACGACTGTGACGTGACCGCATCGTGCAGAACCCGTGTCAAATCAAGGCAGTCTCCCGCCAACGTGGTCAAACCGGAATAGAAGCAACAACACTTCCCCCCATGGGCATTATGGCCGCACCTGTGCACGACAGCGCAGAAAAGCTACGGTCTGTGGTCGACTCGTGTAGTCACCAGCGGGCTGAAATTGCGGGATTCTGCTAAGCACGGGGAGACGAGCGTCGCGCGTGTGGTCCGACAATAATCCTGGCGCAACACGTTTGCTGAAGACATCCAGACTATTGGTCAAGTCAGCTTTGCACAATGTGCGAGAAAACTGCGGCTGGATCTGCGAACAGATTTAGCAAATTTACAGCATATGCTCTCTATAGCTGCCAAGGTACGCTTGCCTTTGGGTTCTCGCACGCCAGTAATTCGGGCCCATACACGAAGGCGAAGCGGGAAGATGCCTGTAAAACCATCAGTTCGGCCAGCGCATCCGGATGCGATCGCGTTGAAAGAACTATTCTTCGTACAGATGGACTGTTCTTGTCCTTTCAATGTGCTGTCATTGCCTCGTATGTTACCCATCCCTGCGCCATTACTCATTAAGTCATACATTATATACATCTGTTGCTGATGAGGCTTGTACATATCAGCTTGTCGTGCATGTCCGCTTTTCACCGCTTCGCTGACACTGTCATGGTGACATAGTCCCTTTCGCTGTTCTCATCGCGATCTGTCGAATTGGAGCATCATCGCACGCCCTTACGTGCCATCATCAGGCTTCGTGTTGCCATATGTCGCTTTGCCGCAGAGCTCTGCCAAGAACCATCCTGTGCCCGGTTCCATGGGGGTTGACGGACCAACATCGTACCACGCGAAGGCACCGGTGCCGCAGTTCAGCTCTCCAGTATTCCATTGCACTGGAAACTCCAACCTACACTCGCCGGTGCGAATGTCCCAAGCAGAGACCGCACATTGCCAGGAGGTTGCACATAGCTGACAGCATTGCGAGGCATCAGTCGTGTTAGTCTTCCATGTCGCACCAGCAGATGGTGTGTTGTCCAGACGTTGAATGCCGTAGCCTGCATAGGCGCTGATCATGGCCGTTGGGGAACACTTCGGATCCAAGGTCACAGTTGCTGTTTGGCCCTTCTGAGTGATGGTCTCAGTTCCGCAAGTTGTAGGCTGCTCGGCAAATGCAGTTGCAATGGCATATGCCTTGCCGCCGGTTTTGATGCTAGTTACAGTGCCTTGGCTGAATGCCGTGTGAGCAGTGAAAGTGCTGGTCTTGCCGGCTGGGACATAGGTGTAAGTCTGGCCATATGTGGTGTAGGACGTGATTGTCTTCGTGCAGACAGCTTCTTGTCTGGGGTTGAGACCCAGCTCGCGCTTCGTGACAAAGTTTGATTTTCCATAGACAGTCCTTGTCGAAATCGGAGCCGAACTGAGATGCGTTAGCAGTTGTTCGAGTGAAGGTGAGGTTGGACGGCTTACACAACGCCAGTCGCGGTACACGTGGTTGTCGTGCTAGTCAATGTCTGAATCGTGGTCGTGTCGGAGAGAGTCGTGATCAAGGTGAAAATGCCCAGGTCCTTGATAGTAGTTGGGTACACCGTCACCACGTCAGTCGACAAGTACGTCGCAGTCCTCGTGGGCACAATGATCTGTCGAGTGATGGTGGCGCATGTCGCCTCTTGCGGAAGTGCATAGGCGCAAGCTGCAAGTAGGACAAAGAGTGCGAAGAGCAGCATGGCTGTGGAGAGGTCGTCGTGGCTTGTGAAACGAAAGTTTGAATCAGGTCGACAGAGTAGAAGTGGCGGCCTTCTATCTGTATGCCTTGCAAAAGCTCGATCGAGTCAAGTGAATGCCTGTGATGCTCGAGCCGTTGGCGGTGGCTGGCGAGAGTCGTAAATGTCTTGAGGTCGGGAGGTATGTGAACGGCGTTGAGCCCACGCCCTTTTTATGCCGAAGCCTTCCAAACGAATGTCGAGTGTCTCGCCTTGCGCCTGCCCTCCACGTGCGGCTACGTGCAGCACGATCGCAACGGTTGCTTGGACTTTCCGTCAATATTGCGACTGTGACTGTGTGGTAGCGGCAGAGTTCAACGGTTATTTCCTTGAGACTCCTGTGCGACGACTTGCGGGCGACATCTTTTTGCGCGACCTGCATCTGCCCATGTATCGCCACTTTTAGCCATCATGCGAGCACTAGTGCAGGTCAATATGCAGGAACGGCGGGCATTCGCTGTGCGGGAAGGAACTAAATGCGGCGTACAGATTGTGCTTGCCGAGTGATGCGTCTTCATTTGCACGAAGAACACCCGATTCCAACTTGAACGTGATGTCAGTTCTGCAGTAATCAAGATTTCTCCCCAGACGATAATATCCACTTTCTCCAGCTTCGTCGCATCAACTCGGCTGTCGACTCCGAGGCGGCCACAATCATGACGGGTGTTGCGTGATGCTGTACAGCGAATCTACGCGAGACCGCTCGCTACTTCACACTTCGGGTGGCTGTAGCAGGGACTGCATGCACCCGAAAATCTGCTCCTTGCTGCACCCGCAGGATCAAATCACGCCGTGTAGCACCCCACCCTCTCTCCAATCGTGCCTGAAAGATTTTCGCTCCCGTTCGACAACCGACGAGAAGATGGGTGGTTGGGGAGGCGGTGGACGCAATGCAATGCAACTTCAACAACTGCGCACGAAGATGATCCCTCGCACGACAGGCCTTCTAGTTGCATCTCGAAGCTGCCAAAGGCAACCTCAACGTGTGACTGATGCGACTCGCGGCTATTGGCAAGAAAATGGCTCTAACGATCTGTCAGCTTACACGCTCGAATTGCGACATGCGAATCTAGCCGCCATGAGGTTGCTGGAATGTGAGATGGGAGGAATGCGGAGAGCACGCGCAAAGCACGTGCTGTCTACGATTGACAGGTCATTCAGCCCTTGCAGGAGTCTACAGCCCCTCTCAATAATATCGGCGCCCCAGGTTGATCATCGCTGCTGTGCGGAGAACCCCGTTATCTTGACCCACTATGTGTCTGTCCAGAATAATCGGAACAGCGGGAGACAGGACACCCGATCGCTATTCTTATTAACTGGGCATCATCTAATCGAAGGAGGCAAAGGCTAGCTCGTAGGCCAGCCCAAGGGTCAATCTCGCATGTTGCAGCATGTGATCAAAGTCAAGGTACTCAATCTTGTCCTCAGTGGTGTGAATCTTCTTGTCACTGTACTTGAAATCCGACTCAATGACGAAGGCGCTGGGGTAGCCAGCCTTGCTGGCGCTAGCATGATCGGAGCACGCGTAGCTAGCAATCTGTCAGCGCATACCATAGGAGCAAGATCAACATTAACTCACCCGCAAGCAGTCTCCACATACGGAATCGTGCAGTACTCGGTCACGACTTTCTTGATGAACTCAGTCAGGCCAGGGTCGACATAGTCGGTAATGACGCCAACAGACTCGGGCTCGCCAGCTTCCTTGGTTCCATGCGTGTAGCCGGTCATGTCTTGCTGCAGCATAGCCTTGACATCCCGACCCTGCTTTTCGTACGAGCTGAAGATCGCTTGCGAGCCAAGCAGACCACCCTCTTCGGCACTGTACCAGTGAAACTCGACGGTGTTCTCGGCCTTGCCGTGTGCAATTTTAGGGTCCTGAACGAGGACGCGGAGGGCTTCCAAAATAGTGACAGTACCAGAGCCATCATCATCTGCGCCAGGCGCTGCGAGTATAGATGGCAGGAACAGGTTGATGCTGTCCTGGTGTGCACCAATGACGACAGTCTTCTCGCTCTTGCCCGGAAGCGTGGCGATGATGCTGTTCTGCCCCCACGGGTGCTTGAAGAACTGCACGACTCCCACGCCAGCATCTGTCAAGGTCTGGTTCACTTGATCGAACAGCCACTCGGACGATTGTCGGCCATAGTCGCTCTTGTAGTATCGTGTGTGGAAGCCTGTGAACCTTTCCAAATGCTTGCGCATCTTCTTCTGATCCAAGCTCTTGAGCAGTTCCGACACGGTCTCATTCTCGGCGATCTTATCTGGGAAGGTGACCTTCTTCTTGCTCGCAAAGGTAGAGACATCCAGGTCTTGGTGGTCTGTAACATCGAAGAAGCGCACGCCTTCACGGCGCAACTGCCACTTCTCGTCCTCGGACACCCATCGACGTTCGGATGGCGATAGTTCGATCAGGTACTTCTCGCCAGATGCGAAGGGCGTCTGCTGTTGGAGGCCATTGTAGAGGTCGGCGAACGATGGGACCGATATGGCCGACGCAGACGATGCTGCAAGGAATACCGATGAGAGCTTCATGTTGGAGTGGTCTGGCTAAGAGTGCAGGTGAGATGAATGCTCCAAGCTTGAGCTTGTGTATGATGGTATCCTGGCTGCCTGCTGACGCCGGTGTCGCCGGTGGCTGGTCGCGTCACCACAAACAAACTTGAACTTGGACTTGCCGATGCGATCTGTGTGCAGCTACACAACAGACGTCGCGATATACAGTCCTACCTCTTGATGCAGGAACCACATACTTCCGTTTGTCGCGTCAAATCTTGCCTGCATCACGCGCTTCGGCTTCAATTCTTCGTCATGGAGAAGCACGCCGTTCCCCGCGTGCGACTGCTGGGCGTGCGTAGGGATGCCATTTGTTAAGCGGCATCTTGCTTCTTCATATTCGGCTGTCCGATTCGACCAAGAGAGAGTTGCTAATAACTTGCGCTATTTACCCTCCTCTGGGCATCATCGCGCTGCTGGATCCTCAAGTCTCGAGTGCTGGAAGCGTTCGGGGAGTTCCAAACATCCAAAATACCTGCAAACTGTGCCCCGCTGCCTCCGACCTCGAGCCATGGCATCGCACTCCGGTATTCGGAGCAGTGCAGGACTCAGGACCGCCGCCCGGACGGACTTCTGCACAGATGGCCAGTGGCGGCTCATTAACGGCGTCAGCGGATGCTGGTTGCTCGATCCACTTGTGGCCAATAATGTTGAGCAGAAAGCTGGCTGACCATGCGACGCCGATATCGCAGCCCACCTACTCTTGAATACTTTGCTATACATTGACGCTGCGGGCGTGAGACAAGGGTACCGCTCATTGCTTCTAAATACCTCCTGTCTGACACTGCCTCACGAATACTCTCCGCCGCGATCACGATACCGATTGCAACCTCCAGTTCGAGCACACACCACCAGAATGCCAGGTGTGGTGAAAGGGCCGTCGACCCTCTACGACAAGGTCTTCGCGGCACACATTGTAAGCCATTGCCGGAGAGCGGCGGGTTATTTCGTGCTGACGGGGACATCTAGGTCGACGAGAAGCCAGATGGCACCGTTCTCCTCTACATCGACCGCCACCTCGTGCACGAAGTCACTTCCCCTCAAGCGTTCGAAGGCTTGAAGAATGCTGGCCGAAAGGTCCGGAGACCCGACAACACCCTTGCAACTACCGATCACAACGTTCCTACCACCTCACGAAAAGGCTTCAAGAACATCAGTGATTTTGTCAAGGAGGATGACAGCAGATTACAGTGCGAGACCCTCGAGCAGAACGTCAAGGACTTCAACCTGACGTACTTCGGTCTTGGTGATAAGAGGCAAGGTATTGTCCACGTTATTGGACCAGAACAGGGCTTCACCCTTCCCGGTACCACAGTCGTCTGTGGTGACTCGCACACAAGTACACACGGCGCCTTTGGCGGTCTTGCCTTTGGTATTGGTACCAGTGAGGTGGAGCATGTATTGGCCACACAAACCCTCATGACGAAACGAAGCAAGAACATGAAGATCGAAGTGAACGGAGAGCTTGCCCCTGGAGTCAGCAGCAAGGACATTGTGTTACACGTAATTGGCATCATTGGCACAGCTGGAGGTACCGGGCACGTCATGGAATTCTGCGGTTCCGCCATTCGCAGCTTGAGTATGGAAGCCAGAATGAGCATGTGCAACATGTCGATCGAAGGTGGAGCACGTGCTGGTTTGGTCGCACCAGACGAGATTACTTACGAATATATCAAGGGCAAGCCATTGGCGCCTAAATACGATTCCCCAGAGTGGAAGAAGGCCATTAAATACTGGGAGAACCTCAAGAGCGATCCTGACGCCAAATGGGACGCTGTGGTCACGATTGATGCCAAAGACATCGCACCTACCGTGTCGTGGGGCACTTCACCGCAAGACGTGGTGCCAATCACCGGCAAGGTCCCAGGCCCAGATGACTTTGACGACAAGGACAAGAAGTCGGCCTGCGAGCGTGCTTTGAAGTACATGGGTCTCACAGCTGGAACTCCCATGACCGATGTGGTCATCGACAAAGTATTCATTGGATCTTGCACAAACTCTCGTATCGAGGACTTGCGAATTGCAGCGCACATTGTAAAGGGCAAGAAGGTTGCATCGAACTTGAAGCGTGCCATGATCGTGCCTGGTTCCGGACTTGTCAAGCAAAGAGCTGAGTCAGAAGGATTGGACAAGATTTTCACCGACGCTGGTTTCGAGTGGCGCGAAGCAGGATGCTCTATGTGCTTGGGTATGAACCCAGATATTCTCTCTCCTGGCGAACGCTGTGCCAGCACCAGCAACCGAAACTTCGAGGGCCGACAGGGTGCTGGCGGTCGCACACATTTGATGTCGCCAGCAATGGCGGCTGCAGCAGCGCTTGCTGGCAAGCTTGCAGATGTCAGGCATCTCGAGGGCTACGAGCAGGCTCTTCCTCAAGCCAAGATTGCACCTACAAACGTCGAGGCTCATTCGGAGGATCCAGAGTCAGACGTCGACCTTGACAAGATCTTGGACCTGCCTCAAAACCAAGATATCACAGCATCACCAAGTGACGTGCAAAAGTCTGCATCAGGCTCGCCGGGTATGCCACCATTCAAGCAGCTCAAGGGTCTCGCAGCGCCTATGGACCGCAGTAATGTCGACACCGACGCCATCATCCCGAAACAATTCTTGAAGACGATCAAGCGCTCAGGTCTCTCCGCTGGTCTCTTCTATGCATTCCGATTCAACGAGGACGGTTCATTGAACAAGGAGTTTGTGCTCAACCAAGAGCCGTGGACAAAAGCCAAGACTCTCGTGGTCAGCGGTCCTAACTTCGGCTGCGGCTCTTCAAGAGAACACGCGCCTTGGGCTCTTCTCGACTTTGGCATCAAGTGTATCATCGCCAGCTCATTTGGTGACATCTTCTTCAACAACTGCTTCAAGAACGGTATGCTGCCAATCAGGATCACCGATCAGAAGATCTTGCAGAAGCTCTTCGATGAGGCTAGCGCCGGGAAGGAAATCGAGGTGGACCTTGAGAATAATGTAATCAAGGATGCTGATGGAAATGAGATCACGAGCTTCGAGGTGGAGGAATTCCGCCGACACTGTTTGCTCAACGGTCTCGATGATATTGGTCTCACCATGCAGGACAATGACAAGATCGCCAAGTTTGAGGCGCGACGGTCTGAGGAGACACCGTGGTTAGACGGTTCTGGCTATCTTGCCAAGCACAGGACAGGGCCTGTAAAGGTCGAGGCAGCTCCTGTGCCCAAGACGAACCGCGGAGAGGAGAAGACCGAGCCTCTCGAGTGGTAGAAACGAAGAGTAGCCTTATATGGAGAGCGAAAACGAAAATGCCACGATCAATGATGATGCTGTTCACACTCTTTCCAACCATGCCTAATGTGCCAAATCTCTCACACCCAATGCACCTACTTCGCCAACTCGGCAAAATTCTTCTTCTCATGCTCCATAATCGCCTCAACCTTCGCAGCACTCGCACTCGAAGGATCAAATTTATACCCAATCCACTCCTTCGCCAACCTCCTCGCCAACTCCAACCCAATCACCCTCTCACCCATACACAACACCTGCGCATCATTACTCAAAATCGCCCTCTCCACACTAAAACTATCATGTGCCGTCACAGCTCTGATGCCTGGGACTTTATTCGCGCTGATTGCGACTCCCAGTCCTGTACCGCAGATGAGGAGAGCGCGATCGGCTTTGCCGTCTTTGATGAGTTTTGCGGCGTCGACGGCCGGGTGAGGGTAGGCGGTTTTATCGGAGGTGGAGTTTACGCCTACGTCGATGACTGAGGAGACGCGAGGGTCGGCTTCGAGGTCGGATTTGATTTTGTTTTTGTAGCTGCAGCCTGCTTCGTCGCAGCCCATTGCTATGCGGAGGCCTTGGCCTTGTTGGGAGGACATGGTTGCTGTTGTGATGCTGTTGTTATGTCTAGGCGGTGGGTTTTAAAGTTGGCTGGTGTCGTAGTCTGCTGTCTTGTCCACGGGTTTACTATTATCTTTCTCTTCTGGAGATGATGAAGATGAAGTGGAAGAAGACTGCAGCTTATAATCTTGTCGTCTCGGAACACCCAAACTCTTCCGTTCACTGTAGTAATTCTCTGGATCTTCCGGATTGCCCAATACAGTTCCCTTTTGCTTCCAGTGACTTGGCTCTTGCTTCTCCCACGTTCGTGCGGTGCCTGTTTTGTGGTTGACGATGGTTTGGCGGAAAGAAGCTGACTGTACGCTGGTGCCCCAGCAGATCTTTATACGTTTCTTAGACTCCATGGTCGGCGTCTGAATGCGGGCCAACGAGAGCTTGTCGGTTGAATTGACTGTCGGCGTCCAAGTTACTTGGTTGCGGGTGATCTCATGCCGCGTGCCCGCCACCTGGAGCAAGAGGGGAAAGGTGAGCTGGGGTTTCAGCCGGAATGCTCGATCGGGTATATCGGTGGCCTCATCCACATTGTGGGGTCCTCGAGACGAGGTTGTGGTTTCCTGTCGACGACATGTCGCTTGTCGGTGCACTCCTTTTCCATCAAATTGCCCATCGCGTCTCCATTTTGCAGTCGAAAGCAGCTGGGCTGAGCCACCAGCATCTCACATCTATGCCACGCAAGAAACGGAGACACTGCCCGCCAGCCAGCCAAATGTCGCAAGCCTCGTGCCAGGAAACGGGAATGTTTGGACTTGCCTAGTAATGAAGATACCATTCGTTCTTGCCAGCTACTACTTTGTCCAAACCGCAGGCCTATCAATTGCCAACTGCAGAAGCTTCACGAACGACCCATCCTGACATGCCAGGTTGAACTGGTAATGGGTCAACCTGTTAGCATTCAACAACTCAAGAGCCTCCTTGAAGTCCCGTTCCAAGTCATGAAACACCTTCTCCGGCTCATCTGGAGGCTCAACTTTCCAGAGGACACCTTCCTTGGTCAGGTCCTCTATCCGCGCCATGAGCGACATGTGGTTGCGGGGACTGTTCTTGGCGAAAGTGCCGAAGTATCTACTCTCCCTCGAGCCTCTTTCGGACCCGGGCAGCCGCAGGGGCGTGAGGAATGGTATCTTCGGCGCACGGAATAAGAAGTGCGTGGGAACTTTTTCCACTAGCATCCCAAGCAAAGCCGCGCGAGTTTCTTCGGCAATTCTTCTGACTTCAGCCGCCGCGCGTCCTCGAAAGTGATTATCCTCAAAATCGTTCTCATCACCAGCGTAGAGGGAGATCCTTACGCAGCAACTCAAGTTGATAGTGATGACAATATGTTTGAGGGCTGGCATCATCATCAGAAGCCGACCCGAAGCCATGCTGACGGTCGTGAAGTTGCCAGGAAAAATGTACTGACACCTCGTCTTCAAGACCAGGTGCTCGACAGTGGCAAGCCCGACGCGCACCCCGGCCGTCAGGGACTGCAGAATCGGCAATCTGCCGACTTTCGTTTTGCGGTCGTAGAATTGTATAGTGAGCACTTTGCGCCCGCGACGCAGCTGCAATTCTTTCTCGTATTCGGCCTTGAAGGCTTTGCTAACCAGCAGAAGCTTTGGAATAGTGTGGAACGTCAGTCTCGCGTCGGGCAGATGGTCGTGGACAACGAGATGCTCTTGCGGAATATCGACGTGCCGCCACAATCTCCTGAAGATCATGTATCTCACTTCGGGGGGAAGTCTGAAGAATGGGGAGTCGTTGGGTTTTTCGGTCGGAGGCACGATCTGTAGTAAGTTGATCGGCGTCCATTTTATACGTGGCATCCTGGTTGCAAATTGCTGATCTTGTCTGTTGCTAGTAACGCGCTGTGCCTTCGATGTGCATGGAGAATTTAGAAGACGAGCTGTGCGATCGGGGAAACAGGATGCCGAGCTGGACGGCGAATAAATACCCCAAAAGAGGCCTTGGAGCGGATCGTACAGGTGATCTCCACCCAAGTATACACCATTGAGGAACCACACGGCCTTGAACTTCCGCTGATGGCCGCCATCCGCAACGGCATCGCTCCACTCAGTTTGCACATGTCCCATCAGCGGGTGCATAGAAAGTCTGGTGTCCGGATCGCCGGATGTCTCCACGCTGTACTGTTGAAAACAACACTGCGCTCGCCTATACGGGTCGCCACAGCAAGTTATCCACATTCGGCGCGCATGTCATCCGTCGGAAGAGCACATTCAGATTGACAGTTGGGTATTTCAAGGTTCGCTTGCTTTGGCTCAGGGTCACCCACCTGCGAATGTAATAGTAGGAGTGTGCATGCAAAGGGCGGACTGCGTGCGGGGGACCGCACCGAAAATCGGTAGGCACAGATAAAGCTATGGAGACAGCAAAATGTGACCTTTTCAAACGAATTTCCTCTTGAACGAGTCGCCAACTGTACAATCACGTCGCTAAATTTTCAATTTTCACATTTACATCTACAGTGGCTTAGCGAAGAGAGTTCGATCTATCACTCATCCTCTTCTTCTTCGTCGTCCTCTTCCATGCCCTCCGCAGCATCAACCTCAAAAGTCGGTGCCTGGTCCACGCCAACGTAGCTATCACTCATCAAAAACAACGTCAACTCATGTTTTCCAGGCGTGGGCACCACAATCTCCAACTTAGTCTTCAACTCCCTCACAACCGTGACGCGCTTGATGGCAAGCAGATTCCTCGTGCTTTCCTCGCCAACCACAAGCCACCAATTCTCCGTCTTCGGAGCCGGATAGAATGGTGCATGAACCTGCAGATTGGGTTCTTCATCCTCTTCGAGCTGTCTTGTGATAGAAACGTTGACGTACGAAGGCTGCCCAGACGCAACGTTCTCAGGATCGTCAAGCTCAAACGCCATCTCGACATTAGGATACCTCTCGTTGATGAAACGGGCAGCATCTGCGAGTTGAGCATTGCTGAAGCCCAGACCGGCCATGAGCTTGCCATGATCTGGATTCTCATCAGGGTCCATAGCATCTTGGAACTCCACGACATCCTTGATGCCAAATTTGCTGCACACTGCGATCTTCTCGTCCTCGAAGTGAGGAATCTGCTTGAGTGGAGAGTCGCGATCCCACATCGCCTGCACAACCATCTGGCAGATTTCCATAGCATTCATGGCGTTGAGGTGGCCTTCCGATGAGAGTACATCAACACAAGCGCTGAGGATGCTCAAGACCTTGCGAAGGATGATCTCCTGGTCTTTGGCCATATCTGCCGGCAGCTGCATTCTCGAGAAGTGTGCTTGCAGCAAGACGAAGGACTTGAAGTGCGGTGATTCGAAGTTGACTTCGCCGAGCTTGACCGGCACACGATCGTAGATTCGTGACAAGATGTGCTCCTCGTGACGACGAATCTGAATGTCTTCAAACTCTGTTGCCGCTGTTACGATCTCGAGAATGCCTTTCAGCTTCGTGCCGCGCTTCAAAGACAGGAGCAATGTTTGCATTGTGATGAAGGAGATATTGTAGTAGGCTCCGATCATGGCAGCGTTGAGAGGTGTAATTGTGTCTTCATCCTCGTCCATCTCGATGATCTTCGCATCAGTCAGGTCCTTCAAGGTCTGTTCCACCTGCTCAGACAAATATGCACTGAGCCCATCGTGCGTTGTATCTGTGAGACCATAGAAGCTTGGGTTGGCAAGCAGCCGTCGGTAGAGGTATGTATATGTCGTCCAATCGACGGCGTCTTGTGTGCTCTCGATAGTCTTCGTGCTGATCTCGGTCACGAATGCATCATGGAGGTAGGACAGCAATTGACTCTCAATGGGCAACGCCTCAGCCAAGAACTTCTTGTAATAGTTGCGCTTGGTGTCTGGGCACATGAGCACACCGCGAGCATCCCTATCCTCGCCAGGGCGCCCTGCTTTCCCGAACATCTGCAAAACTTCGGCGATGGGATAGTCAATGTAGCGATGCTCACGTCCCTCGTAGAATTGAGTTCCCATCACAATCACCAAGTGTGCTGCAGGCTCGATCTCCCAGCAGCAGTCTCTTGAGACAATGAGAAGCTGAACGGCGCCCTGCTTGAACAGTGACGTGGAGATGCGCTTGTCAGAGTCACTGAGCGCTTCGTGGTAGTAGGCGATACCGTGCGATAGGGACTCTGCCAAAGTCTTCTCCTTGACTCTAGACAAGATTGGTGCCAGTTGGTCTGCTTCTGTATGCAAGAATCGATCTTCGTCATCAGCAGCAATGCAAGCCGCGAGCAAGTCTTGTGCTGTTGCACGAGCTTGCTTTCTGCTCGGCACGAAGACCATCGCTGGCTTCTCAGGAGCGTACTGCAGGACTGCTTGATAAGTCGGCTTGGTCATTGCAAGCATGAGCGAGGGGAAGTGCGGGATGTTGAATGTTTGGAGATGCAAGTTCAAAGGCAGAGGTCGGTTGTTAGGGCTGAAGTTGAAGATGGTGCGCTTGCTGCAACCAATCCACTCTCCAATGTCTTTCGCGTTGGATAGCGAGACACTCAACCCAATTGTGCGAAGGTCGTTCTCGAGCTGAGCCTTGATCGCTTGCGTTCGGGAGACGACAGCCTCATAGGTGTAGCCGCCGTGACCGCCGAGCATGTGAAGATCATCGGCAATGACGAGCTCGACGTTCTGCACGTTCTTCCTGCGCTGCCATTGCCGGGACATCATATCCCATTGCACGGGTGTTGCCAAGATGAGGTCGCCTTCGGCGAGTAGCTTCAAGTCACCAGTTGTCTCGCCCGTAAGCTTAACAACAGCTTTGCCGCCGGCCAACGGTCCAAGAGCCTTCTTCCATGCCTCATGCCTTGCGTCCACTTGCTCCTGGAAAGGAGCGATGTAAACGGCTTTCCCGCCTTGAGCTTTCGTGAAGTGGCGCAGCAATGCAAATTCTGCGCAGATAGTCTTGCCACTGCCTGTTGGCGCACCCACGAAGACATTCTCGTCCGACCGGAAAAGGGCATCGTATGTCTGCGTCTGAATCTTGTTGAACTGAGGAATATCAGAATAAAGATCGATGAACTCCTGCCTCTTCAGCTGTTCGATAGTCAAAGGCTGCATATCCAGGAGCTGAGTGTGCGCTGGGAATTTCTCGGGCAGTGAAAGCTTCTGGAATGAGAGCGTGAGCTTGCTCTCGGCATGCATCCATCTGTCGCTTATGACCGAGATGAAGTAATTGGGCGGCATCGGTTCAGAGATCGGAACTGTGAATTCTACGACATGCTCGTTCATCTCAGCTTCGGCGTACTCCTTGCGGAGCAGGAACTGATCGTGGAACAGAATGTCCTCGCCATCACAGTCCTCGACCACGATCCACCAATTCTCAGCGCGACCGTGGATGTTGTCGTCCCATTCGAACTTTGGTGTAATGGTCAGTTCGACGCGGAGCATGCTTCGGGTGACTGGCTGACATTGTGCCTGGATGTCAAGTCGCGGAAACTTTGCAACCAGGTTGCAAACTTGTCGTCCCTGTTTGGGCATGCCCAGAAGCTCGCCCATGCGGGGTGGATCAAGATCGAAGTAGCTCGACCACGGCACGTCCATACGCTCAGCCTTCTTGATGATGTCCGGTGGACAGTCTGCGAATTGGCGAAGTGGGGTCATGGTAGGCCACATGCGTTTCTCTGCCATCTTGCATAGATCCAATGCGTCCTTCGCCACCTGCGACCACCCCTTCTTCAAAGCAATCTCGAACATGGCGCGGAGGATACGACCAGCAGATTGCGTGACATAGACGAGATCTGCCATCAGGGCAAGTCCCTCCAATTTCAGTCGGCTGACATATGCTTGGAGAAGGACATTGATCTTGCATTGCGGTTCGTCAATGGTTTCCTTGACAGGAATTGGAACTCTTCCGAGCAGCTTGGCCAATTCAAGCTTCTCGTCCTGTCGTACAGGAATGTATTTGAACTCATCACTGAGCGCGAACACTCTGAAGAGCTCAATTGGGCTGACCGAAGGCTGAATGTGCAGATTGTAGGTCAACATACTGTTGTGTGTGATATAGTAGTGACTTGCAACACGGCCCAGATCCTTGCTCTGCAGACGGCCACTCTTCTTGTCGTACGCGATCAAGCTTGCCTTTTCGAGGACGACAGCTGCTGAGTGAATAAGATCCACGCGCTTTTGCTCCAGGATCTCGTCGTCGTCATAGTCCGCGCCGACTTGATACAGGGCAGGCGATCGCAGCATCCGCACAAACAGGTACGTGTAGCTGAGCCATTCAACGCCTTCATCTCGAGTCCGCACATTGCCCAGCACAATCTCGGCATTGAGGTTGTCTGCCAAACGTGACACGAACTGTGACTCGATGGGCAGTTGCTGGTTGAGCAACGACAGGTAGTACTGGATCTCTGCCTGCGTCGTGATGATGATACCCTCACCATATGTATCGTACTGGGGACGGCCGGCACGACCGAGCATTTGCAAGACGTCTTGAGGACTCAATTCTACCCACGAACCCTTTTCAGGGGAGTAGATTTGAGTGCCCTTGATGATCACGGTATGGGCAGGCAGATTCACACCCCAAGCCAGTGTAGCGGTACAAACGAGTACTTGTATCGCACCATCCGCGAATAAGTCCTCGACGGCAGTTCTGTCTGCTCTGCTCATACCGGCATGATGTATACCGAAACCATATGGGAGAACACCCTTCAGATCTGAGTTCTGGCACGTCTCAGCTTCTTCGCGCAAGATCTCTCTCGACGCAGCGTCAGTGCGCAGAATCTGCCCGATCGTGTCAAGTTCAAGGGCCTTGTCACGAATGTACTTGGCGGTCTTTGCAGTTTCCTTTCGCGAATGAACGAAGATGAGCATCTGGTTCTTGTTTTGCCCAACCTGCTCAAGCACTTTCGTGTAGCACACATCGTTCATGGTCTTGAGCTGCTTGATAGCCTTCTTGTCGGTGACACCAATAAACTCTTGTTTAAGCGGGCAAGGCCTGAAGGTACCATCGAAATGGAACAGATCCTTCTCCACATCGACTCTGAGGAAAGATGCCACATCGCGGTAGTTTGGCAGAGTAGCCGAGAGACCAACGATTCGCACAGGATCGCCCGTCTGCTCAGTCCGACGGATCGTACGCGCAACAATACTCTCGAGAACCGGGCCACGGTCGTCATGCAGCAGATGGATTTCATCGATACAGATCAGTCGGACAAGATTCGTGTAGCTGGTGTCTGTGGCCTTTCGCGTGATGACGTCCCACTTCTCAGGAGTCGTGACAATGACATTCGTCTCTGCGATCTGCTGCTTGGTGAGCTGACGATCACCTGTCAGCTCGGAGACCTTAATTCCGTAAGACTCCAGACGCTTGCCAAAGTTGCCGACTTGCTCTTGGACCAATGCCTTCAATGGAGCAATATAGATAATTTTGAACTCGTCCAGATTGATTCGACCAGTCTCTGGATTGCGATGCTTGCCAATTTCGCGCAACATCGTGAGCATCGCCACATTGGTCTTTCCTGAACCTGTGGGTGCACAAATGAGCATGTTGCCATCTCCCAGAAACGCAGAATCATGGCACTCTGTCTGAATGCGATTGAGCGATGGATTTGAGCCGAATCCGGGTCGTGCCCAAGCAGGCAGCTCTTCCAATTTGATCAAAGGTCGTTCGCCGGGGACCTGCTTGCGCTTCGGTGCTGGGACATGTATTTCTTCATAGCCTTTGAAAGTTCGCTTCGTTGAGCCCTGCGGCAATCGTACGTTCTGGTTGGTCATCAAGTGGTTGCCTTGGTCGAATTTCAGGTCCTCCAGATTCAACGTCTTGCGAGGTTGCAGGCCTCCCACTAGGCCCTCCTTCTTGACTTCTTCCTCGTCCTTGACTTCCAGCTTCGCGTCAAGCTGCATCGGGTCCAGCTTCACTTGGATCTTAGGCTTGCCTGTTGTCTCGTCACGGCCGCGGAGTTCCTTCAAGATACTGGCGTGACCAGCGTTCACCATTTCCTTCTCTACGATGACCCGAGATTCATCGTCTTCGGCAACTCGCCGCCATCTCGTTACCCAGACGATCTTATCTCTGTTCTTTACAAGCTTTCCGACCAGCTCGTGATGTTCATAGTCGAAGAGCTCCATGAGGTCGTTTTCCACTTGTCCTAGTGGCCGCTCCTGGCCTGACTCGTCTGTTCCTGACATTATTGCCTCAGCCTCTTTGGTCTTTTCGGCCTGGATATGCGCATCGTCGTAGATATCACCAATATGCCGCTGTAACCAGTATGCGTCGATCTCGTGTGCAGGGACAAAATTTGGATCTTTCCCCTCTTTGCCTGTCCGTCTGGGTCGACTCTCGATTACCAGTCCATCATCCTCTTCCTCGCCACCTCCTTCTGCGTCAGGCGGCGGGCCCGCGCCGTCCTCTGCCAGGTCTTCCGTACCCATGGCCAGGTCGTCTTCCGATTCGTCGTTCTCGTCCCGAACCTCGAACGTTTGATTCGCATCTTCATCCTCCGACTCATCGCCGAAGTCGACGGCGACTCCTTGTTGTTCATCCATGGCAGTCTCGTCGTCATTGCCATCTCCCATTTCCTGGTCGTCATCTTGCGCCTCGTAGTCTGTAATCTTCTTTCCCAGATTGACAAGCTGATTGAACTCTTTGCTCGATAGCGTGATTCCAAGAATGTCGTCAATCTCCTTCTTCTTGTCAAAGTCCTTCAAAGTGTCGTCCTTCAGGTATTCGAGGATCGAATCAGTGGCAGAAGCTGTGATCGCCAGCCCATAGTCGCCACCCATTTTCTGTGCGACATTCGATGAGATGAGGTCGTATACGTCCTTTGTCGCAGCGGTTCGAGGTCGGTATCGCAGGCCTTCGATATTCATATCCTGTGCGCTCAAAATTCCAGCCTGTCGTGAGCTCTGCACAGGTTCTGTCCGCTTCCTCTTTTTCGCGCCCTCGTTCGTCGCTGCAGACACCGGCGCCTTTTCTCGCGCCGTCCTTGAACCCATTTCTCCCAATTTGATCTTTCCAGCCAGTGACTCCGGATCACCAGTGGCATCGTCCCCTCGTCGCGAGACAAATCGTCTATCGGCCTGCAGGACCAAATTCGACATGGCCGCATATTTGTACTGGCCCAAGTTGTTGTCGGCGCCATCGCCGCCCTTCCCTTGTTTCGACATGATGGCGATGTATTATGTGCGGGATTGCGCGCGCGGAAAGGAAGGGAGATAGGTCGTCAGCTCGAATGAGCCTGCACGCGACTGAGACTGCACGCGACTGAGATTGAAGATCGGAAGGTCAAGACGATTTTCAAGTCAAGTTGACGCTTTGCCAGATTAGGCGAAAAGCGCGAGTCATGCAAGAGCCGGCAAACAACGTTGATCCGATCCGACCAAGCACGTCTTCATGTTCGGCAGAGCATCTGCTCACTTCGACTTTGTCCCATAGACTTCATTATACAATTTAAAGTATAGACCATGGCAGACCCTGAAGAGCCTGAGGATCTGTGGCTGTTCGGCTACGGCAGTTTGATATGGAAGCCACCGCCACATTACGGTAGGGCATTCTCTTCCTCTTACTTCAAGTTTTATACTCATAGCATCTTCAAAGACCTCCGTCTCCCTGGATACATAGAAAATTATGTCAGAAGGTTCTGGCAATCTTCTGAGGATCACCGTGGAACGCCAGAAGCCCCAGGCCGAGTCTGCACATTAATCGATCGTAAACTCTGGGAGACTCTCACCGATCAACATGCATCCGCCCCGCCACGAGTCTGGGGCGCAGCATATCGAATACCCGCAGCCAAAGTCGCAGAAGTAAAAGAATACATGGACATCCGAGAGATCAACGGCTATTCAATCCAATACACTCCTTTCAAACAACCAACGAAACCGCAAGACATGTCCGCCACATTCCAAGACGTCCACGTGCCGAACAACTTCTCCACGGACGGGAAAGCAATCAGATGTCTTGTGTATATTGGCCTACCGGATAATCCGCAATTTCTTGGTCCTCAGGACCCGCAGGCATTGGCAGAGCATATTGTGAAGTCGAGAGGGCCGAGTGGAGAGAATAAGGATTATCTTTATGAGTTGGAGGCTGCGTTGAATGGATTGAGTGAGGAGAGTGGAGATGAGCATATTAGTGACCTGGCTAGGAGATGTAGGGAGATCGAGGCGAGAAACAGAGCAGAGGGAAGTGAGAAATAGAAATATAGAGTCGCGATGATAGAGTGAATGCATATAATCAGAGTCTGATCTGCTGTGAGCTCCTTAGTACACTTGGCTGCTTAGACCATACGTGCGCGAAGACACTCTCTGCCCTGAAGACAACAAATCCGTGTGTGTCTATGTCAAGCCTTCTGTGTTGCCCACGAGAGGCATCAAGCTTGCCCCTATCAAACGGCAGGAGCTTGTAGCGAGCCCGCTATGAAACATTCTGTCCCAATCTCAAAAATCTTCTGACCCTGTCCTCGGCTATCTGTCCTGCTCTGCAACAGTCCGTTACTCATCTCGTGTGTTTCTCCATGAATTCAGCCTCCTCTGGCTCTAGCTTCTCCAGGTCAAAGCCATAGAAGTTATCCTCGCAGGTAGACGGCGTAGCACGGTATGTTCTCCAGTAATAACTTCGTCCCTTCTTCCAAAACTGTTGATTCGCCAGTCCTGATTTGCGTCTAACGCGAGGGATTGCAGTCACCTTCCGAACTTGCATCTCCATGTCAATGCAGTACGTGAGTTTGATGCCTTGCAACAGCATGGGGTAAGAATCATCAGACTTCTCAGCACTGCAGATATTCTTGCCACAATCTCTCAGCGCGGAAGTGAGCATCGGAAAGTCTACTTCTTCTTCTATGTCATCCTCGATTGCGCCGCGCACGATCAGCGCAATGTTGGTAAGTGCCTGTTGATGGAGCAAGGGCCGCACGAGAACTGTGCGAAGGTCCTTACCGATTCGCCGTAAGTTGTCTGCAATGTCGTCGTCTGACCAGCTGGAATCAGCGGTGACGCCATTGTCATAGCGGTCAGTGTATTCGTAGAACCATGAGAATATCACCTCTAGTTTGGGGACCATTCGAAGCTTGCTGGTCAGATACTCGTCACATGGCACGAGGGTTTCAGCTGGAAGGTAGTAGCGCACATCGGGGTCGATCACCAGTGTCAGCTTCTGCGAGGGTTCCGCGCGCTTGATAGCATCCTGGTACTCCTGGTTCATTTGTTTGTTGGCCAGCAGCAGGCCCAGAACTGGAGCATGCGCAAGGTAAGCCGCATCCCAAGGTTGCCCGATCTGCAACGAGCTGGTCTTAATATGCTTCGGCTCATCGAGCGTGAAGTCATAGATTTGGTCTCGAAGTTCGCGAGGCAGAGCGAAGAAATCAAAGATCTCGTTACGACTCGAGGGGTTGAGGAGTGCTTGTTGAGCAGCAGGCTCTATGTTGGTGGGTTGAGAACGATGCATCAGTCCATTTTCCAGGTCAAGGAACCGATGTGCAGTAGTACTACTCGAGGAGTCAAGTGGCGGCTGTTGAACCGCCATGTACTCGACAGGACTCGACTGTGTTGTCGACTGGTGTGCTTTGCCATCCATTGTGGTCAACCGTGAGGTGGAAAAGCCTGAAGACTTCGTAAGTGAAAGGAATAAAGAACCGGTGAGGAATCCATTCGAAATGATAGAGACATGGAGTGAATGGGTGACAGGGGTGAATCTCATCTCCAGGACCAGGAAAAGTGGGTGAAAGAAAAAGGGTGAATGACTATTCAGCTCAGTCAATGTTGCATGTGCAAAGTCATATGAATAGGCTCGACCCTGAAATGGCTGCAAACGTCGAGCATCATGTATTGCTCAGCATCGGGACGGGCTAGAGTTTCTCAACCTGTCATGACAATTTTACATGGAAAGTACATACCGCAGGCCCGAGTGCGTGCAACCCGGCTAGAACCTCGACGAACGCCCTTCGATGATTTGTTCTGGTACATGCTCATCTCTCCGACCTTCCTCCCAATACTCACCTTTACTTCCTTGCCGTAGGTCCAGAAACGCCCGCACCGATAACGCTGGGCAGTTCTTGCGAACCCATTTCCCAAATGGTGCCTACCGCGAAACTGACCAGACCAATGATTGCCACAGTGAAGAGCGCGATGAGCCAGAACTCGACACTGACATCCTTCTTCTGGCATGCTGGCCCGCCCCATACTGTGCTCTTCTTGCCAGCCTCGCTCTTTGGCTTCGTGCATTGGCAGGACCAGCAGTCAAGACCAGTCTGACCGCCTGGGCCCAGAGAGTCCGCATCATGGTATTTGAGACCGCATTTGCCATGTCCTGTGCAATTTCGTGTCGCACTTTCGCAAGCGGACTCTGATGTGAAGCAAGCCGGGAGAATGCCGCGTAGAGGTGTTGTGTTGTTCGCCTGGAACTTCGGTAATGGCGAGTCTTCTGAAGAGTCGCTCGTTGCGAAATCGTTCGACATGCTGAGCGGTGCCTCTGGTGCTAATCGCTGTCTCTTCTGCAGCATTGACTTCTTGTTCGGCATTTCATATGTTCCCCACTGGAACTTGCCTTCATTCCTGCTCGATTCGGCATCTGCCGGAGTGGTGATTGCAGTGATCGCGAAAGTCCCAGTCTGCTCGAACTTCTCCCACATAGCCAGCATATCCTCCACTGATTTGGCGAGATAAAAGACATTCCCGCTTGAGCTGAGACGGTCTGCGTCCGAAATATGCTGAACGATCTCGTAGTCGGAAGATGCTGATGCTGGATTTTCTTGTTTCACAAGATCGACAAAGAGGCCTCGCGTCGCTGCTGAATTCGGTGCAGGTGAGATTCCAAATGAATGTCGTGCGGAGTTATCCTTGAAGAAGGCTACACGCAGTCAGTGTCCCAGATCTTGCTAGCTTCATGAATCTGCCATACGTATGCTGTCTGTCACTCCTTCGAGCAGTATAAAGGCATTGTTTCGCCTGTCCTCCTCCTTAGCAAACAGTGGTGTTTGCTTGCCATAGTCGTTAATGGCCTCGATCGCCTCCTGCCTCAGCAAATCTGACTGGTGATAATCCTCGACCCCCGCTCTTTGTGCCAGCACCAGCCTCGCGGCGACTGGCGATAGATCCCTTCCGCTTTGCCCTCTCGCCGCTGATGCATGGGGGTCGTATGTGTAGACGTGTGCAGTTGCCGCTTCTGCTATGCGTGCCGCGCAAGCCAGCACGGGCAGGAGAAAGTGTGCGGTGCTCTTCATCGTCGCTGTCGGTCTTCGTGGCGGCGATGAACGCTGTGCAGGAGCCTCGACACCGAGATGCAGCTTGTCGCCTACGGTAGCTGTTCACAAGATGGAGCACGGATCACCGTACCGCCAAGAAAGTCTAGTATGACGAACGTGACGGACGAGGCGATGTTCTGGAAGATACATTTCCAACAACCTGCACCACCTTTGTCCTGCAAACACTCACTTGTCTCGGACCACTGCCAATACTATTCCTTGGATGCGAGTATCGATGTCCGATCCGTGTCGAACTCTCTGATCACCCCACCCTCGAAAGATGCATCGCCTCCCGCGAGCCATCAGCCTCCGCCAGCAACAACTTCTACGCCCCAACATCAGGTCGCGAATACCCCAGCAGCGCTTCACCTCGCGGATCGCCTACAAACGGAATGGCGAGCCTGTTCGATACCAAGCAGTGCGCTTTAGAGGGCGTGGTCCGAGCATGCGGCAGATCGTAACATATGGCGTTTACGGTGCTTGCGTATATTGGTACTTCGGCATGGTGGTCAAGTGGCTGGGTGTCGAAGTGGAAATGCTGGACGAAATGGTGGACGAGGAGATGGAGGACGACGATGAAGAAGAGGTCGAGGACGACGGATATGCGCACCCAGACTCATTATTCATCCCTCTGACATGGTCAACGAAACTGCCACGTACTTTCTACAGAGGTTCGGATCCCGAATGGCAAGAGTTCATCAAAATCGCCAAGGATAAAGAAAGGCACACCAAAATCCAGAATGAGCTGGTTCAATTGATCTTTAAGGAATGTCTCAAGCACCCGGGCGTTGCGCGCCAGTTGGGGAAGGACAACAAGGTCGGAAAGTACTGGTTGGACATTTCTTTCCCCGATGGGCCGCCGCAAGAGTATGAGAGAAGTGGGATCGAGATCGCAGATACATACATCGCTTGGAGCCAACAAAAGATCAGCCCAGAGGATCAGTGGAGACTCACCAGGACGATCTGGCCAAAGGCAGCTTTCGATTCGTTATGGGCTACCGGCTCAATGCTAGCCGGCATTAATTATCGGAGGATAAAACAAGCACTGGGATGGGAGGACAAGGATCCGTTCAGCCCGGAGGAGAGAATGCGACATGCGATCGAGATGCACAACAAGCAGCATCACCCAGAGCTGAGTAGGAAGCAAGTCGGGCAAGGGCAACTGGAGCCGAACGCCAGCCCAGAAGGTGCGAATGGCAGCTCGAACATGCCGCCAGCAAAATCGACGAGTGACGAAGCCAGAAAGTTGAGTTGGTGGATGGTCGACGTGCCCATGCCCAAACCCGGCGAGGACTCTATGGACGTCCCGATTGCCATGTCTGTCTTTCAATCCACGTTGAGGAAGAACTGGAATCCCAAGAAAATGGAGCCTCCACGAGGAACGTTCGTTGTTCAAGGACTGGTGGAAGTACGAGGGCAGAGGGGCAGGATGATGTTTGACGTGCAGTCGTGCTACGATCCCAAGGAGGCGAAGTTCACAAACGTCAACGCGAATGTGCGGAGCTTCAAGCGATGGAACCAAGCGCCGAGAGGGGGGCCTTGATCCCACTGGGAATAGATGGAGTGCTTTTCACTCAACTTTTTCGGGTTTCCTGCAGCGTTTGAGCGAGTGAGCGGATACATTTGCAGATGGGCGATGCATAGCGTAGGGACATTCACAAGATACCCTTTATTCATTTGTTGTTGATGACCAGACTGAATTGCTCCTGCTTTCTCCTCGGTTCCAACTAACATAGCGAGCCCCAGGCGCATGATGTCTTAGCTGAACCACAGCTGATGTCAAAAGCATTGTATCAGTCATGCGACGCAACATCTGGTTTCTGCGAGTTGGTGTGTACAAGCCACTGTTGCGCAAGTGAAGGCTGCGTGATGGTGAGGTTGATACGCTTAGATACGTTTGGGCTGCCGTCAAGTGTCCTGTGACAGCGTCCGACCATCACCATTTCCTGTACAGCCACAACATCTGCGCTTTTGGCAAAATTCTTACATTCTCTCGCACGATCCGATCTTCCTCACGATGAAGGTCGCCGATCTACTCTCGGATCTCACGCAGTTGCAGTTTGCTGTGAGTCCCGATGTTTCTCTTCCACCGCCGACTGCTTACACTCTTGCAGGACCCGGGCGCCGCTCTCGCACTCGTGTCAGCAAGATCGAGCGCGGCGGGAAGTGCAGCAGCGAACGGAGAAGTCTCGTCGAACGGACGCCATGAAGACCCGGATTTGAAGCGAGCAAAGGACCTTCTCGACTTGCACAAGACTGTCAAGCTCGCCCATCCCGATGCTGAGCCCGATGCGGCGCTGAAGAAGGCTCGTGCAGATGTAGACAAGGTCCTGCGCGAGCTGTAAACTCACTGCGTATGTTGTTGGCGAGGCTCGTGGACCTGCTGGCTCGCGCAATGCAGCTTGAGCTTCAGACCAGTGCAAACGCCAGTCCTAGACGCGCCATTGTCAAGTCATCACAGGACCATACGCCAAGCGAGTATTTTGACGTCCTTGCCTATCGCAGCACTGCAACACCCTCCAAGATTCCTGGCTGTGCCCGACCAAACTGCAAAGGCTTCGCGTTCGCTTTCGCACTGAAGCAAAACTGCACGACCATGGGACGTGAACAGATGTGAGCTTTCTTATTTGCTTCGCCGCTCCACAACTTGGTCTGGCTCGACGCCTTCCGCTCGACGGCCTTGGCGTCGCAGCCACTTGCACCACGATCGAATCACTGCTGCTGGCAAGCACCACAATCACGATGCTCCACGGAACTGAATGTACACTGCGACTCCGCGACATCGCTGTTGTTCGAGCTACGTGTCCTCCATACTGCATCACGTACGAACCTCGCACCTCAACAAAGATGTCATCAGCACAAGCATTTTGCCAAGGGCGAGGGATTTGTCTTCGGTGATAGAGAGTGATCGTCCAGAGCTACATGGTGCACGACATACACTGATGGACTGTGCAAGCAACGAAGTCCTGATAGTACATCGACCGACCCGATTTGCTCACGATGCTCAATCTGTTCTCAGCTGATGCCAAGAATAAACTCACTTTCATCCTTCCGCCGCAGCTGAACCAGTTAGCATGCTTCTAAAATGCCACATCAGCCCAGATGGCCGCATTTGCAGGGGCGGTGCTACCAGAACCCCGCCACCACGCTGACTACGCAGCATGATGGGAGATTCAGGTGCATACCGGGACACATAGTTGACCCGTTCGACTCTCCATCTCACAGTGCTCTGGAGTCGTCAGTCGTTTGATTCCGCAACATTGGCCCGATGTATGCACAACGACCTGAGAGAGCGTCGCTGTTCCGGGAGGGCACTATGGCCGATACGACTTCGTACAGCGACAAAAGCTCAATCCGGTATTCCAGCATGAGTTATTCGACGACCGCTCACATCGACATCATCCAGCCCAAGTATAAGCCAGTGATATTACGAACAGCATCGCTGGTATGTCTGCTATTCTTTACCTTCGGTCTGATCGGTGCACTGGAATATGCCACCCGCGCATTCCCGCATGGAAATGGACGAAATAGTCTAGTATCTAGAAGCGCAACATCTGATCAAGACCATGCACATGGAATTCTCGCCCGACAGGTTGAACCTGAGCTGGAAACACCGCCTGCGGATCCCATTGCAGCGCCGGTCGAACCCATCGTCGATGACCCAGTGATTGAAACACCTACCACACCAATCGTAACGCAATCACTTCCTAAGGACGACTACATCCCCACCGAGACACTAGTGTCAAGCGCAGATGAAACCGACTACATTGGTCCAACCGTGGTCCAGGAGCCAGGAGGTTGGGAGACAATAGCTTCAGATGTACCCCAGACCGACTACGTTCCTGACCGAAGCGATTACATCCCAACTGGCAATACTCAATACGCTCCTCCGACGGACTATGTGCCCATAATCGCCTCATCCCCGCCTAGCAGTGACTATCTTCCAGGAAAACAGACTGCGACACCGTCACCAGGATCTACGCCTAAGCCGATGCTTGTTGTATCATACTCCTCGCACGCCGTCGTGGCGACCGTACAGTCAGGCCAGACAACCTGGACAGCTACTGGTTCAGATTACGTACAACCGACCGGCGGTGTACTCACAACGAATTACGAGCTGATTCCAGTGACAATGACCATGGACTGGACAATGCCAGACGCCTCCGGTTCTCCACTGCATGCAGAAGTGATCGGGAAGAATGGCAATAAGGTCGTACTTGTCTCGTACTGGAATGAATTGCAAGTCTTCTACGGGACTTTCCTCTGCGTCCTGCTGGCCGTGCTCTACCGTGTCCTATACTCGGTCCTCCACAGCAACCTTGTGCTCATCGATCCTTTCCGCCAAATGTTCGGCTCGCAAGGAGCTCTCGCAGAGAAGTCGTTTTTCTCCTTCTATCAGAACCCTTCGGTCGTGTTTGGTCCCTTCCCCGCTTTGATGAAAGGTAGATGGGCGGTAGCAGCAACAGCTACCGCGTACATTATCACCTGCGCCATGCCAGCCTTAGCTTCGGAAGTGATCTGGGTGGATACACATTGGGGCTGCAAAAATCCTGGACCGAATCCAAAGATTCCATGTGCGCCTAGGCTGGCAACCACCCCGTTGATGGTGAGGATCCTTCAAGGAATGCTTGGATTCACCGGCGCAGTCATCATCGGTCTCATTGCGGCGTTGGTCAGGCGCAAAACGGGATTATCTGCCGATCCAAGTTCTCTTGCCACAGTCAGCAGTCTGATGAGACATCCAGGTCTCGCAGAAGAACTCAATGAAATGTCGGTCGGACCAGAAACAACCTTGTTCACAATGGAAGAAGCACTGAGAGGAAAACGCTACGGCCTTGGCCACTGGAAGACCGCCTCCGGAGCACAAGGCTACGGCATCTACCCACTCGGCTACGACGCAGATGTGATTCACACCGAACGCACACTCTTCAAAAGCGACCGAGGAGAATACTCAGCAGTCGCCAACGCCAGCGCTGAATCTTCATGGAACGCCACCTCCGCGCGATCACATACTTGGATGTGGATGGACCCCATCCTCCTCCTCGTCGCGACAGGTACTTTCGGCGTCATCCTCGCCTGGCGCTTCACATCCGGCAAAACAGGTTTCAACGGCTTCTTCGGCAGCGACACCTTCGGCCCTAGATTCATCCTCACAGGAGCCGCAACCATTCTCACAAACCTATGGAGTACCATCGAGCAAAGCGCGATGATTATGGCTCCGCTAGGTCGAATGGCGCGAGACCCTTGTCTCCCAAAAAGTACAATTTGCTTCGCGCCGACAAATACTCCTCTCCTGTCTACCTGGCGTGCGCTGCAACATGGCTATTTCTTCGTCGCCATGGTCACGATCATCACGCTTCTTGGTGAAGCTCTCAGTATCGTCATCTCAGGCGTCCCATACCGTGCTGGACAAACATATATGACATGGTTGGTATCTGAGTATCTCTCACTTGCGATTCTCGGGATCATGATTGTTTCTTCGATTTTGGTGATTTTTCATCGGAGTCGAGAGCCCAAGGTTCCGGTTTTGCCTGAGACTTTGGGGGCGAAGATGTTGTATCTTAATGGTTCGAGTTTGTTGGATGATTTTGCTGGGGTTGAAGGTGCGAAGCGGAGGGTGAGAGATGAGAGGTTGAGGAGGTTGGGGAAGTGGTATGAGTTTGCGCCGATGGTGAGGAGGGATGGGAGGAGGGCGTGGCTTGTGGATGAGGCTTCGTCTTCGAGGAGTGGTGGGTTTGAGACTGTGAGATGTTAGTGGCATTAGCCTGCTGTGTTATATTTTAAAGTGCGCAGATACCCTTCCAGTGTTAGGAAACGTAGCGATTTCGAACAATGTGAACTTAGGTGAGAAATCGTTCACTTCATGCATCTATCTCTATACAAATCGTCACCCTGAGCCCTTTCGTTTAACAGTGCTTTCATCATCCGTCTCGCCTTCCCCAGAGTCGAAGACGTCCCGTTCCGTAGCATCCTCATCATCCGTAAACTCATCGCGATATGCCCCACCTCTTTCCAAATCTTGCTCGTACGTTGTGTGCAATGAAACATCACTCTGCCTCTGCCTCACAATATCCGCCGCCCCACTGCCGAATCCCGCCTCGACAGCTTCATCGTCCACATATTCAGTCCCTCCCGTACTCGTTCTTCTGATCCTGCCACTTTGCCCAGCAGCCGCGATCTCCTCGGCCTCCAAGACAGCGGCTCTCGCTGCTGTCCGTGAATATATCAAATATCCTGTCCCAATGCCCACGGCAATGCCAATCGCCATGGTCGTATAGCTGACCATTTTCGTCCCCCAGGACATCTTATCTCCGGACTCGGCAATTACGCCCAATTGCCTCCCAACAAAAATATGCAATAACAATTTCGGACTCGCAATCGCCGTTGCCAACATGAAATTCTGCCATGTCACTGTCGGGATCGTGCTAATAGCTCCATTGCTGAAACTGTACGGCAAAGGACAAAGTCGTACCAGAATGAGTAGTTTGATACCATCGTGTTTCAGGACGAGAGATAGCGCAGCAAATTGTGTATTCTTCTCCGTCATACGTGATACGAAATTTTTGAGGACGGTTCGAGAGACGATGAAGGAGCATGTTGAGCCCACGATTGTGGCCGAGGCGAGGATGAACCAGCCTGGCATGCCGAAAACAAAGCCCCCGATGGTGACGCAGGTGCTATATCCGATCATGGGAGGGAAGGAGACGAAAAAGGTCATGATCCAGAGGATGAGCCAGCCGGCTGGCATTTCGCGCCAACGTTTGGCGGCTGGGGCTAGAGCGTGGAAGATTCGTTCGGAGAAGATGAGGGCGAGGATGACGAGGACATTTATAACGACCAGGGCGATTACCGTGAGCGTTCTTTGTGCTGGTGTGAGCGAGTTCCATAGCTGTTGGCCGCGGGTGGAGTATTGGCCGAGGAGAGTCATGTATTTGTCGCGGCGCCGGTAAGGACGACGTGATGTGCTGGCGTTAGGCGACTCGAGCGAACGACGTGACCAGATGGGGGCATTGCGCGTGCCGATGGAGGACGGGTTGATAGGCTCATCGTCGTCGGAGTCGTTGTACTGAGCGGCGAGGGCGCGGGCAGTGGAGGAGTAGTGTTCTTGGTCGCCCATTACGGCGGTGGGGAGGGGCGGCGTGGTGAGGGTTACTGAGACGTCGCCGTCGTGTCGGGGGACATTGGACGAGCTGGAGAGAGAGAGATCGTGTTGGCCAAACGTCTGCCTGTTGCCAGGAACAAACAACGTTCGCAGGCGGCGTGTCAGCATGCATGCTCAATCCGCCGCTAAACGCCGAGCGTGTTGCAGTGCTGATGTCATTGGCTGCTATTTTGGCTCAAGCACGTGAATCTCCCGCTTGGCATTGAATGTGCCGTCTGCCGACACCGCACCTCCTGTTGTGGTATGAACAGACATCGGCATGATGCCGGTATGGACAGCAATGGCCACATTTCTCGAATACACTACTCCTAAATTGCAGCAACGGCGAGTTCTCGACTCCGAAGAGATCACTGGATGGAAGAGCTCGATCCTTGGCAGTAAACCTTCCTTTCGATTGACCATCTGGAATTTCAGCCCGATAGCATCTGCTTCACGGAGATACATACCTGCTCTTTGATGGCATCGAGAACATGAGATATCCGTAGTCATGGTCAATGCCGAGCTTTGTCCCGCCTCCGGAAAGAGAGCATTTCTGCCAAATGCAGGCGAGGTTGAAGTAGCAGTCCGATATCGCCATGGAGCTCCATTCAACCTGTTCTCCACTACCATCTTCAACTCTTGCATTGCTCATTGCCACCATTCCAAGTCCACTATACCATTGACAGAGAAACAGCAGACTCACAATGCCGGTTAGCGCAATTGACTCGTTCCTTTTCAAAAACCTCTTCGGCACTCAAGCAGCTCGAGACATATTCGAAGACTCCAGATATGTGGAATGCTGCGTGGAAGTGGAGCTTCAACTAGCTCAGGCCCAAGCACAATGCGGAATTATACCTGAGCAGGCATCTGTTGACATTGCCAAAGCGCTTCGCAGTGTCCGACTTGATCACGACCGCCTTGCTAAAGAGACCGATATCGTGGGTTATCCGATTCTACCATTAGTTCGACAGCTCTCTGAAGCGTGCGGAGAGGATGCCGGGAAATATGTTCACTGGGGAGCCACGACACAGGACATCCAGGACACAGCCGCCGTTCTGCAAATGAAAGCTGGTCTGAACCTGGTCGAGGAACAACTAAAAGCCATCATCAAGACTTTATCCTCGCTCGCGGAAAAACATCGAGACACGCCCATGGCAGGCCGTACTCACCTCCAACACGCTCTTTCAGTCACGTTCGGCTACAAATGCGCCGTCTACCTCTCCAGCTTCCAACGCCATCTCTCGCGGCTGCAGGAGATGCGGCCTCGCTGCCTCCTCGTCCAATTCGGCGGAGCAGCAGGAACTCTTGCATCTCTAGGCTCAGACTCCACAAAGTCTCTCTCCGTCCGGGCTCAACTAGCCCAGAATCTCAATCTCTCCAATCCCAGTATCACATGGCACACCTCCCGTGACAACATCTCCGAAATCATCAACTTCCTCGCTCTCATCGGCGGCAGCCTCGGCAAACTCGCTACAGACCTCATCGTTATGTCCTCGAACGAGTTCAACGAAGTCAGCGAACCATTTGTCCCTCACCGCGGAGCATCGAGCACCATGCCGCAGAAACGCAATCCCATCAGTTCCGAAGTCATCCTCGCAGCTTCGAAAATGCTTCGTGCAAATGCGGGGTTATGTCTCGATGCGATGATTACAGATTTTGAACGTGCGACGGGACCGTGGCATTTGGAATGGGCTGCTGTGCCGGAATCTTTTGTTCTCGTTGTAGGAGCGCTCTCGCAGGCGAATTTCGCGCTTCCTGGGCTAGTCGTCAATGTGGACTCAATGAAGAGGAATCTGGATTCTACGAGGGGCTTGATTGTGGCGGAGAGGGTGATGATGGAGTTGGCGAGGTTTATTGGGAGGCAAAGGGCGCACGATGTGGTTTATGAGGCTTGTAGAGGGGCGATCGAAAGTACGAAGGCGGAGAGGACGTTGTTCGATGAGCTGATGGCGAGGGATGAGGTTACAAACGTCCTGGACGAGGAGACGCTGAGGGAGTTATGTAGGCCAGAGGGCTATCTTGGGGCTGCGGGGGCGCAGGTTGATGCTGTGCTTGGTGAGAATGTGAAGTTGGGTATCTCTTGAGATGCACAGCTGGACTCCTTGTCATCAAGGGTTCTTGCTGAACATGTCCGTCGGACATGCAAAGTGGCAGTAGACGCAGAATCGCTCTGCGAAGAATGTCCTGACTTCTCCATCAGTGTCCGCCTTTCTCTTGCTTCGCTCCATTGCATCGCAGACATTCACCGCAAGAATCTGGCCAACGCCTTCAATTGCCCCTGGCGCACCACGACTCGTCTTTCAGCTCGCCACTGTTCGGTCTCACCGAGCTTGGCAGGACATCCGTTAGTGTCCGCAAGAGTAGAACTTCTGTCATCACTGCGATTCCGCCTCGTAGCATCTAGAGCCATCACCATCGATGGACGAGGGTTTGGAGGATCGCAACTCGCATCGGTCGAAACCACGTGTCAGAGCATCTAGATTCTCGCGAGTGATATTTTGGGCGAAGGCCTTGTGAGCCAGACTGAATCAGGAGAATGAAGCAAGATGTTGTATGCCTTTTGTGGATGTGGTTCTCTCGTCAACTTCCTGTTTCGTGCTAGATGGTGGGGCCAAGAATAGGGTTGTGGGCTGGCGTTCGTTCTAGACCAAAGACTGGTCATATTCTATCGGCGATGCCGACGAGATGCTGGTAACGAGCCCTGACCTACTTGTTACGCGGTAGTTGATGGGATTGATCATGGTCCAGATATCAGAAGCCTTCAGCCACCATGATCTAGAATACTGGGTTACAGACGCACTCCAGTGGTGGCTTGCAGTGGGCTGAAGAGGCGTCGGCTATTTTGTTCATGTGAACCATCGATTGCGACTGCGAACCAGCTTGTTTGTCGCAATGCGCTTAAGCCTTCTGTAGTCCAGCAAGCGTTGTGATGTTCTGGTTTATATCTTGCGTGTAATTGGGCAAGTCGGTCAACTAAAAGATCACATCAGCATACCGTAGGTCCACCAAAGAATGACATGGTCTCCATCGCCATAGTGAAGAACCACAACCGGAATTTTCACCGACTGCTCGCCACAGAAACGCCATGGCTGCAACCTTTCAGCTCGCCACATACCAGCAGCCTTGCCAAGCCCAGACAACCGTTAGCTTACCGCTGTCACCAACGAACAGAACTCGATTCACGAAGCCATGATCCAGTGTATTTTCCACTACGAGACGGCATCGAAAAGCCTCTCAGGGCAAGCAGAGCGCATCGCAGAGCAGAGCAGAGTAGTTTTCGGGGCCGCGGACATGTCTCCGCAAGCCATGGATGTCAGACTTCAGCTCACCACTGCGCATTCCGGCTCGGAAGGAGGAACATCCGTTAGACTCTGCGAGAAAATGGCCAACCGTGATGGTGAGAACCTGGTATCACATTGTATCACCACAGCATGTTTGCTGCTCGCATCATGTGTCCGCCCTGCGCGGGCAGAATCAATATCAGCAGGTTGAAAAAGAGTTTCGCGGCCGCGCGATCGGATTGTGAGGTGTAAAAGCGGCGCCCGGCCTCGATCCATCGCCCGCGCTGCTGTTGTGGCATCTCCGGTACAGTGTTATTCTTGTTCCTCTTGACTGCGATCTTCCTGGCAAACACCAGAAGAACGACACTACGCACTTGATGCTTTTGTTCTGGAGTATCGCGGGCTCCGCGGTGGCGTTAGGGCTCGGAGTCTAGACCCATGTATGCATTTAGCAATGTCTGGTAGGGTATGCTTGCACATCGACTCCAGCATCGAAAGGTACCATGTCTGCGAAGATACGATGGATTTGATGGCTGTGCGACTGGTGTGAATTCTGTTTGATGAAGTCGGAGAGGTGAGCGATGAGGTGTGGTGATCTCCAGAGAAAGTGCTACGTTGGGCTATTGCACCAAAAGCCTGTTTGGGAGCGGCCAGCTTGGCGGCCATCATTCTGCACTTCATGCCTGCATACAACCTGCACAATGATCCTTAGGTCGCTTTCCCGGGCATAGATTACAGTACACTCTACTGTATGTGCCTGCTGTTTTGGGCTCGGATTGCGAAGATCTCCGCAATCCGTTTCTTCCACGAATGGCTTGTTCGCCAAGTCTTTGCGGCACTTGTTGCTTCTAGGCAGTCCTGCATTCGCCGAATGGGGTAGTCAGACAGGACATGAGGTGTACCAGACTTTGGCGTTGCTTTGCAACAACTGTTTTCTGATCACTGAACCAACGATACCGCTGCTCACCTGATACATCGACATCATCGCTCGCGAACGACATATCTGACTGGTCGCATTCGTCTTCACGCTAGTAGATTGTCAAGTTGACGGCAGTGCGATGTCCTCTTTCAGCATTTGGGCATTTGCTTTTCCTGCCGATGGCTGTGAGGGCATGGTTGGCGTGGCTCTGGTGTGCAAGGGCCTCTGTATGATTGCGTTGCTCGTTGTCATACGTCCAGGCGTAGCTTCTGGTACATCTAGATCTGGACGAGCCACTGCAACATGCCCACTGGCTCAGACTTGCATTGCCTGCTTTTCATGGGAACGAATGCTCCAGTGTTCGCATTCAACCTTGCTATCTCCAACATCTTCAGCAGATCAGAGACTCCGAGGAGCAGCATGCTGGGCGATCGTCCACGGACAGTGCGGACAGACTCTACCAATTACCCTGGATCGCAATGGCAAGTGCCGCTCTTTTCTGACTACATGCCCATCAACGAGGCATAAAGCAACATGCTAGGTCGTTTCGATCTCGAGAGGACACACCAACACGCAAGAAGCCGGTGAGTGAAACACTGAAACCACTGGAGTCCTCTTCAGGACATAGACTGCATAGTCCTTTGTGAAGACAAGAGGTAGCCTGGGCTCGATCCTGGCCGAACCTTCCGATGAGCCTGGCCTGACAGGCATTCGAGCTTTTGGCCATTGTGTGATATCCCGCAAAGCATTTGTGCGAGTTTCCTTTTGGAACTTTCGCGGCCATCACAGCTATGACTGGCAAGTGAATGCGACCAACCTTATCGCATGAGCACCAGTGGTTCCACCCCATGTTGACGCCAAGTCCAAAGTGTGCACATGCTTCTCTGCTCGCTTCTTCGGCGCTCGTTTGGCAGTGAGGGCGGTCTGAATACGCACATGGAAGCGAAACGAGGCGTAGCCAGAACTTCGAGCTCTACAGCTCGGTGTTAACGCCGTTTCTTTCCTGGAATCGATCCTGGATTCTCACCTCCCCATAATCATGACCACGAGGAACAAGGGCTGGTCGTTATGAATTTACTGAAGTGGATGTACGTATGCGCTGTCATTCCAGTCCGAGTCCGAGAGTGTTGAGTCACCCAAGGCCGGGACCACCCGCGTTTTGCCAGAGTAGTGAGTGCAAAATTGCACAGCTGGCCCTTCCAGTATTGTCTCGCACGGCTAGCTCAGCACAAGACCATGACCAAAGGCGCTTGACGGCAGGCGGTTGAAGTCTGGCGACTTGTCGCCAGACTTCTACACCGCCGCTCCGTGCTCAAAGACAACTTCAGTCGGGGAGGCCAGCTACTGTACGATCGTGAGCAGACACAGGTCCCACGATAACGTCAAGTCTACGAGCATGTCTGAGACAAACCGCCATGTGCTGATCGACGTGCTGGTCATACTTCTTGTCTAAAAGCGTAGACAGAATAGTATGGAGAATGCTTGGTCCCGCATGACCTTCATATCGAACATGTTAGATTGTGGTTTTCGCCGCGCGCTTTGCTCTGTTCGGGATGCCGAGCGCGATCGCAGAGAGTGCCTACAGGTGGTCGTCGGGACAAGTGGCACGACGGGGTGGTGTGAACCGAGTGCGTTGGCCATCGAAAGTGTACGTGCGCTTTATGCCGAGATTCACGCCCCTCCGCACGAGACAAGAATTCCGGGGCATAGAACCTACCCGGTCTAGGGTTAGGATGCCCTTAAGCTTAGCACAACTAAGCAACACCTGTTTTTCTTATTTTCCGTGGCGACGACGCTCGACAAGAGACTTTTCCGGTGGGGTTTCCAGCGGTTACTGTTTTTACTGCCAGCAAGCGAGTTGTAATCGGCGGATTGGGTGTTTCGAGTGCGCGCCGCGCATATTCGGCCTTCGTGGTTAGCAGACAAGGCCAATACTGGCGTAGTTCTCTAGAAGTGTTGCACGTGGCACTGAAGAGCAGCTGCACGAGAAGCATGGCAGCGAGATCCATTGGTCTCCAATAGTCCCGGGCTCGCAGATAGCGTCCTAACCTGGGAAGTTCCGTGCTGTGACTGTAGTCCATGGGAGGAAGTCCGTTGAAACGCGCGGCTGCAGCACATCTTGTCCATGACTCGCAATGCCTATGAGTGCTTCTCAGGCAAAATGGCGACCGCAGAGGTACGCAGTGCCTAAGCACATGTCGTGGGAATATGTGCACCACAATCTTCATGATGTGCAGATGCGAATCACTGATGCAGCGCGCGTGTATCGGAGCAGCCTCCACGAACACGCGTGCTTTAGTTCCGATGCGTCCTCCGAGACATGCAATGATGGCAGCGCATCGCTAGTAAGAGAAAGGCCGCCGCAGCTTGGCCTGTGCCATTGCTCGGCTGCGGAGTTGCAGTATGATTTGTAACAGAGAACTTCATGATTCCCGTCTGGTGATTCATTCATACTCATTAGGTGTCCGGTGATACCTCGTATCGTCGCTGTTCGACGGCCTATGGCGGATATTGGATGTCTCTAGTATCATCTTGGGAGCAGCGAAGCGAGGAGACTGACATCTGGCGAGCGTTGCTCAGTCAGTGAAGGCAGGCAGGTGTGTCACCGGCGGTCGATTCTTCGTATAAATATCTGTTGCATCGCCATCAGTAGACCTGCACGAAGCAGCAACAAGCACAACAAAGCTCCAATCCAGTCATACCCAACACCCCGCCCTTACCATCCAAGATGCAGCGTAAGGCTCTGTTGCCTGCACACTGACATGCAATACTGACCCTACTCAGTCACCACAATCTTCGCTCTCGTTGCCACTCTCGGCTCCGTCATGGCCGCTCCATCGCCAGATGCCGCTGTCGATGTCATCACCAAACGTGGTAAGTCTCCGAGCATTGCAACGACGTAGTCGCCAAGAAGAGATGACTAAGATTCGTCCTGTAGATGCTGACAGGACCATGGAGCTCTTCCGCCGCACCATGGCAGACACCAGCGGCGAGATCCTGAAGCGCCAGTCTGCTGCTTGCTGGATCTGCCTTGCCTCTTGCGGGTTTGGAGGTGGCTGGAACTGCGGCTGCTGCTCTGACGGCCGTGCTTGCGCAAGCGACTGCCCAGAATAAGTGACTACAACGCGGCGAGGTGATGAGAGTCCAATGGAGGGTCGCATGCCAGGGAGGAGAAGAGATGCCGTGCATAGTCGTGTCCGGCCCAGTATTGTAATCACTGTAATGCTCTGTAGTAACTCATCAAGTGCTCCTGTCATCCGATCTTCTGGGCTTGGCTTCCTGTAATCATTAGCTCCTCCCGACTCGTCCTTGTTGTTGTGCAAGAGCGCCCGAAGCGGCGAGAGTCTGCATTTCTACTGTGGCTGCAACAGGAGGTGATGTTGAAATGTAACGAGACGCACGTAACAGCTAAAGTAAATCAGAGCCCATTGCGGAATTGGCGGAGATCGGGATTACTCATCCCGAGCTGCTGACAATTGAACCGGAATTTTGTGCTCTCTCGCTCGTGAACAACCAGCGTTCATCTTCATCAGTGATCAGCGATCAGCATCTCTTGCATTCGCGCTAGGACACGACTACACACCTCATCGTGAGATTTGCCAACACAGCCAACAACACTTCTGTCTCAACATGTCACTGTACCCTACGTCTGCACCCTGAAAGATACTGTAAAATACACAGACAATTGAGAACCTTGTCAAGTGGCGAGAGGCGACTTCCTCTTTGAGCAATTGCTCGACTCAAGATACCTGGTCATGCGGACGTGCATACGTACGTAGTACGTATCCGCCATCCTGTCCTCGGACACCTCCCGAGAATCAAGCGTCACATCGCGGTACTGGCTGAAAGGGCAATTGCATGATCGCTGAGCGAGAGTGGTTGCAAGCAAGATTCACGTTGGTGCTGGCGGGGGCTGGCAATTCGTAACATGACGGCATCGTACCATGCGGCTCAGCGGCTCTTATGCAGGGCCCTCACAACATCAGTCCTGGTTTGAATCGGCACAGGCACGTGCTTCAGAGGATCGACTTTGTGAGACTGAGAGGACAATGTTGATTGTCTGGTAATCCTCGGCCGCTAGTGTATGTCGGTGATTGTTGGTATGCAACATCTACTTCGAGCAGTTTGACCAGCGCCACCGGAAGCGGGACGCCCTGTTGTGCCACTGGCCTGTGGTGGCACCAAAGAGGTACGAAGGTCAGCAGGACCGGGAAAAGTGATGCCTGACTGTGCCAGTGCTCACGATAGCTGGGAAATGTGACCCAGGGTCATCTATACGACCGTTGCGGCGCAGTGCGATTGCTTCTGCGTCGACGGGAGCTAATGGATGTTCAGATTTACGACGATGCAACTGCCTTTTCGAGATGATGCATGGTATTCGGATGAATCACCATGTTCCACTGCAGTAAGATTTACAACAGTAACAACTGATCCGTTCACGAATCGTTGCTTGGTACGGCAAGGTTGATGCTCGAGTGATGCTGTACTTTTGAGTAATCGAGCGATCATCGATCAAACAGAAACTCTCGAGCTCATGCTCGCAACACGATTGATGCTTCGAAATCGGCCGCCAGCGGATGTTCTTCGCTTAGCAGATGCAACTTCTCGTTTGAGAGAAGACGTCGGCCGCAGTCGTCAGCGCTGTGGAACATGTTTGATACGCCAAGGAGATGGGATTTCTGCTAAGACAAATTGACCAGGAGATCCTTGAAAGTGAAGTCGCAATTGGGAGTTTTGGTGGTCGAGCTGGGGGAGGAGTGGAGTAGATGGTTCTGACAAGACTTCGTCATATCTCGCTATCGGCCCCGAGGCCGACCTACTCTATGGGGTATATTCGATGCTTTTGTTGTCGCCTGCTGTTTGCAAACAATTCGACTTATACGTCGAGTCTTTCGATCACGATTGCGGACGCACCTCCGCCGCCATTGCAGATGCCAGCTACACCAATCTTGCCCTTCTTCTCACGCAAGACACCCAGAAGTGTTGTGACGATGCGTGCACCTGATGCGCCCAATGGGTGACCAAGGGCCACTGCACCACCGTGAATGTTGACCTTGTCCTCGCTCACGCCCAACAATTTCATATTGGCAAGCGCAACGACGGAGAAAGCCTCGTTGATTTCGAAAGCATCGACGTCCTCTTGGTTAATCCCAGCGTGCTTCAATGCTTTGGGGACTGCAAGAGCGGGCGCGGTGGTGAATTTTGATGGGTTCTTAGCAGCGTCTCCCCAGCCAAGGATCTTTGCAATTGGCTTCAAGCCATGCTTTTGCACGTATTCCTCACTCGCCAAGACTGTTGCGGCCGCGCCATCAGACAAAGGCGAGGCATTGGCAGCTGTTACGGTACCGTCCTTCTTGAATGCTGATCGCAGCTTCTTTGTGCCCTCTTCGTTGAATTTCTTTGGCTCATCATCCACCTCGACAACTGTGTCTGGCTTGCCTGGTCGAAATTTAGCATTTTCTCTGCGAATAGCGATGGTCCTGCACTCCTGTAGCAATGTGCAGACTTATGCCAACGCTGGTAAATTGAACTCACCTCTTGTGCCCTTGATCGTTACCGGTGTGATCTCTTCCTTGAACCAGCCCGCCTCAGTTGCAGCAATTGCCTTCTTGTAGGAACGAATGGCGTACTCGTCCTGATCCTGTCGGTTAAATCCATGGTCGTCTGCACACTCTTCTCCCTGCAGACCCATGTGTTCGTCCTTATACACATCGGTCAAGCCGTCTTTCAACACACCATCGACGAGTGTCTGGTTACCAAATTTTGCTCCATTACGCAGCGTGGGCAAGTAGTGTGGTGTGTTCGACATGCTCTCAGTTCCACCAGCGACAATGACGTCTACCTCGCCGGTGAGGATGGTAGCTGCAGCCAACGACATGGCTTTAATCGAGGAGGCGCAGACCTTGTTGATCGTTGTCGCTTCTGTCGACTCTGGAAGTCCAGCGTGGATTGTGCATTGTCTTGCTGGGTTTTGGCCCAAGTTCGCTTGGAGCACATTGCCGAAGAAGACCTCCTGCACCTCTTCTGGCTTGATGCCTGCACGCTCAACCGCAGACTTGATAGCAACGGTACCAAGCTCAATGGCTGACTGCGAACCAAGCGAGCCTTGGAATGCTCCTACTGGGGTTCTCGTTGCGGAGAGGATGTAGACGGGCTTTGGAGGAGCCATGGTTGCTGGAGGAGTAGGCTGTACAGTGGTGGAGAAGAATTCGAATTGTGGCGAGGAAGAGGAAGTGAGGAAAAAGTCCTTTGTTGAGAGCAATAAATTGTTCTCTTCACCGACCGAATCGTACCATCCCACCAAACAATCTGAGAGCTCAGCTGTTTAATCATCAGGGTTTGGGGTGGGGCTTCGCCTCGCTTCGGCCCGCGCGGCCGAACTTTCTGCCGCTGGCGTCGAAAAAGTGTAGCTCTGTCGCGTGCATGCGACAGCGGCGACGTCGACGGCGACGACGACAGTGACAATCCGCGTCGCTCACTTACCAACGGAATCGCCAATATGGACGACCTTTATGATGAGTTCGGCAACTACATCGGGGAGGATGTGGAAAGCGAGGAAGAGCAAGACTCGGGCGCGAATGATGGCGCGCAATACCTCGACGATGATGCAGACGAGCCACAGGCGACGACCGGCCAGGAGTTGATGGACATCGACGATGAAGGGCCGTCCAATGCCGTTGTATTGCACGAAGACAAGCAGTATTACCCATCCGCCTCTCAGATCTATGGACCCGACGTCGAGACGCTGGTGCAGGAAGAAGATACCCAAACGCTGCAACAGCCGATTGTCGCACCGGTGGAGAAGAAGAAATTCACAATTGAGGAGGAGGACTTGCCGCAGGTGTATTTCGATCGTGGGTTTATGGCAGATCTTCTGGGATTTCCCGAGCAAATAAGGAACATCGCCCTGTGCGGCCATCTGCATCATGGAAAGACGAGTATTATGGACATGCTTGTCGCTCAAACACACGACATTTCAAAATTTATGGAGGGCAAGACTGGCAAGGCGCGCGACGAGACGATCAAGTATACCGACACACACATCCTAGAACGCGAACGAGGGCTGTCAGTAAAGGCCAGCCCAATGAGCCTGTTGCTACAGGGCACTAAGGGCAAGACACATTTACTGAACATCTTGGACACACCGGGACATGTCAATTTTGGAGACGAAGTGGCCGCATCCTTACGCTTGGTCGACGGTGTTGTCTTGGTTGTGGACGTGGTAGAGGGCGTGCAGGTGCAGACAGAACTTGCGATCAAGCACGCTGTACTTGCCGGACTCCCCCTCGTACTCCTCATCAATAAAGTTGACCGGCTGATGCTGGAGCTGAAGTTACCTCCAACGGATGCCTACTTCAAGCTGAAGCATGTGGTTGAACAAGTCAACACACACATCGAGAACACCATTCCTGGGCGAGGAGAGAAATTCCGCGTAAGCCCCGAGAAGGGCAATGTCGCTTTTGCATGCAGCAGCATGGAATGGTGTTTCACACTTCCTAGCTTCGCGACAATGTACGCCGAGAACTACCCGAGTGCGGGATTCGATGTGAAAGAATTCAGCAGACGTCTATGGGGCGACATCTATTACAACCCTGGCTCACGCAAATTCACCAGAAGAGGTGTGGAAGAGCGTGCGAAGCGAAGTTTTGTCCACTTCGTCCTGGAACCGATTTACAAGCTTTACTCTCATACTCTTTCCGAGTCTCCGGGTAACCTCAAGAAGACACTCGCTTCGCTCGGGATATCTCTGAAGCCTAGTCAGTTGAAAGCAAATGCCAAAGATCTGCTCAGAATGGTATGTGCGCAATTCTTCGGTCCAGCCACTGGGTTCGTAGACATGATCGTTGAGCACGTCCCATCCCCAGTAGAAGGAGCAAAGCAGAAGCTGGAGAAGTACTACACTGGCCCCTTGGATACCAAGACAGCTCAAGCAATGCTTGAATGTGACCCCGAGGGTCCTTTGGTTGTCCATGTAACCAAGCTGTTTAACACTCAAGACGCACAAGGCTTCCACAGCTTCGGACGAGTGATGAGTGGAACTGCAAGGCCTGGTCAATCCGTTCGAGTCCTTGGCGAGAACTACAGCATCGATGACGAGGAAGACATGGTCAACGCTACTATCGAGCAGGTCTGGATAGCAGAGAGCAGATACAATGTACCTGTGTCAGGCATGCCTGCAGGTAACTTTGTCCTGCTTGGCGGTGTCGACAACTCCATCATGAAAACTGCGACCATCGTTGCACCAAAACTAACCGACGACGAAGATGCATACATTTTCAAGCCGATCGCCCATTTCTTTGAGAGCGTCTTCAAGGTGGCTGTCGAGCCAATCAACCCATCCGAATTGCCGAAGATGTTGAATGGTCTGCGTCAGATCAACAAATCCTATCCACTCATCACGACAAAGGTCGAGGAAAGTGGTGAACATGTCGTTCTCGGCACAGGAGAGCTGTATATGGACTGCGTCCTACACGACCTTCGCAAGCTGTACGCACAAATGGAGATCAAGATCTCAGATCCGGTGACCCGATTCTGCGAGACTTGTGTCGACCAGAGTGCTATGAAGTGCTATGCTTTGACGCCCAATAAGAAGAACAAGCTGACATTTGTTGCTGAGCCACTTGATGACGGCATCGCGGAGGACATTGAATCCGGCAAAGTCAGCATCAAAGATCCTGTGCGAAAAGTCGGTAAATTCTTCGAAGAGAACTACGGCTATGATATCCTTGCCAGTCGAAACATTTGGGCTTTTGGGTCTGAAGATCTGGGACCTAACATTCTGCAAAACGATACACTTCCATCTGATGTGGATCAAAAGGTGCTTAGGAGTGTGAAAGACACGATCCGTCAAGGCTTCAGCTGGGGAACACGAGAAGGACCACTCTGTGAAGAGCCCATCCGGAATGTAAAGTTCAAGATCACAGACGTTGAACTTGCATCGGAAGCCATCTTCCGCGGCGGTGGTCAGATCATTCCTACAGCACGTCGAGCTTGCTACTCATCGTTCCTCATGGCTGGTCCCAGATTAATGGAACCAATGTATTCGTGTACAATGCTCGGGCCTGCAAACAGCGTCAGCTCATTGTATACTGTACTGGCCAGGAGACGGGGGCATGTATTGAGCGATGCGCCTATTCCTGGAACGCCATTGTACAGTGTACAAGGCCTGATCCCTGTCATCGACTCTTTCGGATTCGAAACGGATCTACGCATTCACACGCAAGGGCAGGCTACGGTGTCGCTTGTCTTCGATCGCTGGCAGGTAGTGCCTGGTGACCCACTGGACAAGAGCGTCAAGCTGCGTCCACTTGAGCCAGCCAGCGCGCAGGCTACGGCACGCGATTTTGTACTGAAGACAAGGAGGAGGAAGGGGTTGAGTGAGGATGTCACTGTCAGCAAGTACGTGGAGCCAGAGATCATGCGACAGCTCCGAGAGACGGGCATGCTTGATGGCTGAGAGCCAGCTTCATGGTACATGACCCACACAAACAGTCTCGTTGCCAATGGGACATCGACAGCGGCAGGCTGGATAAACGTCGAGTGAACCAGAACAACACGTGCAATACGCCGTGAGTCACAGAGCCTAGGAATAGTTCCCGACACCAGTCACCCGGCGTCACAACTGCTGCCCAGCACCGATGCTGCGTAGCAATCGGCGCGCATGTCCGATGAAATGTTTGCGGGCCGCATCCGGTGCCACGAGCTGGAGATATGATGAAGCGCAAGATTAGAGGAAGCCACTGATAACAATGACCCGCATGGCATTAGAGGGCAATGCAATTGGTGACGGACCATCACGAAGAGGTTCACATGGTAGGTAGATGAGCACGAAAAGAATTGGAAGCGATGTTCAAATTACCCACTAGCCTGTATACCTCTTCATCGAAACAACACTACCATGCATCTCGATGTGTCGAAAAATTAATGACAATCGAGCATTTCTCCCGCGACAAATCGATCTTGCTCAGACCTCTGACAAAATCGTTTATTCCTCAAACAACTCCTGCAATACAATTCCGACGGCCTTCATCGGAACAGTCATCAAAACGCATCTCGAATCCAAAAACCTGACAAACGCCCACACATCCAACAAAACCCCATCTCATCACCCACCATCCATCAAACCGCCGTATTCAACCAAACATTCCTCCCCTGCACCCCCATCCCAGCCTGCCCCTCTCCCTTCCCATCAGCAACAGGCTTCTTAAACCTCCTATCATCAAAATCCCACTCCAGCGCCTTCGTCCTAATCCTCCTACTATTCCTCACTCTAATCCCATCCCCCAGATCCCCCACCCTCCCATCCCTCCAAATCCTGAACCCCTTGATCCCTTTCAAACGAAGCCATTTTCCACTCCACAAAATCTCACTTTCCAATTCCCAAACTCCCGCCCCACCCTCATTCTCCTGAACCGCGACATTCAATTCCAAAGATTTGAGTTCTTTTATTGGGTATTGTTTCAAAATCCCGTCTGTCCAGGTTTCCAAGATGGAGAGTTCAGAGCCTGGGGTTCGGAAACGGGAACAGATGATGTCGAAGTCTAGGTTGCGGATCTTGAGAGCGGGGGTAGGGAGCGTTGGGAGGGGTTTTAGGGCGAGTTTGGAGCTGAGGGAACTTGCTGTTGTGCCGGGTTCGACGTAGATTATTTCGTCCGGGGAGAAGATACGGTGAGGTGCGAGGTCCGAGAAGGTGTTGGAGGAGATGTGGTTGGAGATTTTGAGGGTGGAGAGTTTGAGGGAGAGGGAGAGGTATTCGTCGGAGAATTGTTTGTTTATCAAGAGGACATTAGGAAGCGGATGGCAGGTTGCTTCGAGGTGCACGCGGTTGCTGAGGGAGAGGGAGACTGGCGGGGTGGAGAGAAGGATCTCTAGGTAGATTTGGTCGCGGAGTTCGCGGGCGAGTGAGAATAAGCCACCTGGTGGTGAGGTTGGAGAAGAGGACATGGTGGAGGTAAGGTGGAAGGAGTGGCAGTGCGAACGACAGAATGGCGTTCGGGTCGCCATTGACGACTATATGATTCTGTCTATCACATGCGCTACTGATGGCGCCGAGCTTGGTGTGCCAAAGTCTTGAGGCCAGAACGGCGATACCGAACTCTTCTGTTCGCATTACCATGGTACTGCTCACGTGCTCAGCCTCATGATCCAGACCTGGGTTCGTGCTTCTCCGGAGGGAACGAATGACGCGTGCCGATAGCGTGGTGTCTCAGATGGGACGGAAATCACTCGTCCGCAAACTGAGCTTCGTCAATGTTCCTCAAGAACAGGGTAAACCACCTTACAACCTTAAGATGGTTCGTCACAGCAATACTTTCGTCCACGGTGTGGATGTTGCCGAGATCAGATGCCGTCTCCTTGATGTAGCCGGGACCGAATCTAAAGACTGTTCGAGAAGTAGGGTCAGCGGGTGTGGTCATTGGTTTGCTTTGAAGCGATGTCACTTACTGTGCCTAGTCAAGTTCCAATAGTATCGTGTATCCGTGTTACCAGTCATGATAGCAGGCGCGACGATAGTGTCTTCTCCGTGCAATGCGCGGATCGTGCCAGATAGCACTGCATATGGCGTGACAGAATCAGTGTTGGTCGGAGTGACAGGTGCAGGTCTAAGAACTGTATGTCGCGGACCGAGAGAAATAGAGTTATAGGCCGCTGCCTCGCCATCGAAAGCATGCAGCGTCAAATTGTACTTCTTGGCAACCGGCTTCAATATCTGAGCAAGGTGATTGAAGATGGTCTCTGGCTGGTCCCCAATATTGATGCGGTGATTGACAGTCGCGACTGCAGTCTCAGGCAGAGCGTTGGTCTTTGTGCCTCCGTGAATCAAGTCCACAGCTTGAGAAGTCTGCATTAAGTACTTGGCCAGCGGGTTGACTTTGGCAACTTCGATGGCAAGTTTGTCGTGGTGCTTCTTAGAACAAGCCTGCTTGCCGCCAGTGCTATGCGAGCCTAACAGCTTCTTGAGCTTCTTTGGAAAGTCGGGCGCATGCTGAGCAGAGCACTGCAGCAGACCGAGGAAGGGGTTCTCGCCATCAAGATAAGTCGGATACTGCTGGCTCTCAATCAAAGTGATGATCTCACTGAGAATGCCAATGCTTGTGTGGTCTCGGGGAACAGAGCTGTGACCTCCAGGAGTGCGAACAGTAATGTCAACATCTGTGTAGCCCTTCTCTGCCACGCCCGGAACAGCAAAACCACGCCCAAAGGCTTCTGTGTATCCCATACCTTCGTCGACAAGAGCTGCCACGCCGTCCTTTCCATAGCGCTCCAACAGGAATGGCGCAAGGTGACCAGCACCTTCACGGCCAGAGCTTTCTTCATCGAAGCCAAAAGACAGCACGATGGTTCGCTTCGGCTCATACCCAGCTTCGAGAAGCACTTCAAGCGTTTCGAGAGTACCGATGAGCTGATTCTTGCAATCACTCGCGCCGCGACCCCAAATCTGCTCGCCATCATAGTATCCGCTCCATGGAGGATGCGTCCACGAGTCAACTGTGTCTGGGTCCACAGGCACCACATCCTGGTGAGCCATAAGCACTACAGGCTTCTTGCTCGCATCGCTTCCCTGCCATGTGTACACCAGCCCGTGCGTGTTTACCTTCTCCACCTTGAGCTCTTTGTGGATGCGAGGGAATGTAGCCTCGAGGTAGTCGTGGAAGGGATAGAACACATCCCACCTCTTGTCCTCTCCAATCTTGCCCAGATCATCGAAGGACTCCGTCCTGACCTGCACAGCGCCAGACAAGCGAGCGATGGAAGCGTTCTCGAATTGTGGTGTGAAGAGGAAATCGTAGGCGTGTTGCAGCTTCGCGTCCTGAGATGGCCATAAGGCCGGGACTTGATTGCATTGGTGCTTGGTGGAACTGCCGTCGTGCTTGTGGCCCCCACGCACAATGCTGCCGATGTGATGCACAGTATCTCCGCTTAGTCCATTGTAAAAGGCGAGGCCGCCGATGAGCGTGAGGAGGCCAGCTCTCAAGCCTCTCTGCTTCCAACTGCTGCTAGTAACTGGAGCGCGTGGCTCTTCGGCGATGGGGAGGCTGGACTTCTCCATCGCAGCTGTTTATTGACAAGATGAAAGAAGGAAAAAGAGAACGGATAGCACCTACCTTTGTGACGTTGTCGTCGGCCGCGCACGCCTTCCGACCTGCCTATCTCATCAGCTCTCGTCGTCAATCAACGGCGGCGGCGAGCAGCAAAAGAGTGGGGCGGCACGGCCAAGGGAGGCGATCAGAGAGAAGCTTTTGCCGCGGCCGAAAGCGAGTGCGCTCTTCAGCACTGCCTCCTCCTTGCAGCGGAATGATATCCGAGCTGAGAGACATGTTTTGCGTGAATTGCTCTTCTCTTGCGCTAGAAATCCGTGCAAGATGCATGGAACAGAAGAAACCCCTCCAGAGCCGGCCCAGAAGACGCTCACTCCACAAGAAGAGTACAAGATAGATGTCATCAAATCCCACCTTTCCCGGCTGTCGGTTCTCGAGATCGATATCGTCAATGCTCGCGATTTCGCTCATGCTTCTCCTGCCGGACAAGAAGTTCTCTCTCACATCTCGTCCCACTTCCGTGCCAAGCATGACAATGTCCCGGCTCTGATGAATTTCGAAGAGTTTATGGAGCAGTGGCGCGGGATGTACGCTCAGATGCCGGAAATCCGCCTCGAAGTCACGAATGTCTGGTGCCATGTTGACGATGATAAGCAGCATGCCACGGTGCACCTGGACACTGTGCTGAAGGGAAGCGCTCCGGATCTGGCCGTGGGCGCGATGGGCGAATTACAGTGGAAAGTGAGGAAGACGGACGGCAGATGGATGTTGATGAAGTATGTTGGCCTGAGGGGTCCTGCATATGGAAACGCGCATGCAGTATGTGAAGCTTGTGCCTTCGACGATGATGTGATACTGGCCCGCTAGTGAGGAAAGAAGTGAAGCCATGGGCAAACGCCCTTCTTGCTTCGAGTTCCGCCGCCCTGCGTCTTCTGACACAAAGCACCGCATTGCACGCACGCACAAACAACAACAACACACAACGTCGACAACATACCGCTACGACGCGAGGCACGCGCTATGGACGACTCGCCGCTTGGCAAGCTCGCCGCCGAGCTCCGCAACAAGATCTTTGAGTACGTGCTGATTCACGATGATCCGATCTACATGGCCATGAAGTATGATGCAAGAGGGAGGCCGAATGAAATGCGAATCCTCAACCGCGCATTCAATTCTCGTCCACTCTCGCTCCTCGCCGTCTGTCGTCAAGCCCGAGACGAATGCACCGAGATGTTCTTCGCAAACAATCACTTCAAAATTGGCCCAGCAACCATTGACCGCGATAATGCTGAAAGCGCTACAAGCCTCGATTGGTTTCTCAACATGATCGACGACGTCGGCAAGTCATACGTGCGCCACATCACGGTCGGCATCGTCAGTGTTTTTCCGCGACGCCCTACTCTGGGAGCAATGAGACACTGCCTGTTCAAACAACTTAGGAGTATCGAAGAACGTGCTCGTGACCAACGTGGTTCTTGGAATCCGCACACTCGAGTGGAGTGCTTTCTTGGACTGAAGGAGTCTCCAAATGGCGAGCAGATGGCAGTCACCCTTCGTGACATGAGCGACTGGCGCGCGTCAAGGAATTCCGCCGCGCTTGCACTAAAGAATTTCAAGGAATCGGATCCCCATGACTCTTATTTTGAGTGGAGATCGATGGAGTCGTCGACTTGCATTCCCCATTTGATAAGCATCTTGTGGGACTACAGACCCGCACAGCCGAGACAGCATTGAGTAGTACTACGGTTCCAACACATCTGTTTCGCAGCGAACTCTGTGGAGGTATCGTCAGATGCATTTGGCTACCTGCAGATTTGTGGTCATGGGCCCGTCATGCCCCCAATGACTCTGCAACCTGGCTTCTCCTTCCACGTATCTGAGTAGGTCGATGCAAAATCAGCCAGGTAACAGGGCCTAAAGGACTGACACTTCGACAGCAGACGGACCTCCACGATCGCCCTCGACTCACGAATGAAGCATCTCCAGCTCATTAGATCGGCTGAAGTACGCTGCGCTATGAGAAGCAGCACATGAGAGCTCTTGTATCTATTCGCAGCCTGAGGACAGGCTCTGAGGCAAAGAGTTGAGAACATAATCATGGTACCAAACCCAACTCTTGGGCTTTCTATAGTTTCAAACAAGCTGAAACTCCAATGCGTCAGATGAAGGCAACATGCTTAGCTGTGGGCCCTTTCATTTCCTGTCATAGATCAAGAGTCTCGCCTTGCTATCGTGAACGCTAGTAGGCCCCCCAGTGCCAAATTTGGACGAAGTTCGCACTCGCAAAAACTGCTGCTGAAGTGCACTTCTGTTGGAGCTACCGTCAACGCTACCCGCGCGCGATACTTGTCATGCCACGTTCGAGGACCTCCGCGCCATTTGTCCATTTCAGTTATCCAGGTACCATGTTCAACATTTTCTGCTCCCACTCTAACAGTCACATCTGCACGGATGGCTCAAGCAGTAAGTCGTCAAAATGCTTGTCGATGCTTGTTCACAAGCCTGCCTGAATCGTCACCCTGAACAACAATTACTTGTGTTCTGGTGGTGGTGCGGACGGCCGGGTACACGCCTGTCGTGCGGATGTGGTTTAGTTTTATTTTGGCCATTTCGTCTTCTTTTTTTTTTTTTTTGGAGACAAAGCTCCAACATGAGCTACTGGCTGATCTTCGAAGCAAGAATCGTGTTCACTCCCTTCGTTGTATCTGTACAGAATCTACAAAATACAAGAGAAAAGCGCAAGGCGCTCACACATGTCCCACGCTAACCTTGATACCAAACTGTCCCACACGTCTCTTACCACCCGCAAATGCGTACTGTGTATGCGCTTTCCTGAAGCCACGAAGCATATATGCTGGTCCCTTACTCGCTGTACCTCTTCTTGCCATCTTCTTTGCAGATCTGTTGGCTGTCAACCGCTTCGTCAAACGACCGGCGGCTTCTACTTGAATACTGCTGACTTGGCTTAGAGCCAAACTCTCCACGATCCCTGTCGCACTAGCCCGTGCTGCATTTCCAATGGTCAGATCCTGCCATGAGAATTTCTGAGGCTGGTTCCGCAGTTTTGCGTTCTTGATATTTGCGACTGCTTGCGCTGAAGGGAGAGGTGCTCTCCATGTCGCGTCACGGATGACTCTTCGGGGTGTGAAGCGTCGGTCTCGTAGTCTTTGCGCGACATATGCAGCCAGGATATCAGCGTCAAGGTGCGGACGTTTGATCTTGATCAATTGCAGATCGACCTGCTTGCCGTACATTCTCGCAAGTAGACTTTGCAGCCCAACTGTTTGTGTAGGGTCAAGAATGGGATCGCTGTCATTCGATTGTTTCTTCCCACTGCTGGAATCGTCGCTTTGGTTCCTCCCAAAGCGCTTTTGTTTATCGGCCTCTTCGCGTAGAGCTTCTCTCCCGTCCCAAATGAAGCACTTGACTTCTACCCTGTCACCATAATCCTTCATCTTTGGCTTCGAGACATAAACCTTCTCTGCGCTTTTTCTCCGTTGCGCAAGGGCCGTTCGAATCGCTCGCACATCTTTGCCGACGTTGTTGACCCGCTTCAATGTGACATAATTCTGAATGAGTTTCTCCACGTTCGCGCTGACCACCGGGATGGGCTTTACAGCTTGTTTGTTGAAGGTATATGTGGAAGTCTGCCATTCCATCGCGCCAGTGATGGATTGTCCGAGTCGCGTTACGGGTTCTGATCGTGCTCTCCAAAGTGGTGCTTCGGGGATGGCTGCTGCAGTGGGGAGGTGGGAGACTGCTGTGCTAGCAGGGCGCCGTTGGGCGCGTATGTGTTTGGCATGGCATGTGAATGTCCCTCGAGGGACGCCTATGCTGCGCGGAGGCATGATCGGTGTTGATGCAGTTCGAGGCGATGATGGTGCTCACAGCATTGGAAGGGTGTCGTCGGGATGGCGGAGGAAAGGCTTGGCTCTCCCGACGTTGATGCTTTTGGGGTGCTCCTGACTTACAACTTCTACCTACACAGTCGACTGACGGAAAGCAGGACGAGATACAGGATTGAGACTCCGCGCTTCTCTGCTCGTCGATTCGAGTCCCCTTCCATCCTCGTATAGCCGCCGTGTATAGTGTATCTAAGGGGCTTTGTCGAGGCAGCTGCGGGATCCAGTCTGCAAGAGCGATCGCAAGATGAGCGTATTTTCCAGCTTCCGTGTTGCTATCCGTAACTAGACAGCATCTGGCAACACTACCAGAGATATCGCTGACCTCCTTCACGCAGTGAGCTGTAGGGCTTAGGACCAATAGACGAAGCTGCCTGGCGATGTCAGCCGTGCCTGAGTGGCCTCACCTGCCCGATTCTGGTAGGTTTGAGATATGCTCAACTACAGAACCACGTTATCACCATGACTCCTCGCCAAATCTATAAGGATGGGCTTGACAGCAGCATTTCTGTCCACTCCATGTTAACAACCTACTGACCACTTTGAGTATACAAGCGATTGCAATAACAATGGCGACCATCGATTACGACTTCTCACAACTGCCACACATCCTGAGCATCGTGAGAATTGGCGCCCGCACCATGCAGAAGCCGGGGCTCCTTGGCCTGCCTGCTGAGCTTCGCAATCAAATCTGGGAAAATGTCGTTATCGAGCCGGACCTCCACAACCGAATACACCACCGCGAATGCCCACTCATCGATCACAAAGCAGCCTTTGCCAGGCTTCCGATGTGTGTAGAAGAACGAAGGCGCAGCCCTTGGGAGCCAATAGAAGTGGAGTTGAACACGAACAAATGTCGCAAGCTGTGTCGCGCTCGTCAAGGCCTTGGCCTTCTACGCGTCAACAAGCAAGTTGCCAGCGAAGCGACACCGATTTTCTGGCAGAACGCTTCCTTCTATTTCGCAGACTTTACCGAATTGAGTTTCACCTTGAAACATCGTATACCTGCAATCCACCTTTCTTTAATCACAGGCATCGTCGTGCACGACCCGGACCAGGGGGGCCCGAATCATTGGAAGTCATTGCTCCCACTTCTCCAATATTCAAGCTACACCGCAAAGCGTGAGCTCGCCACTGCCTTCCACTGTCTGCCGAACCTACAGCGTATACAGATCTGTCCAAGCAATCTTCTGAAAGTGGAGTCTCGCAATCCAAGGTTTTGGACGGATCCGGACGAAGCGGAAATCGCAGATGTCTTGATGCGCGTAGGATCATTGACAGTATTGATGCTGCTGGAGGTGCACCTCTTCGGTCGATTCAGCAAAGAAAACCCCTACGCATGCATAAGTCGCACCTATACCGGCGGCACCCCTCCTAAATCTCGACGTGGTGTCAGTGATGCCGCATGGCGCGACCGGCTCGCGGCTCCCGTCTGTCGCGATGCCTGGGAGATGGCTGGTTGGGTAGATCGAAACAGCCGCATTCGCAAAGCGTTTCTCGATCACCTGAGGGAAGCGGTAGAAAACGGTACTGCGCACAAATCAGTCGAACGCTGGACTCATCTGGGCAAAAGCCATGCTGAGCATGTCCGGTTCCTGGGAATCCTACCGAAGGAGCCAGAAGCCGCGTGTATTGCACCCGTCACTAAAACCCAGAAACCAGATGTCATCTTGACAGATCCAGAAGACCATATCCTGAACCAAAAAATAGCAAAGCAGACCAGAATTCAGTCGCAAGCTACGCGTTTCAACAAGGACCTGATCGATCACGAAGCCGTCCTCGAGCAACGCCGGATCAAGAATATACTCGCTGCCAAAAGTGAAGAGAAGTCGCGCAAGAAAGCCGTCAGGAAATCTACGCGGGAGCAAGATGCTGAAAAGAAAGCTTGCAGAAAGAGATCTGGTCGACGGTCGTGAAAGTGCTGTTTCATTCTTTCGACACTGTATGAGTAGAATAGTTTTTGTGCCGGACATGCCTAGGCATAGAGGGCTTTTCTATTCTGCAACGCTGTATACTAGGTGTCACTCATTTTAGACGAGAGAACGAGAAGGTTGAAAAGAAAATCTCTATGTCTCGACGCAGCGGCGAGCTGGTCACACGTGCAGAGCTGCGATGCTATTTTCAAGGTCTTTGCTATTGGCTGATACAGCCACCGCAAACAATTCAGGCTCCTGCATGCACGTAATTGCTTCGGCACGAAATGGAAGCGAGGGTGGCTGAGTCTGCTCATTTCTCTGTACAGCAGAGAGCACTACACCACTGTGAAGTAAGCTAGCTAATTAGCTAGTGGAATACCAATACAGGTCGGAGACTGAAATATGATACACGACAGCAATGTAACGGACCAAACACTAAGAGCAACATCCTTGTCTCTGTGCAGAGGTAAGCACGCAGTAGTAAAGCAGCCAGCAACCAGCCGGCACACCAGCGATGCATTCCCTCATCGACACCAGGTTGTTTCTCTTCTCCAGACAACGTGCTCTGCCCGGACATTTGATCCTTGAATTAACTGTACCCATTAATCGTACCGTTCCTGCCTTATGCACATCCACGGGGTCCTCTCAATGCTCTCAGACGCCACCGTGTGTACTCGCTTTCGTAACGCTCCAAAGGAAAGAGAAACAGTAGAAAAGACGTAAGCCGTAAGGAGAAGAACGTAGCCGCAGTATCCGCATGCCGTCATCTCAATCAGTCACTCTCGCGAATAGGACTCTTGGGAATAGGCGAAATTTGCTCGTCAAATCCATCGTAATCTTCCAGCATCTCGCTAACACTCTTCGCAGTCAGGGCAAGTTGCTTCGCACTATCTGATGCACGGATGACGGCCTCTGCGGCAGTCTTGGTCAAGCGAGCGACGAACTGAACAAGCTCGGGGCTCTGACCGTCCAAGGCGTTGTGATCGAGGGAAGTGGCGATGTTGAGGAGGCTCATTGCAGAGGACCAGATCGCATGTTCGGCGCCGGGTTGCGTATGTGTGCCGTTTGGGGTGCTGGTGCCGGAGGAGGACAAGTGGGCTGGAGCAGTATTCTGGCGAGTAAGAAGAGCATCCATCTTAGCTTCCAAACGAGCGAGTAATGTTGCCGGATCTTTAGCCAGGCCTACAGCAGTCGCTTTGACAGCGTGGTCGAGGTTCGCGTGGGGAGTGTTGGCGGAAAGTTCGAGAGCATGCGTCAGTTGTGTCATTGTGCCGCTACCAGAACTGCCTGCCGCTGGAGGGCGACGGTCCTCGGCGGAGGAGGTAAGGTCCGTCAAGGAAGAGTCAGTTGTACCTGCAGATTCGACCGAGCTGTCTCTAGCAGCTCGTGCATTTCTGAAGGTCTTCTCTGAATTCTTCTGCCGCTTTGCTGCGCGTTCAGCCGCGATACGATCGGCGTCTTCTCCAACTTCCCTATCAGACAAGACGGAAGATCGACGACCGCGCTTCTTGGAAGATACACGATTCTTGTGCACTCCTCTAAAATGCTCCATCATGTTGTCCTTGCGAGCAAACGCTTTGTCGCATTCGGGGCAGTTGTAGTCTTTCACGCCGCTGTGAATGTTTGCGTGACGAATGGCATGTCCAGAGGAGCTGAACCATTGATCGCAGCCAGCTTCCTGGGCCATTGGACATGGCCACTTGTGGGTGCGGCGGCGCTCAGAACTGACTTGCTCGCTGCTCTCCTCTCCAATTGAGCGACGCGGCCGTAAAGAGCGTCGGGTCTGCGGAGTGACGCCCTCTGCTTCTTGCTCCTCGAGGCCGTGGTCTGAGCCTTCATCTTCGCTGTGTTCGGCACCAGCAGTCGCTTGCTCGCCGTCAGCCGCGGTTTCGCGAGCGCTTCGCTCCTGCAGCCGCTTTGCAAGTACCGTGAGATCAGACTTTGCGGCGGGATGGGCAGTGATGATGTCCTTGATAGCCTCCAAAGCTGATTCCCGCTTGCGCAGCTGCTTGATGTTTGCTGATGTTGGCAATGCTCGGTCATAGCGCAACAACCTCTTCACAGATGGCTCGTGCTGCAAGTTGCCCAATATCTTGGTCACCAATGGGTCGCGATGGGGTTGCTTGTCAGTAGTATCGTAGCCACTATCTGACGTGACAGCAGTTTCGGCCGATGCAGAGCTCCCATTTGTTTTCGCCGTGCGAGTCGCCTGCTGCTCAGCACTCTTCTCCTCGGCCGCCAGCTGAGCATCTGGAGTATCTGCGTGTACAGTGTCGGCCATGCCGGCGTTGTTTTCGTCGATTTCAGCAGCTGGCCACTGCGAAGGACCAGCGTCCGCGGGAGATAGGGGCTCGAGCTTCTGCTGAACAGCAGGCGCAGGAGCGTGGTCTGGCCGCTTAGCCTCGATCGGCGCGACACTGTTACTACCTTTGCCCATATTGGCGACGGGTGCGAATTTGTGCGCTCGTCGGTCGCCTTGTTGCCGCACTTTGTCGGCTTGCTGCTGTGCCTTTTGCAATTTGACTTTGCGCTTCGCCGCGCGAATGTACTTGTGAAAGCGGGAGGTCTGCTCGGCGTTCGCAGTTTGCTTAAAAATCTGCTCGAGCAGATACCTGAGCTCCCAGATCTCTTGCGAGTCCCTATACACTGTCTGCACCGCAAGAGCTGTATCCTTGTCGCCCCTGCGAAGAGCTTCCTGCACTGCGTTGTCGATGATGCTTTTTAATTTGTCTTCATCGAACTCGAGCACAACGTCGGCCGGCTTCTGTGAGTCCGCCGCAGTCATGAGTGGGGCCTGAGGCGTGCCGGAGGGTGACTTGGAGCTTGTGGTGGAAGCAGAAGGGCGAGTGGGAAACACCAACTTGTCCCGCAACGATGCAGGCACCTGGTCATATGTTCGTCCGCAATCAACCTCATTCTGCCAGTCTTTGATCAAGAGCTCATTCCAGATCTCCTTCCACGTGGTCATGGCATTGTCATAGTACGAGCCCTTCTCGTGCCCTCGCCGGCGTGGACGACTGCCAGCACATTCTGCCAACCACAAACGCTCCTCTTTCCGCAGCTTCGTCTCCAAATCTTGATCCTCCCACTTGGTGCCCTTGAAGCCGGCAAAGGTGTTCTGCACGTGCGTGAAAAAGGCGGCGAGGTCCGCGTCGGTCCAGGTGTGAGAGGTGCGAATGAGGTATTTCAGCAAATCCACCTTGTGATCGACGGTGAAGTTGTTACGAGTTTCCATGCTGGCGGCCGTTCCAGGGCATTCTTGCAAGGGCAGTCTGAAGAGCTTCCGCCGATTCCTTGCGTGATGTGAGGTGGTGCACCACCCTGGAGCTGTGGTCTGGTCTCACCTCCGTCTTCACCACCCCGACATTGTGGGGGCCTTGAGCGGAGCTTCCGCACGCGTAGTCAATTTCGCGACGCGCTTCAGTGGGGCCTGAGGCACCAACGAGATCGGCCTTCACTTCGACAGAACGGAACAGAACAGAACAGAACAACACTCAACTCTCATTACTCGACTAGCGCTCCACATATGTACAGACCGCACGCCTTGCAATACTTCTGGGGCGCGAATGCGATCAATTCCTCCTTCGCGACACTGGCTCGTCGAATGGAGCCACCTTCCAAACTTCCTGGCTTCCCAGCTCCAATCGCATGCGGTCCCAGAAACCAGTCCAGACAACCTTCAAAGTCCTCCTCCCAAGACGTGCCGCCCATCTACGGCCATGGCCCACAGGTAGCACGCCCCTACTGCATCTCGGGATAATATGTCTTCTGAGAGGTTTCAGCAGCGGCCACCCCTCGATACCTGTGCTGCTCGCTTACCTAGTAAGTCAACTGCTCTATTCACGGAGTGATGCCGAACCCTCGCTTCAGACCAGAAAGTTCGGCGTATAATAGAGGCCAGCAAGTCCCAGCGGGATGGTGATCCAGATGCCAGGATGCGCACTCGAAGTTGATCCGCCATCCGAAGCTCTTTAGCGTTCACATCGAATCGTGGAGCGTCTGAAAATCCAGCGACTAAGACTCTGCTTGCACCTTGCCCGTGAACATGACCTTCTGCTTTTGAAACGAACGCATCACTGGCCCTGACGACGTGGAAGACGCTCACTGACTGCCACGGTATGCTCGCCGAATCTGTCTCATGAAAGAGCATGATGGAACGTCTGGATCTGCCATCTATTATGTCGAGCTTCTCCACGCCATCCGTTGAGGGCGTCGCCACTTGGACCTCAGATGTCTTGGACAGCCAGCCTGGCTGTCGGAGAATCGACACTACCTGCTCGGCTTCCAGACCTGGGACATTGATGGCGGTTACTTGCATCCACGGTCGGTCAAGACTTTCGGGGGCATATCTGTCAATCAGAATCCCAGGCGGAGGCAAACGTAACACTCACATTTCTCTGAAAATTGCTTGACCCAATCTTCCAAATTGATCAAGGCCAATCTATTTTATTCAGCACTGAGTCCAACGCCGGTGACTGGGTGCACATGGAATACCTTGAAAGTATAATTTGTAGCCTCAAGAGGAGTAGGCTTCAGACGATGCGAGCATTTGCGAGATCTTTCTGGCTCTACCATTGTGGCTATTCCCTGCGCGTGGGCACCTGCTTTGACCTTCCGCGCGGCAATGTCCTCTACGTACACGCCTCGGCGCTAATGATTCTGCAGTCTACAATGCAGGCGCCAAGCTTGGCTGGCGTTATGCTTGGAGTCCCGATGTCGTGTCCTCAAGGCAATAAATTGTGAGCAAGTGAGGCTGCAGCATCCAACGCCTCGTGAGACCACGTGGCCATGCAGTATACCCGTCCAACGCCTGAAATGGGGAAGGTACATCAGCCACAGTACCCTTGGCAGCTCTCGACTGGAAATGCACTGATGGACGGGATTCTGTAGGGTACGTTTGATCTTCGCAATTGCATAAGGTTATCTGCTACTCCAGGTAGTGTCATCATTATCCGATACTGATGGCACAGATGGTGTCGGCCATGGCTGCTCTACGATCAGCCTAAGAACATGATCAGCAATATCAACATCATGCAGCCAAGATTTCCAAGACAACTCTCTTGGCTGTGGCTTCCTGCTACAGTACACAATCTCTCCGAGCTCATAATCTGCTGTATACTGTAGCAATGTCGCATGAAGGCACGCAAGCGCGCTCAATGTCATTTACGAACTGCATGTACGTCTACAGCTGATGGAGGCTGAAGCACTGACTGAATGCGTCAGGTCCAGGAATCCGGCATGAATTTCTGCGAAAACCGAGTGTTTTTTTGGCCTTCGTACAAGGCAACGTAAACTTCAGTGCACGCCCAAGTCCGTGTGCAACTACTGTCCCGGGAGTATCAAGCTAGAGCGTGACTAGACCATTCATTAGGACATCCGGCCGCAGCGATGTAAGTTTTGACCACAGCAGCATCTTGCTCACTAGTGCTCAGCCACAAAACTTCGGGGTGTCCGCCTTTCCTTCACCCTTCAGACAGCTATTGCAGCGGGACGTTCAAGTCGGCGGACTTCGTACACTTGACGCCACTCATGGTCGACTTCCACGCCGCAAGAGCACCAGCAACGTGAGGTGGCAGTCTTATGTGGCTTTGGTGGCACATATCATGCCACTACCATGCGTAGGCTCTTGTGAGATAGCATGGCTCGAACGATGGTTATATTATGTGTAGCAAAGGACAGCCCTTGCACAACAACGCACTCAGTTCCAACATTCTCGCCATCATGCCAAGAACGAACCGCATGTGGGCAGTTCTGCCTCTCCTGTACACACAAGTTAATGCTGGACCGGTCGTCACAGGGACTTGTGCCCCAGTCGCCGCCGTAGTAACAATATTGAACGGATTTCCCCAGGCCAGCTCGTTTTGTTCATCATGGTTGAGCATCAAGACGCAATCTACGACTGTCACGGTTACCTCAGTGCAGACGACGAAAGCCTTTGTTACCTCTACGACAGGGACGAACACCTTTTCGGCAGCGACGGTCACTTCGGTTGGCGAAGTCCATGTCCTTACAGCGCCCGCCCGGACAACGACTGTATGACCAGCCTTCTTTGAATTTTGACGTTGCTAAGTGACGCGCAGGTCACCGCAGAACCTACGACCATTACTCTCGACACTGTCATTGTCAATGCCGACACAAGTACAATTTCTGTATGTCTTTCACGAAAAGTCGGGGGACCCGTTGCTAACACTTTTGCAGCTTACGGCGGAGCCCACTTCAGTTACTGGAGAACTTGTCGTTGAGACCGCTGCCACCAGTGTCACTACGCAGACCGTTGATGCTTCGACTATCACCATTGATGCTGTCACAGACACGGCCGATACCGTCACGGTCACCAGCACCGAATTCGTGACGTCCACAAGTATAGGCTTTGACCGACGTGATGCGTCACCGCAGCTTGTTCCAGGACTTCCTGCCGGTCTTGCACTGTTAGCTGGCGTAGCTCGAACCAGGATATCATCTGCTTGTGGCTGTCTTAGGCTACCCACCCCGACATCGACACTCACAACGACTCAACAGAGTGTGGCAACAACTTATGAGGTACCTATTCAGAGATCCTATTCCCGCAGACGCCGACTGACAGGAGCAGACCGTCAATGTTGCTGCTCAAACCACAATAACCCCTACTTTCGTCGAGACGCCTATCTCGACGATGACCCCAGAGGTGACGGAGCATGAGACGCCGAGGGTCACCATTACGTCGTTCTCGACATTTGTTCCTCTGCACACAGAGTACACCACGCCGACAGTCTACATCACCCCTTCAAGCACCTTCACACCACTCTCGACGGAGCTGGTCACGCCGACCGTAACGGTTATACCAACTACTACAATAACACCTTCCACAGTAGTATACACAACCCAGACAGTACAAGCTAAAGCACTTCCTCCTGCGAAGTGCGATGGCTCCGGGACACCATACACAGCACGCGACGGCTCGAAGTATGTCCTGGAATGCACAATGGACGCCCAAGGCAACAAACTACCTGGTGTACCACGCGTTCCGGTCGAGGGCCTTGAATATTGCATCGATCTCTGTACCAGAGAGGGCACAAAGTGTTTGGCAGCTCGCTGGGAGCCGAGCACCAAACTGTGCGAGTTGAGATCCGGCTATGGCTCACGTTTCGCTGCAACCTCGGCCGTACATTTTGCCATTCGTCAGACAAATCCTACGACGGAAGACTCTCCCCAGCCGTTCTTAGTGAACGGAGATTTTGAGAATGGATTGACGCCGTGGAAACACACCCGGCTAGAAAGTTCTTCAGGTTGCTCGCCCAATCGAGCCTGGAATGTCGAAGGTGGAAAAGCGTAAGTGTCAATCCAGATCTGCCTTGCACGATACTAATGAGTATTGACAGCTACATTTCTTACTATGTATGTTCGGGCGTGCCAAATGATGAATTGGTCCAGCCTGTCACTTTAGTTGCTGGTACCGCCTGGACCTTCAGTGCTCAGGTCACCTTTGAGGTCTTCGGGTCAGGAGGGAACCCAAATGGAGGCTGTAGTGTCACCTTCGACAGTTTCGGAGGGAATTTCGATGCAAGCTATGGGTACGGGCGTCGATTCGAACGATTAGTCAATCTCGTTGGAAATGGTGTCTCCCGGGTCAACGGGACCGCAAACTTCAGGATCTACAGCGTTTGCTCCAGCTCCCCTGGAATACGTATCGGGGTCGACAACGTCAACTTCTCGACGCTCAAAGATGTTCCTGGGTCCAATGTAACCGTAATATCACCAGTGCAGGTCATCCAGAACGGCGACTTCAGCAGCGGCGCTCTCACGCCCTGGACTTTCCGCAAAAACGCCAATACAACCGTCGATGTAATGGGAAATGCGGCTCTGATCTCATACCCCGGCGGATCGACGTCGAATCTCGAGGCAACCCTCATGCAGGCCATTTCTTCTGCTGAGTACGGGCAAACGTACCACTTCACAGCCAAAGTGGTCTTTAGCTTCCCAAGCAATGTACGGACTACCTGTTCCATGGAAGTCAATATAGGCTCGGGAAGGATATGCTTTTTGCAGAATGTCAACTCCGACCAGAATCTTTTGATTGACCAGAGGGGATCAATCATTTCGACGACTCCCAACAGCTTGAATATCCGGGCGAGTTGTGGGAGGTCGGCTACTGCTACGCCCCTCGTCTCGATTGACGACGTCTCACTCACGCTGAACGCTTGAGACCATCAGTGGATCGTTGGAATTGCGTGCAGCGATAGACCTCGTAGCAGATATACCGTCACACACGACATAGTGCGATTTCACGGGAGATTTTCATCGTGTTTGACATGTCTCTCAGGTCTTGCTGCAAGCCGAAGGGTATCCTTTTATGGGCTCAAACATCGTGCGTTACGATCAACTTTGCAGTCGTTGTTGAGAGATTTCTTGCTCAGGATGTGTATGACGAATGTAGAAAATTAGATAGATAGATGAATCTTATACGCTGGTCTACCTCTTTTAACTAGAGTAAGCAGCACGCTCTATA